ACTATCTGCCTATGCAAGCTGCACTCTGTCGTACAGCAGGCTCCGTCATGCCAGAGTCATGGGAACATGTACACCGAATGTTTAATTAATTGTTATCTTGGCTGTGTAGCTAGGACTTTTGCGTACGTATCTCTTGTCTGGGTGTCCTATCAGCTTATCGATTAGGGCACAACAACATCCCCGCCAGATACGAGCTTATCCTTTGCCCTCATTAAAGTACAAAGTACATACAGCTTGACTATTCCGCAACTCGCAGAAGTACGTACGCTGAATACAGTTACACAATACAGCTAGTTAGCAGCAGCTAAACAAGTCGATCTGCGGCCCGTACGGTAGTCGTACGGTGGCGGTGCTAGTCAACCTACTACGTAGTAAGTACCTTATCGGAGTAAGCCGACACATCCCAGCAACAAGCCCATGTCTCGTCAAGAGCATGTTGACTGGTAAGAGAATACGTAGCTGCCAGGTTCTGTCCGTGTGCTCCATAGCCACCGGCCCCATTGTGATAGTCTGATAGACAGCCCCTTGAAATAGCTGATTACCGTCTGAACGAATAATAAGGCAAAGGGTCAATTTGCCTCTTCGGCGGTGTCGAAACAGAATAAAAGCCATGTTCCTGGACGGAAACCGTTTGCGGCACGGAAGGCTTAGAGCGAAACTCTGAATAGCCGAATTTGCAAGCTGATTGGCCCACATGTGTTAGGGTAATCGTTACAAGTGTAATGATTATGGATTGCAACTTGTATTGAATGTATTAAATGTATCAAATTCCGTATTGAAAGCTTCCAGTAAGATTCCATCGTGCGTCTAATTTATTGTATATGAAGCATGATTGGCGGACGTGTGTCCAATTACGTATATTCCATGCTCTTCCGGCCGTCACCTGATTGTACATAGTATATGTACGAGCAATCTATTTGGACATCGGACATTGCTCTATCATTGCACGTTGTATCAGATCTGTTAAGATTGACTCAACGAGATAAACAAGGCTGAGCAACGAGAAGTGATCAAATCAGAATAATCGCCGGTAATACTCCGGTCGTATCGTACTATACTCGATACAATCCACCTACGTAGTTTGTATGGAGTTTCATGACATCATCGACTCATTCCCATCACTCGACAATTTACCGTTAATTACACCAATCAAGGCATGACCCGAAGTTGTCAATTGTTGCAATCATGCCAACATACATAGCACTACGTAAAAAGCGAATTTGATACAGCATGTAGGCCAAGAAAGTTGGCTAATTGCCGCCCAGCATTGGCATACTATGATACTGCCGAGTAAGTAATGACAATACAAGAACAATCTTGAAATAGATCTCTGAAATAAATTACGACTCATAAAACGGCCCTTAGGGCCAAAAGGCTAATTACGTCTGCTTCGTGTCTTGGAGATTGGTGGTGTCTATTTCTAGAAGATGCGAAAGAGCTATCATGCGGATTACTGATGGATTTCGACAGTAGTCAGCATTGGTAGCTACATAGCAAGTGGTTACGGCCTGCCCATGCTGTTGACGAAGTGACTCATTCTTTATCATCAATCTATATGAACTTATGCATGCACTAATACATCGCTAAATACCCAGGCGATTGGAAAGTTGCGCCTCGTGTCTCGTTTGGTCCCGACTATTAGTGTTCTGCGTGCTGGCAGCTTGGCCAGCTACGAAGCCTTATTAGTAGCCTTGCAGATGGACTGCCTACTGAATTATCGCTAGCTTCTTGGTAAGTATCAAATCCAATGCACTTGGCGGTGATACAGCTACAAGAAGCTGACAGACTGCCTGACAGGATCAAGAGGCCTGAACTCTATCTCTCCTTCTTGAAGCAACACGTGTTTGTCCGTGGTACAGCCCTTTCTGCGTGCCTGCATCTGCAGGGCATGGGAATCAAACCACGTTATCGACAGTAAGCATCGAGGCCAGCTTGGATATACGTACGTGCGTACAATCATATTTGCACCGAGCACTTGAGCGCATGAGCCTCGCTCTGTGGAGTTGATGTAAACCATACTACTGCTTAGGGCTTCATGCATGCGACAAGGCCGGCCGCGAAAAGAAGATCCAAGCTCCGAACTAATTCGCCTCACTCTTTTTGCTCGTCGTCATGGACTCACGGACTCACGGAGCGCGACATGAGTAAAGATTTATCCGTGTCGAGATTCCAGTTTTTGATATGATGCTGACACCGTGCAGATGCTCTGGCCTACAATTCCAGTCCTATGTTAATGATCATGATGCCCACCTGGGATAAGGCTATGATGCAGGTTTCCGATAAGATCCGTATTCGGCAAACGCAGCATGAAATATGTTTATTCTGAGTCATGTACGGCCTTGAGGCTGAATGTCAGGAGGGAGCAAAGAGAGTCAGTCAGTCAGAGAGCGCTCAGATATCAATCGAGACCGGTAGTCGGTCACCACGGCAATACTATGAGCGGTACGAGCCGCATTGCTCGTGTTAGTACCCGTGGCCTGCAGTCAAAGCCAACGGGTCAAAATCATACAGCAGCGAACACTTCTACCGTTTCTTGATATATTAAATAGAGCACCTGACCTTAATTCATGCAGGTTATATGAAACGTGAGTAAAGGATATATCTTCCTTCCAATCGTGGACAGCCGGGCACTCTCCGAGCCTGGATTTCCACGAGCTTCTAGATGGGTAGTAATAATGGAAAAATTACTAAATTCATGGATGATGTGCACTGTTTCCTATCGATTGATAATCAAATTTTCTGTGAAAGTGGATCGTTGCAGTGCAGTACTAGAGAAGGGCTATTGTAGGCATTGTATTACTTCCGTCGGGCGTTGTTGTTGCAAATGTACAAATATAACCCCCATTCTACGTGGTATGCACTGAAAGCAGCAATTGCTCAATGACAGATATCGTGAGCTAATTACATGTAACTCTTATCTGCTCAAGCTGAATGATCAACTACAAATCCTGTTCATGTAACCATCTCAATCAATAACAAGTCAGTAATTAACTGGATAATATGGATCTTTAGTAGATCTATTACCCGAGGTTACTTTCAAGATCATCACTCCGGATATAAACATGTAGTAGTACTACTAAAAGTTAGACCAAGGACAAAAATAATCATCGGCGGTTGTATTTCCCGGCGCATTGCGCGGCCAAAAGGAACAAATCATCCCACCGTTATCTGCATGTATCCAAGTATCTTTCTTGCCGGTAGTGCGTACGTAGTACGCAGGTGAAAATCGCGGACCTACGGCGCTACGACAAAAACTCAACAGCCGAGCCAACATGCCGTGTTGTGTTACGACTTCATTATGTACTATGTATGTACGGCCTATTTAGGGTGCTGCGTATACGAAATGCAAGGCCTTATCTTATGTATGCTACTAGCTAGGGTACGCAAATTGCGGGGGAATGTGACAAGGGGGGACCCAAAAGCATGAGTAATAAGGGGGCTCGAGCTCAAGCTTGCAACTGTTTTAACTTATGTCCTTTTATTTGAGGTTATTCACTTTTTTCTTCCTACTTGAGATATATACTAGATGTACACGTAAGTGGTCCATAATCCTTCAACGTGAGCTCGGATGCTTTGAATGTTGGCACAGAGTCAGTCGATTCGAGTTTCATCATAGTCGCGATCTATATGTACTCCGTAGACATGGTTATGGGTTTGGCCTGATTAGCAATCTTGCTGAATTGCGAATCGAAATGCATTGGACTCTACGGATTACTAGATCAGGGGACTACATACCGAGTTGAATGTAAGAATTACTTCGCTGGACATTCGTGTTGCCTGTTTGGTAGTAGGTACGTCTAGTATGGCTAGTGTGGCTAGTGTGATCGCATGGATAAATGATGAGATGTCCATGCGTATAAGCTAGTTTAGCATGCGTTTACTGCTATATTAGCACCCAAGTCGGATTGAATTAGGGCTGATTGTGAGCGCCTGGCAGACTTTCCATCGCCCGTGTCCACGAAGGCATATTCTGGATGGTAGGGCCTGGCACGGCACGCCCTTCTCTAAGTGCTTTCCACTTGCAGCGGCAGCATACGCAATATATCTCCTGAGCAAATAATTCTTCGGCATGTGAAATCTACGTAGACGTCTACAAGGAATGATCGAACGGACTTAGAGATTTTACTCGGAGTTTCCTTTCAATGGTTTAATGTGTGTATTCTTGTCAAATTATAGGTAACAATAGAAATAGCCTCTTTATTTTGGCGAGTCTTCCTGACCAGTTAGACAGAATTTCCGAGATAGAATGAGCCTAAGACCTGGAACTGTACTCCAAATGTTACCCCTACCTGACCTATTCACTTCAGAACGTCGCGTGCGTGCCATGCAAGACAATGAAATCTTGAGCAAGACAAATACCCTCGGCCGTCTGTTCGCTACCACAGTGAAGAAAATGTCTCTAACCTTGAAAGCTTTCTGTACAAAGCGCCCAAGTGGTCGATGCAGATTAAGACGAGCAGCATCTTCACGATAACTGGATGATGGCCATATGGAGATGTTGATGATATGAAGAGAGCATTGACTAGCTCGGTTTGCTATGGCAATGGTTGGGCCATCATCAGTGATGGTCATCGACCACGGGGTAGCACAACCGTAGCACCGATCGGGGGTTTTGTGATGCTACAAATACTCTTTTTCCAGATTAGACACGGTCTAGAGTTTGTTCATGCTATCGTGAAGTATGCGCTGTGTGCCTCGTTCAAGGGGGCGATGATCACTCGTTTCATACTATCACCGTCTTCAAGTGAGGACGAGGAATATCACCTATTGGATACTTCATATGCAGACTACTAACAGTCCGTTCTTTCATTTTATCTCAAAGTCCCCGAAGCTCCCCTCTTTTAACCGCGGCTATCCTTGAAGACAGAAAATTTCCTATTTGGGCAGTTTATTCCTACTTAGGTAGCATAGGTACAGGTGAAAGATGTATTCGCCCACGCCCAGCGCCGCGTGCATGAACTGTATAGACATAGTTCTTTAGGTCGCTATGGAATAAATGATCAGAAAACTCCTTTTTCAAGGGCCCACAAATAAAACTCAGCACAACCCCCTGCAGCTTCCACGGTGGCTTTGACAGCATCCCAGCTATCAAACAAAGTTTCCACACCAACAATCCGAAACACAATAATCTCCCAATCGTGTACGGGCAACGTGCACAACCCGCTCTGTACATAACATCCCGGATGCGTATTAAACGCATAATCGCTCAGAGCCGAACAATTGGCAAACGCCTGCGGTCCTCCGAGGGCGTACGGTACCAAGTCCCTCTGCAGACAGAGCATGACTGTCTGCATCCATGTCTGACCCTTGGGCGATAGCAGAGAAGCATCGGCCACGAATTTTTGACAGTATTTCTGCCCGTATGCGAGTGGGTAGTCACTCGGTGCGCAGTTGTAGCGGGTTTGGAGACATTGGGCGTAGAAGGAGCAGTCGTTGGGGCGGGGGTTGCTGCATTCGGTGTTGTTGTTGCTGGAGGCAACTGTTGGCCAGGTTGAGAGTATGTCCTCTGGTTGTACGAAGGCCAGGGCGAGTGACAGGAGGAGTGTAGCGAATATCAACCTCATGTTGCTTTGGTTTCTGGATTGTTGATTGCAGCGTTACAAAGTCGGGAGGAACTACAAACACATGAATTGACGTAATTCCCACGTGACGCATCCCACTACAGAAGACGAATAATTTTGCTTTTTCCTCATGTCAATCAGTCGTCAGGAACAAGCTCCATTTAGCGAGTTAAATGTATAACACTAGATACGGTTTACTGTTTAATGTAGTTCTATACCATATAGGAGACATGGTACGCCTTTACCGTTGGGAACCGATCACTCGCTAGTATGGTTTCCAATCAGGGTGGTATATTGATTACTCTATTATCCACAATGTGAAATAGACCCGAGGAACATGTAACTATTCCAAGCCTTAATTCGTAGATGCTTACTGGAATAGGGCGCACAAGTCTATACTAATCGGTTTTGTGTATTCTAAATCATAGAGTAGACATGATATACACTTATGTCTCACTTGCAAGACTTCGGTCTTTCTGCATGGGTTTTCCGACATTATCATCCGTAATTCCTGTCTGAGTTGGTAAAAATGCGACAGTAGCATTACATGTTGTGTATGACAGCCGGGTTGTTCCTGACTACGGTACTTCAGTAAACACTAGCCTAGGCAGTGACAAGGGTTTTTTGTGTGCGATGAAAATTTTCTCCTCCGTTTTCTTTCTTTCAGATTAATATAGACGTTTCGATTCAGGCAGGCTGACGTGGTTGGCGGAAATACTTGGGAAATTTTCCTGCATCCAATTAAGTACTCACATACCTAAGTTAGCACTCCTGAAGTTTTTGCGATTGAGTTTGACATCATCGACTAAACTAGTTGCTCGGTTATATATAAGGCACATATGATTTTTGCCACCCTCAATCGGCTAGAAAAGGTACAGAGACTAGCCTAGTAGAATCTAGAGTTGACTGTATGCATTGCTACCTTAGGACTCGGTCCAGAGAGCGGCAATGATGGAAATGACGATTGTGATAAAGAAAATATATATCCAATATTTGTATTCGGTGAGCGTCATGGTTATAGCTCGTTTGTAAGTATGTAATGACAAGACAATGTACAGGATGATCTGAGACATGGTTTTCTAGCTGCGTTGATAGTTGTAGCGCTAGGCCCATCACATGAACAAGTACAATACAACAGCCGACACAATAACTACAGGGTTCATTGCCAATTCTGCAACAGCAGCCCCGGCAGTAGAAATAACGGCCGAGGAACTGGCTGAAGCAGAAGAGGATGAAGTGTTTGAACTAGTAGTGTTGCTAACGAGCGTAGTAGTGCTTGTTCCATTCTTCGTCGTTGTCGTTGTCACGCTGGAGTTGCTAGTGCTGGTTGAGTTGGACAAGACAATGCTCGTGTAAGCACCGGTAGTGTCGCCATAGGTGTAGTACTCGGCAGGATAGTAGTTGGTAATGTTGACCGACTCAACATACATAGTAAATGGAGCATCACTGAAATCCGTCTCGCCACCGGCCCATTCGATAGTGCCTTCGCCTTCGCTGGAGGAACCACCTGCCCAGATACCGAGTTTGAGCACCATGGGCGTTTGTGGGAAGTTTTCTCCATTAAGTGCATCATCATATGCCAGAGTACGTTTGAGGTCACCGTCAACAAACCATTGAATCTGCTCAGGGGTCCAATCGACACTGTATGTGTGAAACTCATCACTTGGAGTGGTGACGTTTGGGTAGGTCGCGCGGTCGTAGCTTGTGGTGTTGTCCTTGCCAAAGTAGTTGGTCTCGATTTCATAATTGTATGTACCAATGCCCTCCTAAACGCAAATGATTAGCTATGTGGAAACTTAGTGTCTTTTCATAGGAATCGGTAACATACCCAATCAATCTCGTCCAGATCATCCGATAGGAATACTATGCTGCTGATAATACCCGTGCCATTGGCAATTTTCATCTTAACATCGACGTGGCCGAAGAAGAAGTAGAATGCTGTCTGTATAGTCGGAGAGTCTCCTTCTTCACTGATGATGAATGCGGCGCCTTGCGATGTGCTATTGACAGTGCCGGCAGTCGTATTCCAAAACTCAAAGGCTGAGTCACCGGCAGTGAAGTCCGTATAGAACGTGTAGTTTGCCAGACCAGGATCAGCAGGGCATGTTCCTATTGCATTGTTAGTACATGTCATATTGCCCATTATTACCATGCCGACAAGAAAAGACTTACCGTTTAAAGGATCGCAGGTGGTATAGGTTTGTGCAGCAGCAAGAGGTATGGCAACAGCCAAAGCTGCCGTGACCAGTCTCATGAGGGCCGGCATTTTGTCGTGTAGAATGAAGCCAGCAAGGTCTTGGCAGTTCGAATGAAGAGAATAAAGAGTAATTCGAGAACGAAAGACTGGGTGAACAAAATGGATTAACGAAAGACGAAAGAAGCTGCTTGTACTAGAATTCAAAGCCGAAGATTTGTTTGGAACAAAATCTATTGAATATCTGAGGTATCTAGTCCCTATATCATGAGTCTATCTTTGGATCTGTTCAGTGTTCACACCAGTCGTCGATCCCAGCGCTTCGCCATAATATTCTTAGCATCTGCATCCACACCAAAGTTCCACAATGTTCCTTAGCAGTGAGGATACTGGAAGCCTAGTGGCCTCGTCATGGCTGAGCTGGCGTCTAGAATATGGCTGATAGCTTATGCCCTCCGTAAGTTTTTGGATTTGTGATGACACTGACGGTGGAGAAGGATCCATCGACTTATTCTGAATGTGATGCGTCAATCGGACTGAAGGAGACAAGTGGGCGCCACAGTTGAGAGATCGAATCACAGAACAATATGGCGCAGAACAAGCATTCGACGGTGGAGTGAGGTGGATGAGAAAATTTCAGGGGTTTCTTTCGGCTTGCGCAGATGTCTTGCGTGGCTGCCCTTTTTTAGTCCCGATGCCGCGTCATTCTCCACGGAACCGACCCTTTTCTCTTTCCTCCTCGAAAACATCAATGACAGCCACAAAAATCATGTTAATTTGCAATCATTGCTGATGTCGAAATCTTGAAAGAGCTAAATAAGAGCAAAGTATCATCACGGCTTGAGATGCACAGTCGGTCGGCCATTGCGGATGATCATCAATTTCGACATGAATGTCCGATTATCTTGCATGTCTCGCCACGAATGGGTCTTTTCAAAGAATCTGGGCCTATCTGCAGAGGCTGGATCCCTGAGAAAGCCTTTCGAATTGGATACTCAGCTTCTCTGTGTCTGAAGTGACGACGCCTCGTGACGACGCCTATGCTCAAGTTAATATGCCACCGCTGATTGCGTTGCATTTGACCACCAAGCTTGCGTCTATGTCTTAGCGACTAGTGGAAACAAATGCTACGCCTCTAGACGCCAACAGTCAACTTGACTTGTCTCAGACTACTTGAAACGTGTCGCTGCGACCGAAAGGCCCACGAGTGTGGTTGCGTAATTCAATGAATTCTATGCTATTCTATTCCTACAGAACGCCTCCCTTTACATCATTATCGTAACACTCATCTTGAAACAGCATCATCAAGCTCAACAGGCAAGACAAGAAATTCGCGGTCGCCATGCTTGCAACTCTTCTGTACAGGACACGGTTCGGCGATGGGCATATCTGACTGCCGGCAGTCCGCATATGGATCGCAAACCTCTCTCTACCTTCTTCCTCTCGCTTTCGAATGTCTTTTCCCGGATCAATCGTCGGGAATCTCTTGTGGATGCCACTGACCTAATCTCTTTCTCTTCAGCACAGCTTCTGATATCCAATGCTTGTCGTAAAACATCTGCCTCTGATTGAGCAGACACACCAGCAATTCGATACGACCAGCTCATTTTGACGGTCTCGGCTGACTCAAAGAGAAATGCTGTTCCAATCTCAGGCTTTCCTCCGTCGTACTTCAGAGGGTTCACTTCCTTGATCATTTTAGCTGACTGAACTAGGTTGGTAAGTGTTGCCGTGGCCGAAACTGGAGTGTGCCGCGAACGCGAACGATTGGAATTTATGTCAGTCTCTCTGCTGCACTTTTCGAGAAGTTGATACACGAGACCGTTGGGGTCCGCATAGATTGGGAACGAGCATTGAGTTGATTGAATCAACCTTCTCAGCCGGATGTGACTTCCACACCAGATGATGACTAATCTGGTATCCCTTGGAAGAGCTGAGTTGCTTTTTAGTGATGACAAAAAATCTTTGATAAAAGCTCGACGCAATTGTTGCTATTATCAAACCCGGTTAGTTTCATCGATTTTGGATCAAGTGAACATCAAGCTTCGAACTTACCCTGCAACAAAAGGAAGGACGAATGAAGACGGTCATAACTTTTTCGAGTTTCTCTTTTTCTCTGAACGGGAATTCAGATGAGGATGAGTACAGATTCCGAAAGGGGAATTTGTTGCCATCTATATCAACAATATCGAGCCGACCGGCCTCCTCAATCACACTTTTCGTTGATGTTCTGGGAACACGAGAAGATCTAGAGATAGGCTTGATTCTCTTCTCTTCAGTACTGATATGATTTAAGCGTTTTCGCAGGCCGTCCACGGCATTGACCGGTGTCTCAATAGGTGTAAGTGGTAGAGGTTTGTCGACAGCATACGGCTTCTTGATGGTAACGACTCGAACCGCAGCTGTGGCAGTGTTGCCTGTTTCTGTCACGTATGTAACACTTTTATCTTCTCTCTTTCGAGGATAGTTGTCTTTACCATTGTTGATAGCAGTGACTGTAATTGCGTACGCAGTCGTGATTCGACCTGCGTCTTCGCGCTTGTATATCGTGGAAGACGAGAACGAGGAAGACGTCACTGGCAAAGCAGAGAACCTGCTTGACAGATCAACAAATGTCTGTGTCCGAGACCGTAGTGCGGGTCTGTGACTTTTGTCGGATCCCGACTGACGCGAGCTATAGATGTACTCAATCGGCATCTTGAGAGAGGTGTCCGGAATATTGATATTGCAAAACATGCCTTTCTTGTTCGTTCAAGATGTCAAGTTAATGTCAGTATTCAAAATTTGTCAAGAGATGCTCCTCAAGAAGGTTAAATATCAGGGTAGAAAAGCAGCTCGAAGAGACTGGAAAGCGCGTCGCGTAAGTCGAGACCCAAAGACCTTTGCATATACTTGCTTACGAAATGAAAAATCGCTTGACCTTACTTGCAGCAGGCTTGATACATGTACATATGCATCCATATGTATTGTACCCAATATTCATATAAGTACCTGCAGCGGGTACTCGATACCGAACCCTATCATCGAGACAGTTCATCGTCAGATCTGATACAATTGCGAAAGACTATCTCCGGTAGTTCTACACCGGATAAATAATTGCTTGAAAAATGGAGACACTTCTACAAATTTTATCTTAGTACCTTTATCATTTTGTAGTATATTGGCTGCCGCGGTCGGTGATCGCGCGACACAGACCGGTATGAGGACCAAGCCCTTGCTTGCCTAGGGCCTCATTTTGATACACTTTGAGCCCTTGCAGGCTTGCAATTACGAGGCTCGAGTTTCGTATATGTGTTGGCTTGTTGTGGAGATATAAAAATCAGGGTGTCTAATATTTATCGATGAAGAATGTATGTTAGTCGAATGGCTATCTAACTGATGCAAGTATCAAATTAAGGGGCTAATTAATATGATACATCTATGGTTCGTACTAAATCGAAAACAAGGAACTATTCGATCCAACGTAAGAGAACATGCTCTTTCTTCTGCAAAGCTCCGAAATTATTCTTGCAGCAGTATGGTTATTGTGCTTGAGAAGATCTTATATTCTTCGTGATCCATCAAATGAAGATTAATTGATCGAAGTGCACCAATCCACCTCTTAAATGAGAAGTTGAGTGACTTAAATGACTTGATACATACGTATTCACGGTTCGATGACTTTTTTGAACCAGAAAGCAAAGTTTTCACCGATTTGGATATCCATTCATGTCTCGGAAGAACATGAATGGAGTACATAGTTAGAAATTATGCCGGGCTAGTTCTAGCACTCAGTATTTTCTCGAAGTTCGGCGTCGGTACAAAGCCGACTCTTACTACATGTACATTAGGTACAATATGCTACAAGCGAGTAGTTGTACTAGTTCACTAAATTATCGACAAGGTACAGACATCTACAGCAAGTATCAGGACATTTGTGAGAAGACGCACGTATAGAAACATCATTGATACTATTCTATGGAGACACTAGCATCCAGTTCTGGCACCCGACAGGTACTATTAAGATAGCAAACTGAGCGATCTTCTCATCCCCATAGTCAGCTCTATACGTTGTTATCAAACGAATGACTGTAACGCTTCTCCGAAAGGGTTAATACCCTTCCACCACCTATCTTCATCTCAATTCACCGATCCACGGTCAAAATCGCCTCTCTGTTCTCTCTACTGACGCACGCACCGACAGACGATCACAGCCAGTACAGCGCCGTACTAGCCATAGTCAAGCCATACGCCGAGAAGAATGACTACTGTACAATGACGCCACAGTATGTAGATTTGTCTTCTCAACGAGTGTTTCCATAAATGCCATGTCGATACTATGGGAACACAAATTCCACATGAGAGTTGCACCAAATATCTTAAACGCAAGCCGAAACCTTTATCAAAAGGTCACACAGCAACAAGATGTAAATTTGATATTGCCTCGGCCTGTGAAACATCGATAATACGTTCTGTGATCCGTCGATGAAGGACATAATCAATTCATAGTCCAAAGTACCTGCGATGCGTCGAACTCGTAATATTTGATGCATATGCACAAATCGAAAAGTGATGGATGCACTCCTTTACTCAAACTAACGCATTCAGTCATAGTTGCCACCTATTTGACTGGCAAAAGCTGTTGAGACACTGCGAGCGTCATCATCGTCCTGAGCAAGTCCGGGCCCACGAGGCACGCGAATGCTAGCCGAACTGCCACCGAAAATGCTGCCACTATCGTTGACTCCGGACTTGTAGCCATCACGACCTCCTGACTCGACGTAACGCTTGAGCCTATCGGATTGACTGAGACTAGGCTGCTTTGTCATGTCATTGATACTCAGACCAGCTAGACTGACTCCACCTTGGCCACCCTTGCCGTCAATCACGCTGCTCGTCATATCGGATTCCGTAGCAGCAACTGATTCGCCAGCGACACTTGGGGCACCCTTGTTGCGAGCACCGTTGGCTCGATGACCTCCTTGGAGAGACGGCCACGCTTCTGCAAAATTCTGGAACATTGGCGGATATCCGGACGGTACACCGACACCACCAATGGCTGAGGAGTGTACGGAGGACACATCATCCGGAATGTAACCAACTACAGATCCAGTATCATGGTATTCCGGACGGTTTCCATTTCTGACATTAGACATTCCGCTTGCCATACTAGAAGCATGATTGTAGGCCATGTGAAATCTCTGAGGCCCACGGTACGCCTGCTTGGGGCGGCTGAATTGGACAAGTGATTCCTGGAGATTTGACAATGGTCCCTCAACCAAGCATTTCCGTTCCTTAAAGTGAAGGAGAAGATAGTTCCATAAGGGATGCTTGGACAAGACCTTTGGGTTGCCCAAGATAACCACTCCATACTTGGCACGCGTAAGGGCAACATTGAGACGACGAGGATCACTCAAGAAACCGATACCTTGATGGTCATTAGATCGCACGCAAGAAAGCACGATAAAGTCCTTCTCTCGGCCTTGGAATGCATCGACCGACGCAACCTCGATTTCTTTGTAGTGCTCTTTCTTGAATGTGCCCGTGGCTTGCATGGAAGAAACGACATAGCTGCGTTGGCCTTCATAAGGTGTGATGATACCAATGCCAGAGGGTTGAACCCCTGCCTTGAAGAAACGAGTCACGATCTTCTCCACATTGGCAGCCTCTGTACGGTTGAGGTAAGAGGTTCCGGATGCAGAGATTTCTTCATTGCCAAGATTGGACCAGAACATCATGGGATTCTCTGCTACGGGCCAAGGAAAGTCGACATCGCGGCGAAGACGCTGCGCCATAGAAACACCATTTTGTAGCGACCCTTCGTAAAACATGTTGGATGGAAACTCCGACAAGCAAGGATGCATACGATACTGTACATTCAACCGGATCGGAGAGCATCCAAGGATAACAAGACGCTCAAAGAGTGACTGATTCAGACCAGCCTTGGCAGCTTTCTTGTTCATGATGACCGGGCCCAATTGTTGATGATCACCAACAAGTACGACCTGCTTGCAGCCCAGCACAAGGGGAATCATACATTCAGGCTCTGCAGATTGAGTAGATTCGTCAATGAGAACCGTTCGAAACTTGAACTTTGCAAGTCGTGGATCTCCAGCACCAACACAAGTGCAACATATAACATCGGCATTTGTGAGGATCTCTCGCTCAGCAGCGCGGGTGAGTTGCTTGAACTTCTTCTCATCTTGGCTGGAAAGTTCGCCCAACTCTGACTTCAATTGATTGAGCTTGTTGAGTTCGATGTTGCTATCGTTCATACGAACTTGTTCATGCAAGGACAGGAAGCGGACAGGGGACTCTACATCCTCGCGAGACTTGGCAGTAACACGAACAGTCTTCAATCCAGTGCGATGGATTCTTTCACAGAGCTGATCGACAGCAACATTAGACGGAGCGCAGACAAGAACTTGTCCTCCATTGATCTTGGCGAGATGATAAATGATCGTAGCTGATGTGACTGTCTTTCCCGTTCCGGGTGGACCTTGGATCAAACTGAGTGGTTTCTGCAAAACACTCTTGACTGCATTGATCTGACTGCCGTTCAGTTCAGGAAGACCAGGAACGCTGAATTTCTTTGGCATCTGAGTCTTCATTGGCGCTGCGGCGACTTCATGGCCTAGGAGTCGATGGAATAGATAACCGGAAACACTCATTTCATCAATGGCAAAATTCTTCATAGCGTATTGCATACGATCAAATGATGTCGCTTTCCAGACATAGTCTGCAGTGAAATTGTGTGTGCATTCCGTAGGAACCGACTTGTGATCACCTTTAGCCCGCAGTTCGATTGTGACCTCATCTGACTGATTGTTAGGGATCTTGATAACATAACCAACACCTTCCCATTTGGGACGCAGTTCTCCAGTATATTTCAGGCGCATTTCATCACCGACTGCCAATTTGACATCGCCGAGTTCTAACTTGGGAAGAACAAAGCTAGCGAGGTGTTTGTTATTTAGACCGAGATCCCATCGAACAATCAACCCATCTTGAGACTGTGATTCCTTTAACTTGCGATCGTAATCAGCTTCTATCTTGACTAAAGGACCAAAGACATTCTGGTATTGGTAGGCATCGTCGTATCGCAGCAAAACCGGAGCTGGCTCGTCGTCGACGCTATTGGCTTTTTCGAGATCAGCAATAGTAGCGGCTGAGTTGTCCTTCCACATTTCCTCTAACTTTGCGATCATCTGTGGGCTCAAATGGCGTGCTCGAAGTTGTTCTTGGTCTGAGGGTGTCGATACCAGCCATGGCAAAAAAGATCGATCCTCGATAAGGGGCTGCCAGCGGGAGGTATCCCAATTCATGTCTTTCGATGATGGCATAGCGGCGCATGGTTGGCGGCAGAGGAGAACAACAACTGTATCGGACTTGGCAGGGATAAAACCAAGAAGGAAGGCATTTTTTGTTCCACAGTTATAGCACTCAAGAATCGTATCTCCGAGAGAAGAGCTTGGGTGAAGCTGGACTTCCTTGTGTCGTGCTCGGACAAGATGGTTAACAATGTGTGAGGAGGAAGTGTTGCCACGCGCACTACAGAACCATTTACTGCAAGAAAGACATTTTACAACGCTGCTTGGGTTATGTATGCCGCAATACCTGTAGGTTATCTTAGCATCGTATATAGTGATATCTCAGATAGTATACTCACGCGCATGCATGGGGTGGAAGTTCTTTTTCTTCTTCATATTTTTGCTTCTGAAGACGACCACCAACAGGGACACTTGCCAGACTCTCAAGTTCGTCATCATCAAAAGCATCTGAACCATCATCATCATCATCGTGTCTCCTGCGTCGGGCACCACCTGCCAGGCTCAAGAGACTCTCATCGGGATCGACTGTCGAATATCCATCGTCTGCATTGATTGTTGAGGCGGAGTCGGAGACCATGTGGTTTCCTATGTTTGTAAACGCGTCCATCGTTTCGAGATCATGCGGAGACACATTCACTTCCAGGGTACGAAATCAAAGAAGGGTTGTATCGGGTGAACACTGGACAGCAGAATGACAGCATTCAGGCTAGGTCGTCTTGGACTTGGACGAACTCTCGATTCGGGAAGTTTGCTGTCTAACGAGATAAACTGTTTCGTTGTCAGGCTTTGAAAATAAGGGCGTCTGGTTTCCCTGTATGTATCAAATGCGGCGAGCACGCGGGGTTGTTCAACGTCTTGTTGCGAGGTAAGGGAAGTTTCCTTGGACAGTGACGGTTTCAAGATCGGCAGTGCAGAGTTAATTCCAGAAGTCAAGCCAACATGACTGGAACGTCCGAAGAAAGCCAGGGAGAGAAGAAGGAATTGGCGATGGAGAGAAAGCAAGAGCAAGAGGTACCCAAATTGTGTGGCGGCCAAAGAAAAGCTCCTCCGCAAAGGCGGTGATCGCATGAGTAATGAGGCAGGCGCCAATCAGCGGTCGCACTTTCTTCCGCTTCAATGGAGATCCCCCTCTAGGGAAGTCGAGACCGACCAGAGCCGCATTTCATTATCGGCAGAATAAAAAAATTATGGCTCTGATTCCTCTGCTTTACTCAATAAGCAACCCATTCTTACGCATCCCACAGCCATGATTGTAAGTCACAACATGTTCCGCTGTCATTTGAGAGCACTTTCTTTATTTTCAAACAGCAACTAATGTTCTTAAATAGCGCCGACAAGCACGGGAGCGAAGGGACTACCTTTACCGCAAAGGTTCGTATGGCATCAACCAAACCTGGTTACCACAAAACTAACCAGAATTTTAGCACTCACACTCCGAGATGCCTCAATCGCCGAAAAGCGCGCAAAGCTCAAAGCCGCATTAGCGTCTGGAAAGCCTCTTGATCCCTCCATCGCCAATGACGCCGAGCTCCGCGAAGACTTCAAATACGACGAGTCCCTACCCTCCAAGGGCCAAGGCAAAGATGACGAGTTCATGGACGTTGACGACGAATATGCCCTCACAAGTGGTCTGGTAGACCCTCGCCCACTGGTCACGACCTCCCGCTCTCCGTCGGCAAGACTCAGCACATTCGCAAAAGAGATTCGTTTACTGCTCCCGACCTCAATTCGATTGAACAGAGGTAACCTCATTCTACCCGACTTGGTGTCCAGTGCAAACGCTGCTGCGCTTACCGATATGGTTCTCTTGCACGAACACCGTGGTACACCCACCGCAATCACGGTATCACATCTCCCGCATGGGCCAACTGCCAGCTTCTCATTGCACAATGTTATGCTCCGCGCCGATATTCCCGATTCATCTCGAGGAACAGTTTCAGAAAGTTATCCACACCTGATCTTCGAAGGTTTCACCACAAACCTCGGAAAGCGCGTGGTTCAGATTCTCAAGCATCTCTTCCCTCCTCGAGAAGGCGGCGGAAAGCTTGGAAACCGAGTTGTCACATTTCAAAATAGAGAAGATGCCATCGAGGTTCGGCATCACGTCTTTGTTCGAACGGGCTACCAAGACGTGGAGTTGGCTGAAGTTGGGCCACGTATGACTATGCGACTTTTCGAGATCCGCGGAGGTACACTGGAGAAGAATGCCGGTGGTGATGTTGAATGGGCTCTTACCCAGTATACGAGAACGAGTCGGAAGAAGGATTACCTTTAGGCAGCGGGGAAACTTCTGGGACAGTTACGTTCCACTTTTGCATATATCACAATGCGTGATCACGGTGTCTTATGGAGTATATGCTTGACTGGGTTGATATTGGTTCTTGATATGATATTTTTGGTAACACATCTATAGCTAGAATTACGATTGAACATTGAGAAGACATGAGATTAGCATTGTATGCCAAATTAGGATGGCAGCAAGACTTGATAAACCCGAAATTTCATTTTCACAACTTTCAATACAGCGCTTTTCAAAAGATCTAGAGCCTCAATACACAGACTGCGTAGTATCGTCTTCCTTGTTCTCCTCAACATCCTCCGCTTTAGCCCGAGAAACTTCGTCGTCTTGGACATCCTGATCATTCACTGATACTGCATCATTGTTCAACGCACCCATCAGCCCTCCAGGACGCTCGTATCGAAACCAGGCTCCTTCCGAAGGCTGGAGTAGTGATTCCCCATTCGTACTAGCTTTTGGGCTCACAAGCAATTTCGAATCATCATAACGGTCCTTCCATTCCACCCCGGTTTTCACACGGAAGAACTTCTTGAACGCGAATAAAGCCTGCTCCAGAGAACTCCCTTTTGGTGCAAGCATATCTTTGCTTGCCACTCCGACGCGAGTATATTTGACGAATGTGGTATAAGTGTGCGGCTCTTTGTTTGTTTCATAGACCTGAATCCGTTGAGCGAACGGGTTGTATATATGTACACGCACCAAATGAGAATCCAGAGGACGCTGAGTAATGAAAGCATCTGGTACACTTACTCTAGCAACAAAAGTTTCTTTCCGAGAACGATTTTTGATAAGTGTATGGCGCACCAAGGTCGCAGAGTAGCTGGACCCAGTGCTTCTATCGACGTAGAGATGGTATCCCACTACCCATTGGCGATTAGTTTCGAGCGAAAAACTTGAGTGAAGTATCGTGAGCATGAGGAGACTAACACTTTTCCATGTCGGAGATGACAGCCTGCGCTTCTTTCTGAAATTCCCCAAGAATCTTCTCTAAGACACTATGTTAGATAGTCCGCTTCTGCCTTCGTCAAGGTTTCATACCGATGTCAACGCCTCTGCGCCCCTTTTTACCATCCTTTGTGACTCTGTAGCTGTCGTCCCGCTCTCTTAGTATCCGATCCCATAAGTAGGGTCCTTCGCGTTTAGGTCTGTAAGGCTTGGACATCAACGAATCCTCAAGCCAGTCGTAATTGACAATCTTGATTTTGAGTTGTCTGGCTCTCTCGACTGCAGGCTGTAAGAAGCTCGCTCTGTTGCTTGGGGGGTGGGGGGTTTATACCTGCTCCATTGTTCTCCATGGCTGACTCTGTAGCTATGAGATGTGTGACAGATTCATCAATCTCTCTCGAGTACTCGCCACCGTGTGCTCTGAGCCATTGCGGTATCTTATCGCTGTTTTTGTGCGAGCCCACGAAGGACGCCTTCACTTTTTTGAATCCGTTGCCCATTGTAATTTTGTGCAGTGAAATCACGTAGGCGATTGCAATTGCTATTGGAAAGAAGGCGGGAGAGTCGATGAGCGAGTCGCAATGACAGAGAGTACCTGGTTGATAAGATAGCGGTGATGGATGGGAAAGAAGATGGGAGTGTAGATGAGGAAGCAGATGAGGGAGCAGCTGGTAGTCTTGACGAGGGAACAGACGAGGACGAGAATGAGGGAATGGAGTAGGAAGTAGATGGGGAAGAGGATAAGGAAGTAGAAGATGAAGCAGTGAGGAAGTAGAGATGTCTCGGGGGTGTATGGTAATGTGGAAAAATGAGTCAAAAAGATGAATCAGATAACAGAAAGCAAGCTGAACAGGATTATAATGAAAAGATAAAATGGAAGATCCTACGGCTCAAGTTCAACCAACAAATCCTCAATTATGGGAGGAGAATAGCTACCTAGGAGCTCTACCTGAAGAGGCACTGAGTAGAGCTCACTTGCTGATTAACGATTGCCGTTGTATTGAGACGCCTCTCACTGGCCAAGGCATAGGTGAGATATTCGAAGCACCTCAGAGATGGAGTGAGTAGATTTAAGCAAAAAGTGAAATGAATCTAAACTTGGGAACGACAACATACCTAGGTAGGATGTGAGATGAAGCGAGATGGAAGAGAGTAGGTCTAGATTGGTAGGAGATTAGAGGATGGAGGTGATTTAATTCTATAAGTAACTTCTACATAAGTTTCCCAAGAATGAAGGCTACTTGAAAATAATAAAACGTCTTTTAGAGACCCTTTGCAGCTGCGACAAAAGACCGAATCTTATCGAGGTCTTGAGCGCCATTTGTCTCAACACCGCTACTAACATCAACACCAACTACCTTCGAGGCCGACTTGCCTAGATCTTTAATCACGTCTGCTACATTCTCGGGGTTGAGGCCACCAGCGAGAATAATACGAAGCCCATCGTTACTTTCAAGGTCTTTCTTCACAGATGACAAATCCAGCAATTCTCCTGAGCCGCCAGCACCAGAATCCAATAAAGGAAGTGCATGGTAAGCTTGAAGCGCAAGACTAGGCCCACCTGGACTAAATTTTCGAATCACAGGGACAGGTATCAAGCTAGCCCACTCGACAGGCTCATCTCCGTGTAGCTGAACGACATCCAGTTCTAATTTGCGCTGTTGCTCCAGAATGTACGACAAAGGTTGACCGGCAAAAACGCCGACGAGAAGCGCACGAGTAGGGTGACGGAGCAATTTCGCCGATTGTTCAAAATATATCGAAGCATCAGTATCAACCGTCTGATTGCTGACTGGGCGAAGTGTCGTCTTGACAACCTTCGATATTTGCAGAGCAACCCCATCGGGTACTGTCCTCTTGCGACCTTCAACCTGAATGATACCTATCAAATCAGCACCGGCCTCGATAGCGGCACGTGCTGCTTCGGGAGTCCTTGTACCACAAATTTTGACCAGAGGTGGTAAGTTTTTTGATGATTTTGAGGCTGTGTTTCCGCCGAGCAATTCCGAAACAAAATTCTCTGTGTTTTTCGCCCTCATCAGTGCCTCTCCCACCAAAATCGCCTTCACACCATCCTTCTTATATGCCTCTACATCGGCAGGKCCTGAAATACCACTCAAATCACAAACAATGGTGGTATCTGGAACCAAATCCATTAACCGGCTAGTAGTGCCCAAGTCGACTTCGAAGCTGGTGAGATCACGATTGTTCACTCCAATAACTTGAGAGCCAAGTTCAACGGCGATCTTCATCTCTTCTGGGGTGTTGACTTCGACTAATGGCTCCATTCCCAGACTTTGCGAATATTTGTACAGCCTAGTCAATAACTCGACGCTGAGCATCTTGACAATGAGCAGTACTGTATCAGCACCGGCAAGTCGCGCTTCAAGAATTTGATACTCGTCAAAGACAAACTCCTTTCTGAGAACTGCCGGACGGTTGGGAAGTCCTTCGAGACTTTGCCGTACGGCACGCAAATCATCGAGACTACCTTTGAACCATTCCGGCTCTGTCAAAACTGAAATGACGCTTGCACCAGCCACAGCGTACTTTCTAGCCTGTGCCGGTGCACAGACCGAAGCAGCGATGATACCTTTCGAAGGCGAAGCTCTCTTTATTTCAGCCATAAGCGCTAAGTTATACGGCGATTTTCTCAGCCTAGAAGGGAACGATATTTGTGGAGGTGCGATGTCGAGGTCGTAAGAAGCTTGGAAGTCTTCGGGGGTTTGCGACGGAATCAATTTCTGAGCAGCAACGGCCGCTTTTCGGTGCGCATAAATTTTCTCCAGGATGGATGTCTTCTTGTCCGGCTTGGTACCAGAGGAAACTGCAGGAAGAAAAGCTTCATTCTCTTTCCAGGTACCAGCACGCAACTTCAAGAAGTTTCGAAACATCGATCTTCCATGCTCTGTCAAGATACTTTCCGGGTGAAATTGTACACCTTCAGTCGCATATTCTAAGCTGATTGTTAGTCCATAATGTTTGCGCATGGTCATCATGGAAACCTACCCTTATGTCTGCATCCCATGATAATGGGGTTTCGACCAACGTCAATGTTCGCCCAAGAAGACACCTCCAGTGATTCTGGAAGAGTAGGGTGGGTCCCGGCAAGCGAGTGATACCTGGTGATATTAAGTGAAGTAGGAAGCCCAGTATACACTCCCTTCGAGTCGTGAGTCAACACCGAAGTTTTACCGTGCAAGATCTCGCCAGTAACATCGACCTTGCCGCCGAAAACGGAAATGATGCATTGATGCCCCATACAAACACCAAAGACTGGTATCTTCCCACTGAAGTATTTGATGGCATCTCTGCTAACACCTGAGTCGGTTTCAGGGTGGCCCGGACCAGGACTTACAACGAGCTGGGTGGGTTTCTTTGCAATCAATTCCTCCAAGGTGATCTGATCATTGCGAACGACTGTGACTGTAGCGCCCTCCAGAGCCAAGTATTGGTATACATTCCAAGTGAAAGAGTCGTAGTTATCAATGAGCACAACGTTGGAAGCAGAGTCAAGTTTCTTGACCTCCGCAGGATGGTGGGGGGAATAATCAACGAGTCCGTTCTCCATTTCTGCCGGTTGAGGGTTGAAATACTAGGTTTCTCAGATGTTAGCTATGAGGATTAGAAGCGCAGTTGAATTTGGGTTACCTTTCCGGCTCTGCTTGCTTGCGATTAGGGCAAGACCGGAGTGAGTCACGAATTCGCCTCTGCGGTGAATTGGGGTGAATATGGAGCAGTATTGCTAGGGCCAATGTGTAGATGCCCGTACGTTGCAAACTACCAATTGCAACTGAAATTGGTGCAACAACAAATCAGCAGTCGTACAAATTTGTCGCCAAAGAAGGATTACAGCTAAAGTCACAAAAGATGTCCTCCCAAAAGATTGAGAAGGAAGGTGGGATATTTCCGAAGTGGCGCTAAACCCAATAGGGGTTGTCGCGGTTTCCTGGTGGAATTGTTGCGGCGGCAGGAAGCTTCGTTTTTAGCTCATTCAAGATCTGATGCACCACTTTATTTACGCCTGACAGAAGCTCTCGCCACCACACACCTCAATCATTTCGCCTAAAAACAGTCACCACTAGCTTCTTCTTCTCTATTGGGCTCACTTCGAATTATATGGTTTCTGGATAATGATATAGCTGATTCAGTAATGGCTCCGGCTCCGGAAGCCTATTTCGCGTCCCTGGACAAGTGTTTCTCTGGGGACGCACAGCTTTTGTAGGGATGCCTAGGATATAACAGATTGTGTGATACTCGTGCTAATTTGAATAGGTCTTGGAGACGAGTTTTTCTTGCTCTGACATCTCCACCAGATAGCAGCAATGACGCCGACTACATAACGTCTTTCCTATCACAACCCGAAAGCGTCCGTTTGCTTTCAAATTGCTTCACACCGTTCGAATCACCTTCCGCAAAATCCAAATCCGAATTTGAATCCAAAACAGCCGCGATTCATGTTGATACATCGCCCCAAGCAGCTTATCAGATAGACGAGATCAAAGCTGATACTCTATGGTTAAGCCAAAAGGCAGGCATCGACGAGGTAGCGGCACTCCGAATCATAGTACAAGAATGGCAGACCAGACCAAACGCCCAGCTGCTGGGAAGATTTTCCGAAGAAGAAGCGACAAGCCTGCAAGACGCAGCAAGTGTGGATAGCTTCCGTGTGTCTCTAGCTGGCCCTCAACTAAAAGAGGTCTTGAAAAAGGCTCATGGGGGCTCAGAGAAAGCATTTTTCTCGGAGAAATCGAGACGAATACGGATACAGAATATCTATTTGTCGGAAAAAAGTCATATTGTGAAAACTTCGAGGAAATTGCTAGGCGCCTTTTTGCATGGGAAGGTTCCGGCCGATGTTCGTCTTGTACCGCTTACACATGATGCTGAGCAGTTTGTACGGAAGGACGGCCTCGCGCGTTTAGGAGAGCAGCTTTTCAAACCTAGATCAGGAGAAACTGAGAGCATCCGCTTTCTGCTTGATGCGATCAAAGCCATCGAGAAACGTCTGAGCGATTTCCAGACGGAAGGCGGATGGCTGTCTGCTGCCGAGAGTAATTTTGATACAGAGAATTTTTGGCGAACATCGCTTGTTGACGAGGTTGTGCACGTTATGCAGATCATTTATCTGCATGTTCAGTCTTGTGATGTGGTGACCAGTGGAGAGGTTGTTTTGGCTTGGTTGCGGCTCATGGCCGAATACAGCTTCATGGAACCTGTCAGCCCAGTAAGTTTCAGCAAATTACAGTCCACGAAATATCTTCTAACGTTCTTTTTCTTCAGCCATGTGAGGACCCAATAGTACTCAGGCTCTCGCTACAGGTCCTCGCTTCGGCCACGACACTTGGTCTATTGAAACTTCCTGAATCTTTGGCACTCGTCCTGAAGAATGGCAGTCTGTCGCAAGAAGAGGCTTTGTCGGGGTCCAAGCCATACTTCTTATCCCGAACGCATATTACCGAGATCAATGAGGTCTTGCTCAATGCTATTGACATGGGAATATTGAGTGCCAGTCCTGCAGCCTTTGCCTGGGGAGCAATACTCTATGCAATGCGAGAAATCGCAMAAGCCGCAAAAGACACTCGAGAAATGGAACAATTCCATAGCGCAGTCGACTCATTCCAATCCAATCAACCTACAGCAGCTGTGGCACGTTCACTAGAGCAGACCTTTTATGAGGACCTACTGGATATGGCGCGAGTCCCGGCCTTTGGAGATGATTACGTGGGTGTGTTAACTGTTGGGGCCATGGAAAAAGGCCAGGTATTCGAAGTGATCAACAATATTGCCTCCAACGTCGGCTCAGTTTCCGCCATCGATGATCTAGTTATAGATTTATGGATTCGCAATTCTTTGATGGGAATTATCCGGGTGAGCTCACATGTGACTGACTATTCTCCGGAGCTGGTTGCGGCAACACTTTCGATTTTAAATGCGTCAAAAAACACACTACAAGCGCAGAAAGCAGACCACATCACCCAGCCAAGTGATCCCCGTTTTGTTTTCCTTCACGACGAGGATCTCATGAGCCGAATTTTCCACATTGCCCGATCTCGCTTTCCGTACGAATCCATCCCATTTCTACAGTTATGTCGGGCCCTGGCTAGCAAGGATCAAATAAACGGAAGCGGTCCTGTTCGAATATTGAATGAGCTTGATGCTATGGAAACTTTTACTCAGATGGTGTCACCTGACTTTCAAGGTTACGAGACGATACGTGAAGACGAAAACGCAAATTTTGTTTCCCTTGTCCAGCCGATTCCCATGATCGCCTCAACTTTCGCGAAACTCACTGATAATACCGATGCACAGACGGCTCTTGTTGTTGCGAGCTCTTTGCAGCTTCAGCCAACAACAACCGGCCAGGTAGTTTCGGAGTCGAAACCAGCTGTTATTATGTGGTATCATAATTACTCTAGCATAACTTTTCTCGGTAGCTGGCTGGAGGAGTGGGCGAACAAAGGGGGTCGTATGCCTGACTCGGACGATGAAGCCATTGCCGAAATCATTGGACTGCTCACTGACCTGATGGCTGCTTGTCAGCTAACCGACGACGAAACCGGGCCAAAGAGGATACTTGAGATGGCCAGTGAAAGCCTGAATGAACGCAGTGACATTGTGTCTGTGATCATTAATATCTTGGAACGAAGTTTGGAGAGTCCTGGAGCACAGTCTGGCACCTCCGACTCGCTTGACATTACGGTTGCCTGCATGCGATTTCTTCGAGTTCTTGTTACTTTCATGCCCAGTCGCACATGGCCATTTTTATCTCGGAGTAGCTTGTTAGGTCCAGGTGGTAAAGGCAGTCGTTTTTCGGCGATTGTATCGGCGAGCGAGGTGACTTCGGGCAATTATCCTTTTCTTCTCAGTTGTGTTGATCTCTTCGAAGCCATTGTGGAAGACGCTATATCGAATGCTGCAATACGGAAGATAACAACACGTACAGTTTTCAAAGCAGCAGACGCATTCGATCGAAGCGCTGGCGTGCCTTCTCATGTCATTAGCAAGGTATTGTGCAACTTTGTGCGTTCAATGATTGAAGTATACAACAGTTCTGGTAACTGGCGCTTCAATCAGCCAGAGCAAAGACTTCAAGTGGACGCTAGTCTAGCCCGAACCTTCGAGAGGATCATCTATTTCACATATGGTATTGATGAAACGGACAGCCACCAGACTAAGATCACAGCAATCTTCCAAGAATCAGCCGATTACATACTTGACGTGCTGCGACCGCAGTCGAAAGAAGAATTGCCACTAAATCCTGTTCTGCGCATTATCCTAGGTGGCTTACAGACCCCGACTAGCACTGTCTATCTTCGCCAATTACAGCATACCGAACGCCAGTTGATTACTACACTTGACTTGGCTACTAGGTTGATACAAGCAGCGCAGTTAAGTGGTTCTACTATGTCTCTTCTCGAAGATCAGCTCTTCAAAGCAGCTCCCGTTCTTGTAAAACTTTACAGCTGTCATGACCAATTCCGTCTACCTGTCGTGACTCTTCTGGAACTCCTACTTACAAAGGCAGCTTTGGATGGAGAAAAGGAGCCTGCATCCTTCCTTGGCCATCTAGGCTCGGAATCAACCTGCCTTTTCTTGGATGTGCTCGCGCAATTTGATAGACCCCTCCCTAACTTGACCCTGCTAGTGTCAATATGGCGACTGCTATCTACATTCGTCGGTAAGCGTCAGCAATGGGTTGCTATCTATTTGCTTACAGGAAGTTCGCCGCGCGATTCAATGAAGCTCCGCAATGGCAACGAGAAAGCATCCAGAATGCGAAACACCCCATTCCTCAAAACGGCACTCGATTCTTTGGCAAATATCGACCATCTCGAACCCATAATTTCATTATCTCTCCTCGAATTCATCTCCTGTGCGCAGGAACACTGGCCCTGGGCAACACCTCAGTTGGGTAATCACTCAAACTTCTTCAGCTCGATTGTCAACTACGTTTCTCATTTAAAGATTGCGAGCGAGTCAGTCACGACTCAAATCAGCTTGATTCAGATCGCTGCTATCACAGCCAATTTGTGTGCAATCTACCTGCATTCAGCAAAGGAAGCTCGCGATAAGACTTTTGTGAAGATGCTGGTTCCGTTGGTCTTTTGGTACGCCGAAAATGCTGTCGATGTCTCTGGGTACAACGCGTCGCTTCACGCCAACTTGAAAAAGAACTTTGAGATGAAATACGCCGGGTGTCATCTTCAGCAGTTTAAACGAACAGTTCTAGAGATAAGACCATTGGGCAAAGGCTATTACTATGATTTATACTTGGCTGATAAGTTACTCTCATACGACTTTTCCTGGAGAGGGAAAAAGGACCAGGGCTTTGCAAGCGAGTTTGAACGGGCTAATCTCAACCTTTCGGTGGTTGAAGCACAAGTAGTAAGTTGTCCTATCCAAAGACTTTTATAAAGATCGCATTGCTGAACACATTCCTGCAGACTCTGTTTAACAGCTGGAAGTTCTTCGCCATTGAACATGCGTCAGACTTTAGTCCAGACCAAGAGATTCAAAAGTCAATGGCGTTGATCGTGCGAAACTGCCTACTTGCGAATACGCGCCCGACTCCTGAAGAACCTATATTTTCCAAGCTACAAAAGTCAAGAGTGGATTTTGCTCTTTCAATGCTCCAGCGTTTGGTCGAATTCGGCGCCGAGGGCCCTGAGATGACTGGGTTATTAGCGGTTGTATGGGAAGCGATGCGTGCATGTGGCACTACCTACGAGAACGCTCTAATCCATGATAATACTGACTACTACCGAGGTCTGCTGAACGTTCTGTTCCTTGCGCTTCAATTTCATGTCTCAAAATCACGGTCGGCTGCTGCTGAACCCGCGAACAAGAAGAAGAAGTTCGATCTCTCATCTGATCTAGCCATTGTGCTGGAGGTGATCAAAGTCGTGATAGCCCAAGGCTTCCGCTCCCTTACAACATACTTGCATGATGAACCGCAGCGCTGCTCGCCAAAAGACTTTGCCATCATTACGGCGATTTTACAGACGGCTCTACGGGTCAAGGATGCTGAACGGCTGTACGAGCACATCGTATTCCACATTGAGGACAATGATACGGCCAGATACGCAACGACTCTCTTCTCATGGGCAGACCAATTGACTGTTGAGGGCGATCCAGTTTACGGAGAATTGAGCATCATATTTCTTGTCGAACTCTCAGCTATTCCTATGCTGGCAGAGTACTTGGCTGTAGAAGCAGTACTCATGAAGCTCTCTACCAGCCGTTTGACTCGAATTCTCTCACAAGCCAAAACATTCGGCCCATTCGACCCAGTACCTCGCCTATACGCTATTTGGAGGGAAGGGTTTTTGCCTCTTTGCCTTAACCTTCTCTTCAACGTCAGTCGCGCCGCACCCGAAGTAGCGGCATTCCTCAATCAATTTGAAGGACGACTGACCCGTGCGGCTGAATCATTTGCAAGTATACACGCAGGCACAGCGTCGTCGGCTTCATCTCAACCCGAGAAACGGATCAGTCTTTCAATGGCATCCGAGGCGTATTCATTATCCCTCATGTCCTTCATCCTCGAGCGATACCGAGCCGCCGGACCCAGCGCGGGAGTCGACAGTCAGGCGATTCAGGATTTGAAATGGGACAAATCACAAATCAAAGAGGATATTGAGGAATTACTTAGTCGTCGATCTAGTTTACGTGCTCGCATGGTAGCCACTAATGAAACAGAAGCAGAGCTGGCACGTCAGCAACCTCTTCATGCATCGTCCTCGGGCGCCGAGGATCGTCTTGAGGAGAAGATTGTGTATGAGTTACGAGCTGCATTGACGTGCCTATCGGGGTCGGATGAGGCATAGATTTGCTATGTATTAAGTGTTTGAAAAGTGGAGAGTAGGAAGAATTTCATGGCGTTGATCTTTGTTTATTGTTGTTGTGCCGGTGATGGTGTCATAGCGAGGATATTTGATTCGAATCTTGAGTTACTTAGTTACATGTGCTAGATAAGGTTATGAACTTGAAAAGCGAGATTTTTTTTTTTGATTGTTAAGTCGAGAGACATATTCGACTAGGGTTGATCGTACTACGTATCATCGTAGACTGAGAGCTTACTTTGGCAATACTGGGCGAGAGGATACATTCTCCTTTTCAAGGCAAAACTACAAGGAACCAACCTCGCACAGGGTGCCATCAGACGGCCTCGCATTGTTACACATTGCACCCGACAAACAAAGGAGAAAAGTAACATGACTCTCTGTGTGCCATGTGGAATGCCTTCAAACCTTCTAGTGTCTTCCTCGGCCATACCGCATCAGTAAACATTACTGTAGTGTACCTCCGGCGGTCCTCCGCTAGATCGAATCCGGAGAATACCAAGGGTCGCCTCTCCACACTGGCTGATTTGACCCAAGTCAAGCCAATCATGAGTCGTCTCGGTAGTCAAACGATGCGATCCCCTCTGTTTCATCCGTCCAATTGGTACAATTCGGTGCTAATTGGGAGTGATGCTACCCATAAGGGCCACCAACCCCTGACACCATTTCGGGGCACTAGACTAGACTAGACCTAGTCCAATGGAGACGTATCGAACTATCGAATTCTTGAAATTAGTTTTGCATGATTCAGCTGCCAGACATACGATAGTCCACGTCTGTATCGGAAGAAGGTCCACTGTCCGTTGAATTGCTCGATAAGCAACTAATTTGATTGTGGTTGTTATCGTGCTTTGGCATTTGCTGAGGCTCATCCGGCGTGCCCGACAAGTTCTCCGTAGCGCTGGCGACAGCTCGTGACTTGCAGCATGCTGGGTCATTCCGGGCATGTCTCGTCTATGACTAACAACTCAACATAGCTATATTATGGTCGCTATACTACGATACTATGATATACTATAATATACTATGATACTATCATCATACGATATTCGTACTTGACACACTGGTGTCGCTGCACCGAACATTCTTCGATTCTGATACGATGTTATGGGGGCCACTGATACTGGGCCATGCCGTTCTGGGCCAAATGTGGCCAATCGCCTCTGATAGAGCTCCGTCGTCGATCTGCTCGCTGCATCGCCATACTCCCCCCCCCTCCCCTCCTCTCCTTATTCCTCTTCCTGAAGGGATTGGGCCTTTTTCTCGAACAGACGACGTACCAGGCATTCGGAGGGTCGTTTAGATGGTTTGGCGGAAATAGTGTTACTAACATGAGTATATGCCTGAATGAAGCATGATTTAGTCGACGAAAAGGTAAGCTAGCACGGAGAAGAAATGCGAAACATTTACATAGTAGTCGCGGTATTTGATCTGTATTCGCCGGTAATCCAAGAACCCTTTGATACCGCGTGCATAACCTAATTCCTGCTTACCAACCAATCAGAAGTGCTAGCCGTCTTTTTTGTCCAACTCTGCCGACTAGTCAGCCAATAAAGCTACGCGCTACACTTCCCGAAAAGGACTACTGCTGTCCTAGACCGCAAAACGGGGCCTGTAAGTTACGCAAGTATGGTACTAGTACGTACCACCCTTTTTTCGTTGTCCCTTTCTCCTCTCGCCCTCCCTCTCCTTTCCCGCTGCTACTACGACTGCAACTCTACTAGGGCAGCCCTTTTCTTCTCTCCTCCCTCCGAACATCACATCACTCAATCCCAATCAACCTGGATCGATCGTTTTCTACCCCGGAGTCGATTTGATCGTTGCTGTGATTTCTGTCCAATACATCATACCTCGATCGTGTCCTTTCTTCTTTTCTTTTCTCTTTCCTTGCCAGTCATTCGACTATTTGCTTTAGCTCGATCCCTTGATTTGTCGAGCCACCGTTTCTTCTCACCCTGTCAGGAGAAAGCCAGACACGTCGTCAATCACTTATTATTATTAATCTCCCTCTCTCTACGTCGATTTTCGATCCTATCAATCATTGGGCTTTAGCAGAAACCAGGGTGGTGAGTTCATCCTCCGTCTTGTTTGTTGTCGACTCCTTATTGCACCCGTCTATTGTCCGGTCGCTCGTTTGACATCCCAAACGAATCCATCGCTGCCTCTTTGGGAGACCTGAAACAAGTGCTACGTACCCAGGAGCCGTTGATTCGGACCACAATAAACTTTCGAGTCTCGTGTTCCTGCCGTCTCAGTCACGTTCATCTATACTTTCTTCACCCTTCACTCGCACTTGACGATCGCTCGTTCTTTATCGTATCATCTAACACAACCCAGTTCTGCTAGGAAGCCATCATCAACCACTGTCTATCTACACCTCTTTTGACGAATCAACGAACAAATAATCACAATGGGTTGCGGAATGAGTACCGAGGATAAGGAGGGGAAGGCGCGCAATGAGGAGATTGAGAACCAGCTCAAGCGTGATAAGATGATGCAGCGCAATGAGATTAAGATGTTGCTTTTGGGTGAGTCCGACGTCCACACGGCTCTTGAGCCAGTCATACTGATAAACCATGCCAGGTGCCGGTGAATCTGGAAAGTCTACCATCTTGAAGCAAATGAAGCTCATCAACGAGGGTGGCTACTCTCGCGATGAACGGGAATCGTTCAAGGAAATCATCTACAGCAACACTGTTCAGTCGATGCGTGTCATTTTGGAGGCCATGGAGTCCCTTGAACTTCCTCTCGAAGACCCCCGCGCCGAATACCATGTGCAGACTATATTCATGCAGCCTTCCCAGATCGAGGGTGACAGCCTTCCCCCTGAAGTTGGTGGTGCCATCCAGGCTCTTTGGCGCGATGCCGGTGTGCAGGAGTGTTTCCGTCGCTCCCGCGAATACCAACTCAATGATTCTGCCAAATAGTATGTCGACTACTTCTCTTGCATTTACCGAGTCTAACTTTACTAGCTACTTTGATTCCATTGAGCGCATTGCTCAGCCCGACTACCTCCCCAGCGATCAGGACGTTCTCCGTTCTCGTGTMAAGACCACCGGTATCACTGAGACCACCTTCATCATTGGCGACCTCACCTACCGCATGTTCGACGTCGGTGGTCAACGTTCCGAACGTAAGAAGTGGATTCACTGCTTCGAGAATGTCACCACCATTCTCTTCCTTGTCGCCATCTCCGAATACGACCAGCTCCTCTTCGAAGATGAGACCGTCAACCGTATGCAAGAAGCTTTGACCTTGTTCGACTCGATTTGCAACTCGCGTTGGTTCATCAAGACATCCATCATTCTCTTCTTGAACAAGATCGACCGCTTCAAGGAGAAGCTTCCCGTCAGCCCCATGAAGAATTACTTCCCCGATTACGAAGGTGGTGCTGACTACGCTGCTGCTTGCGATTATATCCTTAACCGCTTCGTTTCGCTCAACCAGGCCGAACAGAAGCAGATCTACACACATTTCACATGCGCTACGGACACCAACCAAATCCGTTTCGTCATGGCAGCCGTCAATGGTTCGTTCACTTTCTTTTCTTGCTTGAATACATTTTACTAACTCATTATAGATATTATCATCCAAGAGAATCTCCGTTTGTGTGGTTTGATATAATGAACCAGCCATTGTAAGATATTATGGCTATCGACGTCGATGTTTAGAACTGTTACATGAGATTTTTCATTTCTTCCCTTCTTTCTGCATATTTTTATTCCCTTTTTTGTTTTCCATCATTCTATTTCTTTTCTTAATTGCGTGATACAAAACTTGGCGTTGAGACGTACTTCTTCGAGGCTTTATCCATCTTCTTGTGTCTGTTTATTATTTCCTGCAATGAGCTTCGATGTATCATCTAACCAAACCCCAACCAACTCTCATCATTCAGCGTACTCTTCAAACCGGACGACAGGTGGAAAAATTCAAGCTGGTTTGATCATGTCATTTTCGATTAATGGATGTGCATATCATTTCTCTTTCTCTTTTCTCTCTCTCGACAATACAATCACTTCCTTTTTCTTTTATTTGATGTTTACCTGACTATACCTCTGTGTTTCTGATCGTTTCTAGTCTACTTTTAGGAAGGTGAAAATGAAGATTGGTTCCGGATTGACTCTTTTCAAACATCCAGCTTTAACAATAGTCTAGCCATGGCTCTACAATGTCTGTGTGCTGGGTATTTTCAGGATTTTCGTTTATTACATGTAGGCAACATCCGGCGAACTGACATTACGTTTGATCTGAACGGTCACCTTCCTTCTGATTAGGTACTGAACATCGAATCTAGTTACGTCCAGTCAATCATAACAAATGAGAAATCTCCAAAGCCCCTTCGCCCACCTCGCTCGTGGCCTTCCACACACAACCAATCGACCAGCTTTCGGCACATGGCAAAGCTAACACGACAGCGCGAAATAGTCCTCTACCCCTACTAGACCCGCGACCAAGTCCTCGTCTTCACCGACTTTCCTGAAAGCCAGGCTTCGAAGCTCAGCGACGAGGATAATGAAGAGCACCAAGCTTGCGCACTTGTGTTACGATGAGACCTCATGGATCTTGATCATCAAGATCATGGCTAAGGTGTAACATTGTTTGGCCTCGGGATGTGTTTTACTTTGGATAGCTCTCGAGCTTTGCACGATGAATCTCTATGAGACGCTTTGCCCAGTTGGTGCTGCAGATGTGTATATGGGCCTGTAGAGAAAGGGCCCTGAGGGAACCTGGGAACCTGTTGGGAGGGATCAGCCATGGGCTGCTCTTGAGATTGGACTGTATGAGTCGGTGCGGCAATTGTCGCTTTGTGCTCGTGGATGGTTGGAGACAACGGGCTCGCCAGTCAACGTGACTATTATCCTGATTGTTGATCGAAATGCGCCCAACATCACTTTTTTTTAATGCTAGGGGCGCTCGGGTAGACAGCGTGAGACTAGGAATTGGCATCGAGAAGCTATACCGGTCGAAACAGTCACGATGATTTGGTCAAATCATACGATCAATGTCTCTGGAGACTTGGATCTGCCACTCCGTGGATTCGTTGGCTGTGAATAAGATCCGGGAGAGTGCAATGGTGAGAGTTTTGTTTACTACTCGGCAGAACCTTTCCGAACCGGCAGAAGGTACAGGAATATCATTAATTCCGCTTCAATTGTATAATTCTAAAACCTCAACTTAGGCCCCAGATACACAATGGCTAACGCCACAATCCACAGCCCAAATATCCAAGCATACATCATCATCCTCCCCCACCATCCTCTTCCCTCTGTCATCCGTCTCAACACCCCCATCCTCTTCCCCGCTGCTTCCATTCCAGTCATATTCTTATCCAGCCCCTCAACGGCTCTGTTGAGGATCCCCTTTTCGTTCTCCAGGGACGTCTGGAATGCTTCGGAAGAGGATTTGAGTTGGCTAGCTAATGTTAGAAGGCTGGTAGTTAGGGATTCTTGTTCGCTGCGGTGGGTGGCGAGGGCTGTTTCTTTGGTGTCGATTGGTGGTGCTGTTGTTGCTGGTGTGGGTTTCGGAGCTAGGAATGTCGAGCTTGATGTTCCGCTGGCCATGGCCGCGGCTATTGATGTAGTTGCAGGAGCAATAGAGGTCTTATCGGAACGTCGTTGTCGTATTGTTGTTGTTTCTTCCGATAATATGAGATTATTCGACTCGAGCTCCGCTGCTGCTGCTGCGCCGTTTTCAACCGGCGCTAATCCCTCCCATATATCATCTTCCTCGTCAGCTTCTTGTACATCTTCCTCCTCTCTGTCTGCACTCCTTTCAACATCTTCTTTGATCCAGTCAAATCTCTCCTTGACTTTTTCGTATCTTCCTCTCTTCTTCGTGAGATCGGTTGTTCGTTCATGCCGTATCGCGGGCGCTTTAACTGCTGGTAATGAACGCTCAATTTTCTTGATAAGGGTTTGCGCATAGTCAATGTTCTAAAACAAATAGGTCAGTCAATGTCCTGGACCTTTCGATCGTGGGTAGTGATATGAGGCGAGGGGAATGACGTACAGCGCCTATTCGCACGCATTCAAGATGTGATTGCTGTGAAAGCTGACGTCCTGCTGAAGAAGATAGAAATATGTTTTGCTCCAGGCGGGCGAGTAGATTATTCAAGTTGATTATGTCGATTGTGTAGGTGTCGGTGTCGGAAGATGAGGGTTGTTGGTCTGAATGTATCGGTTGCGGTGGAGAGATGGCGCGGGCCATATTGTTGATTTTTCTCCTAATCAGGAGATTATTTTCGTTGAATCTCGTTCCAAGTAACCCCTCTGGTATCGTTATTCTTCACAGCTTGAATGGTATGTTGTCGCAATTGAAGATGCGGAGGCAAGTATACAAACGTAATGGTGGTCACTTAGCTTCGGCTTTAACCTCTGGTGGGTCTACGCTATACTTCCTTGGGAAAGTTGCTCACAGGTCACATGACTTTTTATGTTTCAAGCCCTAGCCCTATGGCTATGTCGGCCTTCGTCCGTCGAGCAACATAAAATTGTGACAAGCATGGGTTTTTTTCGCAGGCTAGTATTCTGCAGTTCAGGGATATTTGATTCATTTGTTATCTGGCTACATTGTTGCTCACACAAAAGAGGAACGGAACCTGAACTGCATACATGGACATGAAGCCCTAGCAAATACCCCCCCCCCCCTTCGTTCCATGTCAATTACACAGCCTTTCAGTAGACTAGTGCGAAAAGGATATTTACTTGACAAAGACTACAGTTCCTGTATCTCTGTGCTAATCTCGACACCCACATTTCGTAGTCGGTTGACGTACCTCTCTCCAAGACATGCAGGCGTATAGATCCCTCCAGTCAATCTGACAGACTCATCCTCTTCCAACATTGTAGCTGCTGCTTCTGCGAGGAAAGTAGCCGTCACTATAAAAACGGTGAGCTTCAAAATTTAGAATTCAGGGTTAGCTTGATCAAGGGTATAACTTACAATAGTACATACTCCCATGATATCTAAGCTTCCCCAGAACCTGCTTGTTTTCTTCGGTTGTAGGAACAGGTTTCCCAACAGCTTGTAACTCAATAACTTCGTCCTTGGCTTTTTTGGTATCCGGTCCATCACCCGGTTTGAAAACGAATCGTCTCACCAACGTCCGAACGGGTGCCAACAGCAGGAGATACCCACCTATCACAATAAAATAATGCATCAACATACCCCGCACAAAGCCAGGCGCATACATGAATTCCCTGTATGTGAACTTAGGCCCATAAAACTCCTTTTGTAGGTTGGGATCTTGCTTAAGTAAGCCCCAGGTACGGAAGACTATGGCTTCGTTGGCTTTGCCGGATATGCTGGTTGATAGGAGAGGGAGGCCTGGTACTTTGTATACTCCAGTGAGTGAGGACCAAAAAGATCTTTTGGGGAGTGGATGATTGTTCGGTTCGGGTGATAGGGCATATGGTTCAATCGACTGGAGGAGGGTCTTGAGGGGGTATTGGCTGAAGAGGTTCAAGATGGTAGCTAGTGTTCCGCCGGATGGAACAGAACTTTATAGTCAAGGTTAGCTGTTTCTCATGAAGTAAACATGGAGCAGGATTACGTCAACTGATGAAGATCCATCACGACATCTCCCACCTGGGACGAAAATTTGGACTTGACCTCCTCAGCAACTGCCCAGGTGAGTATGTCCGACGGCGCAGATTCCATGGCGCACTGGGGTATCATCCAAGCACCAGATGCCTTGGCTGTAGCTTCATACTTCTTGATCATTTCTAACGTCCATGGAACTTCGGGTGTACAATCGATGTAGTGTGTGCCGGCTTCAGCGCAGGCTTTGAATGCACATTCTCCGTGGAGCGCGTAGGGGCCGACTGTGGTAATTAGACAGAATGTCTTGTTCGCTAGTACAGAGATCTCTTCGTTATTGAGGTTGCATATTTCAATTGCTTACGTTAGGGTCAGTATTCTGATCTAGGATTCCACCTAGGAGTGACATATTGTACCTGGTTGGATCCGATGTGGATTAAGATCCTTGCATCGAGAGACGAGCTGTTTGAGCTTGTCTGCTGAACGACCAGCAACAGCCCATTTCAGACTTGATGGAAGATTGATCGTAATGTGTTCCGCTGTCATGTGGCCGGAATACCCTAGATAGACAGCGGGTCAGTACTAATCAAAGAGTTTCGGACTATGGTGGAGGGAAGAGATTACCTGTTGCTCCAAGCACGATAATATCATACTGACGGCCATGCTTTTTAGAGTACATTCTGCTTTTTGCTCAGTTATATCAAAAGCGTATTTTGATGGAAATAACTCTGTAATGTTTCTTGATCTATGGTACAATCTACACAAGAAGGTTATACGTACATACGGCCAGTGAATCAGCCTGTTTTTATATTGAGTCTTTCCAGGATCAAACATTAGCATTGACCTCGAATAATTCAAGCTCTACTTGTTAAGTATTTATCTTTCACATGTTGCGAGCTTGTTGCGAGCTGCACCTAAGATTTCTAACAAAAGTTTCCTGGCATGCACCTTGAAATCCAAAGCTTTATCGGGATAACATTAGGGTTAATCACACTTACACCTAGTAAACGCGGCACAATTCTTAGCCCCTAGTTCGGAGACTTTTTCCTCGCTGCTGTGAGAGATCGGGAGAATATAGAGACCGAACGTAAGACTGATTTTCCCGACGGTACAACTAAAATATCTTCTATGAAATTAATCAAATATAATGTAGTATTTGAGGATATCTCTGGCATAGTGGATAATCGAAACTTGGAAAATACGTAGGTAGATTAGTTGTAGAAAGAAAGTATGGGCTGTGACATGGTCAAATAAAAGGGCGTCAATTGCTGTCCGTAAGTCGAACCGTCGACTACATGAGTGTGTCTTCCAAAGCAATTTTGGAACAAAATGGCTACTGGGACTATGAAGCAATGGGTTCTGCATGGCAAAAGGGGCATCGACTCACTGATCCTTGAGGAAACACCCATTCCACAACCAGGGGAGAATGAAGTCCTCGTCAAACTGCATGCAGTGTCCCTGAATTATAGGGATTTGATGATTGCCAATGTGAGTACCACGTACCTTGCACCGACATTCGAAAGACTTGATGTACTCACTTATAATGCCAAGGGGGTATACTACTGGAAGCAATCCGACTCGGTCGTCCCTGTTTCGGACGGAGCAGGACAAGTCATCAGCATCGGCGCAAAAGTCAAACGATTCACACCAGGGCAACGTGTAATGCCCACTTTCTTTCAAGGGTATATCAGTGGCAACCTGACCGAAGAGCACATGAACTCAGCTCTAGGCGCATTACCCGACGGTGTTCTCCGCGAATATGCTGTCTTCAATGAAGACAGTCTCGTGCGTATTCCCCCCAGCCTTTCGTACGAAGAAGCTTCAACTCTACCCTGTGCCGGCCTTACAGCCTGGAACTGTCTATATGGATCCCGCTCCCTTCGGCCCGGCGACACCGTGTTAACCCAGGGCACTGGCGGCGTAAGCACATTTGCGCTCCAATTTGCAATCGCCGCTGGTGCCGAGACAATCGCGACAACAGGCTCGGCGGAAAAGGAGCTGCGGTTGAAACAACTCGGTGTACAGCATGTGATCAACTATCGCGAAGATCCCGAATGGGGCACAACTGCTAAACTGTTATCGCTCGATCAAAAGGGCGCCAACTATGTGGTTGAGATCGGTGGGCCAGGAACCCTGCACCAAAGCTCGCGGGCTGCTGCTGTAGGCGGCGAAGTGGCTATTGTAGGAATGCTTAGTGTAACGAATGGCAATGGCAAGGAAATTGCGCCTTGGAATCCGCATGCTGCTGCTCATAGTACCCGACGCATCGCGGTTGGTAGTCGATTGCAGTTTGACGAGATGAACAGAGCGATTGAGGTGAATAAGATCCGCCCGGTTATTGATCAGGTTTTTGATTTCAAGGAGGCCGCGGAGGCGTTCAGATATGTCTGGGACGGAAAGCATTCGGGCAAGGTTGTCATCAAGATTGCAGAGGATGGTTCGTCTTGTGTTTGATGAGGTCAGGAGAGCTTTTACGGCTTGAGCGCGAAGCCTCCTTCCTACTCAGGAAATTTTTGATTTTTAATAAAAATCGGTGATCTTTGCACCTCGTAAATGTCTCGTTGCGTCTAGATTGAGCCTAAAATGAAAAGTTGCGCGTCTCCTGTTGGAATCTTGATTATTTTCTCTTGTAGAGAAATTTATCAGTGAGATTTTATGCATCACTCATCAAAATCTCAAGGATCATGCCAGAGTGGTGGCGGTTCCGCCCTCATTCAAAATCATCTCCAATGCTTGTTAGTGATACGCATGTGGTGAATTCTTGTGTTGGATGAAGTGACAATTGTGGATATATCCTTCTGCATGATGAGGCCGGGGACGGGAGGGTTTTAGATACCATCTGACTTCCCCGTTGGTTGTTTACCACATGCAACATTGAGTGAACCGAGGGATGGGGTCGCACCTGACGGACTTCTTGTCGGTGGATTTCCAAGGTGTACGGAGAACATGTAAATAATCAGAACGAATTTTCGCAGGAAGTCCATAGAAGAAACGATCGCGTTCGCACCAATGATATTTGATTCGTTCCTTGGTCAATATTAGTGGTGATAACCTTGGAAAGAAAAGAAAGAGTGAAACGGAGGACATCAGGGAGCCATATATAAAATTCACTCAGATGTCCGAAGCTTTTGGTACCTAGCTAGTCACTTGTCAGTTTGTCGTAGTAGGCTGTCATCCTTGTATATCCTCCAAATTCAGTGTCAAACCTGGCGGACTTGTACGGAATGCACCACCGAGCAACGAAAAGCAAAAGCTTCAAGTCAAGGACCAACATGGCAAACCAGAACGTTGAGAGCATTTAAAGGGCATTGGTCGCGGCACAGACGCTCCGAAAAATGCATACTAATTTTAGGACTTGAGGATTTCTAGCCCAATACGAGTAAGTCTGTGCGTACCTTATAGGACACGCCAATATAGCTCGGATATCGGGACACATACGCAATTACTCAACAGGAGAGATCGATAAGACTAATACCTATATAATGCTTCGTCCACGAGCTCTGACGCTCGTCACGGTCCGCGAAGAACTCGTCGATTTAGTGACTCGCTGCGCACTCTCACTCGACGTCGACGACCGCGAACCATTTCTTTCCGTCTGGACGATATCCGACCCCAATAGTGTCGACGCTACCGTTGCAGGCGTTACTACAAAGGGTGTAGACAAATTGTGTCGGACATACTTCAACCTTGTCGGACCAATGGATACGCATCAGTCAATCGCGAGTATCCGTGTGGATATCCATGACGGTGGGAAAACGGCGCAGATCACCTGCACGACATTGGCTAGCATTTCCGTGCTGGTGATGCTTTAAAGAATATCCTGGGAGCAAATAATATCTTGATCGAACCTATGCATTATTTCAGGGCGTTGAAAGAAAAGGGACCGGGTGTGGAAGTTGCATGCATGGACTCTTGAACTGAGATTTACACAGGGCAAATCTGCTAATATGCCCAATCTGCCCGAGGCTACCTAGAAAGTTGAGCGTTCGCTGGAAGACATTTAAGCAGTGTTACGGAGAGGAAGCCAGGAGGCAATGGTATCACCGAGAAAAGTCCGTTAACCCTGGCCGTGTCGCACCGAACCTGAGTTAAAGGTTAATATTCGCAACAATCATGTCTTACAGGCTCTATCGACGGAGGCCGAATAGCGAATGTTGCCTATAGAAAAGAAGATTGGTTTGAATTAGGCTTCTGCAAGTCGGCGCAATGGTTCGTTCGGGGTGTGAAATTCATCAAGATCGATGGCTCACGTGTTTTTATCTTGCTGATAGATGCGCTTACTTGGATAAACCGTTGAAGTGATTCCTCAACCCCATCTAATTGAGCTTACTTGATTTCGCATGATACCGAGTGCGAACAAGGCATGCTGGATGTGGTCTTCTCACGCAGCGGCAAGTCGAAGGAAACCCCTATAGAAGGCCTATTAAGACCAAGAGACGTCGCAATTTCCACTGAGGTAACGGGGTAACCTGTCATGCTGGGTCACCAGCCGTGCGTAGCAAATGATACTTCAGACGCTGATGATTCAAATATGAGGCACAGCATGTCAGCATGTAGACGGTAATTCCCTTCGCCTGTAGACTTGAGTGAATGCCATCGTTTGCATCTCTGCCGCCAACAGGAAATTCAACGAAGGAATGCTGCTGCCTGGTTGAGTTTCACAGTGACTGGATTGAGGCGATATGATATTTCCAATGCGTGCGTAAGAGTGGGTAGGGAGTGAGGCGAGATTTACATAGTAAGTAGTTGAACTCTCTGAATCTCTAGACGTCGACAAGGTGGGTGGGTGGGTACCTGCGCCACAATCTGCCGTGAGACAAGTGGCGCTTGCACTGTACTTGCGCCACGGGAGATTCGGCCGCTTTTCATGTCTAGAAATCCCATTCTCATATGAAAGTATGCTCGGAAATTAGGAAGATACGTAGTAAGGACCTCTTTTGATCACTTGACATTTGCATTTGATGAAGCCAAAAGAGCAGCTGTGGACAAAGCATCAGGACTGGCGCAGCTGAAAGCCCCAGCCCTAGCGTCCAGCGTGTGCTGCGATTGGCCGCTCTCTCTTCCCCGGCTTTGGTAATATCGACAGCCCAATAAGCTGCTGCCGATTTTCATGCATCTTCATCTTGGATAATTTCCCATTGCTCATTTCTTTTTCGTCTTGAGAAGACTGGGATGGATCTCCACTGCAACCTGGTTGTACACTAAGAACTCTAATCGCGCAGAGTTTGATGAGCTACCAGGTTACCTGCTCCATTCCATCCATGGCTGAGCTGAACAATTGTCATTTGCGTCTCGGCACTGGCTTTGTCTCTTACTTCTTGCACTCTGTCTCAGACCCTCGCCTGTCTCATCTCTTGTCACGTCACGGCATGAGCATGGATGTATCATGTAAGTCCCTTCACTCGGGACCGGACTGCAGCGTCCAGATCACTTCGGTTCTTGGCCTTTACAAGCTTACCCCTCCGCCGTATCTACAAAATTGGGTTCTACTGTGATTGACCTCTAGGATTCGACTATCGATTTATCCACTCCTTAGCTTAACCATATATATTTGGAAATCATCCTTCTAGCTGACAGACTGACGTTCTAGAGTCTGAACTATTCATTTCCAGGCCGATTTTCGCCTTTACGTACTTTTCATCTCGGATATGCTTTCCTACGCCACTAGTCTAACCCTACTTACATACGTCTCCTCACCATCGCCTATCATGAACTCCGTACACTGTTAGGTGTTACTCAATAGTTCCGATCATTCGTTTAAGCTTTCCTACATGTACCAAGAATCTCAGATTGACTCCGAAAACCCAAGGGTAAGGTCAGCAACATGTGGGAAGGCTTATGGCAAAGCAATTTTCTTAGTAGTACGTAGCAAAAATCCTGTATCATTGCGGCTGTGGCGTTGGATGTCATAGCTGAAATCCACTCGATTCGTAAAGCGCCCCCCCTTCCCTTTCTTTCGGCCCTGTAGGTAGTTGGCTATTTTGTTTGGAAATAAAGAAGAGAATAAATATTGGCATATCCGGAGTTTCGCATTGGTGGTTGATTGTAGGAGTAGTATGGTTTGTCCCGCCAACCCGGTTCGTTGTAGGTCTCGGGACATATAAGTCAAGCCTTCCACCAAGCATTGAAATACAAGGCTTATATTACAAGTTTTGGGAACTGCTCCTGGATTCGAAACGACTGTACCATAGAGCTAGGATTACTGCAATTCAAACTTGCATACTTTTTCGCCTCCAACTCGCTAGTCACAGCTTCCACTCCACAAACCAACTGGCTGCATTGATTGAAAGAGGACGAACCATGTCTCTGGTCTACCTGACGCGGAATCGTTAAGCAAAGAGCGAGGGAGGCAATCCGGGATCTCAAGAGTGTTCCCCGGTGAACCTTTCGCCTGCATTTCATCTTGTAGAGACAAGAGATCTCCGAGACCACACTCAGGCGGCGAGTTTTCGCCAACATAAATTAGGGCTAAGGGCATCCACACGGAATTTAATTCTACTTTTGTCAGGCGGATTGTGCTGCTCGGGAATGCATATAGTATCTGCATAAGCAGAGAAATCAACAGACCAGAAAGAAAGACGGGCTGGGAAAAAATCAGACGGCAAGAGGCAGAAAACATGAGTCAATCACAACAGTCACGCGGGGAGGATGAGGATGAGGATATGCATGAAACGACACAATATGACCTCCAAAGTGAAGAGGATATCACGAGGCATGAGTCATCACCAACGACAACACCATTATCGTTCTCAATAACGAAATCCCCTTCAGCTGCCGACATACTACAGCCATTATCGACGCTTGCAGCGCAGCGCTCATTCCCTTTACCGACTAGTGGGTCACTTGCATCGCTAGCGAGAGGGCACCAACGCGATCCTGCAGATGGGAGGCGAATCGATCACGATTTTGCATCTGCTACAAGCGGTGCTACTAGTATCAGTACTGGCACTGGCAGCAGCTGGATGCATGAGCGGCTGCTCCAATCGGATTCCACTGTCGACGCCACAACCACGACTGATCTTGACGATGTTGGTGCTAGTTCTATTACTACCAGTGCAGCGGTGCGAGATTTTACGACTATGGTATGGGCATCTTCGACGGCTGCGGCAGTAGCAGAAGAGACAAAAGAGGCAGCAGAATCTACGACGGAAAGCAAGCCGATACATCGCAGCGTTTCGGCATATTCTTCTTCTCCGTTCTCGTCACCTGGCTCTTCGCTCGTAGAAGGATCTTCAGGCCCTTTCGAAGAAGAGCAAGACGACCAAACCATCTTCCTGTCTCCATTTGCATCGATATTCCCCGACGGAGCGAATACTATAACTCCATTGTTTCTACAAAGATTTGACGACGACAGCAACAACGACGACGCAGCAGATGCAGATCAGCGGACAATTCTCAAGTATAGTGAGTCGATACAATTGTTCCGTAGAAGGCCCGAGGATGGGGGAAAGACGTGGAAGAGGCGTGTGTTTGAGTATCGTTGATTGATCGAGTGAGTGATTGATTGAATCCGATGCAATGCATCTTTCCGAGGTACCTACCGCACCGTCCCTACTTAGTGTGGGACTTTCCAAGGGTCGGCGTAACCATCTGGTATACCAAATGGCTGAAAGTAATGAATAATGATCATGCGCATGTTCCAAGGTTATTGGGTTGGTTTTTGTTATATAAGTGTTTCTTTTCTCTTGAGTTCATCTTGTTTTTCCATTAGTCATATCATTAGAAGGTTAACTAGTCGGCCCTAAAGCTGGAAATGTCAACATTGCGAATTGGCTCGGAGTTCTAACGATCCATGGTCGGCCATTCTATCAGCCCCGCCATTTCAGAACTGAGAAATTAATTCTTAGCTCAACACAGAGAGGACTCAGAAGAGAGAGAAAGGATCGACGTCGCTGATCGCCCAAAATAGCGCGATCTCAGTCTGTATCTCGGCCCTTTGATTTTCCGGCGCATGTGGTCGCTGCGATTGGCTCATCATGGTGATTGGTCGAAATGATCGGCTGCAGTCCGATCCCTTGGGCTTTTCTTTCCAATACATCCTCCTCATTCTCAACCTGGATTGCTCTTGTACAGTGTGAATATATACAAGGCAGACGTATCATCAAGAATGTCTTATGAAATGCACCACATTGGCGGTCGTGGTAGGTCAATTGTCTTCTGTCTCTATCTCTGCCTTTGAGACGGGCAACTAACTATGCATATGCGCAGCCTTCAATCACGACCAATCCAGTCAATCCGAAGAAGAATACGACCGCCTGCGAGGCCTCGCGCGTGAAGAAGCCAACAAGCGCAACAACTGTTTTGAACGGGTATTCCCCCTACCATACCCTCCCTCAAAATTGATACTAATCATCGTATGTGGTCTAGAGTAAACAAGCCTACGAAAACGGCGATGGAGCCCGCGCCAAACAACTCTCGGAAGAAGGCAAAGAGCACGGTCGCCGCATGCAAGACTACAACAAACAAGCCTCCGAATTCATATTCCGCGAAAACAATGCTTCGGGTAGAGTAGCGGAGGACACGATTGATTTGCATGGCCAGTTTGTCGAGGAGGCAGAGGATATTCTCGAGGAGCGGATTAAATATGCGCGTCAACATGGGCAGACGCATTTACACGTGTACGTCCTCTACACCCTTTCCTCAATTTTGAATCTGCAAATTATTGATGATGATGATGGTATAGGATCGTCGGAAAAGGGAACCACTCCGCCAACCACGTGCAAAAAATCAAACCCCGAGTTGAACAAGTCTGTCGCGAACTGGGGTTGCAATATGCTACTGAAGAGAACGCCGGGAGAATGTATATCAATTTGACGGGTGGTCCGGCTGAAATGCCGCCTTACCAACAACAACAACATCAACAACATCAACAACAGCACCAGCAACAGCCCCATTACGGCGGTGGTGGGTATCCCGGTCAACAGCAACAGCAACAGCAGTATGGCCAGCAATATGGCCAGCAGCAAGGACAGCAACAGGGCAAACAGGACGATATCGAGGCACTTGTTGAAAAGGTTCTGCCTAGGGTGTTGCGGAAGCTTGGTGATTGTTGTATTGTTATGTAATTTACGATGTTGTGATACCCTATTGTGTATCTTTTTGCTGTTTCCGGTCTGTGTTTGGCTGGATGATTGTGAAATACACTAATGATATATGTAGATTTTTCTAGTGCTTACGATCTTCTGTAGGGAGAGTTGTCATAGCAGAGGGGTATAATGGATTGCTAGTCATAAAGCGTTAAATCTGCATCTGGATACAATAAAAGGTAAGAATGTCCAAAAAAAGAAAAGCCCATCCAACTCAAGAAGACGAACGACCGTGAGTATAAATACAGAGGAATCATACTGCCCGCTCTTTATCCTTGAGCGTCACTTCAGTGATCTTCTCCAAAATCTCTCTTACATATCGCCCATCTCGCGGACTGTCCGTTGCTTCGATCCCATCATGGATACCGTCCATTTCATCAATCAATTTCGATGCCTTGTCGCGTAGTTGCGAGACAACTTTCTTGGTGTGCGCAAAACTGCCGGTGCTTTCCATGTAGTTGACCGCGTAAAGTTTGACTTCTTCGTCCTTGGTTTTTTGCTTTAGGATGTTGATCAATTGGACATTCGATGGGTCGGCGCGGATGCTGTGGATGATGGGGAATGAGAATTTTCCTTCCGTCAGATCCTCGCAGAGACCTTTGTTCTTGTTGTATGTTTTATCTGACAGGTTGAGGTAGTCGTCGCAAATTTGGAAGATAAGACCGAGTACGTTGACGAGTGGGACACAATCTCTGTTTATTATTAGTAAGATACTTAAGATCTTCAAAACCTTCAAATTTGACGTACTTTCCAGTCTCACTCTCTGCCTGCATCAGCTTGACAGCCAGTCGAAAGAGGCCCCCAGTCTTGTTATCAACCATCTCGAGATACTCCTCTTCAGTGGGACAGGTCAAGGTGTCTCTCCAAAACAAGTCCATGCCCTGCCCTTTGTGTAGATTCAATAACTCCTCGGTGTAGATTTCCATGGCCGCAGGACTGTTGAGTTTTCGGACTTCTTGTAATGCGAGAAAGTACACATAGTTGGCGGAATTGATAGTCTGAGCCGTACCAAAGATATTGTGCGCGACTGGGATACCCCGTCGCAAAACAGAGTTATCCTGAACATCGTCGATACTATTCGGTCGGGTAGTTAGTACTGCACTCAGCTGGAACAAACACATAGACCTTACAGCAAGGAAGCATTATGCAGCATGGCAATGACTCTGGTGATAATTGCCAAGCTCTGTTCAGGTACCTTCAACCACACATTGAATGCGGCAATCATCTGTTTGCGGATATCCTTGCCTGGCTGCTTCGAGATGTAGTCGTACGGCCCCATAATAATACTTTCTTTTTCCTGAGTCCACATGACTTCTTTGGCCTTTGTCCAATCCATGCTCGATCGATTGCGGCCATGTTTGCTCGTTGTACTGAGTGACTTTCGTTTCGAAGACGACATCCATTCGCTCTCGGAGATAGAGGCTAAGCCCGGGGCAACTGGCTGGGCGCTCGCAGCAATGCCATTTACAGCGCCATTGGAGCTTGTTCGCGGAGGAATAGCTGTAGGAGACTGAAGCGATTGTGGTATTTGCGGCGGATTGACTTCAGAAGTCATGGTTGAGATAAGCAATGTCTTGAGCTTGATAGTAGCTGGTGATATAGAGCGGGGTTGCGGGCAAGACGTTCTCTGGTCCGTAATGGAAGAACGGGTGACCGACACAATATATGCAAGGAACGTATGCGATGAGTGTTGTCCAATGATAAAAAGAAAAAGGGAATGTCGAGAGAATAAGTAAGTACAGAAGTTGGATGGTGGTGGGTAGAAGAGAGAAAAGAGAGCTGCGTAAAGTAAGCTGGAGGACCGCATGTGATAGCCAGTCAGGCATCCAGGCAGGCGCCATGGCTGGCAGGAACCTTGGAACCCTAATCTGCTGGAGTTACTTCCCCCGTATTGTTCTCTGCTTATTCTTCTGCCTGAAACAATACCATTCTCTCTATTGTTCTTTAAAGTTTTGCTCCTACAATGATCCACTTTTCAGAAGCTTTCCATCATCGAGAACAAAGTCATGCTTTGGCGATCTAAGATCGATTCTCAAGCATCTTGACGTTTCAGTCCGGGACCTTCATTTCAGTACTGTACTTGATTGGGGTGACATGAACGACTGGATGACCAAGCAGAACGCCATTTACTGAGATACCTTTCAGCTTCCCAAACTGCGAACTAAGTATATGCAATTACTCCGCGAGACTCCGGGTGTTAGCTGTTGTCGATGACGCATTTTCGATCGCCATGATAAGAGCTGTTAGCTAGTGATTATTAGTATGACTGACTAGGGAAGAGAACGTATCAAAAGCGGCGGCAAGCTCACGCGGGGCCTAAGGCGGTGGCAGAAAGCGTTCACCGGCCAACCGCGCTTTGTTTACTTTGTTTCTTCTGATGTAATCCATCACATCTCGTCCTTGGCCAGCCACGATGCGATCGCACTAACTGATTTACTCCATATGGAGCTGAAAATCGACAGCTACTAGTCTGTATGTCTGCTTGTTTCAGGTTGCCGCCCGCCCAGCCTTATCACTTTCTGCTCCAGCCTCCCGGCCAACTGGTGACCTCAGTGTGGTCCTTTGACTTCCTTGCTGAGGTGCTACGCATTGCATGCTGACGATTTTCTTTCTTTTTCTCCATATTTATCTATCTTCTATCCTCTTTACTTCATATTTTCCACTTCTCACTACTCAAGTCAATAACTGTCACGGCAATGGAGGCCCTTTTGACGCATTCCTTCGACTATCTTTCCTCATACGAGCCCAACAAAATTCGCAAGGGTCTTCGTCAGGTCGAAGGACTACTCGCACAAATATGTCTTTCGAGGAGCAAGCAAACGGCAGCCGAGAAGAGGAGATCAATGATTCCTCTAGGTCAAGCACCTCCTGCACCGAAAGCATTGAACGAATTGGCAGATGATCCAGCTTTCCGTGAATTTTTCAAATTGCAGGAGGGTTTTCAATGGAATGGTAAGTCCTCACATCTAGCCTGGATCTTTGAGCGAAGGTCTAATAATCGCATCCAGTCGCCATACGCCTAGTCACCTGCCTCGAACATTTGCTCGGTCGCGGAAGTAACGGCGCGAACGATCTTCTGATCATCTCAACCCTGGACTTGATCCAAGGGATTCTCCTTCTCCACCCTCCGTCCCGAGCACTCTTTGCGCGCGAAATATATATGAACATTCTTCTCGACTTGTTAGATCCGATCAATTGTCCTGCCATTCAGTCTTCAACCCTGTTGACATTGGTGACCGCACTGTTGGACCAACCTGCAAACACCCGCACATTCGAGGCTCTAGACGGACTCTTGACCGTTACATCTTTATTCAAAATGCGCGCTACATCCAGAGAAGTCAAGCTCAAACTGGTCGAGTTCCTCTACTTTTATCTTATGCCGGAAATGCCTACCATTCCGGCGATTGCTGCGAGCGCACCGAATACGGCGGTGCTTGGATTGCATCGAAGCCCTAGCAAGTTGTCGGGAGCTTTTGCGAAAAGCTACTCGTCAGCCGGCGACACCAATCAATCGAAGCGCGAGACGCGCACGACCGAAGAGAAGCAGAAACTACTCGGTCGCTATCTCAGTAATGTCGAAGACTTGGTTGAAGATTTGAAAGAGACAGCTCCATTTGGAAGCACGGTCTATTAATCTGCACGATTGCGCTTTATTCTTCCCGAAACTTCTTTTCTCTTTTCACTTTCGTCACTTTGTGTCTTTTCATATCATGTTCTATTTTTGATGTTCTTGAGCCTCCAACTTCGCCTGTCCGTTTTCTTTCTTTCTTTACTTTGCGATGTCCTGCCTTTTGAGGTTTAGCTCTTTGTCCTGTTACGATTCCCCTTTGTTGCGATTGTTTATGATTCGATGATTCGGTGAGACTGTACGATATAATTATGCTGAAGAATGAAGAACTTACGATTCTGAAATACGTAAGTCGTATCTACTTTTAAAGATATTAATGTAAATGCGGAGATAGGTTAATCCGCCAAGACATGGACGCCAGCTCCGGCCCAGGCGTCAGTGCATTAGGTAGTCACCTATCAAGCAGCAACACACCTTACCCAGGCAACTCAATCACCCGAGCCACGCGCTCACTTCTCACCCTCTCCAATCCCTCCCCTCTAAAATAGAAGCGACAATGGCAAAACGCATCGAGCAATGGGAAGTCGAGCGATACTGGGAGATCTTCTCATCGCTCGCCAACGGCCAACCCCGTCTCAACAACTCCCAAGCCGCCAGCGTGCTCCGCAACAGCCGATTACGAGACGACCAACTGGAAAAAGTATGGGATTTGGCGGATGTGGATGGCGACGGAGAGTTGGACTTTGAGGAGTTTTGTGTTGCAATGAGGTTGATTTTTGATCTTGTTAATGGGGTGAGTCTTCCTCCCCCTCCTACCCCTGATCGCGATAAGAGCTGCGGACCGGGTTTGAAGTGCGGCATGGAGTGACTAACGGTCAATTGGATAGGAATACCAAGAAGTCCCGCGAACATTACCGGACTGGCTTATACCAGAGTCAAAGGCGCATTTAGTCCAGGCAAGTGCCGCATTGACCGGGCGCCAGGAACAGTTTGAGCGGATAGAAGATGAAGATGATACACCGGGCCTAAAGGATGGATTCGATTGGTATATGAGTCCGGCGGACAAGGCGAAATACGAAGAAATATATAGTGCGAACAAGAACCATCGCGGCGAGATTACATGTTAGTGTTTCCGCTGTCCGTTCGATTCATTTCGATGTGATCATACTAACGCGCTGGTTATAGTTGACTCATTACAACCTCTATACGACTCCCTGGACGTCCCCGACACTGATATCAGATCAGCCTGGAACCTCGTCAACCCCACAGCCTCCTCGTCTATCAACAAGGATGCCTCTCTCGCCTTCCTTCACATCCTGAACTTCCGCCACGAGGGGTTTCGCATTCCTCGCACTGTCCCACCATCTCTCCGCGCATCCTTCGAATCCAATAAAATCGACTACCAAGTCGATAACGTGCGGCCCGCACAAAAATGGGGCGCGGACGGCGACACAGAGACCACCACAGGCCGCAAGGCCAAGTTTGGAGATACGTATCTCAGTCGTTTGGGGGTGAAATCGACTTATCAACCCAAGGCCACGGATTTTAGTAATACGATTCAAGATGAGGAGTGGGAGAAAGTCCGTCTTCGCCGCGAATTGGCAGAACTCGAACAGAAGTTGGAAGCTGCCAATCGCGCCTCGGAGGAGAGACGTAGTGGTGGCGGCGCATCTTCGTCTGCGCATCATGATGGAAGGCCGAATTGGACTGTTATCAAAAAGGAGGCTTTGCAGTTACTAGAGTACAAAGAGCGAGAATTGCGGGAGATGAGGGAAGGCACGGGTCGGACGAAAGATGGCCAGGATCTGGAGCGACTAAGGGAAGATATCAAGACCGTGGCTGATCAGGTTGATGGGTTGAAGGATCATCTTGATAGGCGGAATGAGGCGTTGGCGGAGTTGAGGAGGCAGATCGAGGATGAGAAGGCTAGTCGGTGATTTGCCTCTGTCAACGGGGCAGGTCTATGCTGTATATGTAGATAATTACGAATGAATTTTTGATATTGCCAAATTCCAGATAGGTAGAACATAACACTATTCGACGCCTGGGCCGCGCTTCTTGAAGTACACTGATACCATACAAGGCAATATAAACCAAAACTCCATCAGGAACATAGTTAAAAACACCATTCCTTGCCAAACCCCCAACCATGGTCAAAAATACAAAAAGCTCAAACCAAACGAATCGAGAGGCGAAACTATCGAACAGTCAACTCAGCCATGATCCCCTTATCCTCCTTCGTCTCCACAGCCTGGAAAGCCCGTCCATTACTCTCCTCCAGACCCTTCTCAGCACGCAAATAAGCCTCTTCACTCCGATCCGTCAAGATATCAAGATCATGCTGCGAAAGAATAGACTCTGGATCATCAGATTGAATATGAAATTGCTCAAATTCATCTTCACCCAACGCCTTGCGGATATCCTCCATGTCATTTGAAGTGGTGTTATTGTCAAGCAAGCTTTTGAATTTGCCCTTTTGAATAACGAGACGTTCAAGACGGCGTTTGGAATCTGCTTTTTCGAGTAGAGTTTGTTCAACTGTGCCCTTGGTTGCGAGACGGTAGACGATGACCGGGCGTGTTTGACCGATTCGATGTGCGCGATCCTGTGCTTGGAGATCTTGTTGTGGATTCCAGTCAGAGTCGAAGAGAATGACGGTATCGGCCGCAGTCAGGTTAATACCTTGTCCACCGGCACGGGTCGATAACAAGAAGACTTTGAAGTTTTTATCGGAGTTGAAAGCTTTGATTTGAGCCCGACGATCAACCTGGCTTACGCCACCGTCGATTCGACAGCAGTTCCAGCCGCGGAGTTGAGTAGCCCAGTCCTGTATAAGATCGAGCTGGGTTTTGAATTGGGAAAATATGAGAATTTTGTGGCCCTTCTTCATGAGACAAGGTACCAGACGATCAAGAAGCAACATCTTTCCAGAAGCTGTGACGAGCGTTTCGTCAACCGTAGAGGAGTCGTCGCCCCATGGCCAGTAAAAGTTGTGCGGAGAATTACACGCCAGACGGGCCTGCATGACTGGATTCTGAAGCTTCTTGCTACCAATTTCCTTCTTGGCCAATTTGATGGTTTTGGCACGCTCAATCTCTTCTTGTTCAGTCTCGCCAGGAGATTCGTCCTTTTCTTCCTCGTCCTCAATACCATTCTCGAGGTTTCGGAGTTGAGCATTGAATTCCCGATCGCCAATCTCTCTGTAACTTTGACGGCCCTTTCGCGTTCGGCCGCTAACACTGCCTGGTGTTGAAGACCGAGTTGATTTTACGCTCTTGCCGGAAGGAGTCATTGATCCGCTATCATCGGCCTTTCTTTTGAGACTCGTCGAGCGGGATACTCGTCCGCTTCGAGCCTCGATACGTTCGATGGCCCTGTTCTCCAAGTACTGGCGGCCCGTACCACTCAGGATCTCTCTATATAGTTCCTTCTGCTCTGATGTCAGTGGAGCATATAGAATGTACTCTCTTTTCTTAGGCAGACTAGTCTCGACGTCGGTCTTGACTCGGCGCAGTAGAAACGGTTTGAGAATAGAATGCATGGTAGTGACGAGGTTGCGTTTGCGCCTCTCAATCACGTCTCTCTGACCATTATTGTCCAAAACAGAAGAAAAGTCGAACCAGCTCTCAAAGCTGTCTAGGTCGTTGAATATCTCAGGGAGCAAGAAGTGTAATAGTGACCATAGCTCGGAAATGTTGTTTTGTAATGGTGTTCCAGTAATAAGCAATCGGTTTGCAGAGTGGTAAGTGAGAAGCTCTTTAATTAATTTGCAGTTCATGTTCTTCAGACGGTGACCCTCATCCTAAATCAACCTGTCAGCGAGCGATCGGAAATCCAAAGACAATATCACCTACCACAACGATATACTTCCATGAAAACTGTCCAAGAAAGGCACGATCATTCATACAAATCTCGTACGACGTGCATACGACAGGGAAATCAGCCTCTTTCTGATCCTTTAGCTTCATCTGTTTCCGCAGTTCGGCACGCTCAGGCTTAGATCCATGATACAAGACTGTTTTAATACTAGGAGTCCACCTCTGAAATTCATCAACCCAATTGCTGACTGTGCTCAACGGTGCCGCGATCAGAAACGGACCAGAGATGTTGTTCTCTTTGAAAAACGCAATAAGCGAGATCGTCTGAATAGTCTTGCCGAGACCCATTTCATCAGCAAGGATACCACACAATCCATTGATCCAGAGTGACTTCATCCACTCCAAGCCCTCCAATTGATACTCGCGCATTTTCCCGCCCGTGACTAATGAAGGTTGCTCCGTAGCAACGAGACCTTCCTGTTCACCGAGCGCTGATGGCTTCGCTTCCAAGTCATCCGCTGCCTGCCTCAATGCTTCCTGTACGCTGGGATTGTCCCCGCTGACTTCAACATCGGCTTTCTTGAAATAGCTTGAGATATTTTTGCCGTTAGCGGCATTCTTTTTTGCACCCTTTTTCGCGGTAGCCTTCTTCGATTGCTTCTGATCAGTGGCTTCCTCCTTTTCACCGGTTTTCAGCCGAGAACTGCGTCGCCCGGTTGTCGATTCAGGAGCTTCCTTGGCTGCTGCTGCGGTCTGTTTTTTAGCGGCGGCTTTCTTTGCCGCCTCTTGCTGTTGTTTTTGCTGTGCTTTCATCTTGTCGGACATGATGGCCACGAAGACCTACAAACATTCTATCAGCACCAAAACCTCTCAGTAGAGAGTATCAGTGAAACTCACGGAACTGGTCTGAAGTAACTTCGTCAACGCTCTAGCCTTCATATCCATACCCTCCGTATCCTCATCTTCATCACCCTCTCCCTCTCCCTCCGTAACAGCAGTTTTCTCCAGCTCACTCTCCTTCTCAGTTCCTTTCATTATCACATCTTCGGACTCGGATTTCGTCGCAGGTGAAGTGGGTGGGCTAGACTGTTGTCGCGAAGGTGCACTAGAAGCGCCCGTCGTTGCTTCGTCGAGCGACTCGGGTAATGTTGTCGGTGTCGTTACTCCTGACATTTTGGATTCGAGTGACTGAATTTTGTTCGGGCTGGACCATTTATTTGCGAAGAAATTCACTATTCGAGAGCCCATGGGAGATATACGATCGAGTTGGGATTCTTGCTCCAATCTTACTCAGTCGGATCGGCCAAAGACTGGACGAAAGGTATGAGATGAGAACGGTGAGAAGATCGCATACAATTTCCAGTAATCTGACATAGAGTATGACCAAGCTCAATTCGCTCCTCTTTTCCAAGTTTCTTCTCAGTTTCTCCTGGAAACGATGTAGTTGCGACGCGGACTGATGAAAAACGCGATTTGCCGTCACGCGCTGTCACGTGAGACATTTAACCCATTTTGTACAGTTCCCTCGTCGATCGATGCTTCGATCGATCTGTGCCTCTTTTTCTTTGGTGTCAACTCTTTGTGATGAATGAAGATGATTACTATTTTTGATCATTGCGTATTTGGTATTTTGATGTCCTTACATCGTCATTGTTGTTTATGGATTGACATCTCGCCTGGTATTCTCCATCTATTTTTGGGCAGACGCAAGTTGAACAAGGACACATCGTGTACTTTTCAGGGCTTAATGACATCACGTGCACATAGGCATGTCTCTGTTCATGCGTGACAGGTTCGGAGGTGTATGTTTACACGAGGGCACAATTTACTGACATGAGCAGTTGATATAGATTCAAAAGTTGTTGTACAGAACTTTGTGTTTTCGACTAACCAGGAATAAGAGAAAGATAAAAAAGAGAAAGGTTTATAAAAAGAGACAATGGAATAAGGGATGTGACAGTAAGTTTAGACATTCACTAAAGAAAGAATGTTTTTGTCCCGATCATGAACTTCGCCGAGATCCAGTCATCATGCATGCATCAACTATGATTTATTCATACACAGCGTACAGTCATTTGTTGTACATCGGCAAGAAAAGATTGGAGACAGGCTGGAAATTATATACAAGAAAGCATGTGGTATCGTACATTCGTCTGCTCGTATTGGTACAGTCATGTTCATTTTCATTGTTGTATTGGATACTTGCGAGGTCGTCCTCGTCCTCGAGGGACAGGAGGGTTGGTGGTGTGACTAGAGGTTGCATTGGTAGCGGATCTGGTAGTTGGAGTGGAAGCTGGATCCGGAAACTTGCCTCGCTTTGGATGTGCTGCTTTCATTTCAGTGCTGGCACCTCGCTTGGTGCCTGCAGTTTGCTTCCGCACCGACTGACGCCTCTCCCGGGGCAGCGGCATTACATCCACAGTAACGTTGGTAGAAATAGCCGAAAGATGATTATTGGGAATGTCTTCGACTGCTCGTTGGTTACCATTGGCATTTTCAGTATTTATGGACGGCGGCTCCTCGATCCCAGCTACTGTCTGTCCTTGACCTGTTGATGCGCGGGAATGGGATGACTCGCTGGTTTTGACATTTTGAGATGCTTCCTCATGGTCTGCATGAATATCGAAACTATCGAGGCCAAAAAGAGGATTGATGTATTTGGCGGACTTGGCTGCCTGCGGCGTCGTAATTCGATTTGCATGCCCTGGAGGTGCTTCTTCGGCTAGGCTATTATGGTTGGTACCCGGCCCTTCCTGATGACCTACGAAAACGCCAAAATCCATAGATAAAGAAGGCAAAAGGTTTAGACCCTGCATAGCCTTGGATGGAGAAAAGACACCAGCATCTGCTTGTGCCACACCGTCTTTCTTTAGCTCTACGTGATTGACCATAGTATCTGATCTTGAGAAGGACGCAGTTGCGGATCCCAAATTTCCGTTACTTGGCATCGATGACCGATTGTATGCTGAAATGTACGACTTAAGCTGCCTTTCACCGACGTCAGTGCGATAGGACTCCGGAGTTGCAAGGCACGTTTCGACGCTCGTCTTCGGGAAATGATTGTGGTTGTGGTGAGCTGTGAGTTTCGTTGTCGTACTGTAGTTGGGTGAGGATGCCGCTGGTGTTGGCATAGCATTTCTCGCGGTCAAATTCTGTGAATTTCCGTGCACTACACCTTCCAATGCAGACAAGTCTGATGGTTGTGGAGGGCTGGAATCAAATGAATGCGCATCATCAAGGGTGGAGCTTTGATCTGTGCTGATTCTTGTGGCTTGATCGAATTGACGAGCTTTGGGCTTCGCTATTGGTGGGCCAGCAGGAAAGATGTTATTGAAGCTTCCCGGCCGTGGCCTTGTTGAAAACGAAAGTTCTGGTGGTTGGAGGCGAGACGTGCCTGTCGACCAGGAGCCAAACATGCGACGCACTGGCATTAAAGCTTGATGATGCATACCTTCAATCCTATCCGACTCGGAAGGCAATTCTTCGATTGTGTCATCACTGTTTGGCTCCCTGGTTTGTGCTCTAGTCCGTGTTCGAGGAGTAGGAAGAAACCTTTCCAAAGCATCCATGTGTCGCCGAGATGGCGTTGCCGGATATTCTATGTGTATACGAGCTGCATTTTCCCGGCCGATCCTGAGACGCACAAGGGCCTGGTTGTGCAAAACCAGCTGTACATCGCGGTTAGTGGATGCTTGAGGAGTGCTGACTCGAGGCATCGGTTCATAGCGTTGGGCTGCTGGTAATTGCACAATCAACGTTTCAGAAACAGTGATGGGAGATGGATCCTGTGCACCAATTCGTGTTTTAGGCAACAGACGGGAGTCTCCGGCGGCGGTGGTGGATGCACCTGATTGTGATTCTGTACTCGATTTCCACTTCAAAATTCCAACAAACCCCCCAGTGCTGGATATTGATGGAGTCGCAACAAATTGATTGTCCCATTCGCCAGCATATCTCATTGGTAACCCTCGTTTAGACAGATATTTTCGTGCTAGTAAAAGATCCCCTGCCTGACAGAGCAGATACCTCATCTGTGACCGTTTTTGAATCACACGATGACAATGGTTCCAAACTTTTTTCGACATGACGAGCCGCCCTGGCACTGAATGCTGCTTTAGATCGGAATTGTCAAGGCACATCAAAACCTGCATCTGCTTGTTGCGCATTTCGGCGAGAACGCGATTCTCGTATTCGAGATCCGCGTTATGCATTCGGAGATTGCGCGTTAGTTGCTCAGTATCAGACTGGCTCAGCCCAAGCAGGAGCTGGATTGTGGACAATCTATGAGTCTCCAACATGTTTTCTGCAATCTCGATCTGTAGGCTCAGTGAAATATCGGCCCACTGCGGATCGTTGGGTATTGGTTCCTAGCGTGGGTAGAATGTTAGCAGGAGATTATCGCACTGGTGTTTGAAAGGTTGACATACTTCACGGTGAATCCATTGTGCACCAGCATTTTCACTACCAGGCAGTCCTCGGCCATCATCGTCATCGCTGATCTCAAGATTGAAGTCGTCGTCTTCTCGTGCCAGCAGCGCCATGTTCCTCTTGTATTGTGGATTTTGCGGCCCGTTACTTGCGATGAAGTTGTCGAGCTTTTCTGGTGGGATACCACGATAAAGCGAATTGAAAGCGTCTAGATGATGATTTCTGTCAGCATCAAGATCAGCATCATCAGTATCAGGGCTGGCGTTGGCAGCAGCAGCAGGAGGTGGCGTGGCGGTAGGAAGAGAGTGATAAGTCTGCCCAGCGGGAAGCGGGTGTTCGAGGGTGGGAAAAGCGGCAGGAGGTTGATTTGGGTCGTAGTCAACGTAAGGTATTGCCCTTTCCTCTTCCTCTTCCTCTTCTGCTCCTGCTCCTGCTTCTACTGCTGCCTTTCTGCGCCGTGGCAGTCGCCGTGGGGAAACACCAGTCGAGAGCTCACATTCATCATCGTACCGGGAGGGGACTCGTATGGTTTTTCGCAACCTCATGACAAATCTTGCTCTCCTTTCAGAACGCGTCTAAATTGCAAGCAGGAAAAGGATCGATCGGTAATAATTCCAGGTCGGCACAAGATTTGAATGAGTGGACGATAGTCGGTTGCTGGAGAGACTTATGAGGGCGTGTGAAGCTATCTCTTGGAGGAAGACGAAATGATTTTCGCTAAAGAAAAGCTTTAGTTGTTGCGACGAAAGGAAGAATATCGAGTAGGCGGGAAGTAGATGTTGATACTTGTTTTCAGCGACAGGTATCACACACAATCTTCAATTGAACGAGTGATAGACTGAGATATTTGAGCAATAGGGCGGCTCCCCTCTTAAATCATAATACTGGCGTCGGGGCAACCCTATCATTGTAGGAAATTTCTTTTACCAAAACAATAATTAACCTGATTTAGACGCCGCCAGGGCAAAAGAGTCTGTTTGAAGGTGTCCCAAAGGCACACGAGATGAGATGAGAAAGTTGTGAATTGCTTGTTTGTCGGTACTTTCCATCTTCATACCAATCACTAAACTTGTTCTGGGCCTACATGAGAGAGATATGGCCCAATCTGGGGAGGTTTTCATTATCTCAGTATCCGTAATCTAATCATACAAGGTGCTTTCTATGCTGTCCCAACCAGCATAACTGGCTGCTGTTTAATATTAATGCAATGCATCAGCAGCATGAGTGATATTCGCAAAGACGCTGCAGAAACCCACCGAAAAGGAACCAAACAAGTCTAAAAGCAAGTAATGAACTCTTTGATATGAGAGCGATCAAGCAGCGCGCTCTATGAAAGGAGCAGGCTTCTGTTTCAGATGCTCGGCGTCATCATTGGCTTGAATCACAGTTTTTTGACTCGAAAAGCCGTTGTGCCCACTGTGAATAGGTGTATTGTTATCGCAGTCATATTCTATAAAACTTCGTTTCTTCGCGAGCTGACCACCTGGACGAGACGACGGCTGTATACCCAGTGAAGAAGATGTAGTAACTTCCTGTCGACGAGCCTTGGCGACCTCCCTCTTCGCATCGAGAATAGCCTGGTATGACTGGAGGAGTGTCTGCATAGACTCGTCCACATCGATACAGAAACGTCGATGGTGTACGGCCCACATTGCCGAGACCATATCCAGATTCATCATGCTCATTATGTAGGCAATCACGACGCTTGCAGATCGTCCATTACCAGATTCGCAAAAGACGAGCACTCTCGGTGGTAGATCTGGCCTAGCAGAGACTCCAGACGATATATGTTGGTTGATTCCCCGGATGATACTGGGATACAGGCTAATGAGTTCTTGCTCACTATCGACATCGATCGCATCTGCTTGGATGCCTAGCTCTTCAGCTACCTTGGCACCAGACAATAAACGGGCAATGGCGGATCGTTTATCGCGAATGGATAACAACAATGTGATGCCTTCACTGCGAACAAAGTCTCTATCCCGCGCCATCGATGCGGGTCCCAGGTACAAGAAAGGCAGAATTTGCTGGGCCTCACGACGCTGAGCGTACGTCCAGTCAGCAGTAGACGCATGGTGCGAGAACCAGGTATGATGGGCGCGGTCGAAGAATCCAGGAGGAACGAATTCCCCAATCTCAAATGAGTGCTCCTTAGGTGGTTCCAGGATCAAATTATCATCTGAATACGCACCAAGCGTCAAGGGTGGTACCAGAGTCTTTTGACGTGAGATAGGCACAGATGTGTGATAATCATGGGCTGGAGTATAGAGTTCCCCTGGACCTTGAGGGATTGAGTTCTGCTGTATATTTGCAGGAAGCTGCACAGCTGTGGGTCCTTGCATGTTTGACATTGGGGTATCGTCGGCCATATTGATTGTCTTGCTGCTGAGTGCTTGGCTGTCCTGCCTAGGCAATATGGCGAGTGGACAACGTCATGCGCCTATAAGGGGAGCTAAGGTGAAGTGTATTTGAGATGGTCGAGCTGAAAGTATCTCGGAATAGATGCACGTAGACGCTCTGGAACTGCGAGGATTGCATAGTAATTAGGAGATCTAGCAGATAAAAGGGCTCAGGTGGATCTGTGGCTGGCCTGATCGAGTGGAGCTAGGCCAAATCGGGGGCTTGACTGACCAGGTTGGCGAATAGGATATCGAAATGACCGGCTGAGCTAGCCCGATTAGTCGTTGGCACGGTCATGCATTAGATAAGCATAATGATAGTTAGTACGAGTGTCATTGTAAGCTGTAGCAATTGTACTCTGTTGTTCTCACATTGATGACCTACTCAATATGCCAAGGTAGGCCTGGAACCATGCATGTCATGCATAGACCTGGCTCTCACTACTTGGAGAATATCATTTGATTTGCCTGGCAATGGAAAGATCACTGCTACGAGAAGGACTTATTCATGTATGAGTAGTATTGGTGCCATTATCGTTAACAGAGAGATTGGGTATATCTGTTCAAACTAAGAATATCAGAGAAAGGAGAGAACAACAGCCCACATTACAAAGAATGGGGAGATACATAGAACCAGTAGAGAGACACAAATGAGAAGAAAGAGACACTATCAATAAACGCCTCCACCACCGGATGGACTCATCTAACCGCTGCAATAGGAGGAAAAACAAATTCCAGTCTCATGTTTCGAGCTTCTCCACGGTCTCGGTTGCCATGGGAAGAGGGGATGATATATTAGGAAAAATACGCCTCTCAACTCTTCGGTTGGGAAGAGAAGATTTAACAAGAGCAGATCAAAGATAAAAACAGACGAGAAAGCAGACCACCGCCCAAGCAAATCAAACTCGTTCACAAGCCGTCCAGGATGCATATGAGCCCAGTCAAAAAATTGTGACCATGGAAACTGCATAACGCCTAGTGATGCACCCATACACAGAAAGATAGAAAAGAAAAGAAAAAGCGGGTTTGACAGCCGTGAGGAGAGATAAATGGGAAATCCGGAGCAAAGGGAATGACGGCATGGCATCATCTATAGCTCGGCGCCAGGAACGTGAACCACGGGTAGTGCATGATGGGGGATTGACTGCTGCAGCCCTGCAACAATCTTCTCAAGCTCTTCAAGGCGACGATCTTTCTCTTCGACTTCCCGGCGCAGCCGCTTCACCTCGTTGTGAAGATCCACGCCGTTCGACTCGTCGATGGTGTCGACACCGTTCAGCTCTGGATCAGTCATATCGTCGTGCTTGCGCTTCAGGCCAGCTGGGGGGTCCAAAAAGGTCGACTTCAGGCCTTCCACATCTGCCGCAGTCAGGACGGGCAACTCGGGGGAGTTTCCGCCTTCAGTATGCATGTGTCGACGGCGAAGATGCTCCTTCAAGTTCTCTTGGCGCGTGAATCCGTTGCCGGTACTGCGATTGCAGTCGGTGTAGGGACACATGAGGGCTTTCTTTGTTGTGGCATTCTTCTTGTGAACTTCTCGTTGATGCCGGAGAAGACCGCCAGAGTAGGTGAAACCTTGAATCTTGTCGCAGCCCGGTTCCATGCATTTGTACGGTCGGTCATGCTTGTCCATATGTTTACTAAGCGAATGTATAGTTAGCAGTGTTCTTTTAGTAAGCGTGATGAGGGGGGTGTACTTACTTCCATTCACAAGGCCGTCTGAATGTAGGCGGATTAGCCTGACAGTCGGGATGATCGCAGAAAATTTGATTGCTTTGATTCTTCGGAGGGTCGCGGGACCGTCGCACCGACAGACGAGGGCGTGTTCCATCTGGGGAGACGTTTGCGAGGGATGATAAAGGATCGGCCATTTTCATAGGAGGTGAGAGCGATTCTGGAGCAGCGATGAGAAGAGCACTGGGCCCGGTAGGTCCTTCACTTCTTGGACTGGGATAATCTGTGCCGTCTCCCATGACAGCTGACATGAAGAACTGCAACTTCTCGGTGGAAGTCTGGAGACTTGTTTCGCGTTCTCAATTTGGGTTCTATGCTCGCTTGCAAGACGGATTAATAATCTGCTATTCTATGCGACCGAGGAGAAGGGCGTAGAGTCGAGACGCGACGACGAGAAATCGAGATAATGACGTGACTTGCGAGAAGGACGCGGCCTATTCGTTTTATAGAGGTGAGGCTATACTTTCGTGGTAAGGCATCCACGAAGGAGAAAATTTTTGCCACCTGAGATTTCAGGTTTCAATTTTTCCAGAGTTTGCCGGGCCGCCCCAACGAGTAAGCTTGGCACGTACGGTAGGCGCGGGCGGGATATGACGCGGCGCTTCGACTTCGCAACAACAATACAACGGCGGACGCCTACTGCAACGGCGAGGTCGATTATCGACGACGGACACTGGCCGCCTAGTCTGGGGTTTCCTAATGATTGATCGAATGCTATGGTCACAGAAGCGAGGTTCAACTCCCACGACAGTACGTAGTGTCGTCGTGTGACGAGATGACTCCACTCGAGCTCGGAAGTCGTGGTTATGGTTGGCTGAAGTCTTGAAGCCGTCGCTTTTCTGCCTGGATGTATCGAGGTATCGTGTAGGCAATGAATATAGGATGAGTCACCGCAAGCTACGGGGAAGGACGAAGAATAAAAAGAGGCGCGAATAGCAGATTCAGTCAGGAACTCAGCATACTAATCCCAGCCTCTGGCTATTGTTAGTATGGTATGAGCCCGCCACGTTAGTTAGGCACGATCGGCCGAGGGCTGAGCCTGAGGCAAACGCCACACTCTCACCGCCACGATCACGTTACCGGATCACGTGCGCTCACTGCCTGATCCGTCACCCGGTCCGGCAGTTTTTTCAGCCGAGGAAATGCTGGTCTCCTGTTCGAGAGACTCTTGTTTCACAACCTGGTACAACAAGAACCAAAATGAGAAGTCCTCTTTCTTCGCCTTATGTACCTCTTGTCGCTCACTATGCCTTTGGCCAATTTGACACTAATATACATGGCCGAACACATTTTACATTGCCACGTCGTGTTAGGGGCCACAAGCGGGCCGGTTTCTCTCATCAGACACCAATCGCATGCCTGATCTGCTTGACTAGATGCATCGTTCATACCTCCATGGTGACCTTGCGCTCGTGCCTAATAGTATTCGCGAACTATTTCATCCTGCGCCTTTCTACTAATACAAGCATTTCTTCGCTGCCAAGACTGGTCGACACGGATTAGATTAGATTTAGGCATAAATGGAGATTGGATAGTCATGGTGGTCAGTCTAGCCTGGCTGCCTACGTAGCTGATGACTGGGTGAGTCAGATTTAGATTCATGTCACTAGTCATGCATGTATTTGAATGTTGACTGATACATCATCAGCATCATTGTCGTATCCTTGCTGGCGACATCACAGCACTAGACTAGGGCGAACATGGGAATAAAGGTCAGATGGTGGGTGATGATAGTCGGGGCTCGCCCGGGTATAGTGATCTAGATACCTCGGGTTGTGTTCAATAATACTAGGCAGCTGTGAGACTCGATCCGTAATGAGGTTTGATGCTGTGTGACTCAGAGTATAAACACTCTACAACCTTGATTTCAACGAGGCATTCCAGTTCACCCATCCAAGTCGACTTGCTCGTGACAACATGTCAAAGCCACCATCACAAGCCTTTTGAGGCAAGCTATTGCAAAGGGTTGGAATCGGTGAGGCGCGTTCAGTGTGGAAAGTCGAAAATCTAGACTTTATGGCTTCCTGTAATTTGTGCCAAAACTAGCCTGCAATGAGTACTCACATGGTCATGTATGATATTTTGTTTCTAGATAATGTAATACAAGCCTCATGACAGGCTGAAATCCCGGTTGGCATACAGAGCGTGCTCTTTTGAGATCTGGAAGCCTAGTTGGCCCTTGCTCTTCTAGAACCAGGCAATCTTCCAAACACCTCAGCAATGTCAGCATTTCAGCAACTCTTGTGCTTGATAAATTCCTGTAAGCAGCTAATCACTAACACAATACTAATAGATTTATGCTAATACGCCGTCGTAGAGTCGCGTTCTAGGGCTGAACAGTTGGGAAGTAGCCTTACCTAAATATATGATAGATGAAAATCAGACGCAAATCAAGAGCCCCCGAAATTATGTTTTAATTCAGATTGCGCTATGTACCACAATATTGAAACCTGATCAAATTTTGATCATTAGACATATCAACTTCTACATGACTATGTACATGTCCCATCTCCGAATCCGGCAATGTTAGGGCTCGCCGAAACATTACCTAAATAGGAAAGTTCGAGAAATTTGAAATACTTACAATGCCAAAGAAAAGAAATCAAAGCATGATATAGCCATAAATGTTCAAACACGTCCATGTAAGTCTAGGGGGGTGTAAGGAAGGGGATATCGTGGATTTCGGTTGCGGGATAAGACTGATTGTAAAAACCCGTCTTCCTACGAGATACGGTAAGTCGCTAAAAGAGACTTCCGCGTAAAGAGATAGGGATAAACACATTTACGGCAGCATATTATTTATAATCTGGGTCCGACTCGGATACTCTTGAATGCTTTGTGCCAGCGTGATGCAATAGAAGCAATAATGGCAACTCGCAAGTGATACAACCTGATTGGAAGTCATCGTATTCCTACTCCATGTCATTTTTCAAACCATTTAGATTATATGAAACAGATAATTCTTGCTTAATTTCCACTGAGTTGATCCTCAGCATTAGTGCCAGTAGTTCTTCACAATGCCCTTTTGCGATTGCCCGAGCTTTGTCAAAAGCTTCCACAACATCCTCCGGCAGAGGTTCCTTCTCCAAATCACCAAAATTATGCTCGAGCTGCTGCAAGCTCCTTTAACCAGAATCTTTTCGACTAGGGTCCAACTGTGAATGGTGTACAATTTACTTCAATGCACATTTCACCTCGGTCAATTGATGTTTCCCAGCTGCTTTTCCAGAGCATCGAAAATAGTTCCGTTCCAAAAGCGTCTCCGGTATTTCGTCCGTCCTTGAAAAGTGTCCAGATCGAACACAATATGGATCCGATACTGGTGTCTGACTTACCACGCTTGTATCTATTGGTAGCTTGGCTGCCAGCAAGAGCCTCTCTGGCTTTCTTGCTGAGTCGTACAATAACTTCAGTGATTCCATGAGCGTCTCGGGCATTAGTTCAAAAGGAAAGATATTCGAAGAGAGGAATTTCTGACGAGAATGGCCTTGCCAATGCGTGTTCCGGCTCGTCATGTTCAACGGGTTGGCTTTTCGCCATCCTACATGTATATCACAAACAGAATTGGGATACCACATTCTCATGTGAAAGCCAGTGATTGCAGCGGATTGAGTGGGTTTGCGAAAATTGAATTCTGCATGTTTGCTACAGCAAGCCTTTTGGTCGATAGATAGTAGGTGGGAGCGAACAAAAAAGCGGTCTCTCGCTATAGTAATATGTCAAAGAGAAATTCCAACGTCACAGGTAGTTCAAGTTTTTGACATATAATTAAACTCAAAGAACTGATGTCAATTGATCGAGTTGCAAGGCTGATTAGAAATTTTATTCGTAATAAAAGTTATTTGTGATTTGGTCAGTGGATGTGTCAAGGCAAGTTGGGAAATCAGTTCGAGCAACACTTCATAGGTAGTGACAAGTCTGATACTTCAATTGTCGATGTCCAAATGGTCATGAGAACGGGACTGATGATCATAAATTGCAAATTATGATAATAACGTGCTGCTTGAATCTCGAATTCTGACTCTATAGTGTCACAACGAGGGACAAAGACAACGTATCTAAGTAGGTAGCAACAAACTTTCGGCACCCAAACCGGGGGCCCACACGACCCCGATCGACGAATGAACTGCTTTCGAAGGGAAGAATTATATTAGGAATCCTCCATCCAGTATCGGCGGTCGCGTGACCTCACACGCTAGTCCGAAGATGGTAGCTGCCCTGTTAGTCATGGACTGTGATGGTCTTGCTCCCCGCCAAACCGTGTCTTCCATTGCATTTTCGTAGCGTTTCTTCTGATCATTGACCTCAACTAAGCAAAAAAAATATGGGCGGAGACGAAGAACATTCTCTTCCAGAGCTCAGAACAAGTGCTCCGGATGCCGAGCAAACTCGTGCTAGGGAATTGGAATCGAAGAGAACGAAAATTAGTGTCCTTGTAGGATCCGGTATAATTCAGCTGCCGATATGGGGTACGTCGTGGTCACGTCTATATACTATAATGACCAGGAGCTTACGCCCGTGCAGGGTTTGCCATGAGCTATGGTATATTCCAGGAGTACTATTTCAACAACTGGACGTTAGAAGGAGACCGTACCATAACCGGTGTTATTGGTACCACGGCTAATGGTGTCATGTACCTATCCATGCCTTTTCTTTTCGCGCTTTTTACTAGACGGTGGGCTCGTTGGCGCCAAATCGCAGCTCTTTGTGGCACATTGATTGCATGCGTCAGCCTCTTCCTCTCCGCTTACAGCACCACTGTGTGGCACTTGGTTGCGACTCAGGGTATCGCATCTGCGTTGGGATGTGCTCTTGTGTATAGTCCAATGACGCTCTCTCTCGGCGAGTGGTATACATCCAGCAACCGTGCAGTGGCATATGGTATTGTTTTGTCTTGCAAGAACATTGTTGGGACTAGCTGTCCATTTATGATTCGAGCTTTGATTGATGCTTACGGCTATAAGACCACTTTAAAAGCCTGGGCGGCAATTGTGGGTGGGACAAGTCTTTTCGCTATTCTAATGATACCTACCCACCCATCAAAGATTTCGATACACAAGACTCGAGCTCGAAAGATTCCATGGCATTTCCTCGGACACCGGTCTATCTACTTCTATAGCATTGCCATTATATTTCAAAGCTCTGGGTATGGTATTCCACAAAGCTATTTGAGCACTTACGCTCGAGATGTCACTCTGCTGTCTCAGACCTCGGGCACACTGATGCTAGCTCTCTTCAATGCACCCGGCATTATTGCTTCTTCTTTCTTCGGATGGCTGAGTGACAATCAAAAAGTCCGTCTTTCAGCCCAGACTGTGTCCGCAATCCCACCCGTCGCCTGCGCTATTTTCACGTTCTTTTTTTGGGGTTTGACTACTCCAGGCAATCTTGGCCTGCTCTTGGTTTTCTCCATGACCTTTGGTTTCTTCTCCAGCGGCTATAGTGCTACCTGGGGAGGAATGCTCAAGCAAATGGAGCGCGAATCTGCAGAAAGAAACGAAGCTGTCGATCCTGGAATGCTCTATGGTTTACTAAATGGCGTCAGAGGAATCGGATATGCAAGTGGTGGGCTTGCTGGCGTGGGACTGTTGAATGCTGGAACCATTTCAGCTAGCCCCCGCTTCGGTTATGGAACTTCATACGGACCCCTCATTGTCTTTACGGGAGTTTCTTCCCTCCTGGGAGGTTGGGTTGTTTTATGGAGATGGAATCCGAAAAGACTTTTGCCGTTGATCTCAAGGAGCTGATTCTTGCCACATCTCCAAGATCTTTGGTATTTGAGTGATTTAAAACCAGCAGGATTTTAGTGTTATAGATTTTGGGAAATGTTTTATGCATGACAGAACACGCCATTGCAAGAGTTAATTTCACTGGGACGATTTCGGTAGCGCTGGGCACAAGACTGACTCTTCGAGTATGCCATTTACTCCCCCGGGACATACAATGATATCTACATATGTATATGCCAAGAAAATTGTCCAAGACGTTGTAGGCGAATACTTACCCAATACTTAATATTTATATCTTAGTTCTTAGAAGATAGGATACCTGCCTTCACATTAAGTGGATGGGTACATAATATCTCAGGTGGAAGCCCCTACCACTTGTAACTAGACGCTTGCATGTGCCTTCGAGTCAGATTGATTCAAATCGACGATCATATCTAGACTTATACCAATGAAATATCTGATTCGGCAGTATTGATTGCACTCCGTATACTATTACTAAATATCGGCACGAAGTCCGTAGTAGCCAAGCCCTTTCTGTTCGGGAACTTAGCATTTAATTCGTGACAACAAGTACCGCCTGACTTATGCATTCCATGTAAGATTTCAAATATGGGCCCAGTCGGACTTTGAAGTTCAGCCTGGCGACCTGGTTGTCTTATTTTGAGCCGTTATCGCGGCCTATCTTCGACCTGCGGGAGGTAGAAGTCTTAGATGCTGAAGCTTCAGCAATTGAACGGTTTATAACTATTGTTTCATGAACGAATCGAAGGCCAGAAGTCGTAATTAAATTGACCTGACAGGTAGATGGCGTTTACCCCTCCAGTTGCGGGGTAATCAGAACAATTAAATTGTATCATCTGCTGACAGGATTGACCGTACGCCTACTTAGGGCAATCGGTATGACTCAAGGAACCTCGCCATCCGAAAATTTAGTTGACATATTTTGTCAACTGTTACCAGTGCTCGACTCTGTTTTATCACACTCCATACTCGTGACAACTACAATCTCATAAGCACCTCATTCTTACCACGACATAGACTACAATTGCCATTTTAATCACCGTCAAGATGACCGATCTAGATAATGCGGAATACACGCTCTATTCATCTCCCTTTTCCCTCTATTCTATGATGGTGCGCCATACCATTCAATTAGGTCGTGCGTCAAACAATGCGAGACCGCCTAAGTCAATTACCCTTCACTTCATCAACCACCGCAAGGACAAAAACCTGGAGGAAGAATACCTCAAAGTGAATCCCAAAGGCCAGGTGCCTGCCATGACTGGGAACGTCCTCGAGCATTCACTCACTGACAGTATCTCCATCTCACTCTATCTGGCTGAAAATCACTACCCTGCCTTGCTACCTGCTGAGCATGCTGCGGTCATTAAAGACCTACTACAACGCTTCCATTCCATCTATGGTCTGTCGTTTAGCAACCCAAAGCCAACAGCGGAGATGAAAGAGTACAACCCTTCACCGGTCGAAGGTCTTCTCAAAAGGACTGATATCAGCCCAGAATACCGCAAGCTTCTTGAAGGCAAACTCAAGTTGTATGTCGCCCGCTTTATCTTGTGACTTTTCTTCTGTGAATCCAATTTTTCCAATGGTTGCTTTAACGTACTTACTGACGGATTCTCTGACGGCCAGCCATAATGAGCATAATGCCACAGCCTTTCATCCAAACGTCGTGGCTAAAGCCCGCTCAGATCTTCAAACGATTTTCGCAGAAATCGTAGAACACCGCAAGCAAAGCGGTACTTTCGGCAAGCACAACGAATGGACTTTTGGTCCTGCTGTTGGCCCTACATTGCTCGACAGTCACTTTCTTCCAGTGGTACTACGCTGCATCGAAGTTGGAAATGCTGAACTCGTTCCTGAAGAGTTGCAGCTCTGGTCTGAGACTAAGTCAAAAAGCCCCTCATGGCTGAAAGTCATGCACGGCAAGCCGACAAGATATGATCCTTCGATGGGGCCAGTTGAGGATATGCAGGAGATGATGTCTCTATAGACACGTTACCAGGAATTGGTCATTATAAAGTGATGGACAAGGGCATCGATACTCATTATATTCCTCTTACATGGCATTACTCGACTCTCGCCCTATCCGAACGTATGGGGCTACGGCTGGAAAACGCGTGAGTTCTTGGGAGCCAGGCGTTTACTTTTACTGGCTTTACTTTAAGTAAGAAATAGCAATTTAGCGAATTAATATGAGTTATGAGTATTCTGATTAATTTCCACCTTTCAGTCTGGCTGGGTTCTTGTCTCAATATTTTACACCAAAGACTCTCACAGATCATCAATATAACATTTAGGAATTGAGTAGTAAAGACCCAACACGCACACAATCCATTGAACGCCGCCAAAGCTGAATACATTCATGTGTACCCCCCATTCTTCCACATAGAATTTGACGCCTTCACTTGTTCATAATCCCAAGTCACTTGAGAAAGCACTCTGCTAGTTCCCTGTGTCGTAAGACAAATTTTATATCCTCTGAAACGTAGACTCTTGACCAACTTTATCAGAAAAGGATTTGTACTTGCACTCTCAGTAAACTGCAATCCATCAATAACCCAAACGAGAGATGGCACTTTATCTTCCTCAAGGAACGCCTGTATAATTCGTAATGCGACATCTGCACTTTCATTGCTTCTATCGATTGATTCGGGCCTATCCAAATATAACGATGGGAATATCTCTTGCAATTGAGCGATGATCGAGTCGAGTAGACATAAAAGAGCGAGCTCCTCATTAGACCTTCTCTCGTGCAGCTGTGAGTCGGTGGAAGAGGTAGATTTTGGATTGCAAGAGGCAAATATGTAACGCGGTGGCGAACTTGTAGTATTTTGGTAAGGTTTCCAACTCGGTAGGTTGTCCTTTGATCTGGGGAAAAACGGCGATGTGCCCTCAATCCAGATAATGTTAAGCCTCGGATCTTCGGTCCATGCTTTGACTTTGATCAAAGCATGTCTCGGTAGCTCCATGGCCCAGATACTTGAATTAGTATCATTCAATTTTCTTGCAGAGCCGGAATGTCTTTTTCGGGTCTCTTCGAGGACAGATGGCGAGCGCATTTCATGGGGATCTGAAGGCACGTCGGCGATCTGTATATGGATCAATGGTGAGTAGGTTCCAAACTCACCTGACTGAATCTCTATATCAGAATCTGTATCATCGTCAGTATTCAAGAAAGTCGCACCGTGATCTGAAGCTGTAGGCGAAGCTCTGTTCTGTATTGGACTGTCCGCAACTATTTATGCCAGCTTCGAGCTTAGTATATATCCACATTATACCGCGAATGTAGAAGCTCGCATACCATTCTGAACATGATCCTTTACGTATTGCATTTTGGCAGTCTCTCCAAATTTTGCACTTCGAGTCCGAACATTCGTAACGAAGGATTTTCAATGGCAGATCCATTAATTACTTCGCCGATAAGGAGAGCATTGACTCATCAGTTCGAATGACTCATTATATGAGCAACCCTTACTCTTGTCATACCGTCTTGCAATCGTCTCTTTCCATCACGTATGATAATCCTAGATCGGTCGAGGAAAATTCCTAAATGGGAAGCAAGCTGATATTTGACTAAGTCTTCTGATTGGCGGGTGATATGCAGACCCACTATGCTTAACCCTAAACGCCGAAGCTCGGAGATAGTCTCTCTTCTCATATTTCCACCCAGACCACGGGTGTATATCATCGACTTCGTATGATGGTACTCGGGACTATATTATCATAGGTGAAACGATACATATGGATCGTTCTCCTGATCTCTTTAATTAAAATGTGCTGGTCCTTCATGAGAGTGTTACATCTTCCAATAGAGATGGAGATGACCCCACCATGCGCAGCTTAATTCAACCACTTCAATTGATTTCACACTAATACTATATCTGTCACCCATAATCAGTTCTCGAAATGAGTAGCGATACGTCCTCATCTGTCACTGAGGAGTTGACCAAGCTCCTACCAAAGATAGAGGTACGTATACCTTATATCCGTAAGAAAGAAAGCTCTCCCATTTGCGCTCCACATCTTTGCTTGTGTACTATTAGCCACGCTGAGGTTGTTCGAACTAAGTCTAAGAAAATAATAAGCTACATGCCCATCTCAGTGGTAGCATAACCCGGCAATGCCTTCACGAAATCTGGTATCGCAAAAAAGCCCAGAACCCGAATTTCGCAATCGAGGATCCATGGGTCCTCATGCCACCTGGCAAGGTCAACTATGGGCTTGACGTGTAAGTCTTAATCACACTATTCTTTGATAAAGTGGCAGAATTTTTTGATCGGCAGATTGATTCAGCTTCTTCGATGTATTCTCAAAAAGCATTTACAACCTCGTCAATGACGCCGAGACTATTCTCTACGCGACAAAATCTGTATTGAACGATTTCCGAGCTGATGGTGTTCGGTACCTGGAGTTGCGGACTACGCCTAGAGAGATCCGCAGTGAGGATGGTCATGTACTCATATCGAGAGAGGAGTATGTCGATATCGTCCTCCAGGGTATCCAAGAGTTCAAGCAAGAGCAGCAGAACGACATCAAACAAAATCCGGACATGTCAGTCTATCTAATCCTCTCCATTGACAGAGGACGCGACACAGCATCTTCAGCTGAAGACGTCGTCAACATCGCCGTACGCCATTATCGCACCCTCAATCCGGTCATAGTAGGCATCGACCTCTGCGGCAACCCGCTAAAGGGCACCGTCTCAACATTCCGGTCCGCATTTGAGCTTGCCAAAACGCACAATCTCGGCATAACGATCCACTTCGCTGAAACTATCTACTCAAACGAGAATGACGCAGAGGAACTCGAGACTCTTCTCTCATTTGAGCCTGATCGGTTGGGACATGTAATCCACGTCCCCGATGAGATCAAGGGAAAAATTGTAGAGAAGAAGATCGCGTTGGAGTTGTGTATGTCGTGTAATGTGCATGCGAAGATGATTGTTGGTGGGGGCGGGTTTGAGGATCATCATTTCGGGGAGTGGTGGTTAAGGACGGAGTGTGCTGTTTCTCTGTGCGTGAGTTTGTCTCTTTCCATTGTTCCCGTACTCGCTGCTGAATATCGGTAGACGGATGATGTAGGATTCTTTTGCAGTCCAGTCTCAGAGGAATACTTCCTAGCTTCGAAACATTTCGGGCTATGGCGAGGGGATCTAGTTGCTCTATGTGAGAGGGGGGTTGGTAGTATTTTCGGTGGAGAGGAGGAAAAGGCTCGTTTAAGAAAATTGTTAACTGAGTTCTCAAAACTGAATGCTTAGTAATATTGAATATAGATATCACCGAAATACACTCGACTTGTTCAAACCAACAAGCGATATTATACACTTTTGTCTATCATCATAAATCGTAAATCATAAATTAGCCCTGCCACCGAACCTTGCCCTGTCTCAACACCTTCACAACACCCAACGGCATCAAAGCCCTATCCACAGCAGACAATCCGCCATACCTCTGCACCATACCAGCCGAATATACCTCAGCCACCCACTTCCAATACGGCGACATTTGCTTCCAATCCGAGCCGATGCGATCCTTTTGCTTTCGCCATTTAGATCCACGTTGAGTGGGCTTGTTTTTATCAGCTGGTGGCAGATGGCCACTGCCAAGACCTACACTTTTCCCGACTTGGACCTCGTTGGGAACGCGTAGCAGGTTATCATAGGCGACTCTCAATGCATTGCTTGTAGTTTCGAGGTGTGCTGTGTACTCCTCAAGCGACCAAAACTTTTCAGGGGCATCTTCGTCATCTCTCTTCCAGGCGACGCCGCTGTGGAAAGTGGAACCATGATCGCCCTCTTGCCACCTCTTCTTTGCAGCTTCGTAGTCGACTTCTTCCTGCAAGTAGACATTTTCGAGAATTCTCTGCGGCGTTTGTGTGATGCTCTCCCTCATCGCGAGCAGGCTAATAAATGGGTTATGCAGCTCCAAACCGCCGAATTCGATAGGAAAGTAGAAGAACCCATCGGGCAAGTCGTGGACATCGAAGCGTTCTGCAATCACTCGACGCAAATGGTCTACCACGCCATTGTTTCCGGAAGCCTTTGAGGCTGCGTGCGCAAATACTTCTCGCTCTATACGACTCAAGGCGTTGACCGCCATGTCGATATGCTCTCGGCCAAAAGCAAACGAGGGCTTTGCAAAATTGTTGGCAAAGAAACGCGAAAAATAGCTGTTCCAGGCCTGGACCCATGCAAAGATACTCTTGCATGCAGAAAGCTGGTGTCGCAATTCCTCGATATGAGCATCAACCTGGTCCTGGTCGATGAGAAACCGACCTCGCTCCGGATCAAGCCTCAAGAATCCCCACCGAATATCACCTCGAGGTAACGGATCGAACGCGTCATCCATAAAATGCTCAGCATCCGACTCGGAATCTTCCTCTTCCTCGTCCTTGGAGTCCTCGTCACTTGAAGATGAGTCCTCTTCATGTCGTTGCCGCTGTTTCTGGCCTTGTGAATTGATCATTCTCCCAATTCGAGCAGTTCCTGTCTTTTCCTCGTTGAATTCCAGTCCAGTCACCGCAGTGAAATCAGTCATTGCCCTCCACGCTTTACGGCATGTTTTCTCTTCTCCCCAGAACCAAAAATCATCATGCAAGCGGTAAAGGAAGGCGCCGTCCGCATGCTGATTAACGGCATAATCCATGCAGAACAGAATAACCTCCCCAAATACGTCCGACAAAGAATGGCTGATAGGAATGCCTCGTTTTCGGGTTTTTATTTCAGCTTGTGGGCCATCGTGAACAAACTTCAATGGACATTCTAGAAACTTCTTGAAGAATTCCAGCCAGTCTTGAGGGACGCCGAAGAAATTTAAAACTGCTAGCAGAGTACCATGGGGAAGCGAAGGTCCAAACCATTTAAAGTCAGATCGTATGACAGTGAATTGGCCACGAATTCGATTGTGGATAATTGACTCTGTTATGAGCAAATGAAGTAGCGAATGCTTGGTCTCAATAGCTGATTTTCGCTCTGTAGTAGCATGGTCATCGTCGTCACCATCGTCATCATATCCTCGCTTCCCTTCCTGGAGGGACTCAGGCAGTTGACTCATGAAATAATCTTCGCGATACATTTTTTTACGGATGGCATCGACAGAATAAGCTTTGGTCGACTGGCCGGTAAAATATCGTCGTCGGTCAACCCATGCTTTTGGTATAGTTTTTGCATTTGACTTCCATGCACTAGAATCAAAGAATTGGAGGAACACATGCCTTAACTCAACCGCCCACTTCAAACCAATATAGTGGAAAAGAAGCGCATCGATGAGATCCTCGTCCATAAAGACACGGTATTTGCCATTCAACTGACGACGCATCTCAACTGGCACACCTTCTGTCGACCAATTCCAGCGATCCAGAGCGACAAACCGCAGGTTCAGCACATCGGCGACTTCTTGCGCAACCTCATCGTTTCTCAGAAATTCCTTCAAAATCATAACCTTTTCCGGAGATAGCAAGTCGCTACCCAACAGTGACCGACTAACATTTTTGAGTAGCTCGATATCAAAGGAATCCTTTGCTTCTGATCTGAATTGCATTCCGAAGGTTTTGACTTGTTCTCGTAGGTCCCTCAGAGCCTGTTGAGAAAGCTTTGTACGGGTAAAAAGCCGCTCCAGATAGGTTTCAATACTTTGAGAGTCGACATCTGCAGGTGAAAAGACCAAATGTTCCCAGGTAGTGCGCTGTTCGTGCATCGCGGCGCGGCCAACGTTTTCAAACGCAGATTTGTCTGACTTCGTATCGTCCTCCTCATCGATACCATCTAGGTTCTTGTTCGTGGAACCTTTTTCTTCAAAGTTTGATAACCACTCAGTCACCATATCGCTGTAAAAGGTAGCATGCTCATACTTGACCGACAACATCTCAAAATCACTCTCCAAACTCTTAATCCAACCCGTCAAAACCTCATCGGAAATAGACCTGTCATATTGGCTTTGGAACAAGAACCGCCGAATATTAACATCCCTACTCCTTTTCCAATCCGGAGAAGACAGATCCGCCAGAGATGACGGCGAAGACGAACTTCCCACGTCATCTTCCCGATCAAACGCATCCTCGGGCCTTCCAGCCAGACGGGTCACGCCTTCCAGCAAGATCTGAACTTTGCGGCGGAGGTCATTGTCAGGAACTGCATTGGCGGCTTCCAAGATCTCGGATTTGCGTTGGTTAAATAAGGCGCGTTGTTTGGAGAGTTCTTCGAGTTTGGTGGAGCTGATTGATTTGAGGGTCAGGGGGAGGGCGCTGGTAGAAGTCATTATTTACTTCGTCGTTGATGAGATATATGAGGAAGGGTATAGTAAATGCAGATGGAGTATGAAGAAACGAATGAAATCAGTCTGGTATCTAGGTAGCGCTGTCTCTTGTACCCCGCCGTGGACGTTGTCACACGGAATATCAAAGAATGAGATAATTGCTTTATTTATAACCCTCTACCTGACTCAGGTTCAACAGGCAACCACGCTCAATGAGTCAATTATCGAGCATCCAAATAGTTTTTCAGGTAAGTAAATATCGAAAAATGAAGCTCAGCCCTTTTCTTGTGTAAACAAATGGACCAATGACATCATGTATCTCGCCCGGCGTCTTTTTCGGGCTTAGTGGATATCTGCCTCGGATGAACTGTCGGCGTCCAAATTAAGATGGAAACACTCTTTGTGCAGATTGGTGCCTATTTACTGCTTCTACCTAGGGATGATATATCGCTCATCTGACAACAAAAGTGAGTCATAACAGTTCAATCGAACCAAGACAACGGTCTAGATGTCGTACTGTCAAGAAAAAAAAGAAAAATACAAGCTAAAGCCGCAAGACAAAATCATCAAATCATCAACTCGTCAATCAAAAAGTCGAGTATCCCTGACTCTTATCCTTCTTGTTATACGCCAAGGTATCTTCCTCGGGGATACTCCTCGACTCCTCGTCAGTGACCACTTCCTGGCCATAGGCCACAGTGAGATGATCAACATCCACGTCGACTTCGTTCCAAGTATCGCTCGTCGCGGGGATGGGAAAGGCCCAGCATAACAAATAATAAATCGTACCGGACACGATGAAGCCAGCGAAATAATTCACGTTGTAGATATATTGAGCGCCAATTGGCACGTTCGCGCCGACGGCACCTGCGAATCCGACAATATTGACCAGAATACCGGAAATATAAGCCGTAAAACCGCGCCATGAGAAGCCAAATGTGAAGTAGTATGGCGAACGCTTGCGGGCACTGTAAAGCTCACGAAGCTCTAGATATCCCTTCCGCACAAAGTAGTAATCTGTAATGATGACGGCGGCGATTGATGAGAGGAACACGGTGTAAGCAGACAAGTAAGTCGTGAAATTGTTCGATGACGAAGTCAATTTCCAAGGACACATGGCCAAACCGATCGCAGCACATATATAACCACCACGTCGAATGTTGATAAATCTCGGGAGGAGAGCAGTCATATCTGTACCAGCAGAAACAGAATTTGCTGCAATATTGGTTCCGAGCTGTGCAAGTGCGAATCCAAGAGCAATGACAAAAATACCGAAACGTTGACCAGAACTAGCTCCATTGAGGAACTCAGACAGTAAATCGAGAGGACTCCAGATGGTTTTACCATAAATGACTGTTGAAGAAGACGAGGCAATAATTCCAATGAATGAGGTAATTGCGAATCCGACAGGAATTGCAAACAGCTGAGACCACAGAGCACTCGTCTTTGTCTTTGAGAAACGAGAGAAATCGGGGTCATTAACGATCAAGGTTGCGAAGTTGGCAATGGATGACATGATGCCTTTGACTATGGCCCAAGCGAGAGCACTTCCGTGCAAGGCAGTAGGTTGGTGAATGATTGGACCAATGCCGTTGGCGCGACTGATGGCCCAGGCGAAAAATGCAATCATAGCAATTGGAGTGTAGATTGACTTGACCGTGAAAAGATGACGGATCTGGTGAACTGGGAACCAGATGGCAGGCAGACTGCAAAGCCAGAAGACGAAGAAACTGACAAAGTCTTTGGTGGTGGTGCCAGAACTGGCGGGGATGTGGTTGGGGATGTTGGCGTAGCTAGGCCAGATGGCAGTGATCATGACAGTCACACATTCACCTCCGATCCATGCCTGGACACCATACCAAACACACTACTATGCATTAGCCATCGACCCGTGATTAGGTCGTCAGGGAGAGCGAACATACAGCCATCGCGGCACGATTAAAGACTGGCCATAGAGAACCCCAGACACCGAAAGACGCTCTCGACACGACGGGGAACGAAACGTGATACTGCGCACCAATGCGACCAGTAGCAACAATCAGTATGGCGGAGATGGAATATCCGATCCAGACACAGATCCAGGCCTGCCACCAAGCCAGATCGACTGTATTGGAGCCATTGGTGGATTGAATAAAGGACGAGGCGATCATCCATGTGTTCTGCTCAATTAGCTTTTACCCATAGTTCTGATATTGTCAGGACACGTACGATGTTCGCGGAATCGGCAATCCAAAAAGCGACGAAATTCCACCAGCCCCATTTCCTGCGTTCGGGAGGGACTATTGCATCATGTCAATTCTTCGTCGCATGCGAGAGGGTAGAGAACAATTACCCGGACGCAAGTCATCGTTGGTCAACATCAGCTGAGCATTAGATAGACCAGGCTCGCTTTCGACGGCGATCTTGTCCACGAAACGACGGACCGACATGATGGCGGGTAGGATCCAAGCTCGATGTCAAGCAATAGAGGAAAAAAAAATAAAGGAAGTTTCTATAACTACCTTCAATGAGCTTCAAGCAGAAGAAAAAGATGCAGAAACACAAAGCCGCCAACCCATTGATGTTGGATGATGTGTGGGTGGGTATGGTCCATATATAAACACCAGGTCGGAGTCGCCGCGGAGTCGCAGCGAGAAAAGTGGCTAGGGTCCAAAGGATCCAGAATAAAAGACTACTTCCGCCATTCTAGCCGCAGAAATGAGAAAGACTAGAATAAACAATCGCGTGGAGTGAGCATAACCAGATAAGCTGAGGCTTGCTCTGAGTGGTCATGATGGCGTTATCTTCTCCTGGACTTTCTCCTAGACGGGTGATAAGATACAAAGCTGGACATGTGATTCGCTGGGCGATTCCGGGGTTAGCCCTCTTTCTTGCTGGGCCGCCTATCATGACGTTGTATGCAGATCTCCATACACGCTCTCCATACAGAGTAAAGAGCATATACCCTCTATACTACGTAGTACTGGATGCATCACCCGCAACCGGCATATGATCTCACCAAGGACACTCCCCATACACCACAACATATGAATACTCACTCATACCACCTGCTACAGCATCGAATACTTCCAGACTACGCTGTAGGACAAAGTAGGATCTTTGTGGGTCACGCTCCCGCTCTCCGTGCCCAGCCTAACCTTTTGTGGCTGATAGCGAAGATACAAAAGATAACGCCCCAAGATAAGCTTACTTGCTGACTCGATGTGATCGAGTAATCCGGAGTAGACTGCATGACTATGCCATACTGTGTATAGTATGCGGTGTGCTCACGGACTTATACTTTCTCTTCTTATCTACACTTTCCTTTCTCTCTCCGTGCTAGAGTTTCGCATATCTGATCTCTACTATGTAGCATGCAAGACCTGGAATGAGCACGTGGTACTAACCCAATTCCGGACTAGTGCGCATGCAGAAGTTCACGGAATTGGCGTTCCTTGCCGACTATTCTATTACTGCAAATTGGTCTATGATCTGGAGTACTACCGGGGTATGTGCAGATGGGTTTGATCTGATCTTGAACGCTATGCTATGCAACTAGTCGACATCATCCTTTGCTGTTCCACTTTCCAAACCTGACATAATCATCATGCAAAGTCTTGAAAATCGCCCGAGACGAAATATCCATCCCCGCATTCAATCCCCGTTTGCTCTCTGCCGGCATTGCGTCGAGTATCGCGTACAGTCCCGGTGCTAATGCTGTCTTGATCTCGGGCTGTAGTGGCGCTTCCAACATATTCTGTGCGTAGCTCTCAATCAGGATTCGGAGGTGTTGGCCCGCAATCACTTTGGCCTTTTTGGTCTGGTCGATTAAGCTGTTGTTACTGTTGCCGGTAGGGCGGCTTGGTCGGGATACTGCGGATACGGTAGGATCGCAGAGGGATGTAAGAAGGCGAGTGAATTGAACGGTATGAGAGATCCCGAGAGCAGCTCCACCTTTTTGATAGCGCTTTTGGCTCGGAGCAAACAGCGCTTTGAGAAGACTTTGCAGTGCCGGGATTAAGAGGTGGAACCGGCCGCCGAGCTGCTGACGATAAAGCCCAACGATAGTCCCCATTATGCGACAAAGACGTGTGTAAGTTGTACTTACAGACTTGGTCGATATATGGTTTGTCTCACGCAGGGAATGTATCTTTGACATCGTCGCAGTGACTGCCGCAAGACAGCTGTCGATGTTATACTGTGTCACTCCTCGCGAGTGCAAGCGCAGAATGATATCCACGTTCTCCGCTGCAAGTGAAAACCTCTCAATATCATCGATACTATGCTGTAGGACGTGCGTAACGGCAGTGCATAGTGACGATACTCCTCGTGCTTCAGCACTGTCTTTTTCTGTGATTTCGTTGAGAGCTGAAGCAGCCAATCCACTGAGTAGCAGTCGGCTAGCCCCTTCTGAACATTCGAATCCAGCTGTCTTGAATTCGCCAATAGCTTTGATGCGGTCTGCATTACTCATATCTTTCAACTTCGTCGTAAATTCTCGCACCAAATATGTCTGTTCACAGGCTTGCATTCGACATAGATCAATACCTTGTAGTAAAGTCGATTCGTTGAAGCCCAAGCTATCACTTGTAGCTGCTCGAGCAACTTTCCGCCGTTGGGTTATGTATTTAATGCCGTTAATCAATACCGGATCATTCTCTCCTAAATCCGTCGAGGCTTTGTCAAGTTCTGTCTTCTGAGCTGCGAGATCGTCAAAGTCTTCCATCATCTGATGCGTCGTGGCAAGTATAATAGCCGCTTCAGGGTGCGATTTCCGTCGTAGAGTCTTGGTACATTTATCAAGACGACTCAGCAACAGACCAAAAATTTTCTCGCGCTGACGAGCTATGTCGTCCATTGTTTTCGACATTTCTTCCCGCTTTTCCCACAGCAACCGCAGGGACGCCCCAACGAAGATAGGCGCAAGAGTTGATGGTTGATCCTTATTCTTGACACTCGATTCCAACTGCTTTGTGGATGATTCAACTCGGGATGTCGTGAGTTTATAAAAGCGTTTTAGAAATTTTCCAGTTTCTGCTGGTGACTTGCAAGCTTTGTATTCGCACTCAAACGCCGTGCGGATCAAGGATCGAAACGACTCGATTGTGCGCATATCCATAGGCGAGTCTTGCAAAGAGATGTCCGATGTAATCCATTCTAGTATCTCTGACCCAACCTGTCTCGACTCTTGACACCACCCATTTATCAAAGACACCATGTGAGGGACGAAATCAACAGGATAATCCACTTTCGACAGTAGAGCTTCAATCGTGTCTTTGAATTTAGGCACCTCCTGATGACGAACTGGAATACCCGGTAAGTCCTGAACAATGCCCGGTAGATACCGAACAATCACCGGCTGTGTTTGTTCACTCTCTACCATTTCCATAAACAACTCACAAAGGGAGCGTGCAACTCCCGAGGCCAATGATGGAGTATCTGCGAGATAGTCATAGGACAGAAAAACGCTCCATAATTGCTTGAAAGACATACACTCGGTGATCTCAGGGATCTGATGCTTCCAGTCTTGGCCGGAAGATGAGGCAAGATCCCAGAAAAACTTGACAAAGCATTTCAAGTCTTCAAATACCAGCTCAGATAGAAGATCTGGATGCTCTAATAGGCACTCAATGACAGCAGTCGCCTGCTGAGCTAGTCCATTAATATCCTTATAACGTCCGTTCCATCCTTCCAGTTTAGCCTCAAAGATAGAGCTTGATGATCCTGTTAGGCAATTGATGATAACGTGTAGGATCTCTCTTCGTTCAGGTGAATTGCCATGGTATAATTCTTTGCTCAGCGACACCAAAAATTGACAGGCTTCGAAGCTCTCTTGATGACCATTCCAGCCAGATCTGAGCTTTGTTGGTCCAGTTGAAAAATTTGCTACAACCAAGGCTTCGCGTTTGAACTTGTCTGCAAGCTCGTTCGGGGTGTTGAATGTACTCTTGAGGCCTATCGGCATCAAGTTCCGAGCCACCCTCCACAAACGCCAAAGCCAGTGCCTGTCTCCTTTGCGTTTCGACAATGTTTTGTGCAGTGATTCCATCAAACCAGTCACCAGGTCAATGCGTAAACCTGGCAGTCCACTCTGTCCCCATATACGAGTGCCTGCTTCCAGGATGACGAAATAGGCGTATGAGTCTGGCGCTTTTGAAATATGTCCCGATTTTGTCACAGTAGAAATGGCTGTCTCAATCTGCGTTTTCAAGAATGTATCGCTTATAGAGCCCCTCAATGCCTCTTGATAAACAAGGAGAACATCATCGTCCTCCCACACCGAGTACGCCAAGTCGTTGCGTGCAACTTCTATCTCACGCAACTGCTCATACCAGAACCCGGCAAACGTTGGGAGATCTCTGGCACCGGCAAATGCTCGAATCAAAGGTATTACTACCTTCTCTTTGACAAGCTGATAAGTCTTTTGATCGCTCATGTTCCCCCGGATATGATGCAGAGATAAAAACAGGGCATCTAGAAGACGACTTGAATCTTTGAATCCAGAGTTTGGTAGAAAAATATCGCTCTCAAGCTCCATCAACAGAATTGTCAAACTCCACCGAACTTGTTGGGGATCTTCTTTTCCTTTCAAAAGTCCTGTGTAGGAAGCATGGGTGAGGAAGGTGTTCGGAGACAGGCTTATTTTTCGAGCACGGACAACGATGAATAATTGTTCTAATAGTGATATGAATCCAAGAGTATTACCGCCGAGCTGCTGCGTACTGGAGTAAGCCAGCTCTGCTAGAGCCACGAAGACAGTCTCGAGCCATGACGCCTCGGCATTCTGACGGCGGAATGAATCTCTTGGTACAGACCTCGCAACGATATCGTAGAAAGTCGGAATAAGTTCTGCTGGCTTCCAGGTTGCAGGGAAGCTACATGAGTTTTCGTCAACAGAGCCGATATCTGTTCCGTTGCATTTTATATCTATTGGTGCGCGGTCTTCAAAGAGCGGTTTGAAGGTTGCGGTGACTGGCTGTACGGCGCTCCAGTCAGGATCTTCAGCTTTTGAATAATCTATACCTGATCCGCCTCGTTCCATGAACAGACTTCGCGCGGGGAGGATAACATGAAGCGCAATGAGTTTCTCGATAGAACGTGTTATGAAACGAGCATCGTCACTTTCTGCACCAGACGAGACTACAAGACGATGTAGCCTCAGCACTTCCAGGAAACAAGATTCCGAGAATGCAGTCTACCGTGTAAAGTTAGCTTCAAGCTGATTTGCATTGTTATTTTTGTAGGGACGACTCACATTTATGGAACTCTTGTCGATACCATTGATACCCACTTTTTTAAGATCCCACAGACTAAAATATACGGTAGCAGTCTTCGATAAGTGTTGCAGCTGATCGCTTTTCTTCTCCTTTGCATATTCAACGATTAGGCCAGCAAACAGTCTGATTAATTTGCCCAGTATCTCGGCAGCGATTGCAGGATCCAGTCGGAGTGATTGCTGTAGATGAAACTGTGACACATCTCCTCGATCACTCTGGGTATTGACTAGGTTCATGAGAACATAAAAAGCGTCCGAAAATCGACCATAAGCAAGAATTGCCCGTTCCGATTGTGACTCTCGGTTGCCCGCATCGTACATAACAATGTCGTTGTCCGCATCGGCACTGTCATTTCCTCTCTTTCGTTTCTTCGACCGAACCGGGGATCCTTGGACAGTCTCACTGGTCTCTGAGTCGGAAGATATTCGGTTTGCGCCATCTGAGAGCGACTTGAAGACCGCATTATTCAAATCGTCCACGATGTTCTTCAATATCTGCGCAAATTTGTACTCCACAAAAGTTGAGGCGATTGCCCTTCGGGAAATTCGTTGCAAAAGCTGTTGTAAAAGAATGTATGAACGAGGATGTACTCGGTATGTTGTAGTCTTTAGTCTTTTAAGTAGCCATCTCAACACCCATTCTTCCTTTGGAGCCGGTCGGGTGATCAACTCGATTGTATTCGAACTCGGTAGCGGAGAGCTAGTGTCAGAGAGGTCTAGTTTCAAGATTTGTGCTGCTGCGGCGAGTTGTCTGTCGCTGTCCTCTGTACTTTTCTCGAGTTTCAACAGCGCTTCCTGCGACGGACCGGCAATCTAGATTTTGTATCGTTAGAATAATTCCCCGACAAAGTGGCTATGGCTTATATTTCGGCAATCAAAGCGTACCTCTTTGCTAGGAGCCATGGCAACAGCGCCAACCTGATCCCCGTCGTAGAAAACAAAAGCTGGTACTTCTGTAACTGCTGCAAATAAATTGTCCGTCTTTCTTTCCTATCGATAGACAAAAAAATAGTAGACCTTACCGTATACGGGCTAGCGTCAACAGCTCCGGTGCTATCAGGGCATCAGCCAAGCCGAGCCTAGTTTTTCCGACGAAAGCCCGCCAAGGAGCTCACTACGTACATGCAACAACATTGGTTTACCTCTCCAATTCTCTGCGATATTCAACGTCGGGTCCCCGTACATACTCTTTTTATACGTAAGTACAACCTGCATGTGAAGAATTGGCATTGATGACTAACATGAAATAGAGATCCTGTCGCAATGGCCGAAACAAACGAGACCAAGCCGACAGTCCCGGTTGCGCGCTCAACCAAGCCCGTGAGCGAGGCTCTACTCAATGAAAAGGTAAGCAGTCGATCAAGCAGTCACAGCAGCTACAAAACTCTCGTGTCTTATTGGCCAATCGCACCCATTCAACTAACTCGATCTTCAATTGATAGTGGGACCGCGCCATTTCTTCTCTGATCGTTCGCTCTTCCATCGGCCTCGGATTCGGTGTCGTTCTCTCAGTCCTTCTCTTCAAGCGGAGAGCTTGGCCTGCCTGGGTCGGTCTCGGTTTCGGGGCTGGCCGCGCATATGAAGAAGCCGATTGTACGTATCCCGCAATGCTTAATTGCTTTGTTCGTTCCATACTAATCCAGTTTTTCTGATTAGCCGCCTTCCGACACGGCGATAGCCCCATTGCCAATGCTGTGCGTCAATCTAGGTCGTGAGAGTATACCCGGGTCGTCGAAAATGTGCCAGAATAATGTCCTCCTTTGATATATTATCATTATGTCACCGCCAATCAAACAATCAAGTATGCCTTCACGTGTTCCATAAATTTCAAGGCAGATTCGTCCTACGAGGATTTTTTGCGTACGGTTGGATTCTGCTCTTTCCCTTTTTTTTTGTTGAAGTCGAATTATGCGTTACAATAGACTAGTGCGCGTTTTCTGTTAGAAACTGTCCATGTATTGTTTATATACAGAGAGATGAACATGGGGAACTTGAAAGGATGCTCTGATGAAGTACTCAACTATTTCATGTGTAAATGCATGTTTAGTTCCAGTTCCTACATATGAGAAGAGACTATATGTAGATTTTTTGATGCCAGTCAATTCTATTATTCAATTTCCGGTACTACAATGTCTATGTAAGTATCACCGGCAATTTTCGCATCCATCTAATTCACAGGGGTATCCATGGTTTGTCATCAATCATTCAGCATTGGACAACGTCAACTTCTTTCAAACAAGCGGCGTCTCAACAAGCCGCGGACTCAAATCTGATGGAGAATATTGATCCATCGAACGAGTTTTACCCGGGTTCTGGCTGTAATAATCATGGAACTGCTGCGGAGGAGAAGCCTGATTGGGTATAGGTTGGCTCTCTGCAGGCATTGATTCTAAGACAATACCGTCGTGACCGCTATGGGTGATGCATCCGACACAACTACAGTCATTCCCACATTGGCACGTCCCTGTTATATCTGAGCAGAGAGTCAAGCCGACAGGATACTCAATCGTATAATATTCGGAGGGTTGCATGAACTGGCTGTTAGCGTAAGTGGGTGAAGTGATGTTGTTGTCGAAAGTAGAACCGAAAGTATTGTCGTCTGTAAAAGACGGTTGTGTGTTTTTCGGCGCGGAGTGGCTCTGTTTGGATGAAATTCTGGACGACATGGCTGGCGGGCTGTTCAGTCCTGAAAATGGACTGGAAGTACCAGACTTCTCTTCGTCCTCTTTCACGGTCATCATATATCCCATTTCTTGCACATGTTGTCGCGTTGTTTCGTTGTATGGATGGCTAGCACATCCCAGGCATTGACAGCTATCACCACATGAGCAATCATGATTGCTATCGTCAACGAATGGTAGTGACATGTCGAAAGGATATGAAGCAGTATTTAGGTAGAATTGATGCATGGTCGGTCCACTTATATTAGCCTGGTGTTGTGTATCCATATGATGAAACGTTCGAGGCATGGTAGACTGGTTCGATTCATGTTGGTTTGTGTAATATGAAGGCTTCGTGTTCATGGTTGTGTAGATGTTGCTCTGAGAGGCGAAGTCGATATTCGGTAATTGGGTATTCCACGATGTATTTTGAGAATTGTAGAACGATTCATTCCATGCTGAATTGAGGCGATTGTCAGACATACTTAGAACCGGCTCTTCTTCCTGTTTTGTCGCACTACCCCCACAGCAGGATCGTTGCTGCGGCTCCGATGCTGGGGTAACAGGCTCCGTTTTTGCAGGTTTTTCAGAACAACACCCACGTGGCTTGTTCTCTGTTTTAATCGATATGGCCTGGGTCGATCCATATGACGGCATGTGTATATCTCCAGAGACAGGTGTATAAGTTGTAGAGCGGTCCAAAGTAGGTGTCTGCGCCGATATCCGAAAGTCATTCTTATACTCTGCTTGCATAAGCTCAGAGTCCAGGGCCTTGATGACATTATTTGAGGGATTCTGAAAATTGCTTGGTCTCCGCGTATGCTTCTGTATTCGTCCTGGTGCTGCAGTCGATACTATCGGTATAGTCGGATTAGGTGGTAGCGACGGTGTCCCAGAAGTTGTGGGAACTGATTGTGTCTCTGCTGTCGAGCTGGCAGGGACTTGATACAAGGGTCTGCACAAGCAAGTTGAGCCTGTACCAAGCTGAGTCAGTATAGTTGACATCAAGACTTCGACTGCAGGATATCCTACCCTTAGGTATTCGGACCATGAATGCATAGACTTTTTCACAACTGCACGTCCCCTTAGGATGCGGACACTTTGCCAATGGTCGCCCGGCTTTAGGAACTTTCATCATGAGACGATCGAAATGCTGGCATTTTGATGAGCGATGTCCACGCATACATGGCTCACTGGTGATCGTATTAGGGACAGAACATCACGCAACCTTTTCCCGCGCTAGGGTACGTACCACGACCATTTGGCGCCTTCTTCGTCGAGAGGCATGACTGAAACAAATCACTCCTGTTCCACGCAAAGAAGAGGAACAATATTTATCTTCTCAAACCCACCAGATCATGCGAATTTCAAGGTGCATATCAATTGTTTATTATCGAATCTCCAGATTTGCACCGATCGGGGCCGAGAAGATCGTCCAACGCAGCAGACCCCGCACCACGGTTGCAACTCGCTTGACCAACAACCAATGTCGAATATTAGAGATTGAAGAAGAGCCAGGTGGTAGAACAACCAGTCCTCAATGCGATTCGAAGTCAGACAAACATCGTACCTCTGACTAACGATATGTTGAGGAAGTAAGTGTTTCAGTACGGGACCTGGAACTGATCGGACCGGGTTCATTGTTCCGAAAGCGGACTAAACTGCTGGTATGACTCGAGGCTTTTCACATGCCAAGAAAACGTGATCGCAGTTGAGGGACGGCATTTCTGTCCAATTGGGGTGGCTTCTTACAGCTGATGAGTGGTCAAGGGCGCGGGGCGGTGAGACATGCTTTTCGATATTGCCAACATCTAAACATTTATGGGGACCCTTTGGTTTGACATACCAGAGCTTTACAACCTTACGACGAAGCTGTCTAGCTTTATGGATAATAATTCTGAAATCGTCTGAAATATMCCCGCCAGAATTGCCGTCACTCCCATGCCCTCACAAACGCGTGTGAACGCTGCCACGCCGGCTGGAACCGAGCATGACACCGAACCTCCTCGGCCAGCAACTCCCAGTGTAGTGCGACCGAAGAAGCTATTCAGCGTGCCCGCGCCAGTGAAACAAATCTTCGACAAATTCCCACTGACGACATACGAAGCGGAAGATATTCCTGGCAATGTACACAACAGCGGAAGCTCCGGGCGGAATAGATTGTTCGTTTTTATCGATCCCAAACAAGCGGCGACAGGGGCACCATCTTTCAATCCTCAGTGTCTCAAATGGCAGGTGTGTATCGCGCACTACTGTTTTGAAACATTACGCAAGTTGACCAAACGCGATAGGCCTATTTGAAATTCGTCGGCATAGACTTTGACCTTGTCCCTTCAAACAACCACGCTTCTCCAACGGGTGCCCTACCTTTCCTCTACCCAGCCTTACCAGCTGCCACGAGATCTCCGATTCCTTCCAACAAGCTACAAAAGTGGGCTATAGAACAAGTGCACTGTGAAGAAGAGCAGCAACTCAATATACGATTTGATGTATACGCCTCATTGATTGACCATCGGATACGTAATGCATGGGTGAGTCTCGACCATATAGCAGGGTACAATTTCAGCTCACTGATAATTCGTAACAGCTACATCAACTATATCTAAATGAACTCAATTTCAAGCAAGTAGCTCGAAAACGCTACATTAATCCCGCCACCTCATCTTCAGCCGTTCGAACAGCGCTAGCCGTTCAATTACAGTCAGCAGCACGGGATGAATTGCTCAAATATTCAGACTATATCGATGTCAATACTCTAGAAGCTGATGCAGATAGCGCATTCGAAGCTCTTTCTACACTACTTGGCGAAAACGAGTACTTCTTCAATCGCAGTCAACCAGGGTTGTTTGATGCTAATGTTTTTGCATATACGCATCTCATATTAGATGAGAATATGGGATGGAAATATAACAGATTGGCTCATTTGTTGTCAAAACACGAGAATCTAGTACGACATCGTGAGGTTCTGTTGCAAAAGTACTTTTCGTGAGGGAAGGGTCAAAAAGGCATACGGCGTTATTTGGCATCGATCCGAAATCTGGATTGAACGTACAATAGATATATGTACCATATATGTACAACATTCACACTATAATCGACAGCATTGTCTCCTCATGATCATTTTCATTGGCCTACTTCATTTCTTTCTGAAACACACTCCTAACCAAACAAAACATACACCAGCATACTTCTGTGACCTGGGCCCAAGCCTCTCAACCATATCCGGCGTGACCTCCCTCTCAATCACCCCGTCAACACAACCATGCGACCTAGCAGCCTTTCCAGTCGGCAACTGCACAACCTCAAATCCCCACCTCTCAGCCTCCGCCAGAATTTGTCCTACTTCATGCGCATAACTCCTTGATGGACGCACTTTCTTCCCTGTAGCAGAGTCCACGAAGCCAGCTTGACTTCGCTTACCCATGTCTGCGTGCATATTTGTGACCAGGAGATATGCGCCTGAGCGAAGAATTGATGCAGCTGCTCCGAAGAAGTTGTTTAGGGGTATGTGTTCAAGGACGAGGGTTGAGATCACTCCGTCAGCGTCTCGTACGAGATTCAGGGTTCGTCTGTTGGAAGGGGCCTCGATATCGGCGAGGAGGTCGAAGGGTGCTAGTTCTACTTCTATGTCCGCTGGCCGGTTGACTGCATCAATTCGCTGGCGTGCGACATCTAGCATGCCGTTCGAGGCGTCGACGCCAATGATCTGAACATTTGATTGCAATGAATCCTGAGAAATGGTATCCAGAAGTTGCAATGTATTCCTGCCCGTACCGCAACCCAGATCGACCAGTTTATATTCCTGACGACCTATCTGTCGTGTTTGAGCTTTGATTTGGGCCCATAGCTCGGGAAGCATCCACTGCATTTCAATTGTGTCGAGTGCTTGCAGGAAGTTGCCGTCTGTGTCATAGACCTGTTTGAAGAATGTTAATAGTCTGTTTTGATATTCAGGTTCAAGACTTTCCTTACATCGGCCCATTGATCATATGCTTGTATGGTGTCGATATAGGCCACATTCGTGTCCTGTGCAAGGGTGGACTGTATCGTTGGTGGGTGTTGCGACATGGTTGTAGTGGTTGGCCTGGACCTTTCAAGAATGATCCAAAAGTCAATGGATATGAATCACAACTTCGAGAAATGATATCTTCTTATATGGGTGACCACAAATCCGAGGCTGTAGTAGTATTGCCAAATATCAGATTCTCTCAAAGCCGATCGGAGTGACTCATAATGACTCTACAGACTGAGTCAAGCGCGGATTGAAAAATTCACATAGTTTCAAAATGACCTTCTACTTTTGGCAATCTCCGTATAATTTGGGGATATAGTTGTCTCAAAGTAACCTCTATCTAGGTGCAGATTGAAGATTGAAAAAAGAAAACCGCTGGTCTTGGAGGCGGTGTCATTTTGATCCATATCCAGGAGTTGGTGATGAATGTAAAATCGCGATGCTATTGGACCCCACGAAAATCTCCGAATTAAGGCTAGATATTATATCCAAACAGTCACCTCAGTGTTCTTAGGGAATGGACTCTTTATTAGTAAACTGTTTGGGTTGTTGACCAGTTGATAGTTTGAAGATCATCACATCACAATAGTATACATGATACACTGAGCAGGAAGGAAATTTTATGCAAGTCTATATAAAAGTACACCGGATCGTTCTATAAGATCTGCGATGGGTATCTCAGGCCTCAAATAAACCACTCTTTCGTTCCATTACATCCCTTCGTTAACCTCCATTACAGTAAGTTCCAACGCGTGCTCATACCTGCGATTGCACGTCTATTGGGCATTCTTTTCTTGTCGTTTTTCTTCGTTGAGTTTCAATTTCTGTCCAACCTGCAGAACGGCACGCTCCACTTCAATGGCTATCGCTGGGGTTTCCAGAATCTTGCCGAGTTCTTCGCCGTCTTTCATCTCTAAGAGTAATCGTTCCTCGGCGGCTGCCTCATCCTTAGGGGCCGCTGTTTCCTTTTCAGTTAGTTTATTGGTATCTTTAGTCACCATATTGCTTTTCGTCTGGTGTCCTGGGACACCGTTTTTCAGTAATCGGGTTGCATAGAAGCTCTCCAATTCGGGAAATGCATGCGGGCTAATCAAGTTGAGATCGAGTAGGTGTATAAGGTGTTTTGAACCACTCCAAGCTGTGATCAAAGTCAGTATGTGGGCACTTAGAATTGAAATATCAGACTCACCTCGCCAATGCGACCAGGCACGATATGCAAGATAGAAGAAAGGAATATTAGGTACTCTAGATCGTTGGTCAGCGTGGTTGAAATCCATCTGCAGCACAGGGCCTTACACTGGAATAATTGCAATAGGCGCAGTCAAAGGCGCAATTCCTATACACCACCACATCCTCCTCCGATGTAATTCCTGCCGTTCTGTGCCCAATTTCCTCAAGATACCAAACACGTCTTCACTTTTAATTGCATTTTTGGGAAACATCACGTCGATCTTCTGTTTTTGTTGTGCTTCTTGAATCTGAAGACTTTGACTGAGCGGAGGAATGCTTTTCAGTCCCCATTCCTCGTATGGGATTCTCTGCAAAATGACATGTCCATAGCCGACGAGTTGTTTCTTCCATCCTTTCTCTGCCTTTTCCCAGCCAGCCCATATCTCGGCAGCTTTGTTCGTTACACGGTCAACGTATCCGGTCTTTATGGTTTTGGGTGGACGACAGTATATGAAGGCTCGTTTGGTCGAGATGGGGACGAGGAAGAAACGCATCGCAGCGGTCAGTTAAGGACAGGCGGCGGAATAACGATGTCGATTTGCGCAAAGGGTTCGTATGTATCAGTGCATGAATACCATATTTTGTCTTTCCCTGGCGTCTTTCTGTGCCGCAGAGGAAAATGTTCACTGGTCGATTGAATAGTAAAATTGAAAATTGAAGTTGTTACGTAGCTTAACTAGCACATGTGTACAAGACGTCATACCACTGGCTCGCAATTAGCGGGTGGTGCCCCAGGCAGTCAGGCTAGCAGGCACCAACCGTAGCCTGGCCAAGGACATCGTCATGCCGCAGCTCATTAATCGATCGCCGGGCCGGATCGGCTACCGCCGCCCTACGAGCCAATTGGACTCATAGTCCCAGCTTCCAACTTCATCTTTCAATCTGGTTGACTTGAAGCTGCTGTTCGTTCAGTCATTTTTTCTAGCATCTCAGGGGCTTCACAGAGTTCTAAGGATTTCTATTGAATTCGTCTGGCACAGGCTCGCTCTGCATCGCTCTGGCCCACTTGCCATGCCCTTTGTTGCATGCAATGGCCCCAGATGCGCGAGAATCTTTGCTCGTTCCACCGATCGTCCAGAATACTCCCATAAACGCGTCTGCGGAACAGGATTCTCTCCTCCCACCAAGGACTTCTGCCACGAACCGTACACAGTCGTCCTTTGCTGTCACGGTCAATTCTCACGATACACCAACTCACACTTGGTCACCTCCTCCAGTTCGGACTCTGCCTGGTACGTAACTAGCGATTGACGTTGGAGACAAAGCAGCCGTTCGCACATACACATACTGACTCGTTTATGATATAGCTTGGGTGAGATCATATGATGTCCCTGAGGATGAAACCGACGCTTCTTCAAGGCTTCTGCCGACCGAAATAGACGATGCCCTCGTGGCACAACATAATCACTCGCCTTACCAGACGTCGAAACCGAACAAAAACCTTACAAGAGGAACCAACGACGAGCTTGATGGTACGATACCGGGGCGCGAGTCACGATGGAAGCGCTTCGCGCAAACGGCTGCTTATCCCCGCACGGGAGTTGGCGCAGGAGAGAAGCGAGTGTCTTTCGAGTGGTTAAACAATAATCTAGGAGATTACTCCCTGCCTTGGGGCACTAGTCATGATGGATCGGATGCAGAACTGGGCCGCGCGACTTGGTCCCCACGACATCGAAATCTAATAGAGCGCTTTCAACGGCACTTACTACGCAGTCCTATGGTGCCTTTAATACTGCGACTCACTGTTTGGATATTCTCCCTATGCGCCTTAGCACTCGGTGGTTCTCTTCGCATGCTGGCGAATCGTTCCCATCGCGATACGGGTCCTTCGGCAGATATGGCCATTATTGTCGACGCGGTGGCTTTGGTCTATTTGGTTTACATCACATATGACGAATACGCGAGCAAACCATTAGGCCTTCGCTCGCCAAAAGCCAAAATGCGACTGATCCTGCTAGACATCTTTTTTATTGTCTTCGACGCGGCCAATCTGAGTCTCGCATTTGTATCTCTGGACGATGTGCAGGGAACTTGCACGAATGCGGTAATTAACGATGTACAAGATGACCGAGATGATGCCTTATGTGTACGGCAAAAAGCACTTGCCTCGGTTCTACTTGTCGCGTTGATTGCGTGGCTGCTCACGTTTTGTATTAGTATTTTCCGGTTGGTCGAAAGAGTTTCAAAATGAGCTCCATTCTCATCGTTTTTTTTTCTCGATATTTTGCTTTTTTCGGATTTAGCATGGATTTAGCATGGAGTTCAAGGTTTACTCTGAGGAGTTTTCGCTGTATGCGAGCTGAAACATCCACTTTGTATGTTTACTTTATCTTTGGAATCTTACGAGCATCGGGTGTGCTTTTTGCTATTGGACTTTGGCTTGCACCGACCAGCTACGCCTGACTGGCTGGTCCATCACGACCATATATTGGATCTTGGTCGAACCAGGTCAGCTGTGAGATGGCGCTCCTGATCTCATTTTCGTTCTCATCTCCAGCACCATAACACATATCCCAATTCTTCCCTTTGGGATATGCACCAACCATGGTGAACCCGCCACTGAGATCCTCCAGCAGACGATGCGCTACMCCAGCCGGTACGATCATCACATCTCCAGCTTCGATTACCGGCTCAACTCTTTCGGGATTATCTTCTCCGCCGAAACATAATCGGGCCCGGCCCGAGACAACACTAAGGACTTCGTGAGTCGTTGAGTGGAAATGAGTCTGCCTGTACATGGAATATTGCCACTGTGGAACAACGACGTCTACTTTCTTGAGATTGTTGGAGATCTGGGATGCTGAGACGCTTTTTTCAAATGCGCAGTGGTAGATGAGCAGGGGTTTGTTCTGAATCGAGGTATTGGGAATTGAGTGCCATGCCGGGATGAGGTGTCGTGACACTTTGATAGCCGATGGCGGGTTCAGTCCCATGGTGTTGCTTCTGTAAATATAGTATAAATAATTGGAAAAGCCTGCTCATCATGTGCTATATTATAAGATATTTGGGTAGGCCCGATAGTTGTCTCCTTGATAAATCAATGCTGTAATTACTCGGCACTCTGTTGATATGACGTAATAGCCAGATGATCTGACATCAACATGTTGCTGAGCACAAGCACGTAAACCGCCTGATGCGTTAATGTACGTATAAAGGACTGAAAGCGGCCGATATCTTCCAGATGTCGTACTGTGCCCGCTTGACCTTGATAAAAATTGTTAATTATACATAGCAGACACAGGAGTCTGCCATCAACCAGGGTTAGGATTATAATCATCCACTGACTCAAATGTAGACCAATAGCAAAGAATATCTAGTAAACAGTAATAATACCAGGTTGACGAACCTTTCGAGACCATATGCAGAAGCCATAATGACCTAAGCAGCAGTAATCTTGATTAGGACAACAGCTGAAGAACAACGAGCCCTCCTGTCATGCCTTAGGCACGCAGATCAGATGAGATGACAATGAGATCAACGCTAGTCCTAAAACAGTAAGCGCATCTCCCCACCTGCCCAGCGCCAAATAGCAGCCGCAACCAATCACATCACGTGGCTGCCTTGTTAAGGTCGCCCAAGCACTAGCAAGCAGGAGGAGGCGGCTTCTGTTTATGGTTAGCGTCACTCTGGATGACCAGGTCGTTCCGCCGCCAAAGGCCCTGCGATCCTTAACTTTGAGCCGGCGCTTATCAACTTCATTTGGCATCACTTCAACCACTGACCGGAAGTCTGCGTTCCTCTGGTCTCTAACTTTATTTTGTTTCTTTGTTTGCATTTTGACGTCTCGATATCCTGCTGTTCACGCCCTGCCTTGACTTTCCTTGCGTCGTTTCTATAGACCTTTTGCCGTTATTGCATCAGCATTCGTCGCTGTTTTGCAGGGCATCATCCAGCAGCTGCGGGCCGCGCTCTGAACACTTGGTGAGTAGGACGCATTTTTTCGGCAGTTTTTCTTTTGCTCGCTTGCGGTTGCTAGCTATCCTCCATTTTGTTCAAGTTATCTTGGTCCTTGCGTATCCTTTGTTGCACGCGTGCGTCCTCGTCGATACCCGCAAAGTGTATATCTTAGGCTCTCTCCATGGTTTCCTCGTGTCGTTCCGAGAAAGGCAGTTCACAACATTAGACGAAGACAAAGACAAAGTTTCTGCCGTACCAAACAGAATAGCAGCGTCATCTCTAGCTTATCCGGTTGCTTCATGTCTCGTTGCCTGCACTCCCCCGCACTACACGCCCCGGTCTTTGCTTCACGTCGCTCAGCCCTGTCAAGTTTCTCTTGTCTTCTCTTGTCGTGTCCTTTTATTACTTGCAGCACTTCTCGTTTTTTGAATTTATATTTCAAACTCATTTAAACATATGTGACAAAACATGGGTCTAACAACTGCTGCCTTCGCAGCTCCTGCTATCTCCCTCCGCCGATCAGACCGTTTAAGAAAGTATCCGCCGCTTACGCCGAAAATGGCGTCTCTCCAGAAGGACGATGTCCAAGACACGTACGTATTCGAAAATAGACGATCGATCGACGTCATGACGACTAACGCTCACAACAGATGGACTTATTTGGAAAATGGAATCAACAGCGTAATGCTCAAGTTGGAGGAAGGCGTTGATATGAAGACAGTATGGAGCTACTATTTTCTGGAATCTGGACAGGATGCTAACTTTTCGTCTCTCGCAGTACATGGGCCTATACACGTACGACTTCGCATTTCAAGCTCCATCAGCGGTCGAAGCTAATGTTATCTAGGGCGGTCCATAACTTTTGCACATCACAAAAAGCCGTTGGTAGTACTGGGGGACTCCAGGCCCTTAGAGGCGGTATGTTGGTTATATGCATTTGTCTGAACATCTACTTATTTGCGTTTCACTTCTAGCTCATCTCCTCGGCGAAGAACTCTACAACCTCTTGGGACAATATTTATCGAGACATTTAGAAAATGTGTATCAAGCGTCCGAAACGCACACTGAAGAAGCTTTGCTTGGTTTCTATATTCGGGAGTGGGATCGCTATACAACAGCCGCCAAATATGTGAACCATTTGTTTCGCTACTTGAATCGACACTGGGTCAAGCGTGAAATCGATGAAGGAAAGAAAAACATCTACGATGTGTATACCCTTCATCTCGTGAAATGGCGGGAGGACTTTTTCAAGAGGGKTCAAGAGAAGGTCATGGCTGCGGKGCTCAACCTTGTTGAGAAACAGCGCAATGGCGAGACGATCGAACAATCACAAATTAAGAGCATAGTGGACTCATTTGTGTCACTGGGTCTGGACGAGAACGACAGCACCAAATCAACCCTCGAGGTTTATCGATTCTACTTTGAGCGACCTTTCATAGACGCCACCCGTGTCTACTATGAGAACGAATCCCGTCAGTTTGTCTCCGAAAACAGTGTCGTTGAGTATATGAAAAAGGCAGAAAGTCGACTTGATGAAGAAAAGGCACGTGTTGGTTTGTACCTGCATCCGGACATCACGAAGCGATTAACAGAGACATGCTTGGATGTTTTGGTCTCCGCTCACTCTAGTCTTCTTCGCGACGAATTCCAAGTTCTCCTGGACAACGACCGACAAGATGATCTGGCTCGTATGTACCATTTGCTATCGAGAATCAAGGATGGTCTTGATCCACTCCGTGCCAAATTCGAGAAACACGTTCGCAATTCAGGAACTTCTGCCGTTGAGAAGGTTGCTTCTGAAGGAGAGTCCTTTGAGCCGAAGATGTACGTCGATGCTTTATTGCAAGTGCACTCTCGCTATCAGACACTGGTCAACGCTGCTTTTGCGGGCGAGTCCGAGTTTGTTAGGTCCTTGGATAATGCATGCCGTGAATTCGTCAACCGCAACTCTATCTGCAAGACTGGTTCATCCAAGTCGCCCGAGTTACTGGCACGCTACACAGATTCATTGCTGAAGAAGGGATCCAGGGCCACTGAAGAGTCGGAGTTGGAGGAAATGCTCACTCAGATTATGACCGTTTTCAAATACATTGAAGATAAAGATGTCTTTCAGAAATTCTACTCGAAAGCTCTTGCAAAGCGTCTTGTCCACGTCAGCTCTGTTTCGGACGATGCCGAGACCAGCATGATCAGCAAGCTAAAAGAAGCATGTGGTTTCGAATATACCAACAAGTTGCAGCGCATGTTCCAGGATATTCAAATTTCCAAGGATCTCAATGCTAGTTATCGGGATTGGCAAGAAAAGATTCATGACGAAGAGGACCGGAAGAAGATGGTGGATCCTCACTTTCAGATTCTGGGTACAGGTTTCTGGCCTCTAAATGCACCCTCAACGGAGTTCATTCCTCCAACAGAAATCGTCAAGACGGCTGAGCGATTTCAACATTTCTACTTTGACAAACACAGCGGCCGTAAGTTGACATGGCTATGGCAGCTTTGCAAAGGTGAAATGAAGGCCAATTATATCAAAAACACTAAGGTTCCCTATACATTCCAAGTGTCGACGTTTCAAATGGGAATCTTACTTCTCTATAACGAGCACGACTCTCTCGATTTTGACGAGATCCAAAAGGCTACCAAGCTCGCTAACGAGGTACTGGAGCCAAATATCAGCCTATTATTGAAGGCGAAAGTATTACTCGCCAGCCCCGAAGGTTCAAAGCCAGCACCGGGAGTCTCTTTCACACTCAACCATAACTTCAAGGCCAAGAAAGTCAAGGTCAACCTCAACCTGCAAATCAAGTCGGAGCAGAAGATCGAAGCCGACGACACACACAAGACGATTGAGGAGGATCGTAAGCTACTCCTTCAGGTATGTACTCCCACCACCCCCACTTTTTGGACATAAGTCTAACCTGTATGACCAGTCCGCAATCGTCCGAATCATGAAATCACGCAAGAAGATGAAACACGTCCAACTCGTACAGGAAGTCATTCAACAAGTCAAGGCCCGCTTCCCACCCAAAGTCCCCGATATCAAGAAGAACATCGAAGCTCTCATGGAGAAGGATTACATCGAGCGCTTGGACAATGATGAACTGGCCTACATTGCATAATCTCTCCCCCTTTCTCTTCCCTTGTTCCATCCTTCCATCCATGCGCAATTTAACTCAACTTTGCTGGGCAGGCTCGTCTTATACTCCTTTTCATCTCTCACAAGCGAATTCGTTTTTATTCTAAACTCCAATTCGAGATGTTGCATTACTTGAACTACGAATTTTCTTTCTCTCTCTCTTCTTAAAACGGAAATTGCGTTTCCTCTCTTGCTAAAGTTCCGTTGGTAGGGTAGGCTGGTTATTTTGTTTCATTTTACCTAGGTATGAATGCAGTCCTGAATGCAGTCATGGTGATGAATAGTAGCCTGTACAGCAGGTAGGTCGTGACGATACTTGAATGTCATTCAATTAAACGTTATACCATTCAATGTTCTACTCAAATCAGATCTGTACTACGTATATATAGGTATGTTTGTTGCAAATAATTGATACTACGTAATCGAAATAATATGTCATTATCATTATGTATATACCTGGCTACTTATCAATAAATCTCTAAGAAGGTCCGTGTTCATGAGGGATACTATGTAACATGCTCGCCGTGGATGATATAAGCAGACCTACTCCACGACAAGTGGCTCCACGTTCCAGATACTCTCTGCATACTCATCAATCACACGGTCAGTCGAGAAGAATCCCATTCGAGCAACACTGCTGATCGACTTGGCAATCCACTCATCCTGTTTCCGGAAATCCTCGTCAACCAGTTCCTGGGTCTGGATGTACGATTTGAAGTCGTCCGAGACCAGGTAGTAATCTCCGTGGTCAGCGATGGAAGCGATCAACGATTCGAATGCTTTGGCATCGCCAAAAGTGCCAGATCGAATTGACTCGAAAACTTTGGCCAGGTCTTCGTCTAGTGTGAAGCCCTTGTATCTGTGAGTCTCGCGAAGGGTCTCGACGTCTTCGGCGAGATTGCCAAAGAGAAAGATGTTTGACTCCGTTATTTCACGCGTAATTTCGATCTGTTTACATTAGCTCAGAACAAAGCATCGTAAATGGTGGCTTTGGTAGACTCACATTGGCACCATCACACGTTCCGATGATCAACCCTCCATTGAGCACAAACTTCATGTTGCTGGTTCCACTAGCTTCTGTACCGGCTGTTGAAATGTGCTCGCTAATGTCCGAAGCAGGCACAATGAGCTCCGCCTTGCTTACATTGTAGTCCTCAATAAAGATGACTTTGAGCAAATCACCCACGTCACTGTCGTTGTTCACCACCTGGCCTACTTTGTTGATCAGATGGATAATCGTCTTTGCCATCCAGTACCCAGGGGCGGCTTTGCCTCCGAAGATTGACACACGGGGAACCAACTTCTTGCGTGCTTCCGGCGTCATCGATTTAATCTTCAGGTATCGATGGATCACGCCAAAAATGTTGAGCTGCTGTCGCTTATATTCATGAATACGCTTGACTTGAACATCAAATAGGGCGGTTGGATCGACAGCATACCCAGTCGTATCTTTGATGTGGTTAGCGAGTCGCTTCTTGTTCTCTGTCTTGATTTCAGCCCACTCCCTGCGGAATTCCTTGTCGTCAACAAAGCGCTCGATGCCGTCCAAGAGCGTCAAATCGGTCAAGAAGTCATAACCACCCAGCTTGGACGCTATCAATTTTGACAGTCGGGGATTTGCCTGGTGCAACCACCTACGTGGAGTGATACCGTTCGTGACGTTGGTAAACTTATCTGGACCGTAGATGTTTACAAAGTCCTTGAAAATGGTTGTCTTGATGAGATCGGAATGTAGTTCTGCAACACCATTGACCTTATGAGACCCAATGATAGCCAGATAAGCCATACGGACCATCTTGGGCCGAGATTCCTCGATAATGGAGACTCGTGCCAACAGATCACGGTCATTAGGAAACTTCTTTTCCACATCTTGCAAGAAGAACAAATTGATGTCGTAGATGATCTGAAGGTGCCGGGGCAGTAGGTGCTCCATGAGAGGAACAGACCATTTCTCCAAAGCTTCTGGGAGAACAGTGTGGTTGGTATATCCGAAAGTGCTGACAACAATCTTCCATGCTTCGTCCCATTCGAGACCTTCCAGATCGATCAAAATGCGCTGCAACTCAACAATCGCGAGTGTGGGGTGAGTATCGTTCAGCTGAATTGCAACCTGATCCGGGAACTCGAACCATGCACGCTTTGTCTTCTTGAATCGGCGCACAATATCATACAGAGAAGCTGCGCACCAGAAGTACTGCTGTTTCAACCGAAGTTCTTTGCCACGATCAAGATTATCATTCGGGTAGAGGACTGCTGAGATTGTCTCGGCGCGTTGCTGATCAGATACAGCACTTTCGTATTCGCCAGAATTGAATTTTTGAAAATCAAACTCGCCACTACTTGCCTTACTCGACCATAATCGAAGGTTGTTCGTGGTTGTGGTGCCATAACCAGGAATAGGCACGTCATATGCGACAGCTTTCACAATCTCTCCACCTTGCCAATTGTAGGTCACCTTACCATCCTCGTCCTCGTGTCGGACAGATTGGCCGTAGAATTGAATATCGACCGTGATATCGTGGCGCGGAAGCTCCCATGGGTTGAAATCAAGCCAATAGTCTGGAATTTCGACCTGGTAGCCATCGACTATCTCTTGTTTGAAGATACCGTACCTGTAACGCAATCCATAACCCCAGGCTGGGTAGTTGAGTGTTGCCATGCTGTCAAGGAAACAGGCAGCCAAACGACCAAGACCTCCATTTCCAAGCGCTGCATCATGTTCTTGGTTAATGACATCTTCAATGCGGAAGCCTAGATCTTCCAGGCCCTCTGTTGACAGAATTCATGAGTAAGATACTTAAACGACGACCACACGGACAAGTCATACCTTTGGCGGTCTCCTTTTTGCCCACATTCAACATTGCATTGTCAAGAGCACGACCCATCAAAAACTCAAGTGACAAATCTGTAGCAAATTTGCCCGTCAGCCACTGTCCTGAGCGTACATGCCAGATAAGAGAGTCGCCTACAGTAGACACGCTTCTGGTCTACCAAAGTCTGGCGTTGTTGTGTCTTGTTCCAATCGATGATCAGTCTTTCACGAAACGCAAGGGCCGTGCCTGAGTATGCGGCTCTATAGTAGGTAAAGGATTAGCATCGAAATTTCAAGTGAGATGCTGTTCGACCACTCACAGATCATCGCAATTGTAGAGCGAACGGGCCAGAGTCGTATAGATATGTCGAACAAACTCTCGCTTTTTGTAAAATCAGTTCTAATTCATATCTTTCATATCACGCATTTAAGGAGTACCTCAAATTCTTCCTTGTTCTCGAAACCTGTGGCGGACTATAACGTGCGTGGTTATTAGGTTCGTTCTTCGAAACAGCACTATCGATGATCGAGGGTGTCATACATATTTTCTCCATCTATTTACGATTAGATTACAGGCAAACTCAATTGTCAGCAGAGCATTGGGGAGGTATGCTCACGTCTCCCTAAGATGCTCCGGAATACTAGCTTCCACAGCCTTAATCTCTGCGGGGCCAAACCCCGTGAATGTCCTCTTGTGCTTGGGACGACTGAAACCAGGTCCCACGGCTTGAAGTTCAGCGACAGGGACGCCAATGGACGGTTTACGTTCTCGTGCAAGAGGTTTGGACGACATTTTGTCTTGTCAGGACGTTCTTGGGGGAAGGAATTGAGAGTCGAGAGTCAGGAAGTAGATACGATTGTAGGAGCTCGGGATTAATAGAGAAAAGAGAAGGTAGATCAATCACAGGTAGAAGAAGTGTACTCGCTTCAGGCAGTAATGGAGTCTGAGGCGAGAGCGTAGGCTAGGTACAGAGACAAGAGGAGTAGGTATGAAAGAGGAGAAAGATGAAGCTACACAAGAGAGGGGTAAACGTACATATACCTGTTTTATGTACAGCGGGTAGTCACGGTTGGGATAGTGGGAAGGTGGCTGTGCCCCACGTAGCTTCCTTGAAAACCCAGGTCAATCGAAGAAAGGAGGAAAGAGCTACTTGCCTCTTTTGAAAGATCATGTAATCGAGGAAGGAACGGGAGGTCATGAGCATTGAAGTGGGGACAGCCCACTTAAATGTTAAATAAGCACGGCTGTAGACCGCTAGTCCGCATGCGGCACCTCTTGACAGGTCTAGATTCGGATGCTTTTGTGCGGGGGTGGATACTTGCAATGTACACCACACCGTCCACCAAGGTTACAGCTGTTTTGACAATGACGAGTTTACTATGGCCGCATCAAAGCAAGAATCATACATCTAAAAACGAATAAAACAGATCTGTGCTGAGTACGGTGTGTCCAAGCTGAAATCAAGTCGCGAAGGATTAACCGAATTCGTCAATCAATCTAATAAATGTAGATGGACGACTACTGCCGATACTTTATAGCGCCAATATCAGTGCAAAAAAAAAAAAAAAAAACATCAATTGGTACGTGCTAGAAAAGCCTCGACGAGCTGTCTACTGGCCAGTAGGTAACCATGACTAAGAAAGCGCTAATATATTACTACTCCGGAACACTTCGGAATTCTGTGCAGATACCCTTATAATAGTACGTAGCCCTTTAGATAAGCTTGGGATGTCAGCTGTTGACTACATATATCAAATAGACTATGTTTCTATTTATCCCATGAGAAACTAGGAAGAGAAAATTGTCAATGTATAATTAGGAGAAGTCGTATATCCTGATGATGTCATGTCAAAGCAATCCCGACTTCACACCGAACGAGCCAATCTTAACCCGACTTTGTTATACGACCATGCTGGATTCATCGCGGTTCAATGGTTCGATTTTCTGAGAGAGCTGAACCGCTAGCAGTGGATGAGCTTTGCAAGCTAACAGGTAAGAGTCGGTCATACATCGCAAGTGACTTACGGGACCTAGCGGGGTCCTTTTGTACGCCATTGATGTCAGGAAGATTTTTAGTAGATTAAATTGTTGGTATCACTCGATCTAATAATAGACAATATCGTAAGACTGCTAGAATTTGGATATCACAACCTTATCAGCAGGTCAGAAGTTTTCTCATGCTTGATTCATTCAATTGACTGGATATGAAAGTATAACATCTTGAATCCCACTGAGAAGAAGTATGCTTGATCGTGATGAAAGAAAGGAAAAAGAGAATATTCCGTCATGAAGCCGTATTTTAAGAAAGACGCCTCCGCAAAAGAAAAAAGTAAGAAAAGATAAACGCCAATTCTGTATTCAGAATGATGAAATGTAAGAAGATCGTTGGAATGATCCCTGGGATATCAAAATTGTAACAACAAAGATTATGTTGACGTCGAGATTGGTGAACAAGGAGACTGGGCATAATATTAGGAAAAAGCCCCAAATGATCGTTAAAAAGCCTGCAGCGACAGACATATAAGTAACACGACGCGCTCCTTAACCCAGAAAAACGATGACGACCCCCGTCAGGAGTTGCACGCGAAAGCGAAAGAGAAATGATTCGACGACGTTGGCCAGCAAGAAAGAAGTAAAGAACACATTCATTATCATAAGATACCGGAATCTTTCAAGGCGTTCTGTAGAATGGTTTCTTTGACGGCGGCGAAGACAAGACGAATATTAGTTGTATCGGTGGCTTGTGTGAGACTAGAAGACGCACACAGTCAGTGAATGGTATCTTAAAAGAAAAGGTAGATGAACGTACTGAGGGTATAGGTTAAGATGAGCTCGGTTGACCTGGTTGAACCTCCACAGTAGGTACTTTGCTGCTCTGTTCACATCGTTACCACCGGAGTAATCTGGAAAGTAATTGCTGAGCGGCGATCGTCCGAGTTTTTGTCGGAAGAGATCGACTTTATTCAAGAACAAGATTATACTCGTGCGCATGAACCATCTCGAGTTGACCACCGAGTCGAATAGAACTAAACTCTCCATCATTCGATTCTGAACACTATTAGCTCCTCTCCACAATCTGTATATCATCTGTAGTTCATACCTGGTTGCTCTCTTCTAACAAGACTTGGTCGTATTCACTGAGTGCGACGCAAAATATGATCGATGTAACGTTTTCGAAACAATGAATCCATTTTTTTCGTTCGCTGCGTTGCCCACCGACATCAAACATGCTACAACCAGATTAGAATTGGATCAAAGCAAAGATGATAGTCAATCGTACTGTATACTGAGCTGGCCCATAGTGAACCTTGTCTCGTAAATACCTGTCGTCTTGGTACGCGCACGAAGCACGTCGGCTTCATTAGGAATGTAATCTGACGCTGCTATTCGTTTCGCATGTTCGAAAAAGCTGTCACCGTCAGTGCGAATCCTGGCAAAAGGGGATTGATAGCAAACCAAACATACTATGGTGCCGAATCCATCAGGTAGAATTCACTTTGGTGCTCCATTACCGAAGCGGTACACGGATCATTCCATATAAAGGTCACTGCATCGCCAACTTTCGGGTCTAACGGTATAGAGGGATCGGGGTCTATGTTGTATTCTGAGATGTATGTGATGAAATCCCGTACTTTTTGACTGGTCGGCTCCATATCGAAATGTTCGTAAGCCTCAATGAGGGATTTGGCGCAGTCAAGCAGGTTTTTGTAGACAGTCAGTCGGTACATTGTCAGTTCTTCGACGCTGTAACCATTTTGGTGAATAATCTTCATTTGTTTGACGATGGTCGATTTTCCACTTTCGCCGGAGCCTGTAGGTCGGATGAAAACATGAGATTAGTATCAATCGACCGTCTCATATCTCACACTACAAGACTAAACAACCTACCGAGTAGAAGAATCTTGCATTCCCGTCGTAATCGTCTCGAGTCTTCCTCTAGTTTTCTGTCGATCATCTGACTTCGCTTCTTCTGTTCAAGGTCCGCGTTGGACTCTGAGCTGACACAACCACCCATGATGACCAGACCAGGTGTGATCGATGTTTGAAATACCCGGAAAACGCAATCGTGGACACGATTTGACGTAAAAATAAAATCAAGTCGATAATGACCGGATTGTGGGAATGCCGATAAATCAAGTCCAATCCMCCCGCCGCGGGAGTCGATGTCGACGACGATTCAGAACACCAGACCAGCCGCGGTGGCTCGAAGCCGTCTGAACGCTAACAAAGAATGGCTATTTTCTTCTCTTTTGTTTTGCTATTAATTTGCCGTGGGTCTCTAAGAGTTGGATATCAAGCGCTTGAAGTAATTATCGTCGGCTGCGAGGGTTGTGGATGTCAGAGTTTTTGTGGTGATGACACAGATGTCGCTGGGACGGAAGGCTTGCGCCTTTGCAACGGAGTAAGGATGCGGTGTTGTGTTTGGCGGTCGGACGTGAGGTGCGAAGCCGACGTGGAAGCGAAAAGTAGCAGTAAAGGTGGCTGTATGGTAAGATCGCTCAATGTTAACGGTCTCAGCCGAGAAGGGCTGAAAGCGATCTTTGGTGGTGTGGTGGTTGGTGGTTGGTGGTAGGTGGTAGGTGGTGAGTGTAATGGTGGTGGTGGTTGAGCTTGGACGGAGAAGTTAAGTGGGAAGCAGCCAGAGGAGCTGAGAAGCCGAGCGCCAGGTAAGGTTACCAGCGCTAAACAGTAAATACGGAGTAGTGAGGTGGCTATGGCTCTGGGCTGACGGTCCGCTCGGTTAGCCTCTCGAACGTTAACCTGACAGACACACCTGCAACTCACGATATGATCCCGCTCGACCTGAACTTGTGTTGTTGGGCAGATAAATGTTAATAAAAATAACAACAGTGTCCGGCAATGAAATGAGGACAAGAACAGGAGGAAATGACGACTCGTGGTTTGGGATGTTCTTTCATGGACAGACGCACTGCTCAAGATCGTCGCAGTAGAAAGTGGACATTACTATGTAAATGTCATTTAACTACGTACTAGCGGGCGTGCATTGGACACTGGCTGATACGGACGTCTGTACCACTCGGTACTGTACGGAACACCGACGTCGCAGTATGTGCCATATTCGTAGTATCGTACATTGTATATGATACATACGAGGGGAGGATTTTAGGTTGGATTTTCACCCAACACCTCGACCGCGGTGACCGGTAATAATAACCGATGTGATCCTCAACTTCAACTCCGCGGATACTTTACAACTACAACTATGAATCGTCGATGGCGACTATCAAGAGACTCAAGAGTCAAGACAGATGAATTGTAGACAAGTATATTCGATCCACTCAATAGACCCATTAAATGGGGCGCTGTGGGCGCTTCGTGACAAAATCGACTGCACCAAAGTATGCCTCGCAGATGATAGTTCCTTCCAGGTGTTGATATAAAGTCTATATACTTACTGATCAAGGCGATCATCAATTGGTCAAAAGTATGTCATGAAACATATTGGGTGTATTTGAAAATGTGAACTGCGATCCCCATCCAGTCTCAATCCAAATACGTACAACGGAATAAACGAGATGATACGTTCAAACAACTCTCCACGAAGAAGGCCCCAGGTAAGCCGGTTACGAAACGGTAACTATGTTACGGCTCAGTACGTACTCCATAATCCTGAACGATCCAGCCATTGCGGGAACTGTGGTAAGCTCACGTGGGCGGCGGGGATGGCATACGAGCCAATCATAGTACTTAGGGACAACAGACGGGACATAACCCGGGTAGCTTGTGATCCGTTCGAAATACATGGAATAAATTACATATATTACCGATTACCTGCGCACTTCGTTTGCTCAATAGTTCCAACCCTTGAATTTGCCCAAAGTCTTAGAGAACCAACATCAGGAGCCCAAATACCATGTCGATCTTTCCCGGTCGTTAAGGGCAGTGTGACTCGTGAGATAAGCTTTGGCTTTTCACTCATGCGCATTAGTCACAGACTCACAGACTTATGTTGGAACTTTTGCGAGCCTGAGGTTTCAGCCTACCAGTCGATTCCCGCCTTGATTGGCGGCTACGCATGTTGCACCCTAGGCTTTCGCTGTGCATTGCCTGTTTCTCGTTAGTGTCATGCCGGTGACTAACCTAGGTGATAGTATTCTTGGAGTAAAAGATACACATTGAAAATGAGGAGTTGATTCTGTTGCTGACCACAGGCAGTGGAATGTTAAAGATAACGAGTACAGTCAGCAGAACGCGATGTGAAAGGAATTAGGCTGAGCAAACTCAACTGATGAATCATCAATACCGATTGTGGTCAAGACGCAATATATTCGACCATTAGTTCTGAATCTAAACTGGCAGAAGGTTTGTAGATGTATGGGTCCGTGTCTGTGCTTCAGCCTGATTGATAGTCTAATTCCTCGGACCAAACCCTAACCCTCGACAATCAGTATGTATTTTCAGACGGAGCAACTAGGTAATATCGACCAAACGAGACCAGATGAGGTTGTCCCAAATTTACAAGTCACGGATGTTGGTCTAGCATCGCATTCTTAAGACCCGACGAGTGATCTGTTTCTTGACGTCTTAGGCGCGCCTGAAAGTCACCCGTCCAAAACTTAATCTTCAAACTAAGTATGTACTTTGAGGTAATATACAAGACATTTCAGGGAGTGGTAATTCATCGTTTCAGGAAACATTAAAACGTTAAACAAAGAGGCGAACTCTCGCCCCTTCTGCAAGAGTAGTGCACACTGCGCCGTTCAATTGATGTTTCAGGGGTGTTTCCATGGCTACTTGGATCTACCCGTACTAAATTTAGCCATCTGAAGCAACGTGGATGGCATCATTACTCTGATGGAGGACAAACCGAGTCATGCACCGAGATATTTCGAAACGTTCCAAAGTCAAATATAGGAAGGAAATGTTGCCCATGCATGTTTTGAATACTCTTGGACGAACCCTATGTTCGGTCGGACGCAGCCCTTTGCGGAAATTGGATGCGAGTTGTACGACATAGATTTGCCCAGCGTGTATGCCATTCATTCAATACGAGCAATGCGGCGTCCGAGGATTTCTTGATCAAAGTTGCACGGATTAAGTAGTTGAACATGTATATCTCAACCGGTGTTCGAACTTTGCTGTGAAAAGTTCCTATTCGCTGCACTAACTTATCTATATTGTGAGAGTGGCATGCTAATTGAAACGTTTGGCCCCTGCCACAGAGCCAAAAGGATCTACGAGGCTTTCCATGTGCATGCGCAACATATCATTATGGCTCGTTTGAGTTGGTACTTACCTCACAGAGCCGGCAGTGGACGCCGAACGGGGAGTCTATTTTTAAAAAGCGGATCAGCGATCAATTTCACCTTGGAGACGGCGACTTATCAGTCTGAGCGCGGGTTTAAAATATCTGCAAGCCCCGTAGAACCTTTCGATTATGTAAAAATTAATGACGTATCGAGGCAAGTGGTGGAGTCACATGACTTCACCCCATGCAAACCGAACAAACTGCGGGTCAACAAAAGTGACAGCACGAAGGATGATGTAAGAGGCAGATGGAGAATCGACTAGACCCGAAATGGCAGGTTTACAACAAATGGTCATCAGTCCTTTGTTCTTTATCATGAATACAGGAACAATCAGACTCTAAAACAACAATCATTCGATGACTCTTACTAGGGGTCGACGAACACCAGAAATTGGGCCACCTACATACCTTACTCTGACCACATGAACCACATGAATGTTGCAACAATTGTGTTTTGTGATACCCTGATGGCCGATAAGATGAGACGAGCTTTGACCCTGTCGAATCGGATCGTGCCAGCTAAGCAGCGGTAGTGTGCGATTTCAAGATTTGGGTCGTTTCTTCTTTGCGTTCAACGTTTCTGTATGGTCTCTAGCCTAGGTACGGAGTGCATAGTATATACAGCGCGTGAAAATGCCCGCGCGTGGAAACCGAGGACGTTTACAATGCTGTTCCAGGCCGACTTAGTTACCGTTTGTACCCGCGCTCATCACAATCAGTTGGAGACGTGAGGAAAGTCTTCCTGAGGTTGGATGACAGACTGCTAGGTGCATACTCCTGACCGACATTCTGCACAGAATCTTGTGGAGGCCACGTAGCGCCGATTTGGGCGCTTTCTCGTAGATAGTACACATATTAATCCATTGCGACGATGTGAAAGAAATGCCCGTAGGATAGCAGAAGTCGAGACGAGAGAGGAAATGCTACAGAAGTCTACCGAACTTTTGAGAGTCTCGACCGGCCGGGTTCAGCCAGTCAGCCGCCGGAATGGCGCCATGGAGATCCACCAGTGTAGACGCCAAACCGCATTGGGCGGACTCAACAACGTCATTCTTGTCTGCTTCCTGGGAAACTGGCAGGAGCTAGAACGCCAGAACCACAGGAAAAAAAGAAGGAAGTATCGTTTGGGAGTGCTCTTTCCCACATTCTGGTCCTCTAATTGGAGAAGGAGCAGCCCCGGTTGCCGTTTACCGCAGCTTTTCTCTGCTTTCCTTTCCCCCCATTCAGCGTACCCTTCGCGCCTTCCGCCTGTCTCTCCTCCCTCCTGCTCCCCCACCACCACCAACTTCCAAGGTTTTTGCTCAACCTGGATTAACACTAAACCTCCACGCCGATTCTCGTCTACGTCAACCTCTGTTGAACTTTTTTCTTTCTATCTCCTGAGCGCCTCATATCAATTTATTCTCACGATATTCCATTCTGACTGACCCTGTCTTCATTCTGTCTATCTGAGACGTCTGGACTTCCCCCGCCTTCCGCATTTGATTCCGCATTCCGCGAGCACACTACTTTTGAACCTTTCGCCATCAGCCAAACTCCGCGCCACAGTGAAAAAAGTTATTGTTTACGAAGGGATTTCGATAAGCACCAAAACAGAGAAGCAAGATCATCGTCGCGTTACTCGCTCTTCGACTTTATTGTACCACAAGAATAACCAGTCAACGCGCCCATCATGGCGGAGTTCGTGCGTGCCCAAATTTTTGGCACAACCTTTGAGATCACCAGCAGGTGCGCGTTACTTGCCATAATACCTTCACTGGAAATTAAAACATACTCATGCTTCATAGATACACCGATCTCCAACCTGTAGGAATGGGTGCATTTGGCTTGGTCTGGTATGTACACGCTCCTTCAGTGGTGGCGTGACTTTGGAAACACATGGCAGATACTGACTGATGACCCAAAGCTCTGCGAGAGATCAATTGACCGGCCAACCGGTCGCCGTAAAGAAGATCATGAAGCCGTTCAGTACACCGGTATTGTCAAAACGCACATACCGAGAACTCAAGCTCCTGAAGCACCTACGACATGAGAATGTGGGTTAACCGTCCTGTTTTTCCAGAGATGATATTAACTTTTTCCTGTAGGTCATCAGCCTCAGCGATATCTTCATCTCGCCCTTGGAAGACATGTATGTATTATAGATTTGAGTCTTGAACGATCTTGTTGCTAATCGCTCGCGAGTAGTTACTTCGTCACCGAGCTTCTAGGAACTGACTTGCACCGACTCCTTACCTCGCGGCCTCTTGAAAAACAATTCATTCAGTACTTTCTCTATCAAATTCTGGTGCAGCACGCTCTCCAAAAACCTGACGAGCCTCATTGCTAACGCTCCATAGCGCGGTCTGAAATATGTCCACTCCGCTGGTGTTGTCCACCGTGATCTCAAACCCAGCAACATCCTGATCAATGAAAATTGCGACTTGAAGATTTGCGACTTTGGTCTTGCCCGAATTCAAGATCCTCAGATGACGGGTTACGTCTCAACGAGATACTACCGTGCCCCCGAAATCATGCTCACGTGGCAGAAATATGATGTCGAGGTGGATATCTGGAGTGCCGGCTGTATCTTTGCCGAAATGCTGGATGGGAAGCCTCTTTTCCCTGGAAAAGACCATGTCCACCAATTCTCAATCATCACCGAGCTTCTAGGCACTCCTCCTGACGATGTCATTGAGACCATCTGTAGCGAAAATGTGCGTGCTGTTCCTAGTGATATTCCCGGACCAACTAACCATTTCTAGACTCTCCGATTTGTACAGTCTCTACCAAAGCGCGAACGCCAACCGCTTGCTGCTAAGTTCAAGAACGCTGATCCAGCTGGTATGTTTTCTTTTCTGTGGTCTTGCCACTTATGGAACTGACGAGTCTTAGCTATCGACTTGCTGGAGCGGATGCTTGTTTTTGACCCGAAGAAGCGAATCAGGGCTGGAGATGCACTTGCCCACGAATACCTTGCTCCATACCACGACCCGACCGACGAACCGGTTGCCGAGGAGAAGTTCGACTGGTCGTTTAATGACGCTGATCTGCCCGTGGACACTTGGAAGATCATGATGTACGAAGAAATAACCGAGATATACGTCGACAAGTAACTAATAAGGCGTTGTTCTTTACTGTAGGTACTCGGAAATATTGGATTATCATAACATTGACCAATCCGCCGATCCCACCCAAGTTCCTTTACAGTAAGCCGACAGGGGTCGCCCAGTCGCATGACGAATTTCCTTGTCGTACATAGGCAAATGAAGCGATTCATTACATATACGAAAGCCACTACACGGTGTTCAGGTTCTCGAGACCTTTTGTGCTTTTACATATTTGGGCAAGCGTTTGGCGCTGATTTTCGCCCTTGAGCTTTTTTTCCTTTCTAATTGATATAAACAAGGCATGCATTCAGTCATGCAATACGTCTATAACAAATATCTTCCGTTGTTCTCGATATTACCCGATTCCAGCCACTTGTTTGAGTTTGATGGATCATATGCGTTCGTCTGGGGGGTCTGTTAGTTCAAGACGGATTCATAGATATACGCCGGAGGTAGTTTCAAAGTAAGAAGGGATTACAATTAGACGAAAGCTCCATTCATGTGGTAGCTTGAGTCTAAGCTATATTGTTGGTCTATAGTTGCATTAATTACGAAGAGTGTAAATCAAGATTCATATACTATGCTTGATTGTGGTGAAGATCATGACGCTGTGGGCAGAATCTTGGAGGCGCCGGTTGTTTCCCCGCAGAAGAGCCGCACCGACACATCCATGTTGAATTACTTTGTATTCCATTACACCAACAATCGTAATCACATTGTATTTGATAGTGATAAAATCATTTATCTACTTCAATACACACAACTAGACTGGTTGGCACAGTCACCGCAACACAAGGAGATCTCAGAAGCGCCGATCAAATGATAATTAGCCTGATAAGATCAGATTCGTCAAGCGCGGGATTATTTTGTCCGTCCGCCCAAACTTCATCTTTCTCCGAACTGAGCTCAGAATCTGCAATCGAGAGCGAACACCTCACAAATCCGTTCTCTCGAGCATGACTCAAGGATCTATCATGCGCCAGGATCCGATTGTCCTGGTTATAGATTTCCATCATGCCAGGTTTGTGTTTTTTATTCTTTTCGATTGCGCCATGACGGCGGGTTGATCTGTGCTAAAAGAGACGGTATGAAAATGCTGACGATACTGCAATGCGAACAGAGGCCCGGAGATAGAACTATGTTTCGCCGATGAGGGATCGAATCCAGCCGTGGACAATGACTGGTCATTGCTGCCGTTCATGGCATTGTCGGATGGAGCACATGCGTGAGTTCTCTTTTCTTGGTGCTGCTGCTGCCGGCAAGCAGTAAGGATCGTTTCCCGCTATGCACAATGGCTACGAATCTTCATACCGGTAATCGAAAAGGCTAAAATATGGAACTCCTAGCTCGACGGAAGATTTCTCATATTTTACACTCCGACGCGAAGCTACCTCTACCCAGAATGCAACGTCGCTTTTCGGTATATCTTGCACAAGACAGATCCCTGCGAGTTCGTTGATTGTTCGTTCCCCCGATGTTACTCGATCGACTGTTCAGAAAGCCGTGGTGGTTGTGACGGATGGACCGCAACATTTTGGGCCATTGAGGGAGAAGTTGTCGATGGTGACGTCGGCGTGGTTTGCGCAAAGGTATAATATAAGACACAGGCTGTTGATGGAGGCTGTCCATCGTCACTAAGGACGAATCGCTAAATTGTTGCGTGTAGGGATTTTTCGGATGTTGATATACTCAAGGTCCGTTGCGCTTGATAACGTATACATGATCTGCATAAGTGCTTATTGATTGCAGAAATTCCGCGAAAGCCTGATCGCAAGCTTGAAGAATGAAGAGGCGCAAAGAGACATATATCTTGGTACGAGATCGCTCTGGAATCTGTACTCTTCCAGACTAACCAGACTAGGCCTGTCCTTGCGAGAAATGATTCACACCTTCAAATCCCAAACACTCGTTCTGTTCAAATGCTTACTATTACAACCGAAGGTATATATGCCACTACTCGGCTGATGAATCAATACTAATAACTCACTAGATGCTCTTCTTTGGCTCTCGTTGCGAACGTCTATGCATGATACAGTTTTCATTATTATCTTTGATACCCGGTCTACTTAGCAATTTACAAGACTGTGCCGATCCAGCGTTTGATTCATATGCTGAGAATGCTGAAAAGGCTACGTCTCTCAAGACGAGCGAACGGAGTTCATGTATAGTTCACCGGTTAATATGGCGTATGACGGATGGCTGATGTCTGGATTTAGTACTGGCTTATATGGGACTGCCATTGCAGCTATTTGGCAAGGTGAATCAGGACGTATATGTCACTATGACAGAGCTGATCGTCTATCTAGGGAAGCATATTTGGACCGTATACACCATTGCAGCAATTGGATCTACTTGCTGATCACGGAACAAAGTCGTACGTTGTTGGGTCGACAAACTCGTTACTGCTGCAACAAAAAGACCGTTATAGCGACATTTTGATTAATGTAGGCGTCCTCTTATGCCATCAATGAAAGTAATACTAATCTCCATGCAGTTAGACGAAGGAACCATCAGCATACACTCACCTTCACTCAGAGCAGCACTGGCGTTAACTGCAGCAGACAGACGATGGGTGGACTTTCTCACGCAAACTATCAACGAGACTTGGGACCCGGCGCATCCTGAACAGCCCAAGACGCACGGCTATGTCGGTTCAGAGGAGTTCATTAGACTGCAGTTTGAAGAGTATCTTTTGGCATTGTTAGCAAGCACGAACCATCGACAACATGTCCAACCCACGTCACCAGGAAAAGCGGCAGAAGTAAGGAGCAAGGGACAATCGACCGACGCGGAGGGAGACCCAACGCTGGATTTCAACACAGATTTCGTGACTCATTGGCAGACCACACCAAATTATGCTTTATTCAATCAATTAACATCTGACGCGTTGCTGTTCTCCATCGTCGAGCCTCGACATCCATATGCAGGCGGGCTTACAATAGACGACATTCAGCGCCGTCTGGCTCAGCAGGTCTCCGAACTTCATCTGGACGAGCGAGTCCGCGAGGGCCGGGAGGCACTCAACAAGACACTAGCATCAGGCCAGAAGAAAGTGAGCAGCGCCTTCAACAGTTTCTGGGCAGATATCGAGGCTCTACGAGAAGCGCAACGCAAAAAGAATGAAGAAAAAGTCGGAATTACAGACCGTTCTTCCTCCTCCGACAGAAACGTCAGCAACGAGTCTGTGCAATCCGCACGAAATGATGCCGCCTCACCTACCAACGAGAGTCAATCTTCGATTTCATCGTGGTTTGGAAGTCGTCGATCGCCATCCGTCGATATCACGCAGGCACAGGCATCGGTGAACGTAGCGAGTCAAAGAGCGGGTGCGTACATCAGTTCATGGGGGACATGGGCCAGCGAGCGACGCAAGGAATGGCAAGATAGGAGAAGTACCACGACCACCAATAGCACAATATCATCGCCATCATCTTCAGAAACAACAACCCAGAAACCATCTGGTCTTCCAAGCGTTAACGAAAAGACTGAATTGAGCGACCAACCTAATTGCGATCACAACATCAGCACCACCAATCAATTAAGAGACGCATCCTCCCTCCGCGAAAGCGAAGATTCTTCCTTCCCATCTTCAACAACTCTAAGCCGAAGCATGAGCCGCCGCAAACGCTGGAGCAGCGTCCTCCGCGTGAAAGATCATCGCCGCAGCGACTCCGACAGCGAATCGTCCACCAGCCGGAAGACATCATTAGACATCCCGGTGCGCCGTGGATCCGCCTCTTCGACTTCGGTCTCTGGTTCGATGGGAGCGGGTGATGGGATCCCAAAATCGCCGCTGGGGCAGAGGCAGATGATCGTCGGAGACGACGTTGTTCCTGTTGCTGCACCGGAGAGTATTGCAGCTGAGACGGGGGAGAAAGGGGTTGATGTGTCGCCCATTCCGGCTTCGGGCCCTGAAGCAGAGTAGGTCCAGGGTGATGAGGATTACAAAGAGGAAGGGAAAGATGATGATGTTGTGAAATAGAGAGTATTACCCATGTTTTTGCTGGTTGGTTGTTTGTTTGTTAGCGTTGTACATGATCATACCTACTATTTACATACATATACATAAATAATTAATGAATTGAATGAGCTAGTTAAATGAACGATGGTTTCTATACGTCTATGCGTGAGTATTCGATCGTACATTCTCTTTGTATACATGATATCATCTCAGTGATACATCATAATCAATATCCGAGCTAAGCTAGCTGTATATGATTAAGCCGCGGAAAGCTCAGCAATTCGCTTCTCAATATCCGGGACGGCTCTTAATTGCAAGTCGAGATCTTCTTTCTCACTTATCATCAAACGTAAATTAGCAACTTCTCATACGTAAATCAAAGGAAAGGGGAAAGGACATACTCTTCCAGTTTCAATCTCTTCTCCCAATCCAATCCTGTGAAAATATATCCACCTTGTCCATCAAACTGCAAGATCTTCTTGTGGTATTGCCACAGACTTCGTCGATGCGAGACGGTCATCAACGTGATTCCTAACTGTTTGGCGGTCTCGTACATTACTTTCTCGATTTCGAGGGTGACGGAGGATGTGCATTCGTCCAAGATTGCGTAGCGCGGTTTATGATAGAAGAGACGCGCCATGGCGATACGTTGTTGTAGCCCGCCGGACAGGACGTCGCGCCATTCTTCTTCTGCATCCCAGCCGCCTTCGCGCTCGACTATGTTGGAGATCTCGAGGATGGAAAGGACCTCAAAAAGATCGGTATCTGTCACGCCCTTGGCGCGCATTTCTTTGACACCGTCTGGGTAGATTACTTGTTGTCGTAACGTGCCGCGGGAGAGATACGGCCGTTGCGGGATGTAGAAAATGTCGTCGAAGCTGGGCTTTTTCACTGTTCCGCCGTAGACGGGCCAGAGGCCGCCGAGAATACGAAAGAGGGAGGATTTGCCGCATCCGTTCGGTCCAACAATCAAAAGGTGATCGCCCGGATGGACGGTGAAGGATAGTTTGCGGACTAAGACGTCCCCGTTGGGTGAGACGATAGGAACGTCTGTGAATTCGATGGAGGGGCTCTCGGTGACGGTTCCTCGACCTGCGAGGACTGCTGCGTTCTCTTCTGTCGATGCTGAAGATACGAGTTTCTTCTCAAATCGGCCGGCAGCTACGTCTTCCATGACGTCGAGGAGGGATGAGACTCGAGCGGTGTGGCCTGCGAGTTCCGATACTTCTTTGTATGAGAACATGACACGGCCGAATGCATCGGATGAGGAGAGGAGTAGTCGTCGATTAGTGACGAAGCCTGGTACATGTTAGCGACTTGAAATCATTCTGTAATTGGAAAACGCACTTTCTGTCCGATCGCCCATAGTCTGGCTGATTTGCCCTGGAATCTTGAAAAATACCGGCACACTACATAGCATAAGTCCCAAAGCACCCCAGAAATACTTGATGACAAAATCCTCCATGAATCCATGATACAATCGTCGTCGAAGAATACGGTTGACATGCTTTATGAGCGTGAAATAACCCTTGTCAAGGTTATCTTTCTCAGCTTCGTGACCGTGATAGAGAGCGACTTCTTCGCTATAGTCTATTAACCGTGTATGCTGAAATCTGAACTCGCCTTCCAAACGAGCTTCGTCGGCAACGTATTTGCCGAATGGAGGTGTCAATGCGCGCATCATGTTTGCTGATAGTTGAACCAAAAGACTCATAAGAAACAAGCCCTCCATGCCCACGTTCTTTGAAAGCTGATAGTTATATAAAACCATATCCAAAACGGGTTTTGCCAAATTCGAGTATAGCTCTGCTAAGCTGTCGGAAAATCTGGAGATATCCACTGTGACCATCTGATCCGGATTTTTGATTCGATCGTCCAGCGCCGAAAGTGCATAGAAAGTCATGTTTGACAAATACTTGTCATGGACATGCTCTGTGAGCCGTCTGCGATATTCAAGCGCAAGACGGCATTGATGATAAGATAGCTTTACTCGTCAGCTATGACATGGCACAAATAATACTGGAGAAACTTACCATAGAATTCGTAAAAGTAGCAGGTATAGCCACCGTCATCCACCACACAAGACTCTTCAAAAACTCTTTGCCTTTGCCACGTACTAAGTGACTAACCAACTTTCCGTCCAACTCAGCAACATATATACTCAATATAGTCCTCAATACCAAAAACACGCTATGGCTTAAGAGCAGGCGGAACTCTTTACTCTTCCATCCCGGAATCACAATTCGCAACAAGCGCAGGAGATTTCTGAAGAATTCGAGATTGATTTCCACCTTTTTCCTGCTTGCGCTTTTCTCATCCGCGTTCTTATTCTCTATGTTGTTGTTGTCGAGACTGCTTGTTCCCGGCCGCTCACGCATCTCCGCCTGCCGCCGGGATGCCGCTTTTTGTTCTCCGATCGCATTGTGGATTCGTTTCGCAAGTGCAAGGAACAGGGCGAGATAGACGGCGCGCGAGATTCGGGTGCGATGTTTTACGTACAGACTCGTCATATGTGAGATAGTCTGGCCGATAGATCGCTCTGGGAGGCGGATCTTGGATAGCGCTGCCATTTTGGCGGATGCAGACGAAGCAGGGACTGTTTAGATACCCATGTAGGTCGTTGTAGTATTCTGGAGGAGGTGTTGCAAGCTCAGCAGCCCACTAGATCGAACAGCGCGAGAAACGACGAGAGTGATGAACCATCCTCAATACGTAGTGTTGAGGCCGGCAGCTAGGGTGTAGGTTATGTGGCTTATTGGCAAGTTGTAAGTATACCAAAAGTGCTTCAAGGTGAGTTCTAGCAAGTTGGCTGAGAGCACTCGAGGAGGTGGTGGCATGTGAATCGCATGGAATGAAGTTAGTCCCAGCAGGCAACTCCGCCAGCCAACCTGCCGAGGATGTCGTTACAGTCTCGTTACGTGTTTGCGATACGCGTCACAAGTAACTTTCATTTTTTTCAACCCTTCAACGTCCCTGAATCAATGAAATTTCTCAAATAGCCGTTCTTGTGACATATAGAGTCTCACTTAGCTCTAATGCGATTCCGAGAGAGATGATTAGTGTGGAGGACAAAAGACACAGTCTACTACGAAGAGTGCACTCTGTAATGCTGCGTATTAAAGGGTGGAGAACCCCGGACTTTCGTTTTGGCATGTGAATCAATGGCCATGACGCAACTTTCTCGTTAGCCCTAGGGTTATTTAGGGTTATACTCCAGGACTGTTCACTCAGCGTACTCATCGCAGAACACGGAATCTAAGGAACTCTATATATTTGGAGATTAAGCCGAACATGAGTCTCCTGCTTTCTAGGTGTTGGTCTTCTTTCCTTGTCAAGCAATGCACAATCCCAAAAACGGCAGTTTAATGACAGTCGATTTGTCAGCTACAATGACTGATTTGCCGGTGTCTCAAACCAGCATCGTTTTTCGAGCTTGCAACTTTCGGACAAGCAAATGACGATGGAGAATGCAATCCCGACTATCACATCTCGTCAATCGAAGAGAGCAGCATCTGCCTGCGAAGCATGCCGTGCTCTCAAGGTGAAATGTATTCAACTGGAGGAAGGACAACCTTGTACTAAGTGCGGGTCACATCCTTAGTTGTAACAGTCCATACTTACCTCAGCCAAATATGAGTAGATGTGCCAGATCAAAATCTCAATGCGTATTACCAGAGCCAAGACAGCGGGCTCGGGTTTCACAACGAGCGAAGCCGTAAGTGGCCATGGACGGCGTTCCATTATTTTTTGCTGACAGTAAGGAAATGAAGGCGACTTGCCGATCTGGAATCCAAGCTCACCAATATCATCGGTCTTCTTTCACGCTCGAGTGCACACCATGGTGGAGTACATAGCTCTGTTGAGACCGGACCTGAACAGCCTGCAATTCCCGGTGATTTCAGAAGCAGCCCGCATCTAACAGCTGAATTGATGAGCCAAGGGTGTCTGGCTGACCCTCAATCGAATGAGGACCCCAATTTGGCTGTTCATCAGAACGACACTAAAAGCGCTCTGGAAATTTCATGTGGCGCGTCTACCACCGTGGATGCTGCGTGGATCACCGACCTGGGACTTACTCCCGTCGTTCTCGATTATCTGCTGGACAAGTTCCGTGGTATGGCGTCCTACTTTCCGTTTGTGCAACTCTCAGAAACCTGGACGGCTGCATTGATGGCTGAAAATCGCCCCTTCCTATTGCTCGCCGCTGTTGCTGCTGCCTCCTCAAAACACTGCCATCTTCAAGACGCTCTAACCAGACAGTTCAAAGAATCTCTCAGCAAGCGAGTCGTCATGGCTGGTGAGAAAGATATAGATCTACTCCAAGGATTACTTGTTCATCTTGCTTGGTGAATTTTCCCTTCCACATCCTCCACCGGGGCCAATCTGACCAATACTAGGTTCCAATTTCACTTTATTCCCGGGAGTCAGCAAGACTACCTGTACGTACAAATTGCAATCAGCATGGTTATTGACCTTCACCTCGATCAAGAGGCTGCCGACTTGCTTGGGCAGCGGACCAATCTCGGTAATATCTATACTCGCGAAGCATGCCGTGCGTATCTTGGCTGCTATTACATATCTGGCATGTAAGATGTTATTCACTTTATTCACCACGAATAAGCGCCGATGAGCCTGAGCTGACCGAAATAGAATAACAATGTCTTCGGGAAGGCCTAACAATCTTCAATATCACAAGAACATGCTCTCATGCGCTGTGATGCTGCAACAAAAGCCAGAATTCGAGACAGATCTGTTGATTCATCCAGTGACGAAAGTGCTACAGTTTGCCGAGGAAGTCTGTGAAACTTACAGGTCAGAAGGGCTTCACGGCCCCTGTCTATACATTCATGCTGAACGATTCACGACGCGGTTGGAAGACTGGTGGTCCTCTCTATCGACGGATCTTCGCAACACAGGTTAGGGTCTCTTAAGCTCAGGATACCCATCTAGCTAATTGGAATTCCCTAGTATTACTGAGCAACGCCTATCATACCGTCAAGATTCGGATCCAAGAAATGGGCTTGGTATATCGCTATGGGCCGAGAAATCCTCCCGTTCCAAAGGGACGTGGAAATTCCACCCTGTTATCTATGCCTCCAATGATTATCAGCAACCTAATCAAATGCGTCAGCTCAACAAAAGAATCCCTCGATTCCTTTCTTGCTATTCCAATTACGGGGCACGGTAACTTGCCATTTGCCACGTGGTATCAGGTTATTTTGACGATATTTGTGCTGTACAGGCTATCCGTGGGACTTCCAGAAGTACCGGACTGGGACGTGGAGATTGCACAGCAAGCGGTGGATTTGATGACATACTTTGATACACTATTGTCCTATCTACAGGTTATGAAGCCATCCCCAGACCGGCAAATACCCACCAAGAGCCTCTTCTCAAGGCTGCCCGAAGTCATGGAAAGTGTAAGAACTTCCTTTGAGGCGGCAAGAGGTAATCTCGCAGAGGTCCGTGATAGTCGCAATGCTCATCACGAGCTTAAGGATTTAAATAACACGGCACCGTCGTCTAGTCAAAGGCTACACCGCTGCCCTGCATTACGGTATTCAAATCGCAATGTCACCCAGGTCCCAAGCCAACCTACACTACAAAATGCTATTGCTATGGAAATTCAGAGAATAGAAGATGAGAAGCTTTGGAGTGATATTTTGTTGACGGAGACTCCGAGCATAGTCTAGTATTGGTAGCTCATAATATTAGACAGCGCAAGGACTGCCCTCCTTGCAAGATAAGGAATGACATTCGATACTGCCAAACAAAAGAGATGGCTGGCCTGACTCATGACGGTGGTATGGCTGAGTACATTCTCAGTCAGGGACTCGGATTCTCTCGTCGAATTACCCGGTGAAGTCGTATTTTATCAGGCCGCACCATTGATGTGCGCTGAGTACTGCTTTTCTCGAATTCGATCATGCTCGATAGACTAACATTTTGTGTAAAGGCTACATTTTGAGCTGCGATTTGAAGAGACAGAAGCACCAATCAAGGCACTATTGGGAATAATCGGAATCGTCGGGCTGAGCTCTCTCGTTATTCAATTCGCAAAAGTCGTAGGCCACCACAGGTACTTCGTGATGCGCGTGTCTGGTCTACTTGGCAGAGACTATTCAAGCTCGCAGTCAACTAAAACATTGATTTCATTTCTGAAACTCGTGCTTTGAAGTCTCACCATGAAGATGTGATATCCCCTCTTTAAACATTTGAAGCTTTTCGTTCATCTCCGAATATACTTTACGTACATGATAACCGTTAGGGCTCTTTTTAAGCATGCCCTAGCAGGATATAGCATTAGCTTCATGCCAAATCTCCCAAGTGAATCCAGTAGATATATGAGATCACTTCAATCTTCATTACTATTAGCAACGAATATTTTCTTTAAATGTTCATTTCGCTGTGAACCTAGTAAACGATTCCTGTCATTGTATTGGACGGGAGCGTAGCAGCCTATCTAACCTGCAAGCTGTCTAATTGAGCTTCTTTCAACTGCACCCCACTGCTCGAGACCACGATCGACCCTATCCAGAAGGATCTCAGTGAGAATTTAACTCAAAGGGTTACTTAATATAAAACCAGGTAGAGTCATAAATAAGAGCTCACCTAACTCACTCGTTACTCAACAACATGACCACAACCAAAATCCCGGCTCCTTCACCCCTCCCAGTCAACACCAGACCTCATCCTCACCAAGATGATAATGAGACTCAGCCCACTAAAAAGGAGACGATACCTAGACCGAAATTTAGACTGCGTCTAGAAGATGTGCGCCACTCTGCAGCAGCATCCTTCTTCGGTCTCATCCCAGACCTAGAAGCTGTACTCGACTCCGCCTTGACGGCAATCGTCGAGCAACTCTACACTTCCCCTCGGCGGGCACGACCACACAACAATAATGACGAGAATGATGCTTCCAAAGCACCAATACCATCATTCATCCCATTCATACCCCCGACTCGCTCCGTGACGATCATTCTTCAAGACTTCAATGGCGTCGCCTACACCAACGGCACAGATCTGGATGATGACCACAAGGAAATCCACTTCTCACTCTCATACATCAACCACGTCTGCAACAACGACACTCAACCCCTCTCCGAACTGAAAGGTGTTCTCACCCATGAATTAGTACATTGTTACCAACACACTGCTCCTGCTGAGGGGGAAGTCCCGCGCCCCCCCGGCGGGTTGATCGAAGGAATCGCAGACTTTGTCCGTCTCAAAGCAGGTCTGGGAGCAGCGCATTGGCAAAAGCCGAAATCTGCGCTTGATCGCGCATCTGATTGGGATGCGGGGTACCAGCATACGGGTTATTTCTTGTCGTGGTTGGAAGATGTGCGGTTTGGAAAGGGAGCGATTGGGTTGCTTAATGATCGGTTGTTGAGGACAGGGTATTTGGGGGAGGAGGAGGAGGAGGAGGAGGAGGAGGAGAAAAAGAAAGATAAGAAGGAACCGGGGTTCTGGAGGGATTTGTTTGGGGTTGAGGTGGATGTTTTGTGGGAGGAGTATGGTCGATATCTGGACAAGGAGGTTTAGGAGAAAGAGAAATGATGTTCGATTATTATCGTCGTTGATGACTTACAGGGCATCCAAGTGATTGAATCTGATGTATTCTTACAATGTGATCTAAATTTTCCTGAGAGATCTGATACTATACAAGACATGATGATGATGACGATGACATGCAGTGGAAAATTCCGCGCCCATGCAACCTCATACCGAAGATATAAATAACACAATAAGGAAAGAAAAACAAAGTCACAGCGCCGTGGATCCGCGGCATCAAAATGAGAAATGTAAAGGCCGGTCCTTGTAAGCAAATGCTCCTTTCGCTGAGGAAGTCTCAACAATTATTTTATCCAGAAATTGAAAAAAGGATCTTAGACGAAGATCTCTCCATAATCCACGTATACGGGCTTCCATGGCTTAGCTCCTTCTTCTTCCATGGAACTAGGTACTCTGACTTCCAAGGGGCTATAGAGGTACCAACCCTTGAGCGCTGCAACTGCTGCTCGAGTTCTGGCCTCAACAAGACTTGCTCCGGATCCCTCACCCAGTTTGTCCTTGCCGGAAAACACGCCGACGTTGAAAACAGGACTTCTGCTGTGTCGACCGGTTTCGCTGATGATTTTCGCAACGGGGGGTTCGATATTTTCACGGTGGCATAGAGTAGCCAAATCGCGGGCAGGCTGTGTGAAAGAGAATAATTTGGTCATATCGAGGTGACGAGATACAATATGTTCCAGGAAGAATCGCTTGGCTGCGGGACGACCGGCATGTAGATAGATACCACCCACCAGCGCCTGCACAAATGTTGATGTGGCTTTCTCGGCGGTCACGCCAGGAATGGACTTGATATCCGGGATTTTAGATTCAACGTATTTCGGGTTCTTGGTTCTGAGATCTGGGTCGCCAAATATATCACCGTGGACAACGCTTGATGCGATTGACTTTCTCCAGTGTGTATTTGGTTTTGTGGTCCTTCTTGCTTCTTGTACGATCTCCGTCCCTGGCTGTACCCTCTTAAATTGTAAAAGACCCGGGTCTACCTCCGGCCCAGGTGCAACAGCCAACTCGACACCCCATTCTCCAGCTATAGCTGCCAGCGTCCTTGGACCAATGTATGCGTACAATGCGGCGTAAAGCACAGTCATGGGAAGGCGAGGATAGGTACAGATGATATGTTCGGTGGTATAGCTAGCGAGGAGATCATGGCCGAGCAAAGCCAAAGACGAATTGTTGAATTTGGGGTGAGGATCTGATGATGCATCTCTTAACGTTCGGGCTAATGTCTCGAGGGGAAATTTCTTGGGTAGAGCGAGTCGAGAATGTAATGCGTAGACTTTTGGCGATGGTTTTTGGAAACCTGCTCTTTTGAAAGTGTCGAGAATTTGGGGTTCCGCGGATGGTGTAATTTCTTCTGATATCGGATTATCAGTCGTCTGATCCTCTGATACTTGTGCAATTGGTGAAATTGTTGACTGGTGCCGTGTTCTAGCATTGACCTGCCAATGCAAATGACCACCCGACATGGTTCTCGACGACGGCGACAGGACCGAGCGGCTCCATCGCTGGAGCTGCAATCTCTTCATCTGGTGCCCTAACAAAAAATCAGAGGTCGGCACCGAAAAGGATCAATTGACGCGAGATTGAAGCGGTTGCGTGGTTACTGAGCAAACGGACACCCCATATAACTTTTTTCAAAGAAAATTGTAAAGCTGCGCTCGAAGTCACGGGGACGGAGAAGGGGAGAAATCTGAGAAATGGCGCTAGTACATTTATGGTTAGCTTACAGGTCACGGGCTTTCCGGACGGATTCAAAGCAGAACATCAAATGGACACCACTTGATTCCAAAGCTAGCTTCGACCTCTTTATTTACAATTGTCCGCCATTCAATCGCTATATTGAAAATGGGAGGAGGCGGAAAGATCCCGTACGTTATTAAAATCTCGCCAGATTTCGAAATAGCCTCCAATTGCGCTCGAAACTGACCTACCTGCCCAGTTACCCCAAAGAGGTGTGGTCTCCAGCCGGTGGTTGGTACGCTCAACCAGGCAACTGGAAGGCCAACACTGCCGTCATGGGCCTAGCCATCGTCGGAATCGTCGCAGCAACATGGAGTCTTAGTGCCGAACGCGAATACCGTGACAGAATGCCTGAGCCAGGCCGATTCTTCCCAAGTCGAAAGTCAGTTCTCGGTTGACTTTTACGCCGGTTATACATTCGCTGACATTTGAACTATACAGTTGGAGCAAACAGATCATTGAGCACGACCGACAGAACGCTACGAAAAACGAGTCGTAAGCCAGGACACGTGTTAGAGGATATTAAGGGCGATATCATTTCTATGTGTTTATTTCTTTGACGCCGCGCGGATATGGCTAGAGATATCGATCACTAAGGTGATTGATGATAGAGGCGTTAATCTATCACCCATTCATAGTCTTGCGGAGACTGCTCAAGGGTTTTGCATAATCGCTGTGTATAATTACGGAGTCGTTCATTGAATCCAATTCCGTTCCATGTTTCATATTCATTCGTTGTTGAGATTGTAGGCACTCCGATTTGCTCTACAACAAACCCGGCGGCGACAGTAGCACAGATAAGAGCCTGGGGAATCTGCCCATTATTGCCCCATTTGTGTTTGATCTTGTCCCAGTTATCCGACGTTGCTAGTATTTCGTCCATGATTTCGCCGGGCTCGCGATCTTTGCTGATCATACCCTGTGCTAGCGCACCAAGGAAAGAGTTACCAGCTCCAGTAGGATCGACGACTTTTGATACTTGATCAGATTCAGACTGGTGATATGCTGGAAGCCACAATCCCTTTCGACCTTTTGAATAGGTGTAGCTACCGTCTTTACCTGCTCTGATCACTAGTGCGCCTTTCTTTTCCGGCCCAATACCGGATTCTAGAATCTTTTGGACCAGTTTTCGGTCGCCCTCGTCAGCTTCATGCCAGCCAGGACGCCCGAACATCATTCCCAGCTCCAGCTCATTAGGACTGACCAGGTCGACAACGCGACAGGCCGCGAGGAACTTTTCTTGTTCCTCGGGTGTACAGAGATCGGGTACGGGTTCCCAAACAAAGATTGGTCGTGTGGATTGAGATGAGGAACGCGATCCTCGTCGCTGGAGAATCTCTTGAACAATGTGGATGCATCTTTCGGACGAACACACCATGTGGAATGTCTTGGAGAAAAGCTGACCATCTGATAGCATGTAGGGCTCCAGGCGTAACTTGGGTGTCAAATATTTGAAGTCTTATTTGGTTAGAACTCTCACCACACAGCAGGTACACAACCTTACCTCTTTTCTCATTCTCGCTGTAACCATTCCATGCGCGTGTAGTTAATCGACCCTTGTCCTCTCGTATCACACAACCGGTGTTCCATGATAGAATTGTGTTCGTCATATCCGGAGGAAAATCAGACCCAGCGTCCACAATCCAGCTGACAGCCTTGCCATGGTCATTACCAGCAACCATACGAGCTCCCACAACTGCAAAGGAGCCTGCCCCTCCTATGATTCCATAGACCGACGGAGTTGGGGGCTTGAACTCGATGTCATCTGAGATATGTTAGAAGGATATCCAAGCCCAAGCGGACTCTACTTTAGGTGAAATAGCTAAAGCACATGCCTATTATGAACATGCCCAAAGTACAAAAATCCACGTCGACTTCCCGCTTGTCGATTCCATGACCGTCGACCGACATTCTGATATTGATAATCAAGTATCGATATCGGTGGCTGTTTATTATATACCGCATCCACTTGGGTTATTTGGAGGAACACGGTTTCTGCTGAATGAGAGCACGAAAAGGCCATTCTCGCCGTGACCACAAAGTTCTTATCGGTCCCACTGACGTCTAGTGAGCCGTCTGGGAGGCAGCTGAAAGCCAATTTCCAAGCAGCCAACTCTTACGACGGGCTTTCATCTACATCCGTGTTTTCTCTGTCTATAAGTCGGGGTAGAGAATAAAACAGACTCAACGAAAATAAAGACAAACAAATTGTCCCCAATGAATAGGCCAATCCGTGGTACTCGTAAGTGGTAAAAAATCAGATCTACGACCCTGAACAAAACGACAGGAGTGAGATTTGAACTCACGCATCCGAAGATACAGCATATCGAGAATCTTTAAACTATAGAATATATATTTAAAGTGAATTCGAGTGCTGCGCCTTAGACCACTCGGCCATCCTGCCATATTTAAAATAAGTAAATTGAGGACTGTGACCCGAGTCGGGCAAACAGCTCATTATCCTCCTGGCCTGAGCTTGGTTCAACTACTACAACATTGTTTCTACCTCCCTAAGACGTGATTCATCACAACATCCCAACCGCAACCATGGCTGGAAATCAGATGCATAATATGACCACCCTCATAAAGAGGTATGATCTCGGGATATTCTTTTACGTTGATTGTGAAGATGAGAAGGTAATACAGGATGCTAATGATAGCTCACCCACAGGCTTGAGGCAGCCACCTCTCGTCTTGAGGATATGGCAATGTCATTCGAAGGCGCCAGCCAAGCGAACCACGTCAACCTCACGACTCCTGTACAGCAAGGAGCTATAGAGCCTTCGATACAACCTCCCTCACCCCCTACCCCAACACCCGATCCCGATCCACCACAAATTGAGGACTTTGATGCCTTGATCAAGAGCGACGTTCAAGCATTCGTTGATCTCGGGAAACAAATCGGAGGACTAGTTGGAGAACAGGTACCATCCCTCAAATCCGGACACTACACATACGTCGAATGTGGATTGACATAAGATCAGGCCGAGGCAGTTCTTCAAGCATTCCAAGCCGAACGCACCTTCATTCTCGTGACCACAAAAGCTAAGAAACCCGAACCATTGGCTCCTGAACTCATGACCGAACTTCATAAAGCATCCGATACCATCAACAACATTCGCGAATCCAACAGAAGTTCCCCATTCTTCGACCATTTCAGCGCTATCGCAGAAGGTATAGTTGCGCTAGGATGGTTCTTCGAGCTTAAACCTGCGACATTTGTCAATGAAATGGTGGGCGGAATTCAATATTATGGTAACAAGGTCTTAAAGCAATACAAAGATAAGTGAGTAAGAAGAAAGGTTCATTGATCTGGTTCGATTGCTGATCTTCGAAGGGAACCACTGCATGTTCAGTACATCCAAGCATACTACAAGGTCTTCAAGTCGCTGGCCGCCTACCTCAACAAACACTATCGAACCGGCTTGACATGGAACAACCAGAGCGACCTCAGCGCTCTAGATGCATTGAAACAAATCCAGTCCGGCTCTACTAAAGCAGCACCTGCTGCTCCTGCCCAAGCTGCTGGTGCACCTCCGCCACCTCCTCCCCCCCCTCCTCCTCCTCCACCACCACCAGCTGACCTAGCTGTGCCTTCTGCATCGCAGCCCAAGGGAGGGGACATGAACGCAGTATTCGCCCAGCTCAACCAGGGTGATTCTGTTACCTCAGGTCTTCGCAAGGTAGACAAGTCTCAAATGACGCACAAGAATCCTAGCCTTCGTGCAGGATCTACCGTTCCCGAGCGATCCGACTCCCAAAGCAGCCTTGGATCACCCATCAACCGCGGAAAGTCACCTGCACCAGGCAAGAAGCCCAAGCCCGAAAGCATGCGGGCTAAGAAACCTCCCCGAAAGGACTTGGAGGGCAGCAAATGGTACGTGGAGCATTTCGACAGTGTCTCCGACGTGATCGAAATCAACGCCCAACAAAACCAATCCATCCTCATCTCGCGCTGCAGCAAGACCATCGTCAAAGTGAACGGCAAGGCAAACGCAATTTCAATCGATAACTGCAGTGGCCTCTCCATCATCGTGGAGTCATTGGTCAGTAGTTTGGAGGTGATTAAATCCACCAAATTCGCGCTTCAAGTTGATGGTGTTGTGCCTACTTTGCTTTTGGATCAGGTCGATGGTGCAACGGTCTACCTTTCGCCTGCTAGCATCAATTTGGAGATCTTCACCAGCAAGACTACTGGAACGAACATCTTGTTACCCCCCAAGGAGGGTACGGATGACGATACGACTGAGGTTCCTCTACCAGAGCAGATTAAGAGCTATGTCAAGGACGGTGTGCTTGTTAGCGAAATTGTTGAGCATGCTGGTTAGAGAACGAGTGGAACATTTTTTTGGTGTATTTGCAAGCCTCTGTTGTCTGTTTTTTTGAGACATCTTGTGATCTGGATAGCGTAGCACATTCATTCTGGTTCTTGTAGATAGAATCTTCCGCTCATAAGTATTACATGAGGCGGGAAACAATAACTCTTCCATATCTAGAGATCATGTCTCAACTACCTAGCCCGTAGATCTAAGTATATCAACTCCTACCTAGGTATGAAACGTAAAGCTACCCCAGTCAAGACGTACGTACCTAGGTACAATTCTTTTCCCATGCCTTTTCAATATAATCCGGAAGAACATACCGGCTATTATAAGTCTCGGGCATGTATAACTGCACATCTGCGTCGCTATATTTGTTCGAGCCTATACTTTCTAGGGCTTGTAGCACGTTCGTTTTCATATGAGACATGAAGACGAGATCAACGAAATCGGGATCTTTAGTAGCTCTATCTTCTTCTTGCTGTGAAGGGAAATTGGCTTTGGCGTAGTAATACTTGTGGTATCTCTTGTTCTCTATGACCTTGGAATGTTTCGTGTCGTCGCCGTCGTCGCCTAGGCCGTCATGTGTCGTGTATCCGGGACTGGGTTCCGCCTGTTCTCGCTCCTTATTCTCAGATGATGAGAGCAGTGTCTGCTGTGTGAAAGATCTTTTTCGAAGCTCTGAGCGAGTTTCTCCGAMCCCTGCCATATCTTTGGTCATCTCTCCGTTTATGAAGACCACCTCCTCATCAACCGGCGCTGGATATGGTATTGATAGATTCTTCAGAACGCCCTTAACCAACGGCTCAAACGCAATATTCGCAATATACTGAAACGTGTTTGGAAACGGCACAATAGCATAAGCATCACCTCGATAGAATGGTCCCTTATAGATATGATCACGAATAGACCCTTCATTGGCAAGAATGATTCGAGGGTTCTGCCTCCGCGATTCATTGACAACAGTGTTCGCTAGGGCGGCTTTGAAGAGCTTGTATATGTTGCCGTCGTCTGAGGCATTCTTACAATTATAGCAGTATTTTCTTGTGGCGCAGCCAAGAAATTGGGTCAGATTCAGGTTGAGGCGAGTATCGTGGATGGCGCGTGAGGTATTGAGTCCTAGCGGGGTGTCGAAGCGGGCTGCCGGGACGTTGGACGTGTTATTATCGAGGCCAACTGAGTGATAAGCGAATGTCAGACGGTTCCAATCAAGGTATCGGCGGTCTAAGAAGAAGTCCCGAGACTGGTTGCAACTCTTCTTCGGTCGGGAATCGTCCTGCAGTATCGAAATCGAAGTTCCATTCCATGTGGATGAAGAGACCTTATTCAAAGCTACCCAGCCCACTGTATCGCCATATTTCCCCGATTCGATGCCAGAGGACTTATCATCGTAACATGTAAAGTTTCGGTTGTGTGCATGGCCACCAAATACTTGAATGGGGGTATTAGACTTCAAACTCCGGATATAATCACGCAGGCAAACCAGGGGGCTTCCAGTTGCCATGGACTTGCATGGTTCGTAGGTCGGAGAGTGTCCCAGAATCACATACAGATCAGCATGAATATTCATGGCTTTCTTGAACCAACCCTTTCCGACCATTTCAGCGGCACTGTAGTACAGTGTACTCTTCGTGTCTCGCTGAAAGGTATCATTTGTAGTCACTCCGAATGCAACGATTCGGAGCCCATTCTTCGTCATGAAAGAGCGATACCGGTGGCCGATGGATTCCCATCCAACGTCTGTTTTCACATCCATGTTGCTGGTGAGGTATCGTTCTCCGTAGTATGATGAAATGTTTGCTCTGATATTGAGAGCCTCCGCACCACTGCGGACACCATGGTTACCGATTGTCAATAGATCGTAGTCGATTTTTTTGAAGATGGTGTCTGAAACAGCGCCCTTGGGATCTGTGCTATCGCTGAGACCATTTCCCTCGTGTAAGTCACCTGCCATAAACCGAGACAGATTGATTTAGCATACCGAAATAGAATCCTGGAGAGAGAGAGATGGAGAGAGATGGAAATATCACCTGTATCAATAACTAACAGATCAACTTTCTTCTGGACCGCCAGCTCCCTCATTCGTGCAGTAAAAGAGACCAAGTCTCCCCAGTCCCCTCCCCAGCTGGGGACATTATGATGGCCATCCATCCATCCGTGGCTATCTGACGTATGTAGGAAGTTGACGTTTCCCCAAGGAAGTGGTCCTGTCGGTTTTTCAGTGGCATTCATAGCTTCTGGTTGTTGCAAAGGACTGAGAGCTGGGAAGTTGTTACTCTCTAGAGCATGGACAGCGGTAAATGCCAACGCCGCAGCGAAGAAAGGAGACATGGATTGCCGCATGTTGTCTTGTTTTTCCAAATTCAGATAGCAAGAGTACGTATTATGAGAACAGACTTGAATCGACAAGTCAGGGCAATGACTGTTTATACCCCTAGGTTGCCCCCGGAAGTACAAGATAGCATTGGTACGTACCAGTGACTGGCATGCTAAGCTGTTGGCATGTCGTACAACAGCGGACGACTGAATATCACAACAATGCATTGCATAAGCTTCGTCTCGTCTCAGGCGTCATAGAGAGGATACAAGGAATTGGATACACCAATCAATATATACGTGCCTGAGAACTCCTGGCGTCGAGTATGTCGTACCACATCAGAATGCAGACACGAGAAGGTAAATAATCCTAAGTAGGCACTAAAGTCCTCAAAGAAATTCCGGGACATGCTCTGTTGGGTGGGTAGGTGAGTCGATCCCTATATCATCGTTGCCGTTTAGGTATTTCTAGGCATGTCACCGTGAAAGAACATCTGTCAGGGAGCGATTAATACGATGGTTCTTTCTGATATAATTGAACCTTCTTTGGATTCACACAACTTAACCACCTCCCAGTTATCATGATTGTATATATGTTTGGATAGTTACTAATAATGTTCGTGCATCTTAACCAGCTGGAATAATTACATAGTTATTTCCGTCCAACCAGATCAGACCGCTTTCCAGAAGCAGTCTATGTCATATATGTCCATTCTAGAGTCAATCCAGATTAAAAAATGGTAGGCGGCTATATACAACCTCCTTATTGAGAATCTGAGGTTTGTTCGTTACTACAACTCCAATCTCTAAGCCTCTGAGCTAAGAGACTTTCGCCAACACTGGAATAGCTCGTAGGAGAGGTAGCGAGTTGGTGGTAATTGCCATATTTCTCGCAGTCGTTGTTCATTTCTGCGTCATCGTCGATAATGTCGCCGAGGTCTGCAGATTTGGGTGGTAGAGGAGAATCGAGTGACATCTCATCGGATAGTGAACGTTTGGTGGAAGAGTTTCCTGTCCGCCAGATATCGTTATTCGAGAATAAAGATGGGCCGGCGTCATTTGTAGACGGTTCTCGAGCGTTGGAGATGCTGAGCCTGAATGGTACTGGCTGTACTTGCTTGTGATTCGAGGGTGCAGGTGCATCAGGATAGAGCTTGTCATCGAAGAACTGACTGCTGGCGAAACCAACACCAGTGCTTCGTCTCCAATGGCCTTTGTCGATCGCTGATAAATTGCTAGAAGAGTTATTCGAGTCCTTCAAAGGCTTGTAAGGACTATATCGAGGCTCCGGATGCTGAATCTCATTTCGCAATTTCTCTTTCCCGTCAGGCACTCTATTCGCAAAGACAACACGGATAGTCGAATAGAGGTAAAAGCGACCCTTACTTGGGCAGCAGATGTTGAGATGAATGAGATATCTCAAAGTAGGCTTATCTTTCGGGTCACTTGTTGGATTGAGCGAGGCTTCGGGACGGTCAGTCCCTAAATTCCTTCGTGCCGTCAAGGGCATGTCGATGATAGGACCTGCAGAGTAACTGCGCTGCCTGATGAATGTTTTGGTGCCGGATTCCATATCGTCGAGATCGTATGGCACCAAGAATAGTTTGACGGCTGTCTTGTTGGGATTTTTGATCACAATTTGCAGCTGACCACGTTGGGGAATGCGATAAGAGCCTCCCGGAGGAGCCTTCACTGCTTCGGAACGTACGGAACGCTTCTCACGCCTCTGGTGCTCGTTGCAGTCGGGGCTAGGTATGGGCGTGCTTGAACCACTATTGTCATAAGTGGGCGTTTTTTGCGCACGAGATCGCTTGCTGGGAGCATCGCGAAGTTGTGCATTCTGAAGATCGATCAACCCAACGTAAGGGCTAGGACTGTCGTCGGAGATGGTACGGCCAGGTCCGGATGATGGATAGCTGTAGAAAACAGCGGGAAAGGGTACAGTGATATGTGGCGGGCATCTCAGATTAGATTTACATTTGCCCCTGCCCAAGACTCCAATTTGTGCGGTAAAGTCCAGAGGTTGTGATGGAGTTGTTGACATTCTGCCACGCAAGATGGACTCTTCATATGAGCCAACCATTGATGCATGTATGCGAGGAGATGAGTCTGATGCAAGGGATGGCCTGCGTAACCGAAAGGGCGTTTGTGGCGATGACGATGCAGGCTGAAGGCTATAGAACGATGACCGATGTGGCTGATAGGCCTGAAGGCGGGAATCTTCGCTGCCGTGAGCCGAAGCAAAGGACCTACTCAAGTTGGAAATTCGCAATTGATTAGGTGGCGAGTTACGTAGCTGCATGAACGTCTCTGGCGGCAGCGTTCGCCGACGACTTTTCTTGATGCTCTTTGCGAAATCATCGGTAAACTCACGCTTTGTCGAGAAATCTAAATCGGTATTGTTTGCTTGATTTACCAGAGGACTGGTCGGGGCTTTAAGGACGTAACTCGACGAGAAAGATCCTAAAGAGGGTGCCCGAGATCTTGCACCTAGTACACTTCTGGCATGCTGCCCGCTCAACGGGCTTGCTTCAGCGTCTCGGGATGTGTGCCTCACAGAGGTCACATGATTGAACCATGGAGTAGTCGGCGAAGAGCCATATCGTTTGAATGAAGGAGGTTGTGGTGAACTATTATACCCGCCAAAGTCCGGAAATTTTGTTTCCTGATTTTGAGCAGCACCCTCCCTGAAGTCGCCGGAATGTAATGCAGAGCGTGGACGCTCAATTTCGGATGGACTCGCTAGCTCAGATCTCTCATCAACTCCGGATACATGAGGCCGGACATTGTCCATGTCTGATGTCGAGTCATACTTCTTCTCAAACTCTAGCGATAAGTTTGACCGAGTCGCTTGGTTTGTAGGTTTTCTTCCTGAATTCTGATGCGCCCATGTGGGACTTTCTCCGCGCTTGATAGACTGTATAAGCTCCTCTCGGCTTCTGGGCCTTGGTGGCAAGAATTTAGTATCATATGCCGAGCTGTTTTGAGGCGAAGATTCGCCTGTGTGAATTTCTTTGAACTGGTCTTTCTTCCATTTTAAGACAGTTGGATAATCCCTCTGATTTCCGGTTTCACTGTTGACGAGTCTGTCTGGAGGCGTAGTAGATCTTTCCGGATAATGGAATATAGGCATCTTAAATTTTCGGTGGACCGCCTGTAGATAGATTGACTATAACATCGCAAAGGGCTTCCAAGCAGAAAAAGTCTCTTCGATAAAGAGATTTAAAACTAGAAAAGACGGCGACCGAACAGATAAAGCGCAACAATCAACCGGGTGGCGGTAAGTACAAATGTCGTAATCTGCTCGGCTTGCTAGCAATTGCGGGTGAAATGAAAAGTCCAGAGGCGATAAGCAGGGTAGATTGCAAGCAAGTAAAAAGCGCAGAAGCCCAGCCCAGCAGAAGACGACAAAATACAAAGTTGGACGTTGAGGAGGTTTGAGGTTGGGAGACGAAAGATGAGATGATTATCAAGTGACCAGTCACTCGGCGGGTCCTCAATTAACGCTTTGTGAGGTCAGTGGGCGATCTCCGGCGCTCTCGGCACTCGGGAGCGCCTAACCCAGTCCTAGTGACTATTGGATCACTAACAGCGCATAGTACTAACATCGTGGTGCCAGTGCTGCGACAGTAGTGCCCAACACATCCCTGCTGATGACAGAATACTTTTTCAAACAGGACATAATAATCAATATGAATATAGTAGTAGAAAATTATCGCGAGAGATGGAATAGTCCGATGATCCAATTAAGCGCCTCTTGGCACCTTCCTAGTGTGCCGGGTGGGGCCTTCATCTCTGCGGAGTCAAAAAATTCACTTTCTTTCACTTTGACAGCCTTGGATGTCTGCTATCACTACAAATACAATTAACATGTCTACCAAACGCACCCGCGATGCCGATGATGCCGTCGATGCAAAGAAACCCAGCGACAATCAAGACACCCGCAAGCGCAGAAAAGGGTTCACCGTCGGACCCGAAAATCTCCCAGATGGCACATATCGCCGCAAAGGTATATACACTCTCCGATAATCTCACCAGTCACTTTGCACTTACTGAACTTTCTGCGTGGCATCTAGCACAAAAAATCAAACGCGACCTCATCCAAAAAGCCAAAGTGAAAAAGGCATACGCCAAAATAAAAGCCGCCGAAGAAGAGTCCGCGCCTGCCGTTCGATCTCTCTATTATGAGGATGAAGAAATCACCGCCGCCACGAAAGATGAGTCCGCAGATCCATCGACCGGCTTAGAGTTACATCCAGACCGACAGGCCATGCTCGATGCTCCCGAGGCCCCGACAACAACTGAAAGGCCAAAGATCACCAGAGAATGGAATAGAGAACGCAACCAACGAAAGCGGCGCCCAAAGCCATCCGCGTTCCAGAAAGAGCTAGACATAGCTGAAAAACGCAGAAAGGAGCAGGAAGCGCGTCAGAAAGAAAGAGAATTAAAAGCTAAAGAGAGGCAGGCGATGGCGAAGGCCAGGAGGCCTGATCAATTCGGGAAGCGGAGGTTGGGGAGGGAGAGTACGGTGTTGTTGAGTAAGATTCAGAGGACGTTAGGTTCTCAATGATCTCTTTGCGAGATTCCTGGTTTAGATTAAGATACCCTCCTTTGATCCGTTATATATGAGTTATGTGTATGATGAAGTCTGGAAAATGGACGTGCAAATAATTGTAGCTACTCAGGTATGTGTAGTGCCCTTAACTCCAGATCTCACTTTCCTAAAGCATGCAAATTCGCCCTTGGTATGCTCCCGCAACTTCTTCAAAATACCCCTCATCTCGCCCAGTTCAGCTTGCAACTTTGTCCGAGCCTCGTTGTTTGTCCGTCGGTCGAGCTCGAGATAAATCTGACTCTGGATCGAGGACGCCTCTTCGGTGACGTATTGCGCCATTGTCTGAGCTATGAACTCCGTGTCGAGAGTGGCCTGCATAAGTGCAGGAAGTGTGTACTTGGGGCGTGATTGGAATGCCGTAAGTAATGAGGTGGAGATCTTGGTAACAAGGTACGTAAGAACGCTGGTCAGCAGCGGGTTTGCCTGAGCCGAGGATGAGGATGTCGAAGGGAGGGATGTTCCTGGTTGGACGGGAATGGTTGTAGTGATTTCAGTATGAACAAGCACAAGCGTCAGCATTGTTGTGTATACGTATGGCTTCACTTGCTCCGGACGGCTTGTGGTGGGAACCCAGTCGGCGGCTGTGATGCCCTCTTGAATCACGCTATGTAAGGCTGCGCTTGTCTGATTTGTATATGACTGGAACAGTCTATCGTCGATCTGGCCGAGCACGTCTCGAATAGTGTTTGCTTCATCAGTCAGTTTTACTGAGAATGCTGTCTCGAAATTGGACACTAGCTGAGGCACAAAATCGATTTGAAGTGCCTTGAGATTTGATAGTGTCAACAGCATTCGTATATTCTGATATTCAAATCAGTACTTCATCAGACCCAAAGTGATATAGTCGACTTACTCTGTTTCTTGCGTCCACATTGTCCGTGGTGATAATGCTAGAGGCGGCGTCAATGCTCCTCACCGGAACAGTAGGTTTCAAAGTCCAGTCTTCTTCATCGCCCATTTTAACCGGTCGCTCAGCATTTTCCACGAGACCGCTAAGAGCTTTGTAGACACTCGTTACAAATTGCGTTCGCACCATCTGCAGCAACTTGGCTGGAGGCGGCGTGACGACATCGACTGACCCAGCCTTGCTCATCGCTTCTGAAATATACAAGATCTTCTGCATTCCAGATAGCACACTGCTCTCGAATGCAACGAAGAATCCCGGCATCTTCGTGAGTTCCCGTCTTTCCGGGTCTCGAGTCCAATCTTCGAGCATTTTGCAATTTTCGGCATCTTTGTTCCATGCAGCGCAAGCAGCCCTTACGCATCTCTCGCGAGCAAAACTGACAAGGTTCTTCAATCGGTCATAAGAAGTGCTTCCTGTCTCTATTGGAGACATTGCCGACATATCACTCGCGGCTGTACCAATAAGAATCAGGAACTTGCTCAAGTAGTGAACACTACTCAAGGAGTTGGAATATGGAGGCCAGAATGCAAACTCTTCCCATGCTTCACCACGTCTAGGTGATGGAGGAGGCAGGTTCTTAGGATCGAGTTTGAAGCGAGATTCTGTGGGTGTGATACGGCTAATAGGGGTGCTAGGGCTTGGTGGTATGGGTGAGGCGAGAAGAGAAATATCTTCTGGTGGGGGGTCAACAAAAAGAGATAGAACACTCTTTCGAATCAAATCGACAAGCTCAATAATACCCTCCTGTAGCTGTCTAACGCCGTCACTGGAAAGACGATGGTGTTTTCGGCTTTCGCCTTCGAAACCCGCAGGGAGCATCTTCTGTTTGCTTCCGTTGATGAAAGACTGGGCGGTTTCCCAGAAATCCGTAACTTCGCCGAGCAAGCCGCTTTGCATCGAAAGAAGCTTTGTAAGATATGTATGAATGCATTCCCACAACTCAATGATTTGATCAGTGTCGAGTCTATCCTGCGATTCTGCTCCATCGCGTGAGGTTACCCGCAAAAATGTTGTCATGACCTGAGTGCTAGGCTTTTCTCCTAGTGCGAGTCGTCGTCTGAGGATTTCAATTTCGACACTGGAGCGCTCGCAGAATGCTACAATACTCGTCTTAAGTAGGTCGTAACGGCTAAGAAGCCAAATCCATACAGGATTATCCTCGACACCAAGTTCCAGGAGCGCACCGATAAGCTCCATATGCTCTTCAACCGGTCCTGCTGCAGTCATGTGAGAGGACGAAGTGTTGACATCACTTAGGCGATGCCATAAGTCTCGCTTGAATGCCTCAACCTGCTGTTCAACGTCCACCCACATTCGTCCAGTCGCTAACATTGTATGACTCTCTTGATCTGTCAATTGCCGTCCGCTTGTTGTCGCACGATCTGCTAGCTGTCTAGCCTCATTTCTGAGAGTCTTGGCGCGGCGATATTCGTCAAAGACTGTCTGATAGTCTCGTTGTTTAATTGCCCTAGCAATATTGCCTCCAACTTCATACACTGCTCGGTTCCTCTCAACCGCATTTACCAGTGCATAAAGATTCTGTTCGCGGTCTCGTCCCCCCAGCGCAGGACCCCATAATTCTTCTGCTTTGACAGATGCTTCAACCAGCGGTGTCCGGATGCCTTTCACTCCGTATTCGGCCTCCTTTGTCAGGGCAGTCTTCTTCGCGGCTGGGGCTGGGGCTGGTGGTGCGGCTCCGTTAAGCGAATAACGATATTGGGCACTTGCACGATGAGACTGAGGCCTGGCTTTGGCTGCTCCTTGATCCCGCATTTCGGTATATACGCTGTCAATAGTGGCCTTTGCGCGCACGAAACGTTCGAAATTGGCTTCCACGAGCACCTTCAACGAAGCCGATTTTTGATCTATGGATCGCGAAAGAAATTCAAGACCTTCCAGAAGTGAGTCGGTAGACGCATTTTGATGCGCCTGGGCCAGGAAAAGAGCGGGTGAAAACGAGGTCGACGATAGTAGGAATCGGTTTCGGAGGCGGGGGTCTTCGTCCACCGGTATACGTTTCTGCTTGAGGATATACATCACACTGTCGGAAGAACCCAGCGGATCCGGCTCATCCTTGACAGAAACATTATCTCCTCGAACGGAGCCCGTTCTCAAGTTCCTACTGTTAATTCCAGCAAGCGCTGAATATCTCGTCGACCGTCTGTTTGATTTGGGACCAGCCCCTGTCGCAACATCGTCGGTTTCGGAAACGTCGCCCTCATCCAGTTCAGCGGGCCATTGGTCTGGAAAGGGATTTTGGATGCCGTAATGGCTCSTGACGTCGATATCCTCAGCCATGTCGACAAACCACGCTGTTAGCTATCGTGGGAGTCCCTAGGTAGATACTAGATAGTAAATACGGCAGGCGCCAAGCGGAGCTGCAGCTACTCCTGTCTGGAGCTGCACTAACGCGATGGAGAACTTTCCGATGAAAAATGTTAGAAGCACCGAGTCAATGTGAATAATAAACCGCTCATAACCACCCAACTGCTACGTCGCATTGGCCCATCCCGAAGTTAGTTGATGTCACAGACCGAGTTTAACTTCCGAAACGCGGAAGTTAGCAAGGTTTTGCCCACTCAGTTTTGCGGGTAGCAAAACGGGAATCGGAACTTGGGCAAGCTAGACCGGATAAACTCTTCACTCTACCACTGGCCTTCAACTATCTGCCTTTTTCTTTCTATTATTCTCCTCTCCACGCAAAAATTTCCATAATCTTGGGCGGAGTTTGTGTCAGCTTCCTTTTTAAAAAGTCCTTACTCGTTTTACTACCGTCATAATGATCTCTGCGCGTGCTTTCGTGGCGCCCTCCCGCCAATGTCTGCGGGGACTGCGAACTGTTCCTACCCAAGCCTCTCCATTTTCTCAGGTATGCCTCTAGTCAAGCCTGATCCTACACCTCAATTGCGCATTGCTAACATCGCTCACCTCATAATAGGCTCGTGGATATGCTGCTGCCGCTGGCGGCAACCGTGTTGGCGCATTCAAGGGACAGAAGGGCTCAGATGTATGGTCTCCAACGCGTGTCGTCTGCCGATGATTCCGCGATCCCTCTTGCGAAACAAGAAAAAAGGTCGACTAAACACGGTTTGAACAGGGAAACTACACCGTCACTTTGATTGAAGGTGATGGTATCGGACCTGAGATTTCTCAGTCCATCAAGGATATTTTCTCCGCGGCAAAGGTACGTTGGTAGCTGTGGTCAAAGATGCATATCGGAAGCTTATCTTTACATATCATGTCGTAGGTCCCTATTAAATGGGAACCCGTCGATGTCACACCCATTCTCAAGGATGGACGAACCACAATTCCAGATGAGGCTATCCAGAGTGTGCAAAAGAACTACGTTGCTTTGAAGGGTCCCCTTGCAGTTCGTCTTCCGTTGTTCCGATAGTCGGTTACGGTACGGTACTCACAATTTTGCAGACCCCCGTCGGAAAGGGACATGTTTCATTGAACTTGACTCTCCGTCGTACATTCAATCTCTTCGCCAACTTGCGACCATGCCGCTCTATTGCTGGATACAAGACCCCATATGACAACGTCGACACTGTGTTGATCCGTGAGAACACCGAGGGCGAATACTCCGGAATTGAGCATGTCGTTGTTGACGGTGTTGTCCAAAGTATTAAGCTCATCACTCGGGAAGCCTCCGAGCGTGTCTTGCGCTTCGCTTTCCAACATGCTCAGTCCTCTGGAAAGAAGAAGGTTCGTGTTGTGCACAAGGCCACAATCATGAAGATGTCCGACGGTCTCTTCTTGAACACTGCCCGCGACGTTGCCAAGGAGTTCCCCGACATCGAATTCGACGCCGAGCTGCTTGACAACACCTGCTTGAAGATGGTCACCGACCCTACCCCATACAACGACAAGGTCCTGGTCATGCCCAACCTTTACGGTGACATTCTCTCCGATATGTGCGCTGGTCTCATCGGTGGTCTTGGTCTTACCCCCTCCGGAAACATTGGAGATGAGTGCTCCATCTTCGAGGCTGTCCACGGTTCCGCTCCTGATATCGCCGGCAAGGGTCTTGCTAACCCCACTGCTCTCTTGTTGAGTTCTATTATGATGTTGCAGCATATGGGTCTTAACGAGCACGCTTCCCGCATCCAGAAGGCTGCTTTCGACACTCTTGCTGAAGGAAAGGTGCGTATTCCTTAGAAACAAAATAAGACATGCAATCCAATACTGACAATCGACTAGTTTCTCACTGGCGATCTCGGTGGTTCCGCCAAGACTCACGAATATGCTGGCGCCATCATCAAGCGCCTTTAAGCTCTCTTGAATATACCTGACTTGCTCCATCTTGTACTATTTATGCATCCTTAGATCCGGTTCACATCTTACGAGATTCCCCTGTTGCATGTAAGACGCGGTCGATCATGAAACAGTTTTTTTTACAATGTACTCGAGTGTGCTAGTAATCAAAATAGATTAAATAAACTCAGTTGCTTACTGTCTCTTAGCATGTCTACAGATTTACGGCGGGGKTTCGTACAGCAAGTTGACTGGCAAGCTTTTAGGTACTTTTAGTCAAGTAGAATACATGTAGTATACAAAGGCATATCAACCATCTAAAAACGTACAACCACAACTAACGTCGTCTCCCAGTTCGCCTCGTCGTCGTACTAGTCGCAGTAGCACCCTTTTTTTCTTTCTTCGACTTTGCAGTTTGCGTCCGCGTACTTCTCGTCGCCGGCGAGCTTGCGGTTTCCACATCGCCCTCCTCCGCGTCATTATCATCACCGTCACCTGCATCGCTCTCCCCTTCGTCTTCGCCATCGTCGTCCACATCCGCGTCCTCCATTTGCTCGTCTTCGGTGCCGACGCTTGCTGAAGATGGCCGTTCGATTTCGACTTGTAATCTTGTACTGCGCGTACCGCGTGTGGATGCTCTGGTGGGTTTACCGCGACGACCACGGGACGGTGCGGGGGACGAGCGCGGTTCTGTAAAACGAGTCAGCTCTGATCCGAGCAGCCCAACGCTTCCATGTCTTACCATCAGTGTCAGCGACTGTGCTACCCCTCCTAGACTCAGGATGTACAGACGTCTCCGGTGACTCTGATCGTTCTGCAGCAAGTCTTTTGGCAAACATCATCTCGCCGTACTCGTCTTCCGGTAACTCAAAGGGGCAATATTCTGATTCTTCGGAGTCATCCGCGTCTTGAGAGATTATCGAGTCTTCCTGTTTTATCATTTAGATGAGATCGAAGTAGAGCATTAACAAGACTAACCCTCTCGTCCAGCGCAGGAAGATTGTACAGCGAACCGAGCTTTTTCCAAATCCCTGGGATTCGAGTATGTTCTTCTTCCGCAGGCGCATAACCCTGGCTCTTCATATATTCCGCTATAGCCAACATCCTAAAATGTTTGTGCATTCCTGCCACCACAAGTCAACAATTGTTACCTGGCTCCGAAGGAAATCAGGAAAGGCGTGTATACCAACTGGCTTCCATCGCACAATGCTTTTCAGTAGCGCGGTCTCTTGTTCATCGGTCCATGGATCGTTTACTAGGTCATATTCTGTGTCTGATTTTTGGGCGCTATCTGTTGTGCTGTGTGCGGAGCTTGGTTGTTTTGTGGTCTCGACTTGGGGCGTGCTGGATGATGCGCGCGGTGAGAGCTTTGGGCGTTTTCTGGGAGGCATATTGTGATATTTGCGGGTTGTGGTATTATCAGATCTCCTCACTCCGTCTGTGGAGGTAGATAGTGTGATAGACTTGTTAGGTGAACGCTCAATCTTCAAGATAATTGTGCTCTTTGCCTGCTTTGAACAGCTGCGGAGGACGAGCGGAATTAAGCAGTGATCCGTGCATGAAATGGCCCCCACCATGCCGTTTACAGCTTAGCTTTAATTGATTATTGTCGACGCGATTCCCCGCGTAACTTCCCTCGCTGTTCTAGCCGACGATAGCACCTGGAAGTTGGAGGTTGGAAGTATGAATGCCGTGGATGATATAGAAGATCCCTTCAAACTCAAGGATCTCTGGCAGACCTCGAATTTTGCTCTTGAGACACTTCCAAAGCTGGAATCGGCCCATTTCAAATTAGCCATTTCAGGTACGTACTGACCTTCTCTCCGCACTTGATCTAACAACGACTGATGAGATTTACTCAGACATTCCCAACGGAATATTCAACTCCTCACTACACAACTTTGATAAAAAGGATTCTCTTCTATACGAGATCAATGTCTTCGGCGCCGACAACACAGAGAATCTCTCAATCGAGCTTCCCGACGCAGCGCAGTCCACTACCGATGGCGATAAGACAGATACAGCCTCTTCGATCGAAGAACAAGAGCAAGACAGCCCTTGGAATATAGAGTCGTTACTGGAGTACCTCCACGAAGCACCGAAAGATGGACCGAATCTTGCATCCTGGGACGGTTTCCTGAATCGCAATTACAAGGAACCTGCATCCGCATATTTGAGCGAGTTCGGCAACAGAGGGTTCGATGCAGCGATATCACACCAAGCTACGGTGAGCGGATTGGAGAATGCAGGCCGGATAATGCGATCCTCGGTATTCTTGGACTGCCTTATACGTCTGGGACTAGGATGGAATTCAATGCTGTTTCATTACAACGAGCAGAAGAGGGTTTTTGAGAAGAGCATCAAGGATATACGCATTACTGGTCTTAGTCTCATGGCTCTTGATGGCATGATCAGCGATATCTCACGATGTGGTACAGGCGTCCAGAGAATGCGCAAGTTCGTACGAGCGAACCCTTTAGTGACTGAACAACCCTCCGCGCTGTCAAGCTTGGCCAGCGCAGTCTCTGTACTGCTCTACAGTCTCGAAAAGCAGCTTTCGGGACATCTACGTGTCAATGTCTCGTTGATTCAAGTTCACAACCTGTTTCAAAAATGTGGCCATCTTGTAAGTACGCTGGTAGATATAATCACCGCGGCGGAAAAGGCCCTGAGCGAGAGCGACATCATCTCTGTTCTTCTGTCTAAAAGTGAAGATCTTGAACAGCGCGTTCCCTGGCTATCAAACACATTGAACGAGCTTATTCAGCGATGTACAAAACCGTGGCTATCATCGGTTGAGACGTGGATCGGACTTAAAAGCGAAAAGCCTCTTCTTGGTCAAGTGCAATTAACGAGCAACAGCTTCGTGGAGGTGGAGCATTCACAAAAAATAACCAACATAGCTCTGGCATCGGCGAATGTGGACTATCTTTACCATCCGGAATTTGTACCGTCGTCTCTACCCACTGAGCAAGCACACCTACTATTCGAGACTGGGAGAGCACTTCGCCTGCTCAAAAAAAATCAACCAGACCACCCTATTTCAAGGGCTGATGTTATCGAAGCCGCAGAAGCTCCTAGCCTTACATGTGCTTTTAATTGGGCGCATATTGAGCAGATACAAAGGAGAGCCGACGAGTACGAAAACCGGCTTCGGCAGGAAATTACGAGGTACAACAACGGCGATACTTCAAGGTCTCGTCCTGGGACACGGCACGGTAAAGCGGAGCGTGACAGAGAAGAGTTATTTGCTGACGACGTCGTCGACAACAATTTCGAGCTCATTGATTTCGACGATGAGAAGCATGTCACAGGGCTACTTGCCGGCAATGCACACATGGAGTCCGATAGACTGTATCAAGATACCGAAGAAAGTGAATTCTTCAGTCCACAGACACTGATACAAAGTGATACAGCCTTTGGCCCTCCGCTCGGCTCCGTTTTGTACCTTTCCCTAGCCCCGACTCTAGCAGTTCAAGCGAAACTTGTGGACTATTCGTGTCTACATCTACTTTTCAAGAAGCACAAGCTACGATATCACCTCACATTACAATGGCGATTTCAACTTTTGGGCGATGGCACATTTACTTCACGGCTATCCCATTCTCTGTTTGACCCTGAAATGACAAGCGGTGAACGGAAATCAGGCGTAGCCCGTGGCGGCTTTCATACGGGATTACGGCTGGGGAATCGAGATACATGGCCTCCCGCAAGCTCTGAGCTTCGACTTGTTCTCATGGGGCTGTTAAGTGATTGCTACGATGCCGGTGAGAATGACACTTTCTTGTCGGAACAACCAGAAACAAAAGAAAAAGAATTATCTGGAAATTTGAGTTTCGCCATTCGCGACTTGACCGGCAACGAATTGATCAAGTGCAAGGACCCAAATGCCATAGAAGCCCTCGACTTTCTGCGCATGCAATACAAACCATCAACCACAATCGAAAGCGTGATCACGCACAGATCTCTCGAGAAATACGACCAACTCTTCAAATATCTCTTACGTCTACGACGCATGGTCTCCGTTGTCAACGGCCTTATCCGCGATTCGACCATACGCACTTCTTTATCCGGAGATACGCATAATGTCTTCCAGCAATTCCGCATTGAATCGCACCACTTCATCACCGCGCTGAACGATTACATCTTCCAAGTCGCAATCGGCACAAACTGGCAACGATTCGAAAACACCCTGTCCGCAATCGAGTCCCGCATTGACCACGACGACGTAGACGGCACCATCGAAATCGCTGGTTCACTGCACAGATTACGCAAATACCACGAAGACGTGCTCGATCAGATTCTCTTCTCAATGTTTCTGGTGGACCCAAAAGATCCAAAAAGCCAGTCTCGCCGCAGTGCGCCATTGAAACAAATCAATAAAATCCTTGAAGATATCTTTGGCACAATCCTAGCATTCATGCCTCTTTCCAGACTTGATGGTGAGCATGGGATACGCAGTCAGAATGAAAAAACTGTGTATCGTCTTCATCTTCTGTTCAGGAAAGACGTGAATAAATTGATGAGGTTTTTGAGAGGGCTAGATGGGAAGAAGGCGGGTTTGTTGGCTTCGAAAGCTAGTAGCACTGGTTTCGCAAAAGGGATGTCGGCGAGAGGGACGTCAAGTATTTATGAGTATTTGCTTTTGCGGTTGGATATGAAGCAGTATTACTAAATGTGGAAACAAGTTCATCAAGAATAGAGTCATGATTCGTGTCAATGTATGTACGGTGTCGGCGATGCAAGGAATATCTCAATTTATATACACATCCATATATCCAACCCAATCCAAACGCCCAATGAAATGCGCACTCTATATTGAACACTAATTCAACAACATCAAAGGTGTATTCAAAAGAAAACAAGATCATTCTCATCCCAACCCATCTTCAACAACCCGGCCTTGGTAGCCGTCTCCATCCCCTCCGGTCCACAGATCAGTGCCAAACTATCCCCATCCGCAGAAGGCGGCGCATATTGTTTCAACAGCTCTTCTCCTATTCTGCCCTTGAGACCCTTCCAGTCACCGGATGGCTTCGTGAGCGTGTGTACAATCGTGCATCGTTCATCGTTCAACGCAGCGTAGGAATCGAGCTCCTCGCGGCAGAGGATGTCTTCCTCCATCCTGTTGCCGTCTAGCACGACACAATGCGTCGGGTCCTGTGCGTTTGTTACCACGGCGCGAAGCACTTGGTAGATCGGCGTGATACCGCTTCCGCCGCAAATCATGCGGAACGATTTGACGTCTCGTTGTTTGTCGTTCAGTAATACTTTGCCGTGGCCGAGGTAGGTCAGTCTACCGAGAGGGCCTTTGATTTCGACGTTGTCACCGATGGCGAGTTTGTCGAGGGCCATGGTCATTTTCCCGCCCTTTTCGGTTGGGGTGGGGGTGTAGACTTTGATGAGGAGATCTAGAGTTCCTTGTTGATTTGTCTCAGAAATTGGTGTGTAGGCGCGGATGATGGATTCGGATGTTGTAGAGTCTTTGAGTTTGACCATGAGATGTTGGCCGGTAGGGAGGCCGAGGGGTTGTAGGTCGTAGTCGAGTTTGAAGGTGAAGATACGGGTATCCCATGATATAGAGCGTTTGGTGGAGAGTTCTGCTTTCTTCCATACTTTGGGTTGGAGGTATTTCTCATCTGGCGTGCCTAAAGAAGACTGGTTTTGAGCCTCGTCGTGTAAGACCTTGAGAGAAGCTTTTTCTAGAGTGCCGATGTGGTAGTCTGGCATCATCGCTTTGGCTGTCTCGCTGTCTGTAGTCTTGTTGGTATTGATTCCATCCAAATAGAGAAAGTGGAACTTACGAATTGCAAGGAACTCCTCAGACACATCCATGCCTGCCGCGGACACGATACTCTGAGCACCACCAGGATGACCTTCCAAAAACTTTGTACCATCGTAGACCTCGCCATTCACAACGAACCAAGGCTCTTCCGGAGAGACATGTGCCTTGAATTCCGCAAAATCAACCTTTCGATCAAGACCTTCTTTCTTCATATTAATCTCCTCGACCGCTTTTCCATTGTTTGCCTCTACCTCCTCATTACTCATCACCTCACCCCAGTGACCATTCGTGAGATCTCCACCAGCCTTCTTGACTCTCTCCATCCATCCACCAGGCATAAGAGCCGGCTGCGTGGGATGCTCGAATCTGATAGTATCGCTATCCTTGATAACCGCAACTCTGAACCAGGGGTTATTCATCATACCGAGAACAGACCAGTACATATCCCGCGGTTGAATGCTAAGAGCTTCGTCCATGGCACGAACAAGAATGGCGTCGCTTTCAGTTAGATCCGAGATGAGAATTTCTAGATTCCAGAAACACCAGCAGAAGCAAGTCTCGCGCCAGAACATGTCGACTTTTCCGCCGAAAAGGTTTGATTCGTATTCACGGTATTTGTCTTCGGGGTATTCTATGTTTGCCAGTCGCCAGGCTGTGTCGACGTCAGTGTTTGGGACAAGACATGAAGTGACGACGGACTTACATTTTCCTTTATCAAGAGATATTTCAACCCGATTTATTCGTCGACCACCTCCAGCGTATGCGTATCCTTGTGCAGTATACGTTGCGGTTGGGCCAGCTTTTGCAGGCCGCAACACTTCATCATGTTGGGGATGTACAACAGCCGAGTTGACATTGAGATCATAGATAGCGTATCGGTCATCGTACCACCACTTCGGCTCTTTGGCGGATTGTTCGGGAGAGACCATAGTCCTGGATATGTTAGTTCGACTTCTCCTACTTCGATATACAGAGACAACTTACGGAAGTACTCGATTATCATAGATGTGGTACCAATTATCGCTAGGCGCGTCGGTCAAGATCAGTTTTGTCAACCATTTGACACTTCGTCCACCGATCTGCCCTGGTACCACAGCTCTCAGGGGACGGCCGTGATCAGGACGGAGATCTTCGCCGTTCATTTTATGGGCGAGCATAATGCCTCGATTAGGATCCATGACCCAGTTGAGCTTGACGGATGTTCCGTAAAATCCATTTGGCTGCAGCAGGCGTTAGTGAAAAGTAGTCAACTCGTTAGAGCGAACGGCTTACCAGTTTATCTGCTCCCTCCATACAAACATATTTAGCCCTTCTCATTGGCTTTGCTCGTTTGATGATGTCCCGCATCATTGGACCGGTGAAGAGGGCAGTTGAGAGACCGGCTGCTCCCCATGAAAAACCCTTTGACTTGCGGACTTGGTTCTGCTCTTTGCGTCGGTTACCGGCGCATACAAGGGTGATGGGTGCAGTTATTTGGTCGAACTCTTGTAGGATCTGTCTAAAGTCAAGAGTGATGGGGTTCTCAACAAGTCTATGATATATGTCAGTTGATGTATTCTCCAAGTTCAGGATAAGGTGGGCTCTACCCCTCGATACTTAGTTCCCAGGTTGGAATGTCTTCATCACGGACTCGTGGGACGGGCCCATGATTTCTAACGTAGAATAACTCGGGAGACGTCAAAAATCCTTCAACGAGTTAGTCGACTCTCTCATATAAGAAGCGGTTTGATTTTGATATACCCTCTTTGAACAGCGTTGTTAGTGGAGGCTCCACATTGAAGGGATGGACACCAGTCAATCTGATCAATCGAGGATCACGAGGCACATGGTTGTCTGGCGTGTCTAGGTCAACACTCAGAATCTCTGTTGGTGCTTTGGATGGCGGCGGCAGAGGAATATCGGGCAGTAAATCAGATACAGTGGAAGCACTATCGCTGTCGCTTTGTGATGTCGAGCCGTTGTCACTCTCACTGGAGACAGGCAGCGAATACTCCAACATCTCCTCCTTATATCCCAGCGTTTCTGTGGCCATCTTCTGTGATCATAGAAGGTGTATGTTCCCCCTACCGAATCACCTACTATGTACAATGAGGCTTGCGTGATAGATGTTGGTCAGGTGATAAGAGCAGCAGCAAGAGTATACAGGTATTAGGTATTTGATATCGGGTCCGGGCTCATAGGGCTAGGATATAATAACCCTTCTGAGTAACAAAGTCATAAAAGGCTCCCGCGGAAATCCAACACGTCGCAAGACTTTCTAGTTGGAAACAATTGAGAACAATGAACTGTGCGATGATGCACTAAAGAACGACCTCCGGCCATGCCCGTCATTTGCTCCCACGCATCAAACACCGACAAGCATTGGTCAACGGCGGCGCAGGAAAAACGCATCCTGGAGAAAGTGGATACTTTAAGGTGTCGACAGTGGGTGGCAAAACGGTAGGCGACAGGTGTCTGTCTATTCCCGAGCCTCTGGACATAGTTCTGGGGCCTCTCAGAAGATTTCCACGGTGATACAAGGCGATGACGATGATGAAGCATTACTACAGCGCGACTTAGTGATTACCCAATCTGGCAGAGATTAGGGCATTGAAGTCATGTGGCCAATCAGCGTGGCGGGACAAAATCCTTATCTCCCGCTAATCGGACGAGTTCGAGTTCCTTACCGAAAGAGGCTTAGCGGGCAGGGAATCCACCCATTCCGCGGAGGATTTCTCCTAAGCGTCCATCTAGATTCGTTACTCTATCAAAACTAGATCTTCTCTTAGTGCTATCACTACTGTACGCGTACATCAGAAGATGCTTGCGTGATGTAAATACGTACATTCTGCATAGATCGGTCGCGACTACGTTTGAGGCGCCAAGTCGCCGCTATCGTAGAATCTAGTTTCGTTTGGAGGCAGAGCATGCTTTTGCACGAATAGTACGTAAAGGAGACTGCCCATCTCAAAAATTTCAAGGTCATCCCATCTCTGTCGTAGATGATTGGCGAATCTGCCTTTTCCAAGAGAAAAGCGTGGGCGATCGAGACTTAAGATTTGAGACTGAGCTTATGTTGCCCCTCCTGGATTAAATTTCACGTATATCCCAAAGGGCTCTGCTCTTTCTTTCGTTCAAACGTAGCTTTCGGAGCATCGCAGAAGGCAGCACCACCACCACCACCATGGCGCCATTGATGCATGAAGATCCATCGATAGAAGGCGTTACCGCCGACGCGGACAATCATCATGAGAGCGCGGCCGAGACAGTATCTTCCCGCAAGAAGATTGTCATTGTAGGGCTTGGGATGGTGGCTATTTCATTCATGTATGTACTATACATTGGACGCAAATTGACAAAGACAAGACACTAACTTGGATAGTGAGAAGATTATGAAATGGGATGCCGAGCGAAACCAATATGATATCGTGGTGATTGGCGAAGAACAACATCTTGCATATAACCGGGTTGGATTATCGACCTTTTTCGAACATCGAAAAATCGAAGACCTATATTTGAACTCGCAAGAATGGGTGAGTCGAAAATAATATGGTATTCTTAGAATAGAGTGACTGACCGTAACAGTACTCTTCCTTTACAGATGGATCTTTCAATTATCACTTGAACACACTCGTGACGGAAATCGACTCGACGAAGAAACAAGTACAGACCTCAGCCGGAGACTGGATACCCTATGACTTGCTCATTCTTGCAACCGGTTCCGATGCGGTCCTTCCCGAGTCCACACCTGGCTACAACGCCAATGGTGTTTTTGTATATAGAACAATCGACGATTTAGAACGATTGATCAAATTCGCATCTCATCACAAAGGCGAAACCGGTGTTACAGTTGGTGGTGGTTTACTGGGTCTTGAAGCCGCCAAGGCGATGACAGATCTGCAAGATTTTGGAAGCGTCAAGCTTGTTGATAGGAACAAATATGTGCTTGCGCGACAGCTAGATGCTGACGCAGGCTCACTCGTGACCGAAAAAATCCGAGAGTTGGGCTTGGATGTGATGCACCAGAAGAAAGTTGCTCGGATAGAAACAGACGAAGGAAACAATGTGATTGGTATCACATTTGAAGATGGCGAGAAGATCGACTGTTGCTGTATCTGCTTTGCGGTAGGTCATCCTGTCTCTTTTTTTTTGGGTATGCGCTGACATACGATACAGATTGGTGTCCGACCACGTGATGAGTTGGGTGCTACAGCAGGAATTGAATGTGCTCCTCGTGGAGGGTTTGTCATTAACGAAAGTCTCGAAACATCGGTATCAGATATCTACGCCATCGGAGAGTGCGCCAGCTGGGAGAATCAGACATTCGGTATTATCGCCCCCGGTATCGAAATGGCAGATGTGCTTTCTTATAACCTCACACACCGTGGCGAAGTCCCAAAGAGATTTCATCGCCCAGATTTGAGCACCAAACTCAAGTTGCTCGGCGTCGATGTGGCCAGTTTTGGCGACTTCTTTGCAGACCGAGACGGACCCAAATTCCTGCCTGGCCGACGAGTGTCAGCTGAACATGTCAGACCTTTTGAAGCTTCAGAACAACGAAAGACATCTACCAACAAAGTCAAGGCGCTGACTTACAAGGATCCATTCGGAGCTGTCTATAAGAAATATCTCTTTACAATGGATGGAAAGTACCTACTGGGAGGTATGATGATTGGTGATACCAAAGATTATATCAAACTGAACCAGATGGTCAAGTCTCAAAAAGAGTTGGATGTACCTCCAAGCCAATTTATTCTGGGTTCACAAACTGGGGGGGAGGAGAACGCCGACGATCTGTGAGATCTCTAACTTGTATTTATTTTAGAGGAATATCACTGACAGCTTATAGGCCCGATGACACTCAGATTTGCTCTTGCCACAATGTCACCAAAGGTGATGTGGTAGAAAGCGTCAAAAATGGCACTTGCTCGACGATCGCACAAGTGAAATCCTGCACGAAGGCTGGTACTGGTTGCGGAGGTTGTATGCCTTTGGTGCAGTCTATCTTCAACAAAACCATGCTTGAAATGGGCCAAGAGGTATCCAACCACTGTAAGTTCGCTACCACTTTTCTGATATACAATGTTCTAATTTCCATTAGTGTGCTCTCATATCCCACATTCTCGTGCGGACTTGTATAACATCGTTGCCATTAAGCAATTAAAGACCTTCGAAGAGGTCATGAAGGCATGCGCAAAGAACCCAGAATCTCTGGGATGTGAACTCTGCAAACCTGCCATCGGTTCCATCTTGTCCAGTCTCTACAACCCTCATCTTATGGACAAACCAGTACACGAGCTTCAGGATACCAACGATAGGTTCTTGGCCAACATCCAGCGCAACGGAACGTTTTCAGTCGTCCCCCGTGTTTCCGGTGGTGAGATCACACCGGAGAAGCTTATCACTATCGGTCAGGTCGCGAAGAAGTACAACCTTTATTGTAAGATTACAGGCGGTCAGCGGATTGACATGTTTGGTGCCAAGAAGCAAGATCTTCTGGCCATTTGGACTGAATTAGTGGAAGGCGGCATGGAAAGTGGTCACGCTTACGCCAAATCACTCCGAACCGTCAAGAGTTGTGTCGGAACTACTTGGTGCCGATTCGGTGTTGGCGACAGTGTTGGTATGGCTATCCGTCTTGAGGAGCGATACAAAAGTATCCGAGGTCCCCACAAATTCAAGGGCGGTGTTTCTGGCTGTGTCAGAGAGTGTGCAGAAGCGCAAAGCAAAGAGTAAGCATGATTCTTCACAAAGGAATGAGTTCGTCCGCTAAATTATTACAGTTTTGGTCTTATTGCTACTGACAAAGGCTTCAATATCTTCGTTGGGGGTAATGGAGGGGCAAAGCCAAGACACGCCGAACTCCTCGCCAAAGACGTCCCTCCAGAAGAAGTTGTCCCCATTCTCGACCGTTTCCTCATTTTCTACATTCGTACGGCCGACAAACTACAACGAACGGCACGATGGGTTGAAAATCTTCCCGGTGGACTCAAGTACTTACAAGAGGTTATCGTGGAAGACAAACTTGGCATATGCGCAGATATGGAGCGGCAAATGGAAGAGCTTGTGGGCAGCTTTTTCTGCGAGTGGACAGAAACCATCAACAACCCTGAACGACGCAAGTACTTTGAGCAATTCGGCAACACCGAGGAGACCGTCGAGACCGTCGAAGTCATCAAGGAACGTCACCAGAGCAGACCTGCATACTGGCCCAAAGATGGCGCAGAGGTTGACTTCAAGGGCCACCAATGGTCCAGCCTATCATGGCAGCCAATAATTCAGGCTAGCCACTTCAGCGTCTCCAAACCCGAGGTCTCTTCTACCAACATCAAGCGGGGCGACACACAATTGGCCATCTTCAAGATCAAAGGCAAATACTACGCAACACAACAAATGTGTCCTCACAAGCGTGCATTCGTACTTTCTGATGGTCTCATTGGTGATGACGACGCCGGTAAATACTGGGTTTCCTGCCCATACCACAAACGCAACTACGACTTGAACGGCGAACAAGCCGGTCGGTGCTCGAACGATGAGAGTATGAACATTGCTACTTTCCCCGCTGAAGAGCGTGAAGACGGCTGGGTATACCTCAAACTACCCCCTACTGAAGAATTGGACGCTCTTCTTGGAACGGAGAAGTGGAAGATCAAGAGCACTGAATCCGAAGACCCGTTTGAGAAGGTTGACAGGATCTACAAGGGTACGAGGGGGGAGAAGATTGGAGATGTCAAAGTTGCCCCAAAGGAGGTCTCTTGCGGTGGCGCTGGTAGCAACATCGACTGGTGAAGTGGTCAATTGACTGAGAAGATATGTTTACGATGACATGATCACTGTGTTGTATAGGGCTGTTAGCGGAGTTCGTGTTGCTTTATTTAGTTGAATATACCATCTTGATCGATATCTTATACGAACAATCTGTCCATGAATTTACGCAGATTAAATCTCCATCTTAATGAATACCATCTAGATACTTCTTCCTGCTCTGTTCTCATGTCAATGAAGACGATGCAAGTAGGGCAATGCAAATCACGTGCTAACTGATTTCAACCAATCAAAACTTTAAAATCTCTTATCAGCGAGCGGATCCTTGTACCCACCCAGCGAGTCACTAGTCTCTGGGCTTCTCAAAATCTATTCACCTTGCTCGTCTCCCGTCCAATACACACAACAACAACATCGATAAGGACCCTCTCTGAGACTATGAATAATACCCCATCTCTAGCTTATTTCACGCTGTAGTCATCGCTCCAGACTTCTGTTTCTCCACTGATTCTCCGGAGAACTCCTCCGCGGACAGAAAAAGAGCCGTTTTGGCATGTTGCCTCAAATATTATATGGTCTACGAAGTATATCGAGCTGTGACTAAAGTTTATTATTTTGCCTTCCACGTTTTTCGCCTTAGCCTTGGCTTTAGAGTATTTCCCGAGTGATTGACTATCGTACATGAGATTCGAGTCCTGCACATCTGTACCATCCCACCCTGATCCCTGGCCTGACGTTGTGGCCTTGGGTTGCCCTGTGCCAGGGTTGGTGTTGGGTTCGGACAAAAATTCAATGTAGTAGTCCGGTATATGTATTTGCAGTCCTTCCCGTCCAATAAGCCGCAAGATAGTTATCACGACTTGCTTGCTTTTTCCTCCGAGTAATCCTTGAAGATCAACTAGCCAGATCTAAGTATCCTATCACATAACTCGGAGCTATTTTCTTCTTCTCAGGGTCAACATCTCCAATAGACACATTCTTGAAGTCTGGGTTGTGTACTGTGGTCTGATAGTTTACGTTTCGTCCTGAGTGCAAGGACCCTTCTCCCTTTAGGGCGCTTTTGGCGCGATCCTTCTAGCCCTTCTTATCGTGATTTTCTTGAACTAGAGTTAAACCTTAGTGTCAAACAAACCGTCAGTCCTGAAACTGATACTGAGGGCTATCTCTGCCTTAACATATTGAGTTTGGTTATGTCAATTCAAAGCCAACCCAATCGCCGCGGAAATGCTTCCGGTAGATTTCGACAATCTCCAGAAACTCGATATAAGCTTAGATTCGACTTAATCACTGTGGGCCGTGAATGATGTCAAATCGAGACATTTATCTATATATGTCGACTGTCCTTGCTTTCTATGGTTTACTTCACGTCCAGATCATGATCAAACGATAAGAATAACATTCTGATATCTCCAAACGGGGCAACGAAGATACCTGAGGCGGTGGGAACAAGTCGATCATTCTATAGGATCTAATATATCAACATCACGAAAATATCAAGTCTTTCGGAATAACACATCGAACTCGATTAATCCATCATCACCTGGGCAGGTGACAATCAGCAAAATGCCTCCCTACAACATGCTCACAAGCGCATTCAAGGCTCCCGAAGTCAACCCGCTCACATTCAAAGCACTATCAATCCCGATTTTCAACCCAATCAATCGATATGGAAGAGTATTCTTCTTCTCATGGCTCGGTTTCTTTGTTGCGTTCCTGTCATGGTTCGCTTTCCCACCTTTGGTGAGTTAACTTGTCTAACTATCCAGTCTTTACACTCAGAGGCTGATTGAGTTCTAGTTGACTGTCACCATTAAGAAAGATCTCAACATGAGCCAGGCGGATGTAGCAAATTCTAATATTATGGCGCTATTGGCTACGTGAGTATCACGCTTGCATGTGCCCGTATAATCAAATACTAACATCAATGATAAGTCTCCTCATGCGATTCATCTGCGGACCCATGTGTGATAAATTCGGTCCTCGATGGGTCTTCATCACCGTCTTACTTTGCGGCGCCATCCCGACCGCTATGGCAGGTCTGGTCACCACACCCTCTGGCTTGATTGCCCTTCGATTCTTCGTCGGAATTCTCGGTGCCAGCTTTGTGCCTTGCCAGGTGTGGACCACTGGATGGTATGATAAGAGCGTTGTCGGCTATGCCAATGCCTTGGCCGCTGGCCTCGGTAACGCCGGTGGTGGTGTGACTTAGTATGTCTCCTTTTAGATTGCCTTGATGAGGTATGTGGCTAACTTGCTGTGATTATAGCTTCGCGATGCCCGCCATCTTCGACTCCCTTGTCAAACACCAGGGCCTCTCTGACCACAAAGCCTGGAGAGTCGCCTATGTCGTTCCATTCATCATCATCACCGCCATCGCCATAGGTATGATGTTCCTTTGCGACGACACCCCTACCGGGAAATGGTCCGAACGCCATCTCGGAGGCACCGACACACCCATGATGACATCCAGCAACCCAGACTCATCAGCCTTTTCTTCCGGCACTGTAACCCCGCGCATCGCCAACGAAAAGATCGACGGCAAAATCGCTTCTACCTCCTCTGCTGGCTCAGACACCGAAGCTCAAGTCGACAACTCCGAGGGCGATCTCATTGACGAAATGATCGTTGCACCAACATGGCGCGAAACTCTGCAAGTTGTTTTCAGTCTCCCCACCATCTCTCTCGCTGCTCTTTACGCTTGCTCCTTCGGTGCCGAATTGGCTCTCGACGGCGCTTTGGGTAGCTACTACACCAAGAACTTCCCCAAAATGGGCCAGACCAAATCCGGTGAATGGGCGGCCATGTTCGGTCTTTTGAATGTCGTCACTCGGCCCCTGGGAGGCTATATTGCAGATGTGATTTACCGCCGCACATCCTCCGTATGGGCCAAGAAAATCTGGTTGACATTCCTGGTCATTGTCACCGGCGTATTCTTGTTGGCCATCGGTCTCACAAACCCAACAAGCGAATCAACCATGTTCGGATTAATGGCTGGAATGGCCGTCTTCCTTGAAGCTGCTAACGGCGCTAACTTTGCCCTGGTGCCTCATGTGTACCCTTTTGCCAATGGTATCGTCTCCGGCACCGTCGGCGCTTTCGGAAATCTCGGAGGTGTCATTTTCAATATTGTCTTTAGATACAATGGCACACACTACGAGCGATCAATTTGGATCATGGGTGTTATTACTCTGGGTATTGGCGTTTTGCAGTCATGGACTCGACCTGTTACCAAAGAGGTAGTCGTTTCGGGGAAGCACTGATGTGATTGCAAAATATGAATTTATTACGATACCTTTTCATAGACTATTCCGGTTTTAGCAAGTACTGTACTAGATGGGCTTTTTCGTTCAATTTCATTTTTCCATTTGTAATAAAAGATTAATCCCCCCCCCCCCCCCCTCCCTTCAAGTGTTAACTGTCTGTGTTTTACTACTAGCCATGTTCCAATCTGTCAATCGAATCTGCCTAGACCGTTCTTTTCAAGCCTTCAAGCCTTCAAGCCTCCATAGGATTGCCGCGTGCGTATTCCAGGATCTAGGTTTACGTAGTATACGATGATGTACGAAGTGCTAGACGTCTAGAGGTGCAATGACTGTCTTGGATAGATAGATCGGAGCTGCCCGGTCCAATGATGGGCTGTGGCAGACCCCCTACAGCCCTGTTCCTGCCACTAGAGGACATTCGATGATGTGCGTTAGGTGAAACGGCACTTGAAAGTCGCCGGATTGGCGTCATGTCGCGACGTGGCATCTGCAGAATGATCCGATGGCACCACGCCTTGCGTTTCTGCCAGTTATGAGCCTCTTGATCTGAAACATGGTCTAGTATCATCTACTGGCCTTCACCCTACAGAATTGTTGTGTGGCAGTCGCGACGGTTAAGGAAAATCAGCGACAAGAGTGACAATCGCTCTAAGCTGTATTTGGCATAGCGTCGCCGTAACGGGGCCGCGCCAGCACGTGTTGTTTCCACTAGTGCTCCATCTCAGGCCCTGATTGATCGGTTTCCCCACGTGAGTGCAGTCCGGCGATGGAGCTCTAACCAAATCCGGCTAGTATGTGGTACTTCTCGTCCAGCCTGAAGTTGAAGGCAGCAAGGCAGACAAGCCAGACTCCATTAAGTCCATCCGTGGAAATACCGAAGAAGCTGAATCCTCGGTGGGTTTTGCGGGGAAACCAACAAACCAACAAACCTACTGCTGCTTACACACACCCGCATCGCCAAAGCTTGTCCTTTCTCCTTTGTCCATCCAGACTGGTTCGTAATTCAACAAAGAACCCCCCGTCCATGATGATGTTATTGTCCCATGTCCACACCCTCTTATTCCCGCGAGAATGAGTCATGTCGTCGGCGAACGAGACTCCTTTTGTCACCATGAACGAGACTGGAAATAACGCCAATACCTCCCCCAACACTTTCCCTACCAGTAGTAACAACGACAAACCGGTCAATCCCAGATCCCGTATATTCCGCCCATGTCTGACATGTCGCCGGCGCAAAATAAGTGTTTGTATCCCCGATGTCTTGATGTCTTGTCGGATCGGCCCTGAGCTGACTCGCGCGGGAAACAGTGCGATAAGACCAGACCCAAATGCAAGAGATGCGCACAAACCGGCTATCAGTGCGAAGGATATGGCGAAGAACGCCATTTCGTCTATGTCATTCCAACCCGGTCTGCAACTCCGTCATCGGACAGTAGCGGAAGCGGCCGGGGCAGTAACAGAAGAAACAACAACAGCGATGGCAGCAAGGACAATCACAGATCGAAAAGAGTCACGCTTCGATCATCGCGACAATTACCGCCAGACCATCTGCAACAACAGCAGATATGGAAACCGCACGGTGACGCACAGCTGCGCCCACCACAACTTTCCAGTATGATGACGTTGAATTCGCCGGACGCCAACCGCTTACAGATGGTAAACTATTTCGTCGATCGGTATATGCCCGACCGCATGGCGCAACGGAATGAGAATATCACAGCAATGACATGGTTGATGGGTCTGCCGAACTTGCTGGGGAAATGGAAAATCTTGGATATGTCCCTTTCGGCCTTGTCGCTTGCGTATATAGGAGATATGCATGGGAATAAACACACTTCACGACAGGGGGAGCATTTCTATAACGAGGCATTGCAACATATGAGAGGCCGACTGGTTCGGAATCAGATAGATGAAGGGATGCTTGCGGCTTGTATTTGCATGTCAATATATGAGGTGTGTTCTTCTATTCCCCAATTTTATGTCCACATCCCAAGGCTAACTGGTGAAGATATTCCATACAAGTGACGGAACAAGCGGGTGGATGTTCCATGTAAAAGGTGCTTGTCGATTACTCGAGCTCAGAGGACCACCATCGCCAACTTCGCCTCTTGATATGAATCTGTTTCGTCGAATACGAGCTGTAGCGGTAAGTTTTCCCTGTATGATCAGAATCCGGTGGTTCTGTGACTAATATTCGCAGCTCTGGGACTCTTATGCCAGCGGAAAAACATCATTTTTGGCGAAACCCGAATGGCGCGGGCTATCCGATACACCCTACGACCTACTGCTAGACATTCTCGTCCGCCTCACAGCATTACTCTCAAAAGCAGACCATATAGATAGCATGGCCGCAAGTGGCGATGACGCTGGTGCAACACAGGCCGCTCAAAAACTAATGTGGAAATGCCATAGTCTACGAGACGATCTGGTCACTTGGTACGCAGATTTCCAGACCAAAGAGACCGGGCCGCTCTTCTATCTAGAGCCAGAAGAACAACATCCATACCTCGACCCGGACTCGGATCTAAACGATGTATTTCCGGACAGCGTCACATTTCAAAGTCCATACATCGCTCAATTACTACTCTTATATTGGTACGGCGAGGTCGTCGTTCACAGCGCCATGTCAACCGCCCACCGCCATCTTTGGGGCCAAAGCCCCAACATCGAAACACCATCCCCATCCTCAACCTCCATCTCCTCCCCTTCAACAACCGCCTCCGTGACCACCGAACGCCTGACCGAAGCCCGCCAACAAATGACTATGCTCGAAGGCGAAACTCTCGCCAACATCGAAACCATCGGCGAATACTTCGCTGCCAAGATATGTCAAGCCATGGCTAGTATTGGCCGAAACAGTCTTCGCGGCTATGGGTTTCAGATCGGCATGGTCCCGCTCTGGTCTGCGCAGCAGTATTATCAGAATCGCTCGGCGCGCAAGTACATGTGGTGCCGGACTGTGCTTATGAATTTTGGCAGAAAGGGGTTTGTCGTTGGGCAAAGTCTGGGTACGTTGGCTTTGAGGCAGTATCCTGGTCGATATGTAGAGGATAGTAGTTCATCATCAATTGAGGAACTGACATCATGAGCCCTTTTATCTTTTCTTATCTATCGTCCAGAGATATTTCCATATTTGCTTGAAGAAATGGAGTCCAGGAGTCATGATTCATGAATCACGAGGTACGATGGAGTATACGGAACTAGGTGTTTCTTGGAAACTGTATATTATAGGATTCTGGCCGGGCTGGGTTGGGCTGACAAGCAAGTATATGGAGCTTATCAGAATGTCATCCTGTATTGATATCCAGTACAATCACTTCATGTTTTCGCCTGTCATATATTGAATATCTCATGTATACAATCAATTGCTGCAATTGTAATGATTACAATGGCACGTATACCAACATGTCACATTATCATGGGTATCACTCTCCCCATGTTATGGCCCGGCTATCAATCAACCCCCAACCCAAATGAGAAACGCCAATCATAAAAACCGTAGAACGCCATGCCATGAGAGAAACAGAATGTTGAAAAGGGGAAGGAAGTATGAGACAAGAAGCTGACAAATAGAAACAAGTAATGGTCATCAACTCGAGGCGAGGGGTCAATCCACAACAGGAGGTGATAAATCCTTCAAAAACTCATACCCCGTCTCTTCCTCCGGCTTTTCCGGCTCCAGGCCAACGGCAGACCTCAAAGCCCTCACCTCCGACTGCAAAGCCTGAATGATCGTCGTCGGCGCCTGATCCTCTTCACACCTCAATCGATACGCCGTACGCAACATCTCCGCCAGCCGCATGGTTTGCGCATGCCAATGGTCTCGATCCAGACGGCTTGATAAATGAGCGTCGCGCTCCGCTTGCAACAGAGCGTTGAACTCTTTCTTTTGCGCGAGGAAGTACATGTTGTTGTTTTGGCAATAATTGCGAATCTGTTCCACCATGATGCCCATGCTGGTCTCGAATTCGCCGATGAGGCTTGTGTTTTCGATTTGTTCCCGTTCGAGGGCTTCGACGGTGCGGCGTTCGCGGGCAAGGGCGCGCTCGAGTTCGGCGATTCTTGCGGCTGTTCCTATATTAGCACGTTGCATTTCTCAAAAATGGGGTGAGTATCAATTTACCGGATATCTCCCCGCTGACTTGATGAATATCCGGACTCGTGCCTTCAACAGTAGATCGACGCTGCGTCCAGTATCAGCAACCAATCCCTCCACAACGACCACTTCCAAACATAGGACATACCATAATCTCCTCCGCACTCTGGACAATCCCCCTCGTCATTTCACGATTATTCTTCAGAATATCGCTAAACTCCACCACCATATCGTATAAGTTATTTAAATCCATCTGATGTCCCGCATTCATCGGCAGTCCATTCATCATCATATTGTTGTTATTATTGCCCATCCCGTTTCCACCACCGCCTGCACCACCACCACCTCCGCCGCCCCCGTTTCCGTTCATCTGTGAGGGGGATGGAGACATGGATTGTCGCGACATGTTGGCCATATTCACGACGTTGGGCGAGTTTTCCATATAATTTCCCATTGCTGCAGCGTTGTTGCCGTTGGTGGTCATGCTCTCGCGATGAGCGCGAGAGGTCTCACGAGCAGGAGCACCTTCAAGAAGGTGTGTAAGGTCTATTGGCATTTAGCGAGTTAAAACGTTCGTGACGGGATTCGGTCTCACGACTGCGCTTTCTGGGAGCTATTGTTGTTGATGTTATGCTGGTTCATCACATTGTCGATATTAGCAGTTGGTAGTTGACAGGTCGCTTTCTATTGGACAAGAAGAAAGTAAGACTCGACGAGCACAGACCGCCTACCTAAATGGAGCTCATTCAAGGTCACGTGATATCTATCTGTTATTTAATGTCGGTTTCAAAATAATTCATAGTTCCGAGATCAAAATTTATGTTATATTTGAAGAAAATGATACATTCAATTTTATCTTCTTTGATCAAAAAGTAGACAGTCCTCCAGTCGTGATGCGCTCACTCTTCGAAATACAAGAGTACACTATCATCAGCAGCATCCGATGGATCTCTGTTGACAACTCAATAAAGCGGTACTGCGGCAGTGTATATGCTTCATGGCTGCTGATTTGAGCGAGTAACATCCGGGATGAAGCCAGACGTAGATTCTATCCGTAGAACATTTGGCCAGCTTATTTCCTCTACAGCATGAAGCTGTCTATGAGGAATGCAACCTAATTGTAATTGACCTACATAGCAGCCATCTCCTCAAGTCATATCGAGCAGCGCAGCGAGTCTTCCCTCAGGGTCCGTAGAAGGTATCGTCTCAGACCCATCATCCGTACGGACAACTCGACTACTATTCACTCTTCCTGCAACCCTTGCCACCAACATGCGCATCTTATCAATTTCTCGAACTAACTCTCCATCTCTCGTGAGAAGATTAGGTTGAATATTTTCTTGTGGGTTCTTGAACGGCTCAAGGAGAGCTTCCAGTTGCTTGTATTGCGCCAATTGCTTTTGTTTCTCTTGTCGTCTGTTATCTAGTGCGACGAGTCGTTCGTAGAGCATTTTGTATCTGTGTCATTTTGAATCAATATCGTGTAGTCGCATGGGGTTGGAGAAGAAGTCAAGTACCTTTCTTTCTCCTCAGGTGGCAAATCGTCTCCGCGGTATTGCGATGGTAGTTTCTCTATCACTCTGAAAAGCAATTAGCCCAATGATCGGCACGCTTGTTTTCGGATTCGATACATACGAGTTGTTCGATAAATCTGAACCAATCTCCACTCCCGTGGAATTCTGACTTGGGCTGAGAACCTCGCTTTTGACAGACTCCCAATACAAGTTCTCAATCTGTCGAGCGACGTGTTGAATTGCTTGGCTCGAGTAAACGACGCGATTATGCTGTTTTAATGTCGTGTTCACTATCATGGATGAATCAGTCTCTAGCCTCGACTAGTTGAAACCGAACTGAACGAACGCTTTTGCACAACTTCGTCCACGACCTTGTCGCTCAAGTCGTCCTCTGTATCCGGCGCAAAGTCTCTCCATCCTTCCTGAGGCGCGATAGATGCGGATAGAATTCGAATTTGGGTGCGTATGAAGGAGGTCTTGATTTCTGATATCGTTCGTGATTTCTCCATGGCTGTATGTTTGGTCTCTTGTCTGTTTGAGAAAGAGAGGGACATGTAGGTATGTTGATGTAAATCATCACGTGTTGATAAGCTTGAACGCGCCGATTACCGCGACTATCAACCCCACGTCCAATGATAACCTCAGTTGTGGATAATCTACAAGCCTACAAGGCTCCATGATCATGGCATTGGTGGTTGATGTGAGATAAATTACAGGTTGACGCTACATCTGTAGTTCAATCGCCCTTCCTTTTATGGACGATTCAGAGCTGGGAGCTGCAATTAACTAGATCCTACCGCATCGGCTACCCCGTGTACATCTAGCCTCGGCAAATTGTCGTTTATCAGCCGGTTGCAATCTGCAGAATTCAAGCTTGAAGTCATCCTCCCTGAAATGTTCCAGCATAATTTTTAATTATATCAACGAAACAGTCGAGCTTGTCAAAATGGCTAGGCCTGCCCAGCCTCGTGCACTTCTATTTGATGTCGGCGGAGTTTGTGTAAGATATATCAATCCAACCCATCAGAGAACTCTCCCTGACCCGATGTAAAGGTTGTTTCGCCATTTCAGGCAATCCTAGACTATGAGAAATCCAATGGCATACCTCCTGGATGGATCAACTTCAGCATCTCACGAACAGCCCCAAATGGCACCTGGCACAAGCTAGAGCGCGGCGAAATACTACTAGATGCAGATTTCTTCAAAGGCTTCAAGCGAGATCTTCAACAGCCTCACTTATGGAACGAATATCAACAACGACTGAGACAGAAAGATGGCAATTCTTCTTCCACCGACGCACCTCTCCCCAACATCGATGCAGAGGCTCTATTCTGGGAGATGATGCGAGTCTCTCGAGAACCAGATCCATTCATGTTCCCAGCTCTGGGAAAATTGAAGGCTTCTGGGAAGTTTCTGATGGGCGCATTATCCAATACAGTCATTTTCCCACCCGGTCATCCATTTAGTGAAGATAAAATCGGGCTACGGAAACAGTTTGACTTTTTTATTTCTTCAGCGCATACCGGTCTCCGCAAGCCACACCCTGATATATATGCACATGCATTGAAAACGATAAATAAAATCGCGGCACAAAAGGGTCAGCCGCCCATAAGTGCATCTGAGATTGTATTTTTGGATGATATTGGGGAGAATCTGAAGGCGGCTAAGAAGGCTGGGTTTGGAACTATTAGGGTTGTCCTTGGGAAGTCGCAGAATGCAGTCAAGGAGTTGGAGGATATCACTGGTCTTCAGCTGTTGGATGGAGGCGACAGGCCGAAGCTATGATATGTATGTAACTTCCAAGGTTGAGATAAAGTGTGCTCTATGAAGCTATTGAAGAGCTATTTAGCTTGTCAAGTGTAACTGAGTATGAAGATGACTTCAAAGCTATGGGAATGGCTGGGTCATTATATGCTCAAATAAGGTGCTTCCTAGATTCATAAGACATGCATATGATTAGGAATTATCAATCGACTCTACGAGCAATAAAAACCATAATTTTATCCAGATAATGTCTGTTGTCGTCGCCCACCTTGAACGGCGGGKGGTTCGTGGCCGACCTTTTTTCCTGCAGAAGCTTTGAGATGGCGCTAAGCGAAGCACCCGCACAAAAGCCCTATCTACTCATCCCGCACTCTTCTTCACTTTTTTCTCAGTCTAGCAGCCAAGCCATACTCGACAAAAGGACAAATTTTCAGTCCACGACAAATCCGTCAAGATGGTGAGTTGATACAGCTCTGATCAATGGCTTATTTTCGCCATTTCTACCTCTCTTAAAAATCCTCCGAGAAGTGTTCTCAGAGTCGTGCAAGATGCTTCGGAGGGGGGATTTCTGAAGCGCAAATTGCTGACTCGCCTGTAGCCTTTCACCAAGACCGTTAAGAACAGCGCGTACTACAGGTCAGTCTTCATTCACTCTTTCTTCACAAGCGTTTTCAAGCGTTCTTATACTGACTTTCGTTCAGTCGCTACCAGACCAAGTACCGCCGTCGTCGTGAGGGAAAGACCGACTACTATGCTCGCAAGCGCTTGATCACCCAGGCTAAGAACAAGTACTCTGCCCGCAAGCACCGTCTTGTCGTTAGTTTGACAATTCACTACGATACGAAAACATGATCTGACATGGTTTAGGTCCGCTTCACCAACCGCGACATCATCACCCAGATCGTTTACTCCGAAATCACTGGCGACAAGGTTATTGCATCTGCTTACGCCCACGAATTGAAGCGCTATGGAATCGAGCACGGTTTGACCAACTGGTCCGCTGCCTACGCCACCGGTCTCCTCCTCGCCCGTCGTCTCCTCAAGAAGCTCGAGCTCGACGAGACCTTCGAGGGTGTTGAGGAAGCCGACGGTGAATACACCTTGACCGAGGCTGCTGAGACCGACGACGGTACCCGCCGCCCCTTCAAGGTCTTCCTCGATGTCGGTCTTGTCCGTACCTCCACCGGTGCCCGTGTCTTTGGTGCCTTGAAGGGTGCCTCCGACGGTGGTCTCTTCGTCCCTCACTCCGAGAACCGCTTCCCCGGTTACGATATTGAGTCCGAAGAGCTCGATGCTGAGACTCTCCGCAAGTACATCACTGCCGGTCACGTTGCCGAATACATGGAAGGTCTTGCCGATGACGATGAGGAGCGTTACAAGTCCCAATTCTCCCAATACATCGACGATGAACTTGATGCCGGTGATCTCGAGGACGTGTACCTTGAGGCCCACAAGGCTATCCGCGAAGACCCCTTCAAGAAGGATGAGGATGCTGGTGAGAAGAAGACCAAGGAGGAGTGGAAGGCCGAGAGCAAGAAATACCGCACCGGCAAGCTCACCAAGGCCGAGAAGGACGCCCGTATCCAGGAGAAGATTCGCGAGTTGGCCGCTTAAATGGGCAACTTGCCATAGATTTCCTCAAGACTTGTACTTGAAAAGTTTCTTCTGTTAGGAGCATTGACGCAGAACAAGAAAAAGTATTGATCTTCATGCCTTTGATGAAATCTTTCCTCCTACCTCTTCTTCACCTTTTTATACGTATTACTGTCACGGTTCATGGATGATATCCTGTCATGTTTTGCATTTGTTTTCTTTTTCGGAGCATTAGGGCGGTTACAAGGATTTTTTTTCTCTCTTCCAAATCTTCCATGAACTGTTGTAGTCCGTAGACGTAAATTGTAAAAGGACAACTAGTCTCAACATATCACGCGAGACAGCGCAGACATCCCACTCCAAAGATAAATCCTTCGGGGAGCGAATAAACTCAAAGCCATTGTACGTAAAGGGGGTAATACCGAATACCGTATCGTACTGAACGTTTCCGAGGATCCCTAGAAAAGAACCGGTAGGACCGGGGCATCCTGGCAGCACGCAGATTATCAGTCACATGACTCGCCTACAATTGCCTGCATTCCCTATGCAAAGAATGGGCCGGTGCCACATTTCGCATCTCTAGAATGATAATGATGTGCATATTCGGCAGGATTGGTCGTTGTAGATATTAAAGACGTGTATAGGATTGAGTAGAATCAAGTGTCTTCCATGGGTAGCCACACAGTCGCACTTGTACTACCACATGTACTATGTAGAGCCTCCGATTCCGGGGACTTTCATGGCATAGAAGTCTCTTGACCAGGCATGGCTACCTACCTTTATACGCGGGGATAAAACCTACCGAAAAGCAACCAAAAATACTCAGGAAAGCAAGCTACAGTCCATCGGAGCCCTCCATGCACCACTGAGTGGCAAAAAGGTTATGTGCGCGCGCGCGAGCGACGACAAGTTGAACACACGCTACCAAAGGGACTAGATTTCAAGTCTGGCGTTAGACCACCCCGCCACCTTGCCGTTGATGTTGATCGAGTTTCAGCAAACGTCAGACGATTTCCGCTTCCGCGCTTCGGCAGACATCAGACGGTTGCAAAATCCCCTCCAGCAAGTATCAGACGGATCCATACGGAAAGTATAAAAGTCATGGTATTTGATGGCGTCCGCCAGCGAATTAGACAGTGGTCTCGTGACCCACAGACGATTCTTACCGTTCTTTGTTCTTCTCTGTAAGTAACAGTCTTGCTTACAATACCTCCACTGTACTTTGTGGTCCGGACTCCGGAGTACTTTACATCAACTATGTTACTAACTGAGGGCTGAAATTTTCTCGTTTTCCAATCCTTTCCTCAATAAAGTTCATTTAGGGCTTGTCATTGGGTTCTCGTGAATACATATTTCTTATCGTATAGTACCACACCACTCTTTACTGTGCCAGTTCATGGCAAGTCAAGATGTCGCCTTTATGAGAGATAACGTGACATCATCCCACACCTGACCTCCAGGACCCCGTACAACCGGAGGGCATCACGACCGCACTCAACTTGGGAATTTTGATCAATATTATTGTGCTGTTGCGTCTTAAGTCATCATAATTGTCTGGATCAACTGTTTCAAGGTGAGGGCAATATGGAGGGGTCCAATACGGTGGATGTGAGCTGGCTCCATCATTCGCATCGAGGTATATATTCTTTGTCTTAAATGTACTTGATCATGTACTAATTTACTGTTACGTACAGCGGAACAGTTACTTCGAACCAAAGCCGCCACATCCTCAGTGCACGAAAAGACCAACGGACCGGCAGATTCCAAACTTGAGCGAAGCGGCTCGAATAAGGAGACATCGCAACGATCACCCGATGAACCGCCGCAATCTACGGGCACTTCTCAACCAAAAACCAACGGCCCTCATACAGAGCAGCCACCGTCTAATATGCGCAATGCGCCGGAGAAGAAAGCAGCAATAAACCCTCCAGCTACACCCGTCAAAGGAAGCGCTCCGAAGGCTGTACCAGGAAGGCGGAATTCGTGGATTTCGTCGATTAGCTCCAAGTTCACTACTGGTACAACGCCACCAGGACAAGGTGCTGCTCTTCACGTCGCACCAAAGTTGAGCCCGCCGGTCAAACCAGATATCAACCCGTTCGGAGCTTCGTTTTCTCCCAAGGATAAAGATCCGGTCATAGGCGAGTCGCCCAATGCTTTTACGTCCACGACATCCTCGCCGAAGAATCCCTCATTTTTACAGAATGCATTTCGAAAGTTTTCATCCGGTGGTGGCGGAATGGGAAAGGCTACAAACAACGGCGGTATTTGCGAGCGCAGGATAATGAATGTCGATCCCAACAGAGACAGATGCAAGGTTCCGGAGCTGAGTCAAGGGAAATTGAAACGTGTCGCCTTTTGTGTTGATGTTGAGATAGCCGGCTTTGCTTCGCGCGAAGATGACGAGGTGACCAAGCGCGAGCCCACGAATGTGCCTACTTCACAGGCGTCCAAGTTGAAGGCGAAGGAGAAGAGCGAAGGATCAGCTTTGAAGAATCCCGAGGCTTCTCCAGAAATCACAAATGAGCCGAAACCGAACGATGTGGATCAGCCTTCGCCAACTCTAGGGGTCAATGGTGATGCTACCGCCGATGTACGGACCAAGGAGCCTACCAAGAAGCAGGAAAAAAAGAAACGCTCAGAAGAGGAACGAAAGGAGCGCAAAGAGAGGAAGAGAAGACAAGCAGAGGAGAATGGGACTATCCCCATGCAATTTAGACAAGGAGAGGATGAACAGCCCGCTGTGCCAACAGCAGCGCCAAGCGGTACTCGCTCCAAGACTCAAAGTCATCCTACTACTGACCCTGTGCGTATTTATCGCCGCTGCTGTCAACTACGTGAAACTCCAGTTTTGAAAAAGCTTGTGGAGCAAATGACTTCACCATCATCGACACTTGTTGAAGCTCCTGGTACCGTGGCCGTGTTAGATCTGAGTGATTTTCCCATGACTTTGCAAGATATTGTTACTTTTAGTGATTGGCTTGCAATCGTTCCTGTTCGAAAATTGATACTAGAGAACTGTGCTCTCACAGACGAAGGTGTGCGCTCAATATTGGCCGGACTTTTATCTACAAAGACCATGCAACAAGCTCGAAATAGACGCCGATCTACGAAGGAAAAGCTCGCATCTGTTCCGCCACTTTTTGGAGTAGTGGAAAAAGTCTCATTGAAAAACAACACCAAGATTGGCCCCGAAGGTTGGCGTCATATCTGTCTGTTTATTCACCTCTCAAAATCGCTCAAAGCGATTGATCTTTCTGGCATTCCTTTTCCGAAGAAAATTGCCAATGGTTCAAGCCCTTTGAAAGCGGGTGACTTGGGGATAACGCTTGCCAACTCACTTACCACCCGGTTTGGTGGCGATTACCTTGAGGAATTACTTCTCAGCGAGTGTCAGCCGTCCACAGAAGATATAGAAAAAATCTGCAATGCTGCAGCCACTATTAAGTTACGACGACTGGGCTTGGCTAATAATAATATGACTCGGGAAGGATTGGAGCATGTTGTCCGCTATCTTCGATGTGGCAATTGTGAGGGAATTGATCTCGGAGGAAATGAGTTGCACGATCATTTGAACCTACTTACGGATGCCATTGATTCTGAGAACCCTCTGTTGGCATTGAGTTTGGCAGACTGCTCATTGACACCGGCTACAGTATTCCCTCTGCTCCAAGCTTTTCCGACCCTACCCAATCTCCGTTTCATTGACTTTTCACATAATCCCGCTCTATTCACCACCCAACCGGATTGTTTATCCATGCTTAGGAAATTTCTGCCGAGAATGGCGGCCTTGAAACGAATACATTTGGCTGATGTAGATCTTTCGCCTGACCATGCAATCGCGCTTGCAGAGGTTTTGCCTGAGTGTCCCAGTCTTTCTCATCTGAATATTTTGGAAAATCCACGAATTGCAAGCCTAGGATCATCCAGCGACCCGGCTGATCAAGAGGAAGCGTGCGCAGTTTATGCCTCTTTGATGGCTGCTGTTCGAGTTTCACGTACTCTGATTGCAGTAGATATCGAAGTTCCTACTGCAGAGAGTAATGAGGTCGTCAGGGCATTGGCTTCTCAAATTGTCGCCTATTCTCTGCGGAATCTTGGTGCTCTCGAGGAACTCAGCGATGCCAGCCAAGTTCAACGCTCGGAAGTGCCAATTCCCGAAGTACTACAGCATCTTGTGGGACACACTGGTCCTGTTTTGTCCACCGAGGACGAACCTGCGCCAAACGAAGACTACGTTATCGGAGGAACAGGTGTGGTGAAAGCACTTGGTGTGTGTCTCGGCAACCTTGACCGTCAGCAGGCTGAAATTGGAGGAGGGTCAAGACCTGGAAGTGGTCGCTCAACGCCTGTTCCTCAAGTCACATCATCTATGCAGAAGACCAAGAAAGCGAGAGATATGTCGAAGAACCTACTCGGGTCTGCTCGTAACATCCAAGCTAGGATCAAAATCGCGCTGGTTCGGGAGGACAGGGCTGGCAATGATGCCAACTACAGTGAGCATACTTCGTCTTTATCATTGAAATATTCTAACCTCTGCAATCAGGGCGACTGCAATTCCTCGATCAAACTCTCCAGAAGATCATCACGCGTTTCGAAGAAGAGTTCCCTGAGTGCCGTGTATCCGCAGACAGTCAAACAGAGGAAACTTCGTCCCAACGATCCAGCGAAGACAGCCACGAACCTATTACAGCGGTTGATAGTGCTGTCTACGTTCCTGACATTTCTACTGCCGAGGATGAAGAGGCAGATCCATTCGCTATTCGTCTATCACGCCGAGGCTCTAACACTTCGCTTCACTCTCGAGCACTGACATCAGAAGAAGGTCGTCTTCACAGGATCAGTCAACATCTTCGAAGAGACTTTCTCAACCCATCACTCATTGCCCCTGAAGACGGCGGTGCTGTATCTGGTGACGACTCTCATATCAACGCGCTGCGCGAGAAACTCCAGAATCTTAAAGGGGACGAGAAAATGGGTACCCACCCGGAGAGCGTTGGGGCCGACAAGGCTTTCCACGAGCTGGGCTCCACAGTGGAAGAATTATGGATCATCCAGCAACAAGATCAAGACGCTTTCGAGCGATGGAAGCAGAGCCAAATCGCTGCTCAGATAAACGCTGGCCTACGATCGCCGCCATTCCAAGCTGGAGAGTCTTCTTCATCGCAGCCTAGCAAATGATTTTTTTTTTCATTCCAATGATGATGTACAAATCTGAACTTATGTCCCTAACTTGAACTTGTCCTATTCTATTTTTTTTTCCAGCGTGCCATGAAACTCGTTCTTGATTGTCCCAATGTGCCATACTACTTGTAATTTGATGAGAGATGACAGCGTTGTGTTCCAAGTTCTTTCATTGACTTCGTGGCGTTAGGGCATTCTATCCATTTACACTCTTTTTTATGCATTACCAATTTGTATCTTGTACTATACTTGTTTCTGATTTCTTGACCAAGTACTCCGAATACAAATATATGATAATCTTATCCCGTAACTCAAGGGCCTGTTCAACGTTGTTAGCAGCGAAGATCACAGAGATGCATAAACATCGATTCCGGTGCCGCAATTTGACAGTTTTGTAGACCTGCAGTTCAAGGATCTTGTGATGCAAATCATGCAGGTCTTGTCAAATAGAAGGTGGTAATGATCAACGCTGGCAGGGATGATCGCGGAGACGGTTGAATTTCGACTCCCGTGCCGTGATGCATACCTTGAGACATCATGCAGAAGAAGTATTCCCTTGCACAACGTAGGTAGGTCGAACAGGTGAGGCCGTAATATAAAACCCTTATTGATTCCATGAGAACAGTAACTTTTCATTCTTCTCATACAACAACGCTGAATTAGCACAACTTGACTCCAGCCTTCATCTACATCTCCAAGTACAAAATGGCTCCTATCCACATCGGCTCCTTGGTCTACAACTACCAAGTCCTTGACGTGCTCGGCCCCTTCGATCTGCTCGGATCGGGAGGTAAACACATCCTGAATGCAGTGGCCTACTATACCAACATTGACAAGAATATCCTCAACCGCGCCCCGGAGTTCGTCTTCCACCACATCGGAGAAACACTTGATCCAGTGCCACTCCTCACGAGCTCGGTCATTATCAAACCCACTGACACGATCGACAGCTGCCCCGAGCTGGACTACTTGCTCGTCGGCGGGCCCGACGTCAAGGACTTCGAATTGTCGCCCAGATACGCGGATTTCATCCGCCGACATGTAGCAGCGGGCAAAACGGTTTTTACCACCTGCACTGGCGCCGGGGTCCTTGCCTCGACGGGCGTTTTAAATGGGAAGAATGCCACCATCAACAACCTGGAGTATGACTGGGTAGCCAAGAAGTATCCCAAGGTCAAATGGACCAAGGCCCGAAAATGGGTTGTGGATGGTAACATCTGGACTGGTGGTGGCGCGGTTGCGGGCATGGATATGTTTGCGCATTGGTTTAAGGAGAATTTTGGTCTGGATATGCTCATTCAGGGTGCCAAAGGGCTGGACTATGAGCCGAGAGATAGTGATGGGTTATTCAAGGTGTTTCCTCAGCGGTATGATGAGGATGGGAACCAGCTTCCTACACTTGTGTTGCCCTAGATCAATGTCTCTCAAAAGTGATCGAGACAGACAAGTTACTTAGGGTCAGAGTAACCTGGTGATATCAATGATCTCTACGAAGTACCAGAAGAGTTTATAAGCGGAATTGAAAACACTGGCATTCCACTGAATCATCTATTCACAAGTATTACTAGCAATAAACTTTGATATACGATGCTACTTGCTTACAAAGTTAATCAGTCTGGAGCCCAAAATAATCAAATGCATCATTTAGGTCTTGCGTTGACAATCTCATCAACGTCAATCGTGGTAGAAGATTTCCTAATTAGAAATCAAAACCTCCGGAAATCACCAGGCATGGGCTATTTGTAATTAGCCCAGGAAGATCTAGTGTCGGCAGATATCACAGCTGATATTCCAAATTACGAATGTGACCCCAATTGTCTTCTTTGGTAACGTCATATTGTGTTTAACTGGAGGACTTCACAGGTTCATTTTGCGTTAATGACATGTCATTTCAAGCACACGCCTTAATTGATATACACTTGACAATCTCGATGATAACTATTTATCTAAGTAAACTCATATATGAAAGAACATGGCAATCATATTGACATATCAATTGTTCAATAGATTAGGTATGTTCTAATGTTAGAATTAATTATTTTATGTCAGTGCAACCAATAGACCAAAAAGCTGCGCGCATATCTGATGATCTGATATTTCTGGTACGATATCACTAGTGAGGATGATCATGGTGCATGCTGTGAGAATATAGGATTTTCCAACACGTTCTTTAGAACTCGCATTCTCCTTTTATTGCGTTGAGCTCCTGCTAGAGAAGTTTTCCGTAGTCCCTGACCAAAGCTTCTAGCTTATCTCATAATAATCATGCAATATACAGTATTTGCACGATGTTGAATTACATACACCAAAGTTCCTTTGTGTACATAAGTGCCCGGCGGTACCCAGTATGTGTGAATCTCCATTGCTGACTCCCAATGTGGTAAGCTCTGCAACTTAGGGCAGCACCGAGGTTATGTCCGTTGTCATTTGAGCTATTATAGTGAATTTGTGAGCCAATCAATTCTTGGTCTTTGCATTTGCAATATCTTCGTTGTCCTAGGTCCTTTTCGAAGAAGTTGGGTAGGCCTGATACTTCTCATTATTTCCCGGTAGAACAATCGAACCTGTAGCATGACCAGCTTTTCATCTGGCCATCAAGATCGGGCGAAGACTCAAAGAGCGTTGTGTCGAACTCGATTGGGTAGAAACACAACAAACACTTGGCCCACCACGGTAACCACGGAGGTGCAACTCTGATAGGCTGTTGTAAACCCCTCATCGCCTCAGGCACCGAGCGTTTACCTGACGACAACAATTACTAACTATCGATTGAGATAACATATCTTTACTTGAACCATTGAACATTCAGTCTTAACTGGAACTGTCAGGAATTTGGAGATTGTATAAATCGCGCGTAAAGCGTCTGTTGACTTTTGCCAAGCTTGCGGCTAATCCGATCAACTTTCCGTTTTGTCAACAACATCGCCAGGGCACTCCTGACGTCTGACCAGCCTCGACTTCTCTCCTCTGGGACTTCGTCCAACAACAATCGCGACTTATACAAAGTGAATATACACGCACATAAGCACCATATTCATACGAGCAACAGCGAATATCCTGGTAAGTCCTCTGTCAAACCCTAGTGCGCTGCTATCGCATCGGGCAAAACAATCACCCTGAAACCTCGCCCCGCGCTGCTCAACACCAGCGCACATGCCTCAGACGAAAAGCGCATGCTACTGGGAAGGCAGTTGGCTTGCGCTATTTGTCCAGCGGCATTTCCATGGCCCAACCTGTCGCCGTCGTCCCAAAATATACTAACCGTGTTGGCATGACAGTACCCAGACATAACCACTTCCGAAGAGCCTCTCTTGTTTCCGCCACTTCGAATCCCCCTCAACGCAATTCGCATTCTGCAATCCATAAGTAAACTCCGTCCACTGGCATCACACAACTGCCCTTTATGTGCTGCTCGCATATACTACAATCGTTTCTCCTCCCAACGGCCTGAAATTAGCGACGCATCAAGATGGAGGCCAGAGCTACAGAACTACTGGGCACGTTGAAAAACCCAAACGTCTCTATTGACGCCAAAATTGCGGCGCTCACAAATGTCAAATCCGATATCAAGCAGAAAAATGTCCCCGAACCAGCTGCTCTCCCCCTTTTCGAAGCTTTGCGACTCGCAATTTCCGCTCAGCACTCGTCTCTGTCCTCCGCAGGATTTTCCACCCTGACACATTTTCTGAAGCGTCTTTACATACAAGAGAACCATCATCTCGTACTGTTCCATGCCCGCCAATTATATCCGATATGTCTTGAGCGATTGGGAGACCACAAGGAGCGTCTTCGCGCCCAAGCTTCCCAGGCTTTCACCGATTTATGGATTGCGGCCCCGCAAGACGTGGAAGCGCATGTCCTTGGGACCGCTATGGTCGGCAAGAATGCGCGAGCTAGGGAAATGAGCATGATCTGGCTGGCTACTGTGAGTTTTATCTCTGGATTCAAGAACTTGTAACTCACATTCGGTTACAGATGACGAGAGAGCACAACATCCTGTTCCGTGCGCATGTGCCGTCGCTTGTTGCTGCACTTGAAGATGCCGATAGCGGTGTTCGGGAGACCGCAAAGACCACCATCATCGAGATATTCCAGTACGTTGCTATATACCCTCTTGCGTTCCGTCGCTTACATTGACTTCTTTGAACTTCAGAAATGCCCCATCTCGAGCCAAGTCAGACCTGAAACGCCAACTTTCCGAAAATGGGGTTCGCAAGTCTATCGTTGCGGCAATTCTCTCAAATCTGGGTCTTTCCGACCATGATGTATTAGCCAGCAGCCGCTCGGAGACACGTCGTCCGGGAAGTAGCCTTGCAGTCTCCCGTCMCCGTGACGMCCCGCCTCGACCGACTTCTGTCCTATCTCAACGCCCACAGAGCCGGGCTGCCATTGCACGTGAAGGTAGGCTTTGTAACCAAGATTATGCGGTGTCTTATTCTAATTTCATGTCAACAGACTCAGAACATACATTGCGACCAGCTCCGAAAGTTGACCTTCATTCGGGATTAGCCCACAGTATTAGTACTGACTCTCTAGCTGGCTCGGCTGCTGCTGCTTTGGAAGGTGAATATGTTGAGCCCATTTTTGTGGACTCAAACCGTGATATAGACGATATGATACGAAATATGCAGCCACACTTTGAGGGCAGGGAAACAGAACACAATTGGATACCCCGTGAAAAGTCGATAGAGACCCTTCGAAAGCTGGTACGCGGCAATGCTCCTCAAGCATATTCTCAGCACTTTCTCGCTGGCATCAAAAGCCTTCTTGATGGAATTTTGAAAGTAGTCAACTCTCTGCGGACAACTTTATCTACTGCAGGCTGTCTTCTTCTCCAAGAGATTGCAAAGATATGTGGACCAGGTATCGATAATATGGTTGAGCTCTTGCTTCAAAATATGATCAAGCTATGTGCTGGAATGAAGAAAATCAGTGCACAGAACGGCAATGCCACCGTCGATGCCATCATTCAGAACGTGACTTATGTTCCTCGCATCCTTCAACATCTATCATTTGCTTGCCAAGACAAAAATGTACAGCCCCGGTTGTTCGCTGCGGGCTGGCTAAAAACCCTCTTAAAAAAGCAGGCTCGCCATAAGAGCTCAATAGAGCATGGTGGCGGCCTCGAGCTCGTTGAAAAGTGTATCAAGAAATGCCTTGGCGATCCAAATCCAGGAGTCCGAGAGAGCATGCGAGGTACTTATTGGACCTTCCACCAGATCTGGCCTGATCGAGCCGAAGAGTAAGATTGACCGAATCCTTGACTATCGTTGTGACAAACTAACCACTTTCTATGTAGGATTATGTCATCGCTAGACGCCAAGTCAAAGACTCTTTTAGAGAAAGATCCTCACAACCCCAGTGCTGCTCCTGCACCTGAAGGTCGCCCTCGTCCGGGTTTCTCACAAAGTGTTTCGGCATCTACTCAGCGACCTAGTCTCAAAGAAACAATTGCAGCACAGAAGAGAGCCGCTGCAGCGAAGAACATTCCGACCCAGAATATCCCACCCCGTCCTGAATCAGCACAGTCTACATTTGCCGACACGAAGCCCACACGTCCTACCGCTCGCACTCCTGCAGCAACCAAGTCTACGAGCAGTGTCCGGACTGTTCCAACTGGAACTCATCTCTCCTCCCTATCGTCTGCTCCTATGCGCCCTGCGGTAAAGCCTCGACGACCTGAGTTAGCACGACCAGCCACAGCTGATCCATACTCTGACCGACGGCCAGGGAGCGCAGCTTCTCACGTTAAACCATTGAGCCCAGAGGTCAGCCCGGCAAAAGCGAGACCCAAGTCAGTTGCTACACCTAGTGCCCGATCACCAGCACGACCTAAGTCGAGAGCTGGTGGCGCCCCAGCAAGCAGTACTGCTAGGAGCAAACCCAAAAGACTGGATATTTCTAGCTTGAAGAACGGCGAGTTTCGCTCCGCGGCTGGGCCTCGCAGTGACTCCGATGATATTATCAAACCCCAGCCTACGATACAGAATGAAATAGTTGAGTCATCACCACGGTACGAGGAAACCACTCAATATTCGAATGTGATTGCACTGCATGACCACGATGACATGCCTACCACACCCATCACACCCGCCATGCCTGCCACGCATACACATGACGATGTGATGTCGCTCGAAGAGCCGCAGGTCATTGTGGATGAGGAACCTACCTCCTCCAATACAATCACATCTCCATCTCGAGTCCCACTTATACACTCGCGAACAAATAGTGTCGAGACCAATGGCACGTCTTCTTCAGTCTTGGTCTCTCCTCGCCCACGTCATTCACGCCATGGAAGTGAAGACAGACCGAGTCATATACCGAGTCCAATTGCGTCTCGGTCATTAGTACTTGAAGAGCCCCGATCCGTTGGTCTGACGGTCTATGAGAACCCAGAAACAAATGTCAGCCCAGAAACATACTCTGAAAAGTTAAGCAAGAGTCCAGAAGTTCCTAAGAAGCCAGTATTGGAAGAGATTCCTGTCAATGAGCCTAGCGCGCCCACGCCACGCATAGCGAAACAGCAGTCAATGCCTGTTAGTTCACTAAATGGCAATATTGCATCACCAAATGCTTTGGAGAATAGTCATAGAATTTTGGGAAAGATCGGGGTGGAGAGACGTCGAAGTCTCAGTCCTAGATCAAAGGACCCTACGAAAGCCAAAGAAATGATCGACAAGGGCATCGCTCGCATCAAAGCAAAAACTTTGGACGTACATGGATATCGCAAACTTCAAGGCCTTATCAAGTACCACGATTCGATATTCATTGATGAGTCAAAGTATGATGAGATGCTGTTGGGACTTTTGGATGCATTAGAGGTTCCCACAGATGAAAAGCGAACATCGGTGCCTCGGTCCATGGATCTCAAAATTCAAATCCTTGTGACGATCCGACTTATGTTTGCGTATAATGGAGCCTGGTTCGCTGTCCATTATCCTCGAGTGATGACTGCACTTCTTAATACACGCAAAAATTATGAACTTACTCACCACATTGTGAGTGGTCTTGAGGAGACAGCAGAAGATATCATTGCTTCCTGCGAGGCTGTGGATGTGATATTCGCTGTTCTTGATTTGATCGAGACCGAAAAACATGATGATGAGGGCAATCGCGCAATCACGATGGGGATCTATATTCTCTCAGGTCTACTCAAGCGTCTCAATAAAGACCACAGGACGTTGAACGAGGGTGAGATTGAACGATTAGGACGGTTTGCCAACGCCTGCCTTGCACAGTCGCAACCCGATATAAGACGAGCCATTACGGAATTCAGTGTTGAATTGCATGACATGGTGCAGAATGAGGAGGTCTTTTGGCGCATGGTCAATCCCGCTGGAAACGACCAGCGCAATTTGTTGACCTACTTTATTGCGAAGAAGACCTCTCAAGCTGTTCGAGCGTGATATACCTATCGCAGATTCTTGTCTATATTCTATTGTTCGTTTCTTGTCGTCTTCCGGTGAAGCTTCTTTTAAAATTACTGGCGTTTGATTCGTTGTTTATTTTTGATACCGTTGCATGAAAAGCATCTGCTTAGCGTGGAGTTTGTTCTTCAACGGTAGATAGGAAGTCGCGTGCCTCATGGAGTTGACATTGTAATATTATCGTTCTACCTGTCTCACTCTACATCAACTTTCAAGCAGACTTGCAGAAATAGGAACCCGTAGCCATATTAAAGGTCCAGAGAGAGTACGACATGGTATGTAAATGTATATTAACTTGTAATCTGTGAAATCTTTACGGAGATTCACGAACAATGGAGCTCGAAAAGCTCGGCATCCCGAGTCAGGGGAAAGTGGGTTCATTTTATGGAGAACTTCAACGAGTCACGACAAACCATTGAAACATTATTCAAACACCAAGGAAAATGTCTTGCATTTAGTCCGTGCTAAGAAAAGCATGGACGACTAGTAGTTCGTACGTATGTGCTTCGTAAACTTTGTATCCCCGACAAGAATGATGGTATCCAATTCCGTATATACTTTGATCACGATGAACTTGTCACTTGTCAGGATTGCGTTAGAGTTAGGGCTAATTCAAGAGTCGAGTCAACCTCCTTTTGAGGGCAGCGAGGCGTGACCATAACAATGCTACCTCCAAGCTCCTGTATTGTCAGTCCGGCCCGTCTATAAGATGTCAAACTCAATGAGATGTTACGTTCGTAGTCAAAGCTATGATAATTACCTGTCAGGCTGTAACTTGTCCAGACTCCATACGGAAGTACGTATGTATTTAGTCAGTTGAGGTGGCTGGGTTTGTTGGATTTTTGGGGTCTGTGTCCTACGATCTATAGGATCAGGAGTACGGAGTATACAGAAATGGAGTAGTATTCACAGGCCGTATGATGCCCCTATTCAAACTCCAAATATAAAATAGCGGGATGTGATTGGGCCATTGCGACATAAATTCCAATCAAAGCGAGGAATGGCCTGATCAGCTAGGGCCTGGTCCAGCCGTAATTAATAGTTAGTTCTGGTAAGTCTACCTAGTTAAGCCCAAGGAACGGCTTGGTTAGGGACTTGCAGTGGCGGTTTGCTGCGTAGGGACTAGAGACTAGGTTGGCCTCCTTTCAGGGACTAAATTACCGAAGTGGCGCAGACGGCGAGATGGGCTCGTGCGCGTTTCAGAGTGAGGTGTCTCTGGGCTAGAGTTGACTTCACGAGTTACAGATACTAGTATTGTACATTCTCGACAGCCGGAAGTGGTGTATAATAGTAGATGCAGATTCGTAGAGGAAGTGGAATGTTCCTGTCAAATTCTTGAGGCATCTCATTCTGACTGTCAGGGGCAAAGAGCAAGACACGTGAGATGGTTCCAATGGTTCATGTACCAGCTAGCCCTCTGATTGCACCGGAATCCTTGCTATAAGATCATTGCGATATTCAATGGTCAATAATAATAACACCTAAATAAATAACCTAGTTACATCAGACGAAGACAGATTGACTAATATGATGTGCACGGCATGTCATCTGCAAGTTGCCTCAGCTTCTCTCTGTGTCCCTGCCGGGTTACCGCGCCGTCTGGCCCCTTACACTCAACAATGACAGTTGAGTCTAAACAGTGTACAAGCACTAAGCAGACGTACCCACAAGGACCCCTTTGCGTTGTCTTAAATTAACAATTTCTTCTACAGAATTTGACCCCTGTCGTGCTACATGCGCTGCTCGTTCGTCGACTTGCGTTTCAAATGTTGAAACACTTCCAGATTTGTGTCAGTCTCGTTCCGCATATTACTACGTACTGTACTAAGTACGTACGTAGTGTACAGAGTACGTACTACGTACAAACTCCAGATGCTACATACTATAGTGTATATACAGTACTTCCGACCGTGGTATGTGCCTGAGACTAGGCATGAACTACTGACTGAACCACGTATACACACACAACTAGGCTGTGCGCTACTTGAATATAGCGACCTTCGAGTCAATACTAAATTATGAATGCCTCTATCGAACTGTTTCACTTGCTCCACTAAGAACCACGGTACATCCTACGTTGTATACATAATTCTTTTGCCGGCTGTTTTGCCATTGAGGACGTTGATCCGACAATGGTATTATACTCTGTAGTCAGAGACCCCTTACTAGTATTGGACAACTGCAATTGAGTAAATGCATTGTTGCTGAAAGAAAATAACCAAGAGTAGATAGAATACTAGACGCTTTTCTGGCAAGCTACTTGGCAAGCGCAGGCGGCAGAGTCCAGAACTTCAATTGGCACGTTCGCTCCTGCCAATTCATCAACCGCCGCCCTTCCTCGTCTCCTCCACTTCCTCAGCTCCGTCCTTTCTATTTACTCTTCCTCCTCTAATCTATCCTACATTCTAGGAGTCTATACATATTTACTACCGACAACTATAATATCAAACAAAMCCCGCCGGTCATTCGACTTGGTCGGAATTCCTTTGCCGTGCGCGCGCACTGACTCGATAAACAGCCCACGCCGCTCATCCTTCCAAATCCCTCCTTTAATAATATACCAGTTCCCCAGTTGCACGCTGGGGTTCCGTGGGGAGGACGACTTTGAACAACTCGGTTGACGCCGAAAATTTTCTCTTTTTTTTCTCGACTTCAAGTATCGTGAACAGCGTGCGGATCTCCCCTCCCTTCCTCTACCTATACTACGTTATCGAGCATTTGTGATGCGGCGAATCCGTCTCGCGCATATACACAGATACTTCCGGGAAGGCTTCGTGATGTGTACAGGCTCCCGGAGTCTTTGCGCGCTCGTCGGCCTCGTTCTGTTTTCTTACCAAGATTACTGATCATCTGCTTTTATCGTACAGGGTCTCCCGCTATCTTTCCCGTCTGCGGTCCGTAATAGTACACGGTTTTACGACCCCCCTTCCATGCGCGGCCTTCGATAATCGTCGTCTGTGTCCATCCGTGTGCTTTCGGTGGAAGACGCTTGTGTCTATTGACTTAGTCTGTTCGAAGAAGTTATAAAATGGATTCACCAGCGGGCTTCTCTGATACCGCCATGGATCAGGATGATATTCCCTATCCTTGCAAGGGCTGTGGAGAGGTATGTACTATGGATATTTTCTGCGAGCTGCATTTCTGACCGTCTGTTACCATTTGTGCTACAGATCCTGGAGGAAGGAAAAGCATTCGAGTTGGGTAAGTTTCTCTGTAACAGCTACCTTATACTCGTTCCTTGCTAATGCGCACATAGCGGGCAATAGGTGGCATATCGATTGTTTCCGATGCAACACATGTAACACCCTTCTAGATTCGGACGCTCACCTCCTACTTCTCGGCGACGGCTCGTTGATATGCAGCAACTGTACATACAGTTGCAGCTCATGCGGGAACAAAATCGAGGATTTGGCAATCTTGACCGGCGACCAAGCGTTTTGTGCCAACTGCTTCAAATGTCGGAACTGCAAGAGAAGAATTGAGAATCTGCGTTATGCAAGGACATCTCAAGGTATTTTCTGCATGGACTGTCACGAGTCCCTCATGCAACGACGTCGCAAGAAAAAGACGGCGGCGAAAAAGCCAAATACTATATATGACAAGTCGCTCCCGTCTCTCCCACCGACCATGGAGGACACCCGATCAAACCGCGACGTGGAGACACTTTCAGCGAGGGAGTACCCCGGTTCTCCAGAGGTTCCTACCCGTGGCTATGGAACGGAAGAGCGAACGTCAAGCCGTAGTCGCGCTGAAGAACCGCCTGCTGCACAGCTGGAACCTCCTCAGAATCAAGGTGATTTTCTTTACGATATCCAGATATTCGAGAATACTGACAGTCTGAATCAGATAACCTCATTCTCCCCTCGAGTGCATACCGCCCCGATTCGAGCAAACGCCAGTCCACCATGTCTACAAAGTCGGAAGTGGATACTGGAGAGTTTTTGATACCCGTCGCATTCGACCCTACACCCGACGAACGTGTGTCGCCGCATAATGAAGTTCCTGGTCTAGAGCAAGCACGCCACCAGCCGCAAGATTACTTTGATCATTCGCGACCAGCAACATCCTCTCGCCAGACTTCAGTTGATCGTACAGAAACTACTCAAGCATCCGCCCCTCACATTGCTTTTCAACAAAAAGAGCGCCAGGCGAGCAATCCTGTCGCGGATCAGAACCGCTGGCGACAAGAGCCAACGCCGAAGGTTGCTCAGACCAAGGCAGAAAGCGATGGGTTCAAATTACAGGAGGCACCGAGAGGACGGAAGTCTGCTTCTACTCATAGCTCCAAGTCTGACCTCAACGCGGCCAAAGAAGGAACTTCTGTCTCGACAGGTTCTCCCGGAGCCGTTACCGCAGCTTCATCCGAATCATCCAAGGCACCCCAGCCATTTACGGAGAAACCCACAAGCCCTCCCATATCCATCGCCTCGCCACCAGTGCGATCGCCCGACCAGAATCGTAGCAGTTATGTTGAAATTGAGCATGACCGAGCCGATACTAATATGACTCTTCCCAAATCAAGCACAGTCCAGGCTCTTCCAAAACGAGGCGATTCTTTGGAGCACTTTGTTTCAAGCCAAATCCAGCGCAAGGATGTTGGCTCTACTCCTAAAGCTTCACCATCCGGTCGTGGTGACCATCGTGACTCAAAAGAATCAGCCGATGTTTCTCGACAGTTGACTCATAATGCAGAGACAGAACTATCGAAAGAGGTGTCAGCAGACAGAACCAATGTGCCAATTTCCCTGGACAACTATCACGGTCGTAATGGGTCGAATGCTCCGTCTCTATCAGACGCCATCAAAAATAACCTTGCCTCGTCACCTGCCTTGCTGCGTTATAGTGGTGGTGGTGATTTCTCGCTGGACGAGGATTTGGCTAGGATTTTAGGACCTGAAGCCCAGACCGGTAAAAGTGAGTCCGCCAAGAGACCGATGTCGAGTTCTGTACGCCATGGTCGGAGCTATAGCGATAAGGGATCGATTATGTCAAAGGACGGCAAGTGGCCGAGGTCTCCAGTGAATGGCAACACGTTCGCACAGGATCCTAGCAGTCCTGACACTCCCTCTCCGAGTGAACAACGGGAGGATATCAGTTGGCTAAGGGGCGAGCTACGTAGAGAGCGTCAACGGGTAATGGAAAGAGATCAGAAAATCGCAGAGCTAGAGAGAGCTTTGAATGCTCAAGCAGATATCAAAAAGGCTAATACCGAGTTGCGCGAGAAGCGCTCGACCATGGTGGTCTTGGATACTAAGAAAGAAGTGGTCATGCGCGAGCTTTCTGCTATCACAGAACATCTTGATCGAGAAAAGCATGGTGCTGCTCCTATGGATCTAGCAAAACTGACAAACAATGTTGTGCGTAACTTCGCAGAAAAGCTACAGCAACTCAAAGACTCTTTTGCCCCACAGATTGAAGAGCTTATGCAGAAACGAAATGACATCGTGGAGGAAGTTGCAAACCTTTCACGCATGAAAGACAAGAGTTTCCAAGAATTTGAACAGTTGTCTTCAAAGAATGCACAACTAGCAGAACTGAACAACCAGCTCGTGAACCAAATTCAGGGCCTCTACAAAGCCAGCTCAGCCACAGAATCAAATCGCTCCACAAACGGCTTGGGTATTTACTCACACAACAAAGAGAAGTCTACTGGTTCTGTTGATGCGTCCAAGACAAGCGATCTTGCTTCCTCAGTCTCCACCATGACGATTCAAGACGATGGCGATGCCACAATCATTCCTGGTCCACAGGTTGTTAGTATTCGCAAGGGACAGGTGCGCAAGTTTAACTGGAAGAGAGGAGGGCAGAGTGTGGCCAAGGGTGTTTCCAAGGGACTTAAAGCCTTCTCAAGCGAAAGGGACATGATCGGTCCAGATGGAACGGTTCAGCAAATCGAGGTCAACCCGTCGCTGCCACGCTCTCAAACACAGGAACCCAGATTTGGATTCTTTGGAAATCAGAAGCGACAGGCTGCGTGGAAAAACCAGACGAATGGAAGCTCACCAGCGTTAGCTGATGCTACTGTGAATAGCGAGAGTAAGTTTGCTTTCTGTTGCGTCAGTCGCGTAGCCATACTGACTTTTTTTTTTTTAGGTCTATTCGGCGTCGACTTGGAGCAACGCTTAGAACTAGAAAAGAGTATCATTCCTTCGATAGTTACACGGTGCATTCAAGAGGTTGAGCTGCGAGGTATGTTTGTACCCTGAAAATTGTACTGGGCGATACTGATAATTTGCAGGGATGGACGAAGAGGGTATCTACCGTAAATCTGGCGCGTCGACCGTCACCCAGTTTATTCGCGAAGGGTTTGAGCAAGCGAACGATTTTGACATTTCTGACCCAGATCTCGACATTCACGCCGTTACATCAGCGCTTAAACAGTACTTCCGCAAGTTACCTTCGCCGTTGATCACCCATGAAGTCTACGACAGTGTGATTGATACATTTAATATCCCCGAGCATTCCACTCGCATCGAAGCGATGCGCAACTCGCTCGATGGGCTCCCACGCGTCCATCGTGATGTGCTAGAGTTTCTCGTTTTCCACCTCAAGCGCGTCGTGGAGCATGAAAAGACGAACCTGATGACCAGCCAGAATATTGCAGTTGTGTTTGCTCCAACGATCATGCAACCAAAGGACATTGCGCGCGAGATGACAGATGTGCAGAAGAAGAACGAAGCTTTGAAGTTCCTTGTGGAGAACTGTCAAGAGATCTTCATGTAGATCTTAGCCGAGTCTTGTATCTATCGCCATGCGTTAATCAACACCCAACCTCTTCTGGTTGGCGTTGGACAGTGAACTATTCAGCAAAAGTCGAACTCTACCTGTCTTGCTTATTCGTTACGATTTTGGATTGCCGCTGTTGTCTCCTATTATATCATCTTTATTCCCTTCATATGAGCGTTATCATGAGCACCATCGGGGCGTTGATTGATATTTCTCTTTGTTTTCCCCTCGATTCGGTATCTGTATCTATTTTTTCATGATTATACCCTTTCATATGTTTCCACAAAATTTTTTCCCTGTCTTTTGGATTCCGTTCTTCTTTATGCTTGTTGTTTGTTAGCTAGTAGCATGATGTAGTATTTTTTTTTTTTTTTGCTGCTGTCCTTGGGAGGAAAAAGCTGAGAATTGAGAGAGCGCTGGTCGTTTTCTGTTCCTATAGTTCTGGACTATCGTAAAAGTAGTAGTCTCATGTATCCATTTGTACATATATTTCTACAAAGTTGACGCCCGTCCAAAGACCATATCCCCACCTGAATCTCTACACAAGATCAATATGTTTATACGTAAGCCTAAAAAGTATCGTCTTCCAATCGCCCCCCACTCCGCACAACAGTGGGACTATGCTCATCTTCTTCTGGACCTGCTCGATACCGATGATAAAAATCCTCCGTCATATCGTCATCCGCCGTAGTGCCCGTGCCGCCTGCGGTAGCAAGAAGATCCGACACGATGCGTTTAGAGGCTTCTTTGGCTGTTGCTTATTAGTCCTTGTTCTACTTTCGTTTGAAGGGGAAAGGGAAGACTGACCAGGCGTCTTCATCAACCGACTCTGCGGAATATGGAATTGCATAGTCTTTGGCGGACTAAATCCCAGCGCCGCAGCCGTATCCTCAGGATCATACGCATCGAAATCCTCGTCATCCTCGTCGCTTTCCCAGCCGCCTCTTGTCGTTTTCATGTTGCCACTGACCAAGGATAGTCGTGGTTTGGCAGGTGTCAACACACTAACTCCCGGTCTGGGTGTAGTGCGCTCCCGCTTTTCGGGACTGCGATGATGACGAGTCTTGCGGTTTGTACCCGGTGTGTTCTGTGCGCCTCTATACGAGAAGAGTTCTGAGCGGAGTTTTGGAGCCTCGAGTTCGGGACTGGAGAGTGGAGAGTCGTCGTATGCGTGTTTACCCTCCGAGGCAGTGGTGGCGGTCTTCTCCTTCGGGGTGCTGACGGAGAATTTTGTGGGTTTGTATCCCTTCGACAAAGGCGTGGCTTGGACACGGTATGTTTTGTCGAGGACGTGGTGCAGGACGGGGTCTGTTGGTTTTTGGTAGTTCTTTTGAGTTGTCTTTTTCGAGGTTGACAGTTGGGTGGTACGCGAGATTGTGGGTGGAGGGATGAATGGGGAGGACATTGGTGTTTCGTTTGTGTTTGGTTGAAATCGGGTTGTATTTCTGCCGGGAGTGACTGGTGCAGTATTATCATCGTTGCCCTCCGCGAGCGCCGAATCTTCGTATCCAACTCGACCGGTATCGTCCTCACCGTAAGCTGATGGATATCCACCAGCCGTCGGAGTCTCACCACCCTTCAAATAAGTCTGCGGTCTAGGGGTGCTGTGCGATGGTGATATGGTGAGCGACGAAATATCCAATTCGCTTTCATCATGCTGATGGTGATGTCCCAGATCTAGATGTTCGGACGAGGGAGTTTGATAAGATGCAGCTTCGTCGTCCAAACTTGTTTGTGTCAGGTTGGTCGAGTCTTCGGTTACGGTTTGCTCGTGGTCTGTGGTTGTTGTGTCCTCGTTTGGCATTTCTTCGTAGCCTGATAGGGAGACGTTGGCGCTTGCTTCGAAGAATTGTTTCCAGAACTATCCCCGTTAATCACAAAGTCCTTCAGGAGACAACGGCAGTCTTACTTTGGCTCCTTCCCAGACATCCTTTGAGTGTTCCGCGTACTGCTCGACGATGGGCAGAATGCTCGTTGTAACAATTCGGTGGGCTCGGGAGAAATTGCTGTCGATTTCTGCATTCAGAGTCAGAATATGCTTGCGATTGTTTGGATTGGCCGCGTACCTTGCAGAGTCAACGTGATGGACTGCTCTAGTCTTTCCAGCTCCTCTGTGAGCGTGAGATTACGCTGCGTAGAGCTTGACATTTTGATAATTGGGTAACGCTGTCAATTTATAGTAGAAGTCACAGCTTGTAGGCGACGGCGCTGGTGTCGTCCAAGATCGTGTCGAGTGTTGATCAACGTCTTTTCGGCGGAAGGTATACAAAGACCGAATCGAGACGCGTTTTAGGGCAATGCGATAGGGGCTAGTGTAGTCACGTGGCGGGGCCTGCGGGGTCGTGAATCATCCAATCCACTCTTATCGGCCTTATCGGTGAGCCGGCAGTCTCGGCGTTAAGAAGGCAACCGTCAATCGATACAACTCTCCTTGAATGAATCAATTATCATCTTGTGTTTTGGAGTGGCTACTTGTGAGGCTGTGATGTTGGATCACCAAGGCTGATTTATCTATTAGCTAGGCTGAGTCAGTGGTGAAAACGCACAAGGCTACTCTGCTCCAGTTGCCGCCGAGCTGCCTCTACAACCTCACCAGACCTATACTTCTTCTATACAGTACACTAGAGATCTCGACATCATGCCAGCCCCATTAGCAAAAGGTTTGTCTCAACTTTCTTTACAGTCTATCCTCTCAAAAACAGATTAGAAGCCAAATTCTATAATTACAGTCATTGACATCATTACAGGAATCATCATCGGTGTGTCTGTCCTCGTCGCAGCTGGCATCGCCGTCTACGAAAGCCCCCAATTCCGACGATGGGTAAACCAGTCGCGCCGAAAAGTAGCCGTCGCTCTGTACAATCTAGGCGATGAAATCCATCCGCGGGAAGCGCATTCGGTGGACATCTCCATGACCGAAGAAACTGGCGCAGCTGCCCAAGAACGAAGACGTCATGCTCGAGAAGAAATTGAGCGACGCAGGGAATTCAATCAAGCAAGGAGGAGGAGCACACAGTCCAGCAGTGCGGCTGTCAGCTTTGATACGCTGGTCGATCAGGATGGTAGGCTAAAGTCTGAGGATGGAGAAGATGATCCGCGTGGAATAATTATGAATGATGACCATGCGACTGCACAATCAACGGCGCTCGACACCAGTAACCTGACTTCATTGCATAAACGCGGCGGGTCGCCTGAGCCGGAAGCTCTTACTAATGCCCGTCTGCAAGCCCAGCATGAGATGTTGGAGGCTATGGAACGGGATCGTCTTCATCTTACTCTGCCATCAGAGACTCCATCACACCACCCTTCAGAATCGCTGATTGATCTTACCCCAACATCCGAATTTCCCGAATCCAACCAGGAGTCTACATCCAATCGCGGCCAAATGGAAAACTCGGAATACTTCTCCGTCGCAAACCTCTCTAATTCCACACACGCTTCGGAAATTGGTCAATCCGAGTATTTCTATGCTCATCCAAACCAGTCCAGTTCTTCTACCAATTCAAGCATTCCAGCCAACCCGTTCGTCGACCACGACGTATCGACTGCATCGTCTATACCAGGAAGTCTTGAAAATGTCCACGACGAACTATCTTCGGATACTCTAAGTGAATGGGGACAGCCTACAGACGGTATACTGACTCCCGCCAGCTGGTCTGAGGTAGGCAGTGTGATTAGCAGTGATGACGAGCATCATCATCAACAGTAAATTTGGGATGATTTCACTTTCTCTTTGCGATGGAGTCTATTGTCATTGGTATTGGATTGGATTTGGAATTGGGGATCTTGTCAACTAAAGCCTACTTGATGCAATAAATAGGTAGGAGGAAAACGGATGGCGTAATCTTTTGGTTATCTCAAGTCGAAAATATCGCTTTTTATCAATCTCATAACCAATCTCCAGCGCATATTAGATTGGTCATCGTACTCGTCTGGTTGCTTATCCATGTGGGCAATAGGTTCGGTGTGTAGTTATACAATGTATTGAGATAAAACCAGTGGAGCAGCACCGTTAAATAAGTTTCCACACGTCAAACATGACCGGATGTGGGGTATCTATTGAAACGATTGATAGCACCGAATGGAGATGGAAGCTTACAATCTTCTATGAATCAAAGTTTGAGCGCCTCTCCAAGTTTTTCTTGATTCTCCAGCCACTACTCTGACAAGGTTTGCACGTGGGTAGCTCCTGTACCTGCAGTATGAAGGTAGCGGTGAGGCTGATGAAACTCATTGGTATGAGTGAGAACTATTATGGGGTGAATTACTTGGTCTCCATATGTGGTGTCTTCGTATAGGAACACGTTTACTCTCAGCTCTCTAATTTCTCTGGGTCCGGTAGAAATTTCAACGCTATATATTTGGGATTCTAGATCGATCTTCGTATCCGGGCTAACATTCTAGCGGATGTGAAACCTATGCCACGATCGCCTGTAAATATCAATCATGAGAGAAGATTTTAACGCTATTTTTTCTGTCCAACGGTATGTAGAATGCAAACTACGTAGCTAGCATTTCGGTGGCATTGAGCCTCGTATAAAAGAAGCCACTTACCTCGATCGTACGAAATGTATTTTCTCTTTCAATGTTCTTGTGATACCCCGAAACATCAATCCAAAGTAACTCTTGAAGTCAGAACCAAAAAGGAAATTCACTATGCCTCAGGAAACAATTAGCACGGTCTTTGGCGACCTCCATGCAATCGTGCAAGGCAACCTAGCCAGCGACAAGACACTGCTACTCTTGCACGGGAACTCAAGCACCTGGAAAGCATTCGAGCCCATCCTAGATGATGCCGTGCTCAAAGCCACATACAAAATAATCGGATTCGACTTGCCGGGACACGGAGACTCAGCTGATGCCCCCGACCCGCAGCTCTCGTACAATATCCCCGCGTACGCCAAGGCTGCATTGGAGGTCCTGCGCCATTTCCGTGTAAAATCCTACGTGGCCTTTGGGTCGAGTATGGGTGGCCAAGTCGCATGGAGCATGATCGAACTCGCCAAGTCAAGCCCAAAAGAATTCGATATCCGTGGTGTCATGACATCAGGATCAGTACCGTTCGGTAACCTGCGAGATCTCCAAGAGAGCTTCAACATCGACTCGCAAGACAGCGTTGCGACTACGGGGTCAATGACCGATGAACAAGCCGAATGGGCAGTCAAACACGCCTATGGCGGCACACCGCAACCATTCATGTACGAGTCCTTGAAACGAACGGATCCGAGAGCGCGGCCTTTGATGTTTGAGCATATCGTCAAGGGTGAATCGACAGATCAGCGGAGGACGGTCAGGGAGACCAAAATTCCGATTGCGATTGTGAATGGAGACATGGATGTTTTCATCAAGTTGGATGTGTTTGATCGGCTTGAATATGGGAATTTGTGGAAGGACAAGGTGTTTACTATAAAGGGATCCGGCCATTGTCCGTATTGGGATAATCCGAAGGAGTTCTTGCCCTTCTTGACTGAGTTCGCGGCTGATTGCTATTCTGCATAAGAGTTGACACACCTGGGTTGCCTGTAATATGTCAAGTCACTTATCATCCGAGGAAGTATATATAGAGTTATCACAACATCAAATAGCGGACAATAGAATGAATAAAGTTACTATCAGTTTACTGTATCGCTGGATAGACCTAATACCGACCCTAGCCGAACCCTAATGTAAATTCAGCCGTCTTATCAGTGAACAACATTGTAAGGGCTCAACCCTCAAGAAAGAAGCAGAAACAAAGAAACGCAGCATTATCTCAAATTCCACACTCATCAAGTGATGTCATGAACATGAAATTTCTAGACGCAGCTTCATTACCTTTCTTGTGTAGGCGAGTACCTCGGGGTTCTGCACTTCTGCTGAATGTAATCCTGAGTCAGTAGTCAACCCAACAATGCGATTCATTATTATTAATGCGTCAGATGAATCTTACATGTAAATGACTCGTACAATCTCCTCGCTCAATAGGATCAATGCTACGTACGTCAAGGTCTCAGAGCAGCGTCTTGGCGAGCGGAGTTACCTCTAGCGGTCCTGCCTCGTTCGTGATGAGGCTGCTAATGACTGAGTCAGTCCGTCAGCGAGACGTAGATGTCAAGCTGTCATATGCCATTTCCGTGTAAGTGCACCTTAACGGCTGTATACCGAAAGCATCGTTTTTTTCAGTATCCATCATATATACTACGTAGTACGTAGGAGGCAGCGTCATCGACGGCATATGGATCAGTGGACGGCGCAGTCAGCCAATCACCGGCCCAGATTCCCGATAGAAGCCGGTGTGGCTTGGCGCCTTGATCTTGCACGGGCCCGCTAACCGCATTAGGCAGGAATGCACGCGCGTCTCATTTATGATTTCCTGCTCTCCAAGATTCTCTCCCCTCTTTCTTGGATAAGTTGAATATGTCCAGTCTCGTGTTTGGTGGTCAAGCCGTCAATAACACATTCTGCGCATCTGATTGGATGCAATTTGTATTGGTGTCAGCAGCACAATGTCATTTAATTATACATTTGACCGGATCGTTGCCACGAATACAAGTACGGAGTTCTTGGTATCTCTGGTATCTGCCCCAGTCGCGCCGTTGACCGACGCAATCCAACCTCCCAAGAGTCCTAGCCCACAGTTCAAGCAAGACTACTCCTAGTGCCTAGTACGTAGACTAGTAGCTGTACACATACTTACTACTTAACCAGACAGTCCCCGTCTGGTTCCCTGGTTGACGATCTCACATTCAAGGAACACAGGGCTGTGGTCTTGGCATACTGAGCCTTATCAAGGGACTCCATTCTCGTGCCCTTCATTGCGCCGTTCGAGCCCTGTAGTAGATGGGATGTAAATATCTTTCTTATCTGATTGTCGCCGGTCTCTTTTCTTCTGCAGTGGTGTTTTCCCGATCCATATTCAACATTGATACGACTAATCACCGTCCACCAGACTCGGAAGCAATGAGATGAAAAATGCATCTGATCCTGCGCCAATAGTCTCACACCAGCCATGAGGATTCAGAGAATACTATTCGGCTTGGCCGTGGGGTCGACGTACCTATCGCAGATCGTTACCAGTGCGCCCATTGACGACAACAGTCAGAATTATGAACCCCTCCCGCCGCCGGTACTCGATGGCATGAGCTATTTGACGCTCAATCGGTCGCTAGAGGATAAATATTTCCATGAACCGGTGGGACATGAACAGGGCGCTGATGACCGCCTGGGCCATTATGACGTGCGGTATTTCCATGGCATGGTCTCGGAGGAGGAACGAGCGGAGAGTCTGCATCATATGGTGATTGCGTACTTGGATTTCTTCCGGCTGAATAAGTTGGAAACATGGATTGCGCATGGGACGTTGTTGGGATGGTGGTGGAATGGCGAGGTATGTTCTCTTGTCTGGTTCGGATGGTCTTGACTGACGGTGACAGCTGCTGCCCTGGGACTGGGACGTCGACACGCAAGTCCTCGACACAACCCTTGCGCGCATGGCCCGCGACTTCAACCGCACCGTGACTAGCTACACCTCGACAGACAAAAAATTCAAACGCAAGTACCTCCTCGACATCAACCCCTGGGCATACTTCCGCGACCGCGGACCAGGCCACAACATCATCGATGCGCGCTGGATCGATACCAGTAACGGCTTATACGTCGACATTACCGCGCTGAGTCGCTTCAACGCAGAGGATGAGCCGTATACGTGGGAGTGCAAGAACAGCCATGTTTATCGAACGAATGATTTGTTTCCGTTGCGGCAGTCCACGTTTGAGGGCACAAAGGCCCTTGTGCCGTTTAGGTACCAGGAGTTGTTGACGGAGGAGTATTCTGTCAAGGCGTTGACGCAGACGAAATTTCAGAAGTAGGTCCAATCTTGTTTGCAGTGGATGGTGGTAAGGTTTACTAACACGCGGTCCCGATCTAGTCACACATGGAGTCCCTCGGTTGGACAATGGGTACTACATCACCTTTGAACATTGAATAAATATACGAATGGTTGCACAGAGTCATGCAATGGATGCAACCACGGACCGCGCAGAGCCGCGCATTCATCTACGAGCACTCGTCATGCTCAACGACATACATAATATTGGATACCTTGATTGAATTTCGGTACGAGAATTGTGTCTCTTACATCAGTTGATACCCTATCTGTTTGCGCTTACTTATACGAGCCCCGTCCACGCAGCGGGCCAGTTTGATGATATACATGCATTTAATATGATGTAAATAGCTATAAAAAATGAACATATTCCGATTACATTTGACTCCCAGTACATACCCCATTGACAATATTGCAGACAGGTCATGTGATCGCAGCACCTTCTCGAAGGCTTATCTAAGCAGCTGCTGACAAACTCGGAGATAACGGATCTATTCTTAATTAATCACATGTACCATTTCGAGACCTCATCTCATCTTTACCCATTTGCATTGAACATTTTGCATTTGTCTTCCATTTGAATCGTTTTGTACAAATACTATCATTGAACATATCATCATGTCAGACCACGAGAGATCTACGAGTCCTGGACGAAACGACTCGACGATAGACATCACTGTCCACCACCATGGAGCACCATACACATTCACACTCCCCGCCACCGCGACCCTCGACGATCTCGCGACAAGCATCTCCTCATCTCCCGATTTACAAATACCCATCCAAAACCAAAAATACATGATCGCACCCGGAAAACTTGGTCTACAAAAGCCTCCATTCAACACCACCACACCTCTGCCGGAGTACTTACCACTCTCATCCCCGAAACTCAAAATCACTTTACTAGGCGCGAGAGCTGAAGACATCGAGTCCATGAACGAGAATATCTCCTCCACAAAACAACGCCTTGCAGCCCGCGCCCAGGCACGCCGCCAACCACATCCACCCATCACCCGCCGCCCTCCAGGCGGAATACACACACTTTCCTCCCCGTCATCCTCCACCTACACATTCGGCCGCTGCGAACCACTCTCATACCTCCCTAACCCATCTCGGAGCCTCCAATTTCTAGAACGACTCCGCGACGACCCAGGCATAAAATTTGCCATGGCCAAACACCGCTTTTATGTTCCACTACTCACAGAAATGAATCCCGCCGAACACACAACGCACGAATCGCGCACGTTAGGCCTGAATCGCAACAAAGGCGAAGTCATCGAGTTGCGGTTACGGACAGATGCATATGACGGATATAGGGATTATAGAACCATTCGCAAGACGCTGTGTCATGAACTGGCGCATTGCGTGCATAGTGAACATGATCGCGATTTTTGGGAGTTGACGAAGCAGATTGAGCAAGAAGTCGAAAAGGGGGATTGGACGAGGGGAGGGCATAAATTGTCGGAGCAGGAATTTTATAATCCGAGCGATTGGGAGGAGGAAGGGCAGAGGGGGGATGAGGAGTGGGTTGATCATGGAGGTTGGACGGGGGGTGAATATGTTCTTGGCGGTGGTCAGGCAGGAGGTCAGACCGTAGGTCAAGCAGCAGGAGGGTTGAGTAGGAGGGAGATTATAGCGAGGGCGGCGGAGGACAGGTTAAAGAAGGAGCAGCAGAGGGGGAGGGGGTCTAATGCTGAGGGAGAAACTTGATTGACTTTTGTACATCCATACCAATTTGCATATATACTAATGATTCATGACATTTTTGAATATACAATCCTATAACCGAGCGTAAACAGCAAATGCTTCGCATTCTGATATTAAACCTGCTCATTGACCCAAAGCCCCGCCATCCCTTGTCCCGTTCCAATACACATACTATTCACCAAAATCTTCTTCTTCGTCCGGCGCGCCTCACTCAAAATTGTAACGACCTGCCTAGCACCCGTCGCACCAAGCGGATGACCCAACGCAATCGCTCCTCCGCGCGGGTTCAATTTCTCATGCTCAATGCCCAGATTCTTGAGACAGTAGACTGCCATCGAGGCAAACGCTTCATTGATTTCCCAAATCTCAATGTCGGACACGCTTAGATTGAATTGTTTAAGGAGTTTGGGGATGGCGGCTGTGGGACCGATGCCCATTACTCGTGGGGGAACGCCGGCGACAGTGGCGCCGCAGAATTTGGCGAGGATGGGCTGGTTGAGTTCGATTGCTTTGGAGCGGCGCATCAAGAGGACTGCGGCGGCTGCATACGGTTGTCAACTTCTATATTCATTATCAATCCAGTGACCGGGAAACTCACCTCCGTCGGTAACCTGACTGGCATTACCGCCAGTAGTCTTATTTCCAAACTGCGGGAAAGCAGGACGAATCTTGCTCAATCCTTCATATGTAGTTCCATACCTGGGACCCTCGTCCTTGGTAATTGTAACGGTCTTTTCCTCGCCCGTTTTCGGATCCTTGACCTTGGTCGTCACAGGCACAATCTCATCATCAAACCAACCCGCCTTTTGCGCAACCTCTGCACGTCGGAACGACTCCACCGAATACTCATCCTGCATCTGGCGTGTGATGCCGAAATCGTCACCGACATTCTCAGATGTTTGGCCCATGGGCTGCAGACAGTCGGCAGCTTCCTGGTTCTTGAGGATCTCTTCGTGGAATGTGTCGACGCCGCGGCCGCCGAAGGTCATGGACTCGGCGCCGACGGCGACACCGATATCAATTGCGCCAGTGCGGATCTGGTTGGCGATGTCGTGGATTGCTTTGAGACCGGACGCACAGAACCGGTTTACGCTGGAGGCGCCGGCGGTGTGTGGGATGCCGGCTGCGAGCGCGGCGGCACGGCCTAGGTATGCTGCTCGTCCGTCACCAACCTATCCTTATCAGCCTTCTGTTTAATCTGCAAGTAGAAATGGTGGCATACATTGCCCAAAGAAACATCCTCGATGAGCGCAGGATCAATCTGTGATCGCTCAACGAGCTGTTTCAGCACTGTGTAGACTATGTAGTCGAGCGATGTATCCTTGAAGCCGCCCTTGAAGCCTTTGGTCAATGGAGTTCGGATCGCGAGCGTGACCACGACATCGTCTGGGTTTTTGGTTGTGCTGTTAAGAGTACAGGTTAGATAATCTCTTGCCTCTTGTGTCGGAAAACACTCACATTGCCGCAATTCCAGAGTTGCCGGGCTTCAAGTGGTTGAGAAGAGAGGAGAGGCGGTCGACGGCCATGGTGATGTGATGTATACAGCGAAAGGAATGGGTTGGAGAATGAGGTCTGGATCGGTAAAGTCAGTAATCAGACAAAAATGCGGGGAAAGCTCATGGATCATGAATCATGCATCATGAAGCATCACATGGTGGTGGTCACTTACTCTGACCAGACAAATTGCACAGAATATGAACTCTTGAAATTCCACAGACAGAAAGAAGTATTCAAAGTCGTCTGTAGAAGTAGAACGAGTAGATTTATGTAGTTGCTACCAAGGTTAATCAGACAGCCGATAACCGTAGTCCGCCTTGACCGCATAGGGCTCTGCCGAGGTAGACTGCAGCCGGCCAATTCTACGCTTCGCACTCCCCAGTCTCAAAGTTTAAGCTATTTCAAGGTTCTATGTGTAGTCAAATATTGTATTTGAGAATATTCTAGTCTAAGTCTTAAAACATCAAAATTCGATCAACAGTCCACCACCTAGGTCTGTCATGATGAACGTCGTTTGTCGTCTGTCGTAAGTCTCTTCTGCCTGGCCGATTTCACTCATTTAGAAGTCTGCAAGAGGCAGAAGTCGCGAGCACGGAATTAGAAAATAATAGTTGATTGCAAAGGGCATGAAAAAGCATCATATATCATGTCAAATAAACTGTTTTAATCGGGGGCACATTGCAACCATTGCAACCATTGCAAGCGCCTACAAATGGGAGGAAGGTATCGTCTAATCGAGATCATTCTTGGCTTCACCTTCGGCAGGAGCGTCTTTCATCTCGGCGTCAGGGGCATCCGTCTTTTGTCCTTCAGCAGCTTTCTTGGCCTCCTCCTCTGCTTTTCGCTTGGCGTCTTCTTCAGCACGCTTCTTGGCGGCTTCTTCTTCTTGGGCCTGGAGCTTGGACAGGCGCTCGTTCTCGATCTTGTCCATGTATCGCTGGATGATGGGGCCGGCGATGAATCGAATCTCCTCCATCTTCGAGACGTAGATGGCCTTGGTGGTGTCTTCACCTTCCTCGTAAAGCCAATCCTGTAGTTGTTAGTCATTATTCGTTAATATTAACAAAAAGTAGGAACTTACCTCAGCTTCGGTCAACTTGGCACGCAACTTCTCCTTCTCCTCCTCGCTAGAGAACTCTGCGTAGGTGGTCTCGACCTTGTCACGGAGCTCGTAGATGTAAGATTCAAGCTCGTTCTTCTTCTCGTCGGTGTCGGCAACGAGCTTGTCTTCCATGGTCATAGCGTTCTCCTTCTCGGTCCAGGCAGACTTGGTTGCTTCTTCGAGGCCAGTTGTGCCGGCAGAGATAGGAAGGTCACCCTTGCGGACTTGCTTCTTGACCTTGCGGGTCTTCTTTTCGCCGTCAGCAGCATCGGTATCCATAGCCTAATACAGTTAGTATAATAAGCTTCTTCGAGACTGGTCATACTTACATCGCCATCCTTCTTTTCACCCTCCTCAACAGGCTCCTCAACCTCGACATCCTCAACATAATATCCGGACTCGACATTAAGGATACCGTGCAAATTGAGACGAGCCTTGAGCTTGCAGATCATGAAGTCGTTGTCGGCCTGGGCCTGAACACCCTTGACGGAGAAACGGCCAATCCATGGGTTGACCTTTCCTGGGAGAGCCTCGGGCTTGACGTAACGAGCCTCCAAATCGAAAGGCTGTCGGCGGTAGAATGTGAGGATCTTGGTAGAGGGCAAAACGTTGCCCTTGTTGAAAACGGTCAAGCTGGTGTCCTCATCTGGGATCTCAGGAGATTGTTCCCAGGTGAATTCAATCGGGTAGTTGACAATGTCGTGCACGGAGAAATCACGCACACGGAAAACAGGAGACAAGATAGCGCAGCTGAATGTGCAACCACGAGCGATAGCTTCGTCTTGGTTAAGAGTGAAAGAAAGAGGCTTTCCGAAGAAGTTGGTAACGGCCTCCTTGATGATAGGAACACGTGTGCAACCACCAACCATCTCAATGCTGTCGATATCCTCTGGCTTGAGCTTGGCTTCGGCAAGGGCCTGCTCCAAAGGAACTGAAACACGCTCCAAAAGGGGCTTGACCATTTCTTGCATCTCCTCACGCTTGACCATCGCGCGAACGTCAATGTCGTCCATCAAAGACTCGATGTTAAGAGGGGCCTGAGCGTTGGCGGAAAGAACCTTCTTCAACTTTTCGGCGGCAGTCAATGTACGAGCCCAAGCCTTGGGGTTGGAGCGAATGTCGATCTTGAACTTTTCCTTGAACTCATCTGCGAAGTGGTCGGTGAGGGCCTTGTCAAAGTTACGACCACCAAAGTTACGGTCCCATGCAGTGGCCTTGACGTTGAGCTCTCCCTTGCGGAACTCGACAATCGAGACAGTATAGTTGCTGTGACCAATATCGACGAAAGCGACACGGCGGGGCTTTTCTTCGGGACCGGGAAGGTCCGACTTGGTGATACCGTATCCGAGAGCGATAGCGGTGGTGTCGTTGATCAATCGGAGGGCTTTGAGACCAGCAATATCGGCGGCATCCAACATAGCTCGTCGCTGTGAGTCTGTGAACCAGGCGGGAACGCTGATAACGACGTCCGAAACGCCCAACTTGATCTCTTTCGAAGCTGTCTGTTTAATCTTGTTCAGGTACATGGCGACTAGTTGTGTAGCGCTGAACTTGTCCTTCTTTCCGAGATAGTTGACCTCCACACCGACCTGGCCCTCGACCTCGCAGAAGGTTGCGGTGTTGTATTCTTGTTCGGCCTGCACATCCGGGTCGGATAGGCTGCGACCGATGAGACGCTTGAGACTGCCGACGGTATTTTTGAGGTTGGAGACTTCTTGTGTCTTCGCAGCTTCGCCGAGGTATCTGCTCTTGGGGCCGAATCCCACGAGGGTCCTAGAATCGCATAGCAGTTAGTGGCCTGTCAAACAGGAATTTTCATGCGATAAGCGAGCTGCAGAAAGATAGCTGACTTACGGTGTAGATCTGTTGGAAACTTCATTTGTAATCTGTAAGATCACGACGGTTAGTATAATGTCTTCTCACTAGTTTTGTGACGAATATACCAGCTATAGTATGCGTGGGATGACTGGGGATATTTTGGAGGGGCAAGCGAAGATACGTACAATATCGATACCCTTATTGCGGGCCACACCAATCTTGGTGCTCTGAGCACCGAAATCAATACCGATCACAGACATGGCGAATAGATATTAAACGATGGTGAGGTATATGATAGAGAAAAGGGGAAAGGTGGGATAGAAAGAAGAAAGAAATTGACAACACTTTTATGACGGAGGAAAGAGGTGTAAATGTGCCGTAATGGTACTGGCTGTTGGAGGGGGAGGAATTTGCACCAGCAAGTGGACCGGCGGCGGTGGATCCGTTGTTGTTGTCCCGTAGTAGCGTACAAACTTTTTTTTCTCGTCGTTCCTGCTCTCTGTTTGCGGCGACGTGGATGCTTCGATTTAGCACACAAGGCTGCAGAATGATACGTGTCACGTCGGCGGGKTTTGTGGACGATGAATCAGATGCTGGATGAATTGATCGCAAGTTGACTCAATTATATGAGGCGTCCTTCCGCGTGGTTCTTTCAGTCCGTTTGGAGCCTTATCGAACCTTCCAGCGCTTCCCAGAATGMCCCCCCCCCGCCTCACCGCCTCACCATGCTGGCAGAATTCTCTGCATCTCACCGCCATGATGTAAGCTCTGCTTTACGTAAACACTTAGGGCTAAGTTAGGAATTGAGGCAAGGACTACAAGTGGAAGAATTGTGATCCGTCATTCACCTATGAATACAAAACGAACTGCTGCATACAACAATGCGGAAGAATACATGTGTAAACCAAAACGAGTGTATGGCAGAACTAATCTATCTCCTAAGTATGCAATCGGCATGGTATAAATGATGCACCGTTCATTTTTCAGGTCTCGAAGAAAAAGTTTCTTGGAGCTCAAACTAGTCACTGACTTCCCGACTTTCTTCCCAGAGTGAAGAGAAGCCGGCCTTTCTTGATTGACCTTCTGCCGATCCCACCGAATAGCGGCGCTCGCACAGTTGGCTCGTGGTCGTCATCTTCGGGGACCGTATTTTGCATACAGCTTTGACCCAATGGGCTGGGGGTCAGGTGCAATGGTGCTAATTGCCTCATAGGGTCCATGTGAATCTCTCCGGAACTATCGATTCGAGACATTGCTGACAGGGTTGTCGAGGATCGGGGACCAAAATCGCGCTGTCTGCCTGGAAAACTCAAGCTGTCTCTGCGGTAGTTCGGTTTCCTCACAGGCGTTTGGAGCTGTACCCCACTATCACTGTCCAATGTCTGCTTGTCGAAGTCACGAAGATCTTGGAGTTTCCGCTCTTCTTCAACCAAACTCTCCACGGGCAGCGGCAGACTAATTGGGTAACTATCGGTTGTGGTAGAATCAAACGAGGCTCTTGGATGTAGAGGAATCTCTGGAATCGCAGATTCTTCCCGATCATGTTCCATCAAAGAAAGCTCGGACTCAAGATTAAAATCGCACGAGCCATCATAATTTGGTTCGTTCGCCAAACGGTTTGTTACGCTCTCCGTCGGATGTAGTGGGACACCGATGGTGGCATTGCCATACTCGCGGAACGTGGAGACATCTACATTGAGATCATCACCTTGGGCTTCTGCTTGTTCCGTAGCTTCGCGAGGTGTGGTGTGTACATCTGCCTTGGGTGCATTTGTTCGCGGCCCACCCCAAGTACGCTTACCAGCTGTACAGCATCCGTAGACAAGATATAGCCAGTTAAAGAACGGATTCAGCAAGAACATCAGGGGATACAGCCACGCCTTGAATCGGTGTAGAATATACCCGAAATAGAGCATCAGTGCATAGTTCAAACCCAAGGAAATCGCAATGAAACCGAGCGGCAGGCTAGCAAGGCTCGTGGAAGTAGTCGAGACCGAGAGTATCATGATAAAGAATAACAAGGCTGTAGTCCGAATAGTATCCTGCATGAAGCGTATGATACATAGCAAAGGATAACGCCTCCAAATCCTCACGTCGGTAAGCATACAGACTTCGTTCGAAATGAACCCGAGAAACCAGCGACGCCGCTGCTTGATTAAGCTGCTCATTGTCTGTACAGCTTGCGTCTTGCAGAATGCACCCGTGCAGAGCTGTATCTGGTTTCGCTTCACGGTGCTCACCATGAACAAATGGGTCAACCAGCGATCTTCGCCCAAGTAACATTTGATGTAGTCGAAAAAGTCGTCGACCTTATCGATCTGGTCTTCGAAATAGTATTTTGCCATTTTGCGAAATGCCGAGAATCGTAACATAGTCAAGGCACCAGGAAGACAGGTGACCGAACCACAGGTGGACTCAACGGAGCGTTCGAATAGCTGACCATGAATGTACTCCATGTCCTGAAGGATCGTAATCAAAGACATGGTTTTCGTTGTAGACGTGATGATTCCGGTCATTGCTATCATATCATGCCCGCTTCCCGGCTTCAATTCCATGTCATACATGAAATTCTGAATGCATACTTTGTCCAGAATACAGTCCGAGTCAATGAAAAGGATGAATAAGTCATCGTGCCGAGCGAGATAGTCAGCATAAATTCGATCAATGAGCTTGAAGGTTCTCTTCTGACAGTGCCGCTTGCCACCGTGTGGAAACCTGCTAACTGTTACTCGGACTGAGTGGTAGATGGCATCAATGCTCTGAGCCCTCTTACTGACGCCGAGAGGAATGCCTAGTTGCATGGCGATCGAGTCCCATAGTTGATCAGATGGTTCTCCATCAAATGATAGAAAGACATGGAGACACGACGAAGGATAATCGCTCCCGACCACTGATCGTATTGCTTTGATCAAAATTCCTGGTTCTTCATTGTAGACCGGCATGACCACTACCACCTTTGGGGCAGCTGTATCGTGTAGGACATCTTTGATTCTCTTGGACCGACCGATCTCGCTGGTGATGAGTCTGTACAGGCAGAGTGCCCACGGAACGAGAAGTAGCACCGAGAACATATAAAAAGCGAACCATTGTAGGACGTTGACCAGGGCCCAGGAGAAGTGACGAGTAATGTTATTAGGTAGGGGAAGAGTGACGATCATCACCGGAAGAAAGATGGAACTATGAGAGTTAGTTGTTTTGTAGCCTCCAAGGCATGAACACACATACCGAAGCATTGAGAATAGGATCATGATGAAAACCGCAATAGCACGAGTAGTCCAGTGCTCGGCTTTTCGATAGACATTGACGAGGCCGAAGAGGAAGGCTCCGAGCCAGAGGAACCATTCAGCAAAGGCTGCCAGGATTAGGGGCGTCACCAGTGTTATGTAGACCACCTGTGACTGTTAGCAAGCGACATTAAAGACTCCCGAGGTCAATTAGCGCACATCAGCAACAGACCACTGATCTGGCCGTGGGGGTGCAGAATCCACCGAGTCAGCCATCGTGAGCTAATGCTATGGATGGGTATATATTTCGACTGGAGGGATTGATGATAAAGAGTGCAATGTCGAAGATGTCTGAGCCATAAACCAGATACGAATCCGTACAAGACTTGATCATGAGGAGTAAGGAAGGGCAGAAAACCATCGATCATAAACATCATGGCTTCCCAGATACAGCACCTAGAAAGGTGCCTTCCTTATGAGTAGAAAAGTTGCTCCTTCCCATCTGGGAAGGAGCACACCAGTAACAGACCATGGCTGCCACTGCTGGGTGGCTCGACAACACCGCTTCGAAGGCAACCTAATCCCGGAGATCTCGTTCCTCTGCTGTTCCATTGTGATATGCAATCTACAAAACTCCAGTCTCTTTCCGAGAGCTGGAGCTGTAGATGCGACAGAAAATTGAACGAACGTACTTTGATTGGCAGATGAGGCAAGTGGGGATGAAAGATTCGAGGCCTCAGGCTAAAGCACATCCGGCGCTAATCCTAATCGGTAGCTCCCGCTGCTTTGAAAATTTCCCCACCACGCCTACTTTTTTTTCTTATCGCGCCGATTGCTCGTTACAACCTGCTCCTTCACTGACTCATCCTTATGCCAACATAGTTACCGGCGCACTTACTGGAGGTCTCATACACCAGATACTTGATATCATTTACCGTTACTACCGAATTGACTCATTCGCGCAAAGCGCGCTCGATTACACATCATGTCTGCCGAAGAAGTCAAGACAACAAACGGCAACGCCGACGCTGCGACAGACGTTCAGAACCTTCTCGCCGAATTAAAGGAAGGCGCAGAAAAGCCTGAAACCGAGAATCCCGTCGAAGAAGATGAGGCTGCCAAGGAAGCCCGCATCATCGCAGAAGCAAATAAGCTCGGCAAGGAACAAGAATCAAAGGAAGAGAGAAAGCCAGCAGACCGCCCCAGACGTAACTACCGCGAGAACATCAAGTCTGATCTCACTGCTCAAGAGGTGACCGATGATCACAATGAGATCAGGAAACAGGTTTGTACACGCAATCAGGTTCAATTGGTGACCGTGACATTAATTCGAGCAGGTTGAATTTTACTTCTCAGACTCCAACCTCCCCATGGACAACTTTCTCCTCAAGAAGGTCGGCGGAAGTGCTAACCATCCCGTTGAGCTTTCCATCCTCCACAGCTTCAAGCGCATGCGCCGATTCCAGCCTTTCAGCGCTATTGTTGAGGCCATGAAGACTTCCACCGTCCTCGACCTTGTTGATAACGATACCAAAGTCCAGCGCAAAGTGCCTTTGCCTGAATCTGTGAACGACTTCCTCGACCCCAACGTTGTCAAGGTGTTTGAAAACGAGGCTATGAGCCGCAGTGCTTATGTCAAGGGATTCGGCGAAGAGGGTCCCAAGACACAGTTTGAGATTGAGGCTTTCTTTGCTCCTTTCGGCCCTACAAAGGCGATCCGTCTGCGTCGTGCTTTTGATAAGACCTTCAAGGGAAGTGTTTTTGTGGAGTTTGATACAGAAGAAACCCTGAAGAAGTTCCTCGCATTGGATCCCGCCCCCAAGTGGAACGGCAAGGATTTGATCATCAAGAGCAAGAAGGATTATTGTGATGAGAAGGTCAAAGACATTCAGTCCGGCAAGATCAAGGCAGGCCACCGAAATGGTGGTCACCAAGGCGGTCGAGGTGGTCGAGGTGGTCGGGGTGGCCGAGGCCGTGGTCGGGGTGGTCGTGATAATGACCGTCGCGACTGGAGGGAACGACGCGATGAGGACCAGAAGAGAGGTTTCCGTGAAGACAAACCTGCCGTTCAGAAAGATGCTCGGTAGGTTTAAAGATTCCTTGACATCAACTACAAGTTCGCTAACACATTTGCTAGGGGCATTCCCGTCATCAAGAGTACCGAAGAACCCGCTACTTCCGGCCAGAAGCGAGCTCGTGAAGAAAACGGCGCTTCTGAACACGCAGCTAAGAAGGTTGATGCCAAGGAAGGTTGATTTACAAAAGCCATACAAAACACTCCTTGTCATCATTAAAAGTCATTCCACATGATCTTATTCATTTCATCCTACGGCGTTATGTTTTCAGGGTCACGGTCACGATTGGCAGTGTTTCTGCCTTTCTTGGGTTTGATTATTGTTCTTTTCTTAACGTGGCTAAATATGTATACCTTCGACTTGTTTACTTCATATAGAGTCATCGCTTTGCACGATCTACAATAGAATACGTGTATGTCTATTACATTACTCTCGGTGTTTGAAGTGTGAGTCGCTGAAGCATGACTTATTTCATTCCTCTGGTACCATACACGCAAAGTAATTGACCAGACAACACTACCAATACACACTATCCATATAAGTATTCAATTTCCAGATCCTTTGACTATTGCTGCCTTCATTCAACGCATATAGACTCCCGACTGAGAGATCTAGAACTGCAAATCAAAGGCAATAGTATCGTCAAATAGCTGCTCACGGAAAGTCTTAGCCCTGCACATCGTTCGAAAGGGTTGATTAGTCATTTATTCACCATTCTCAAGGGAGGAAAGTAAAACACGTACTGAGACTGAGCTGCAAACTTAGCATACCCCTCCACAAACTCCGGGCTCTCCAAAACAGCTACAAGAGCCATATCATACCCCTTTGTGAAAGACACGGAAACCGGTAGAGGCTTATTGGCTTCGATGGAGATGAGGCCAGGCACTTGGCCCAGTTGAGATTTGGCCATGGAGCTCCATTCGGTGATTTGGGCGTCTGTGACTTCGGGTTTGAGGTGGAAGAGGACTATTTCCCCCTCGCGTCAGACTTGGCTTTTTGAGGAACTTTTAGGGGGGGAAGACTGACCGATGTGGTAGACAGGCATTTTGAAGAATGGTAAGATTCGGTTTTCTTTGTAGAATATAGATGAGCAAGTGTTGATTGATTGAGGTTTAACAGATGGGTTTCTGTCTGTTGTCTTGATTAAATTCATTCAGAAATACAATTCATGGAGAAGGGTGAGACTTGTTCATTTTTATATCTCTCTGAATCATTCTAAATATTATGTCCTTTGATATCGGTGCTTCCTCGCCGACTCTCCGACTCATACCTGGCATCAGAGTTTAAACGCCAGTGCGCGAAATCATAAACATTGGATTTGATGATGTTCCAAAAGTCAGCCTGGCATAAACCTTGTACAATTATACTATGCAAACATAATGTGCCCAATTCGAAGGTGAAGTTAATAGTAATTGGATTTTGCTTTTGCTCATAATCATAAAGTAAATGGGTACTAAGTCTAATGATAGTTACTGCATAGGTTTGAGCGCAGTGAAGATCACATTGTTGATCAGAGCGAGCCAATTGATACGGGTATGCATCATGTCGATCATTAATGCACAAAACTAATTCACAGCCTGTCGCCCGCCATTAGATTGGGGCAGATGAAGTACCTAGGTGTATCATTTGACACTAGACCGACCGTAAAACGAGAAAAAACAAATCCAAATCATTGTCGGAGTTTCATCATCTTCAATGAGAGATGGGGGCTGTCAGTCTATACGGATCTGCGATTAGGGCTGAATAGTATCGGCAGCCCTAAGACCGCGACTACGAATTGCATATTATGGCCCCCATAGAGAACTATCCTATGGGGTATCTAAAATATCCAAGGATGAAAGGATAGTCAGAAGTATTGGTTACATTCGACAAAAGTTGAGCAACTCTCATATCAGAGCAGGTAATTTGTTCGGAGTACGGAGAAAGCTTCAGCTAATGCGCCATATGGCTACATATTTAGTGTCACTTTCTTATGAAGATGAGTATCATTGATGGTTCTCCATGTGGGGGCCTGTACTTACTACTTTTGAGCTCTGTGGTGTGGACACTTAACGTTAGAAGGCGCGTGCTATTTCTACCTCATTATATAACAGGAAAGTCCAGTCCTAAATATGGTATGCCTGTTACGTACTATCAATATTAGTACTCTACTCATAGTTCCTATCAATGTTTACGACTTATTTGCATCATAGGGGGTTGTTTGTAAAAGCGAAGCAGCGCGCGCTGCGAGTCGCGATTAGGGCTAACCCATTGTTTCCTATTCTTGAAGTTTTTCCTGTCGAGGTTCACGCTAAACCTCAAGCCATCGTGAGCCATTAGTCCGCAATCAAATGACTTCATTTACATCATCTATAGATTAGATTGATGATTCCAACGCTCATGATGTCCGAACTGAGCTTGCAAATTACTCTCCAGATCCTACATGCCGTGCCCTCCCTTAGGGTTGTAACCATTGTGTCAACGACATAGCAAACAGACAGGAATTGTTTTTATCGCCAGCTCTCGCATCAGCCTTGAAAGTCCACATACCACCCTTTAAAAACATTGTAGGAATCTGGAAATCAAATATGATGTCGCTTTGGCGGCGACTAGGAAGATAGTCAGCCTGATTCCCATCGGCATCACGAATCAAGAGGTGGGCTATATCATTGTACGGTGTAGTCTTTAACGGCAGTGTGACTGACTGCTCGTCATCGTAGCTACCATCCGGATATACAACAGAGGAGCTAACAGTGATAGTTGCATCGACGAGGCCATTATCAGGAAGCCCCAACTCCTTCTTCCTAGATTCCGGTATGTCGCCACGCAAGTAGACAAAGAAGACGCGATCGCTTGAAGATATCAAAATGTTACCATTATTAATTGTTCAAGCAATAAAAGTGGAGGGAAGCGGAAGGGAAAGTCTTACGCAATAATCGGCGTCGGGGCAATCTCGAGGAATTCGACGCGGAATAGCTGGTCTTCTTTGGGCACGGCGTCGTATACAGCTTCGTTGTGGCCGCGGACCTTTTCTTGCTCGTCCATAATGTCCACGCCGACGAGAACTTTTTGCTGCGCGATTTCCGTGCTGCTGCCAAGAATAGCTAATGCGGTAGTGCAAAGCAACAGGAGCTGCCCAACATTCGACTTCAACATCTGGCGGCGGTGTAGATGAGATTTCGAGATGGCTGCGGCATGAAGAATGAGGTGGTAATGGTTGATGGTACACAGCGGGGAACAAGTGTTGGGGTTTAAATATCCGCGGGCTCATAGATCGAATAGAATTGGTAGCTGTAAAGTGTAGAAGCCATATTAGCAGCCTGGCAGGAACCAACTGAGCCATGTCTTGGCCTCATTTACATATCTGCGAAGCCAAGCCAAGAGCTTAGGAGCTGCACATTCAGGCCGTTGCAATGCAAGATGTTGATAGCTCACTTATACGCCGATACTACCCAGCGATGATGGTACAACTGTTGCCTGTCAACCAAGCACGTGGTTATAGAAGCTTGAAACCTGACGATCTATCAGTTTCTTCAAACAGGAAGAATGTCAAATAATCGAGATTAATTTAGCTGTAAAGCGTCAGATAGAGTTCCGCGTTCTATGCCCAGCCAACAACCAACATGATTGAGCCTCCACTCAATCTATTCTACCAACCAACACGATTATGCCTCCAATCAGCCTCCAAACCTCCAAATCTACCAACAAACACGACTTTAAATTAGGCGCACTGTCCTATTCCGGATGCGGCTCCATCCGTGTCAAAATTTTAGTAAATCCGGCAGAATACTAAGAGGATCTAACCCTCTAGACATAGGCTGATTACACTTAGATATTCTTATTATGACGGTTAAACGAAGACCCAACGAGATGGGCTTTACTAGTATGAATTATGTCCAAGTATGTTGTCTCATTCCGCTCTTCATGATGGCAATGTCATATATCCTGTATCACCTGCCCTTCTACGACTTCATTTAGCGTTGCATGATGTCCCATACAATAAATCGACTAACCTTTACCACGACAACGTACTATGATCATTATCGGTCTCTCTGATATCTTACCATGATGGTACCTAGGTAACTTTCAAAACACAACCCAGCAATGTAGCCAAGCAATTCGTCATGCACTAATGATATATGCTATCCCTCTAGACCGAACCAGAGCCGATGCTCCGATTTTGTATCCTAACAAGTGGATCGATCAGTCCGTTTGTAAACAGATGAATAAACGCACGTGTACAACAGGATGGCCTGTATATTGTTTTGCGAGTTGGACTATACTCAACCCACTGCGTTGGCTCCGAGGGCGTCTCTTGGCTTAGTTGGATATACCAACTTCCGAAATGAATTCCAAATCCCGACTCATGAAGCTTTGCCAAGTTGATGGAAATAATTTGTCAAGTTGGATTGTTTACCACACCTCACAGGGCCACTGGCCAAATGCGGATTCGTATTCGAGTCCAGAGATCCCCTAAGATATTGATATAAAAACTCATCATAATCACCAAATTGTCAGGCTTCTCTCTACTTGCTATGTAAATAGACCACCCAATACTACCATGCACCTACATATAAAGGTGTTCTGCCTTTGGGGCGTGCTCGCTGTTAAGGGCCTGGCAGATGATATCGACTTCAGTGCCGCTGCTCAGTCCATATCTGCTACCCTAGCTGATCCCTCGTTTGTGCCTTATACAAAACCTAGCCAAAAGGTCGAGGAGTTTATTGCCCTTGGAGATTCGTACACTGCAGGTACAGGTTGCAATGGACAAGATGAAAAACTGTCAGGTGAAGCATTTCGTGGACAGCGTTCTTATCCCATGCAAATGTCTCAGGATAAAGATAATTGGGCCTTTATCAATGGTGGGGACGAGACTATCCCCCGTTTCAGTTTTCACGCCTATACCGGTGATAAATCAGAAGATCTGGTCGCTAAGCAATTGACGCAGGGAGACTATAAAGACGGCAACATGTCTCCACGCGGTCAGCCCTTTGGAAGCCCACAAGTTGCAGTATTAACTATTGGAGGAAACGATGCGATGCTATCCGAGTGATTCTCCCCCTCTTTTCATTATAGTAGAGTCTGTCCATAACGAACCGAAGGTCACCTTGTCACGATATTGATATCACTTTAGATATGATTCATATGAACATGAAGAGTGCTCTGAATTATTATTGATCAAACAGATTATGATATTAGAGTGGTTTCCGTTCCCATATGAAATCAGAGTCTCTAAATATCAGATACAGACATTGGAAGGCCTCCTGTTTGCTATAGCCAGGTTTACCTGACAAATTTAGTCTACATACTGACGATTCGATAGTATATTGAACAATTGCATATTTAGAGCTTGGAATCCCGGAAACTGTCAGAGCAAGCTCGATGCCTTGCAACAAGAGATTGACAACGGAAATCTTCGCGATAAAATCAACTATGCCTTATACGAGGTAGCACGCGCCGGCCGTGAGGCTGGCGGCGCCAATCCTCGGGAGAGCTTTCAGGTATATGTTCTCGAATATATTACCTTCTTCGACGATGCTATGAGTACGGAATGTAACGATTATACCTGGGCGTTTTTCCCATGGCTGAGCGAGCCAAAACTCACACAAGCTCTCCGCGAGCAGCTTAACGATAAGACCCGTCAAGTCAACGCAGTCATCAAAGCGGCGGCTCAAGATCTTCAAAGAATGGGCGTCGTATTTGTGGAAGGCCTTCAAGACGTTTACAATGGCCATCGCTACTGTGAAGCTGGGGCCACCCCGAGACAGACGGAATACAAGGTTTGGTTCTGGACAACTTACGGCATTACATCGACGACCTCTGAAGGACCTGGCGATCCCAACGATGTTGCGGCTATAGATAGTACTGATCCTGCTCAGCAACTGCTGGACTTTGTTTTTCCTGGCCAAAACAAGACTGTGGCAGCGAATTCTGCCGGCGACACTGCGCCGTGGGAATGGGACGGTGCTGAAGCATACCCCGACTACCAATCGCTGCTGAATGCCATATCTGCTGCTGCCGATGACGCGAACACCGATTCGTGGATACCATTCACGTTACTGCGCTCATTCCATCCCAAGGGAACGGCATATGGTGAGCATGCCACGGCACTGTTTGCTGCCATCGCGGACAATAGAGTAGCAATTACAAGCAATGGAACAGGACAGCAGATCGCGGTTGCCTCGTACATTAATCCTCTGGCAGACCCCTCCGCTTGGAATAGGCTTATTGACTACCCTCTGGCAAAGATGCCCATTCTGATTGCCAATGTTGTGAACGGTCCTGATTCCGCCGTCGACGACAGCTGGACCGACGTTATCAGCCGAGCCTCAGCGTCTGGAAAAACGGTCCTCGGCTATGTGCGAACTGGATATCTTGGTGTGAGCGATCAGAAATTCCTAACGAGACTGGGCTCCGGTGACCTTGCGGATTGGACTGCGCAAATCGAGGAGGATGTTGATATGTGGTACAAGCTTTATGGTAGCAATATTGGTGGCATTTTCTTTGACGAGGGGTGGCCTGAATGCGGCGATAACAACCAGTATGCGGACCTCTACAAGTATATTAATGACTACACCAAGCGTGCTCATCCTGGCGCATATACTATTTTGAATCCAGGGTCGCCCATGGCGTCTTGCTTTGAGGATACGATGGACACACTACTCACCTTCGAACTGGATTATACGGCATACACCAGTTCCTATACACCCAACGATTGGGTACCAAAGGATCCTCGAAAGCTATGGCATATTGTGTACAACGTCCCCGAGTCTGCGATTGGTGAGGTGGTCAAATTAGCCAATGAACGCGGAGCTGGATTCCTTCAAATCACAGATGATACTTTGCCTAATCCATACGATACACTGCCTAGCGACTCCTACGTGCAGACACTACTGGATGCAGTTGCGGGTGGCTCTCTATCGAAATCGGATGCTTCGGCCTGGGCGTCAGGGGGGGATGCAGGAGCCGTGTCCGGATTGTCGGTCTCATTCTCAGATTATAGCTCCGCAAAACTATCTTGGTCTGCGACCACAGGTGCCTTTGGGTACCATGTATATCTGGGAGATACTGTTGTTGCTAGTGTCCCTAGCAGCATGACCACAATCACTATTGGTGGTCTTCAACCAGGAACGAGTAATGCTTTAAGCATACGTGCTGTCGGAGGAGGTGGCAATACTGGATCTGCTTCCAACACAGTCACCGTCAGCACCGAATCTCTCCCATTGGGCAAGACTATTACTGACTATAATGTTACTGCTGGGGCGTCGTCAACAACATACCATGCTGATATTTTGGTTCCTTATGCTTTCGTACGTCTCTATCTCTGGGACTCCGTCGAGTGTGACTTCGATAACGATCCAGGTTGGAGTGTCAACTTCGTGACCGACGATTACGTCTGTACCCACTATATGGTCGAAGGTACAACTCTTTATAAGTACAGCGGTACCCTTCCATCCGGATCAACAGCACCGCCTTGGTCATGGTCAGAGGTCGGCCCCATAACTCTCAGCATCTCGGGCTACACGTATTCATGGACCTTGCCGTTGGGAACTTCCACTACAGACACGAATAAATTCGTGATCCAGGCACAAGGCTACAATCCCTTCATTAACGTCTTTGATCCAGATCCCAGCGCATATGATTGCAAGGGTTCGACTCTTTGTACGACCCCTGATCTCCTTAAATGGTGTGATCACGCTGTCAACAGCTTGGAGCGAAATGACCTCCTTACATATGGAACTAAGTGAGTTACTACTATTTTTGTTTTTTATTTTTTAGTTGAATATATTCAACTTCTCCGGTGAAATTATATCACTGACCTCACATCACTAGCGGTACGCAACAAACTGGCAACTGCTGGGGTGACGGAGTTAGGGCTTGCGGCGTCTTCATACAGGGTACTGGATGCTCAATTAGTGGCAACGACATATGGAATGACTACCAAAACATCCGCAACATTGGCGGCTGTACGAAGTGTGGTTCATACCATAGGGAGGATGGCTGTTTGGTTACTATCAACTATGTCACTGATTGTGCTAACCAGTCAACATAGCCAGCAGTGTATATGTGTCAGACATATGCTTTTACTTACTAGTCAATTTAATTGGGAGCATAATGGCATGTTTTCATATCTTGGAACTGTATACATCTTACCCTGAATACCAGCAAATTAATGGGGCCGAGGCAATGTACACAATGATCTCACGCCCAATTTTGAACTTAAATTGTGTGTTTGATTATCTTTGGTCACAACTGACATTCGGTCCCCTTGAAAATGGGACTTTCGTAGTTCTTTCCAATGGCATACCGCTTGCTTTCTTCTCTAGATTTTGTGGAAGCATCCTCTATGTCTGCAATACAGTAACTCTAGCCCCATCTTCAGCCTCAAAAAAAGTAGCTGGCTGGTCTATACTTTGCCCAGCCTGGGGTTGTTTGTTGCAATTACCGAGTGTGGCTACACCTACAATGAGGGTGACACCGTCGAGCTGAGTACCCAATACTATTGTTGATATAACCTGGTTTACGTTTTTTCCAAAGAAAAATACCAACACAAGGTCTAATAAGCGCTTAATCTGTTCCAGATTAGTCGCAAGGTCTATTCGAAAGAAAGGGTCTGAACTTGCTTTGAACATCTATCATCATGACCACCTGCACCTGCTTACACAAAACTTGCATGAACTGTACTATTCCATCAGTGGCGTTCCCAAATTATTGGTCCTGCTTCGTTGTTTCTTTTTGTGGCTACATGTACGCTTTATGACTGCTATCTATCTAGGTATGGCCTCGGAACTTGATAACCATAACAACAAAGGGTTCACTATTCTAGCTTGCAACTCGGTTGATGTTGCACCCTCCGGAATGTGGTATACATATCCATGGATCCATGTATTTCATACCTGTTCTTCTTATCAGTTGAAAGAAGTCATCATCGGATGTTTCTTTGTTTGTTTTTTATCGTCACGTCTGTTGCGTCCGTTGTGTTCTTTGTCTACATTGTCCACATTGTATCTATTGTTTCCAGTATCTCCTTTGTTTCAATTGCATGAACCTATATGATCATAGATGCCTAGCGATCTATTCATATATCGTAATTGCACCGGGCCTCAAACGAACCATAGACTGGCTTAGCAAACGATAGGCTGACCCGACCTTGGAAAGCATACTAGTCACTTACTCGATTAGAAATGTGACTCGGGATGTCTTTTTCAAACATCAATCCTAGATTGGAATATCGACTACTTATTTCTCGGTAATACTATTGTCTAGTTTCATATGTGCATTATTGTGGCGAAGTTTGCAGAACTTATGATGATACTGGAATCCGTCTTTGGTGGCTACAGGTAGGTATACACAACATGAAGCATCAGCGCTTATTCAACACGTATCCAAACTTGAATAACCTGTTGGCTAAGACTATACTAGAATCAACAACCCTAAGTGCAACCAAACAGGCATGTGACCCAATCCATCTCACCAACATCCATAATGCCTTTACAGACTTGTTAGCATGCGTTTAATCGCGTTCGCACTTTGAATCAAGTCTTTCTTGTTCTTCGCCCCTGGCACCTCATGACCACCCTCATGCTCGTGCAAATACACAGTTTGAGGGTCACAGAGCTGCTTCAGCGCTGTTGGTCCCCCAAAGTCACCTCGCTCGTTCATGCCCCAGATATGTGCAGTCGGAACAGATATGGTAGATCCTTGCATATGCTGCACATGCATGCATGTCCAATCGAGTGGTGAATATCCTGATAGAAACACCGCACACTTGAAGAGTGGATCATTGGCTTTGGGAGTCCAAGGGGAATCCAAGCCACCATTACTGGAGCCCGAATGTCGTAAAAGAAGCGCGCTAGCTAGAGTAGCTCCTTGCGAAAAGCCAAAGACTCCGTCGAAAGGACCCTGTTTCTGGATGAAAAGCTCCAAATCATCGAGGGCTTTGTGGAACGAGGTACAGTCGTTGGGTTTGTAGTAGCCGAAATAGCCAAGGTCACCAGGAACAAGCTGGTCGATTGCTATCATTGCCTTCAGCATTGTGCGGAAATCTAGTCATGAGTACAACCAAACCTGAAGCCTTCGGGAGCTGCATCACTCCCTCGACGAAATCGTATGTATGGTCGCCTCCGAGCTCGTAGCGCAGAGCGGCTGAGTGTATACAATATCAGAATGTTTCTTGTTAAAACCCGTCTTAAAGCAGGACGCTGTACCTGTCTGTGCCTCAAAAATCTAGTTTCGCGTGGTACAGTGAGTGTATGCGTCATATGATCGAATTGAATACCGGAAACTCACCCTGCTGTTTGTCCCAGCGCCATGAAGGCATAAGAAATGCATTGCGAGAGTACGCTAAATGATCCGTAAGTTGAAGCTAGATTTTAGTGTACCAGGCTTAAGAGACAAAGGAACCAACACGATGTTGTGAAAACAAAGAAAAGAGAAATTCGGCTCTCAAGAATTGACTTTCAAGACAAGATCAATTGATGGTGATCAACTGGGGGGGGCAGAATGTTTCTTGTTAAAACCCGTCTTAAAGCAGGACGCTGTACCTGTCTGTGCCTCAAAAATCTAGTTTCGCGTGGTACAGTGAGTGTATGCGTCATATGATCGAATTGAATACCGGAAACTCACCCTGCTGTTTGTCCCAGCGCCATGAAGGCATAAGAAATGCATTGCGAGAGTACGCTAAATGATCCGTAAGTTGAAGCTAGATTTTAGTGTACCAGGCTTAAGAGACAAAGGAACCAACACGATGTTGTGAAAACAAAGAAAAGAGAAATTCGGCTCTCAAGAATTGACTTTCAAGACAAGATCAATTGATGGTGATCAACTGGGGGGGG